ATAAATTTAAATATATAGTTTAAGTACTCTCTCTTATATTTATTTATATAATTAATAGTAATTATTTCTATTAATAGTACTACTTTAAAATTAATTATTAATTTAGGTATAAATAAGGTAATTTTATTTAACTAGCCTAGGTATATATATATTAGCTTAATAATATTAAAAATATATATAGTATTATTTAATTACTTATAAGCTTGTAAGGAGCTTATATTAATAAGTATATCTTATTTATTAAAGAGAGAAAGGTTTTATTATAAGTTAGCTTATAAGAGTAATTATTCCCCTTAAAATATTATAGCTATAATAGGATATAAGTAGAGAAGCTTAATAAAATAATTACTAAGTTAAGACTAAAGGAAAACTATGTAATCTTATATTCTAGGACTAATAGGATTAAAGTTTAATCCTTATAATTTTATTATAAATTCAATATTTAGGGATTTAATCCTAAAGGGAGCTTTATATATATAAAATATACTTATTATACTTTCTTATATATTAGCTACCTTAGCTATTAATATAACTTAGTTATATTTAATACCTTAAGTATATTACTAGATATAACTTATATTACCCTTTAAGGCTATATAATATAATCCTTTATTAATATAAACCTAATATAACTAATTTAGCCCTTAGGAATCTTATAATTATTATATTAAAAAACTAGGAATAAAAGAATTAATTAAACCTTTTACTTAAACCTTATTATAAGTCTTATTTAAGCCTATAGCAAGGCTATAATTCTTTTTATTTTTTTTATTTTATAGATATTTAATTAACTAAGTCTAATTTAGTTATATAAACTTAGTTTTAACCTTAATAAAAATAGCTTTATTAATATATTTATAAGCATTAATAAATAGAAAAACATTTATTAATATATATATATATAAGCTTTAATATATATAAAAAAGCTTTTAATATTAATTAAAATTAAAATTAAAATTTTATTAATATAATTAATTTTATAATTAATTATTATTAAATATAATCATAGTTATTTCTTTATAATATAATAATTCTTATATCTTAGTTAAGGTTATTCCTACTTATAAGGGAGACTATTAATTTAAGCTTAATTAAAATATCTTTTTTTTAATTATATAACTTTTATAAGTCTAAAAAGCTTTAATAATTTAATTAGGTTACTTATTATATTTATATATTATATTTATAATTTTTAGACTTAGAAATCTATCTAGGGTTAATAGATTTTTTATTAAACTCTTATTAAAACCCTTATTTTATTTATTAAGAAAATTATAAATTAAGCTTTTTATTTATTAACCTTTTTTAAATCCTTTTTATAAAATAAAATAGCTCTTATAATTATATTTCTTATTATTATAAAATAATAAGAAATATTAATTTTTTAATATATAAAAAATAATTATATTTAATATAATTAATATAATTACAGAAATAATATTTTTAAGATTTAATAAAGGCTTATATATTATTAATAAAATTACTTTATAATTAAAATAAGAAATATTTAAAAATTATTAAATAACTTTTTTAGAGCTTTAATAAAGGTTATAAAACTATAAAGAGCTTTTTTAGCTTTAATAGTCTTAATAAGCTAGCTTACTTTAAGCGATTTATAATAGCCTTAAGGTCTAGCCTTAATAGGTTTAATATATTAAAGGGGTATATAAATATAATCTTATATTAATTTACTTTAAGGCTATAGTTATTAAAAAAGAAAATATATTAAGTAATTTATATAAAAGGAGCTATTTTATATTATATTATTACTAATAATAATAACTTAATATTATTAAAATATAAAATAAGTTTTTATTATTATTATTTATTAATAATATATTCTTAATAAAATAAAATTTATTAAATTAAAATTTTAAGTATAAGAGTATTTATAGAGCTTATTTAATATTAATTCTTATATTAAAAGGTAATAGGTATAATAATTTAACTATATAAAAGTATATTTATTTAACTAAGTTATTTTAATTTATTCTCTAGGTATATTATAAGGTTAAATTACTTTTTAATAATTATAAAAAGTTTTAAGACTAAGTATTAAATGCTTAACTTATAAATTAATTAAGGCCTTAAATTATTATACTATTAATTATTAATTATATTAATAATATTATTTATTATTTAACTTACTTTTAAAATTATTATTTTAAATATTATATATTTTTATAATAAATTACTATTAACCCCGTTAACTTAGTAAGGAGATATATATCTTATATATTATAATTTACTTTACTTGCCTTTTATAAGGGTTGCTACTTATACCTTACTGACCTTTATTTCTACAAACTAACCCGACCAAACACTCTTGTGTTCTGGTTTCGGTCAATGGCTCTTCTCCACTGCTGACAGATTGCGTGGCTGTCTACCATGATGTTTACCTCCTGGCTATGAAACCATGATTGTGTATCTTGATTCCCACTGCCTTGAATGCCAACCGCTCCATCTGCGATCAGTAGTTTAACATGACAGGACCGGGATTTAAATGAATTGTAAATGGAGTGGTCCTGATCCTTTCCAACATAGTGGTAAATGTGTAAGATGTCACGCTCAGGTCCCGTCGGTGGAAGACCATTGATAAGAGCTCGCGCCGCTTGCTCGTTAGTTCCGCCTTGACCGGGAACCATCTCTCCTGTGTCATTGTACCCCCAGCATACGTAGTACGTAACCTCAACGCCACGCTTGAGAGCATCAGCCAAAGCTGTCATCAGCGGTCCAGCATTGAGATCTGGCGTCTGGATGAAGATATCCCTTCTCGCATTCCGGATTAGGGAAAGCCAAGCCTCGTTCTGAGGCACATGTAGACTCTTCGAGTTTATAGGGCCGTAGGGAGGTCGACACACAAGGGCTATCGGGACAGGCTCCGTAGTGGACGTCTCGATATATGGTGTCATTTCCTCCCCATCCTGAATGTCAGGACCTGTTGGTTGAATGGGATTCTTAACCGCAAGGTTGAGCTGTCGGTTCGTTGCTTGCAGCCGGGTCTCGTCCGACTTGTTGGAGTAGCATGACTGCATTCTAACAATTTCTCCAGCAATATCATCATCGTAATGGGGACTCTCAGGAGTATGCTCTGGTAGTTCAGGGCAAGCTCTGTCCTGTGACACGATCTGGGTCCCATGATGCCTCTCTTCGTGATCCAGAACTTCGAGACGCCGGAGGTGTTGTGTGGATACTGATGAACCACCCTCGGCAACTGAACTTTCGGGTGAGGGTGGCTCTGCGCGCAGTGGATTGTTCCAAGTGATCAATGCAGTGTCGTAAATGCTCTCGACCACAGGCCCCTCGAGGTGTGTCATCATTTCCATGTTGTCATTGTCTTCGATGTTGTTGCTCATGATGGCGGCAATCTTGCGATCAATGATGCAGAACTTGGCGTGCAGGGTCCCCAGGATCAATCTGTGTAGGCTGATAACCTCCATGTCAAGAAATGGCACCTCTTCGGGCGCGGGAAGTTGAACAGAGTTGGATGTAAAGGTCTTCGGTTTCACCCGTTGGTGAGGGCTGAAGATGTTCCCAATGGAAGGCTTGTCATACATGATCTTCACCATGACTCGTTGTCCTCGCTTTTCCGCGCGCTTCGAAAGTTCAATCAGAGCATTTCTGATGAGCCTCTGTGCCACCGATGGCGACCAAGAGCATGTAATAAAGAACACCTCTTTCTCTGCGCGGACAATGAGATTGGAGCAGTGACGAACGATGTCTTGCAGCGGCGCGACAATCGTGAGAGGTATCATCCCATGCGACCCCATCAACGGAGGTGAGATTACCCCTGCCATGGGATTACTGTGGAGACAGCTCAGTGCATCAGCAAAGGCTTGCAGAAAGAGGGCGCTCGGTTCTGTTGGGCCCCAGCGCCCACATTTGAGAGCCAGTTCCAGTGGATTGACTGATGCGGCCGGATCATTCGTGTCAGAGGCATCGGTGGGTTGTCCAGCATGCTCTTGGCCACCGTACAGTCGTTTAACGATATCTCCTGGTGCTTGATAAGGGTCTTTTGCCAGAGCAGAGCTAACAGTCTCGTGAACTTGACAAAGATCGAAAACGCGTTTGGATATCATCGTGTAGGTGTTTCTTCGTCCTTGTGAAAGATCTGTTGCCTTGTGAGGCTGGTGATGATGATATGTCCACTTTCCGTCCCGCTCCGGCAGATCTTCACATTTTTAACATATTTCCTTTCAGCAGGGAGGAGATGAAAGCGTCATTGCGCCATGGAACAAACCTGCTACGGCCGTTGAATATGGCTAGCTTGCCCCCGTGCACCAAACCCACGGCTTATTGTGCCGTGCGGCCATCATTGTCAGAACGTTATGCACTCATTCATCGCGATCGCCAGGGCACAGTTTGCGCTAAGCTCGGCACGGCGTGCCGAGACGGCACATCTCAGCCGACTAGGGGTTTCTTCAGCCAATTCTTCTGCTCGAGTTCTCCAGTCTTGGGAAATAGTGGCTGGGCAACCCCCAATTTCATTGTATTTTGCTGACGCGTTCAACTTGCTCGCGAATGTTGGGTGGTATTTATTCGGCTTGGAGGCGAGGCACTTCCCACACTTGATATCATCTATCACGTCATATCGGTGGTAATCAGGGTTTCTGCGATTCTTCTCGCGACTATGAGCTTCGTTAGAGCTGTGAAAACATGGTCCTTGTCGGGATAGCGATTCCTTTTCACGCCCTGTGTTACCAGTGTTCATCGAACTTGCAACAGGTGCCTAGAAATGTGATCATATAGGGAATATCTCGGTCAAAGGCCACCGACCCCGTAATTCCATTGTCATGTCCTAACCCGGACTAAGTCGATTGTCGAGACAGATTGTTTCGCAACATATTAGAATCCCTCCATATTGTGAGAACTGACATCGCGCTTTTGGGAACGCATCAAATATAAAAAAAGATCAATTGGCAGGGCTAAGACAACATCTTCAATAAGGCCCCAAGTCTCTCGTATCAGTGCTGTGAGATGATGTCATAAATATAAAAGCTACCTTGAAACACAAACTTTCTTCGGCACCGTCCGCGGCTCATCCCTCAACAGGCTGACTCCGAGGGCGTTTCCGAGGCGGGCATAGCTGTCATAGTCTATAACTTCGCTTGTGACTTCTTTTTTGCCTCCCTTTCCTTGTCCCTCAGCTGCCTTCGTAGAATCTTGCCACTGGGACTCTTTGGGATGGTGTCGATGAATTCAACACCTCCCCTAAGCCACTTGTGCTTTGCTTTGTGTGTCTCAACATGCTGGCAAATGGCACGAACAGTGTTTTCATCTGAAAGCCCATCACATTTCTCAGATTTGACCACATATGCTTTGGGAACCTCGCCTGTTCTATTATCCGAGACTTGTATGACAGCGCAGTCTGAGACAAGGTCATGTCCAAGTAAGTGAGCCTCCAACTCAGCGGGCGCGACTTGATGGCCCTACACATGCATGAGTATCATAAAGTCGGTAGTGAAGCGAAGATGAGGGAGAAATGAGACAGTAAAACTCACGTTAACCTTGATCAGTTCCTTCAGCCTATCAACAATAACGAGGTGCTCGTTTCCGGAGGCGGCCTTGCGTACTAAGACTTCATCGCCAGTCCGAATCCATCGGCCATCCGCCCGCCAGATGAACGTTTCGGTAGTCGCCTTTTGATTATTCAAGTATCCCAAGGCTAAGGATGGGCTTTGCACGAGGAGCTCTCCCGGCTTGTTGTACTCTGTGATTTCCTGGCCAGTCTCAATATCCACGAGCACGGCTCTTGTCCCAGGAACTAGAGAACCGGAAGAGCCGTCATCAATGTCAAGTTCGCTAGTCGTACAGACTACTGTACAGGTTTCTGTAAGGCCTGCAGCTGTTAGAAACGTCCGGTGGCGATAGTATTGCTCTACACACCGTATCCCTGACCAACGCGCCACTTTGGGTACTGCCTTCGAACTTCATCCACGACTTCGGAGCCCAATGGTGCGGCGCCGGTGTAGACATATCTTACGGAACTTAGGTCGTACTTGGCACACAAAGTCTCGTTTCGGATAATCCGAATGATAATGGGTGGCACCTTTTACAGTCAGATCGAAGGCTGTGCGGCAGCTGTTGTGATTCTGAAAACTCACCACGAACAAGAGGGCAATTCTGTACTTTTGTACCGCAGCTAAAACCGCCTTGAAGTCAAACTCAGGCATGACAATAACTCCATCGCCTCGAAAAGTGCTGGCGTAAGAAATGATGAGGAGACCGTAGATGTGACTAAAAGGGAGCACACCCAGGCAGGCTTGGGTTTTGACGCCGAGCTTTTGTCTTGAGACGCTATCAAATGTTGAAATCTGTAGGACATTGGAAATGACATTGCGATGAGAAATCATCACAGCTTTCTATGGTGAAGGACTTAGTAGGCGAGCGGATACAGCAAGAATGACAGACTAACAGGAAGACCTGAGGTTCCACTGGAATAGCAAAGGTAGGCAACTTGTCTGGCACCCTGACCTTTCACCCATTTGGGACTCTCCAGGGCAGGCAATGCAACGCCTTGTTGAATGAGCTCATCTACTGTAGTAAAATTCAGTCCTTTGCTTCCCCCTGGAGTCTCCAGAAGGAAAATACGATCCTTGGAGATACCGACAGCTTCAGCGGCCTTTACAGCCCGATCTATCAGAGCGGTGCAGGTAAAGAGTGCCTTGGCACCAGACGATCGTAACTGGTGCTCAAGCTCACTTGCCGAGTAAGCAGCGCTGGCAGGAGTGACAATTCCAGAAAGTCGATGAACAGCTTGTGTGACGGAAAACGTATCAACCTAAGAGATGTAAGATGATTCTCTTTGCGATGTGAGGAGCGATGAACTTACAGCATTCAATGAAAAGATAGCAACGACCTTATCCCACTCAACGCCCTCGTTGGGTGCAAAATCCAGTTTCTTGGCAATGCTGCGGGCCAGGAAGTCAGCACGCTGACGTGCTTCCGAGGCAGAGTACGTTTTGCCCGTGAGGCCGCAAGTGAATGGGTTCCTAGACTGCGAAAATGGTAGCCGGCCGAAATTCTCGGTTGCCATGAAGTCGTGGAGAGATATAGAATCGGGAGGATCTGGTTCATCCTTTAGAACAACAAATTATAATACTCTCATTGGTGAGGTAACACACCGATGGGGAGCTGAGGCACCCATTCTGGGGATGTAAAGACCATCTCGGGCGCGGGCGTGATGGGGTAGATTACGCCGTAGTCGGACACAGGAAGGGGCTCGATGGCGATGATTAGATATACAAACCAAGGAAGCAATCGAGAAGGTCTACGCGATACTTATGAAGAGTCGGTAAGCGGGTAGAGTCTCGGCAGCCACTCAAAGAACCCCAGGTGCGTCCCCTGAGTCAAGGGCCCTGACTAAGATGATCAACTTGCGGGGATGTTGCATCGGGAATTGGGAGCGGCAAGGCTTCCCGCGCCCTCCGAGGCAATTTGAAGTGAAGATTCGGGGCTGATAGGCCCCAAGCTTCTCCGCAATTCCTCCACAATCCCCGGATTTGAAATACACTTAGGCCAAGATGCAAGTGGAGCTCCTCGGAGAGGGGCATCGGCTTTCAAATGCGAAGCCAAATCCGAGTGGTGCCCGATACCCAGGTTCACGTTGGAAGTTATTTACGAGGCAGATAGTCCTACTATGACTTCAGGCAACCTCTCGGACCATATTTAATAGCTCTAGATCTTGATATGATCGAGTTCATTCTCATATTGATCGATCGCAAATGCACAGATCCTATTTCCTCTGAATCGCGACCTAGACCTCACATCCTCCTGCATATCTAATGCCCTTTTGTACCCTCAAGTTCGCCTTTTATATCCGATAAGGCTTCTTTCTTTAACGTCTTGGGTTAGCCATTTCGTACACCTAGGCATCTCATCTGAGCCTGTATTGTCGATTTTTGCCAACCGCCGCCAATAAAATTAGGCAAGGACCCAGATCACTGGCCACTATTGGTGGAAGCAGTATCATCTTTTTCCAATGGAGCTGTGGATAATGCCAAGACTTCTTGTTGGTCTTCTCATGATAGAGTGGGCTGAGCATGCTGTGCCGCATAAGCACAGCACATGAGAAGGCTACTAGGCAACAATGCAACTTGCGCGCTTTCCACCTGGCAATGCCCTCGATATCCCGTCTTTCGCTGTGTTTCGAATCTTGATGCCACATTAAATCTGTCTACCTGCTCCTCGGCCTAATGGCCCCATCAGTATCCAGCGTCCTTGCTCTCGCAGCAGCCTTGCACGCCATTCCGGCAAATGGGCAAGGCGAGCAGCAGCCGCTCAACGAGGCTATCGGAGGAATCAACCACGATGCGTATCTAGAAGCACGGCCTGCCGAAATCACCATCTTCAATGACCCCAAGTGGCCTTGTGTACCAGAGACAGGCCAGCCTTCGGTTGACTGGGACGTGCCCCTCAACACTTGCGTTTCTGCGAACTTCACCCTCGACAGCAATGTCCATCTAATGACCCCCGGGCTATGCCCAGGAGGCACCAAAAGCCCCTACATATCGATCTACCCAAGTTCGAGTTGCACGGGCGCATCCAGCCACCCAACCTGGTACGACAGACGTGTCGCACTGAATGGTCCCGGTTATTGTCTCGGCAAAGCCGTTTGGGGAAGCAAGATCACGCCTCCAGAGGGGCCATGGTCAATGGAATTTCGATGCGATGGCACGGAAAGCGACGAGCCTATGAGGTTCCTCCATGTCACACTTCCCGAACCGCCCGCGAAGGCCGAGCCAGAACCTGCACGTCCGAGACTCAAAACAGCTTCCGTCTCCGATTCAGCCTGTTACATTTCTGGTATGGGAATGGCCGGCGCTCCCAAGTTCATCTTCCAACGACCAGAAGCCGATGTATGCGTCAACGTTGCCCCAAAGCACAGGCTTAAGATCTACCGAAACGCCTTGTGTCCGAACGGTACCGAGGCACTTTTCGCACGTTTCGGTGGAAGAGATTGCAGAGGTAGCCCCGTTGAACTTAAGGAAGTGGACAGCAACATGATGGCGACCAACTCCCCAAGTACTTGTATTGACATGGGAGGAGAAGAAGCCAGCAGTTATACCTTTTGGTGCACAGGTGATCTCCACCAAAAGGATGTGCCTCAAGGCCTGTTTCCTGATGATGACGATACGCGAGTCCGCTTACACTACACGTATGGAGCCCCGGCCGGAAGTTCAAGCACCGAGTCAGGCGCCGGATCGTTGGGAATGTCGATGAATTGCAGACACATAGGGCTAACAGTCCTGGCGGCTGTGCTTAGTATAGTGGTCAGGTAGTTGACCAGCGACGGCCGGATTGACCATGTTGGATTTTATGAAGTTTCCTTCCCATGCTATATTCTCACTCATTCATTAATACAACCACGTATACTACCTATCAGTCGACTGCCCACTCAGACTCAGAAGCTCGATTTCACTTCTATTTCTCGCATGGCCATTTGTGGAGCTACCATGTGGTTCAACACTCTGCGAAACGTGTTTGTGTTGCGGTACTTCTGTCGTGCAGATGGCGCCCCTGCCATTCATTGATTCATTGTCATGAATTTCGTTGAACTCGTCGTCATCAGTCCTCACAGGCCTTGGGATTCTTCTCGAGGATTCACCACTGTACTTGTTCGTTGACCCTACGTTGCGTCGAAGAAGTGGGCGCAGTGAGGGAAGACACGCAACAATGAGACCAATGTAAGCGTCGAGAGCACTCCACAGTTCTGCCGATAACTCTATATTACCACAAGAAGATTCCGATGAAAATGAAGCACTTACCGATCATTGTTATAGATCTAAACCCGTTGCGGTCTCCCAGCTGCACGTTGAGAAAACGTGTAAGGGAAAAGATCAGATCGATGAGACCGATCAGAAAAACCCCATAGACGCCGTTTTTCGTTCTTCTATTCATTTTGAGGTCATGGAAAATCGAGAATGGCAGCAAGAATACTGAAAACAGGTTTAGCAAAGATGATGTTCCACGGCAGAGTCAACTCACATTGGAGACTGCCGAAGAAATGCAGTCCCCAAGCGACCTGAAAGATCAAAGGCAGCCACTTGGGGCCACACTCTTCAATAGGTCTTGTAATAACCCTCGATAAACGGTGAGCGGAATACCAGCATGGGAGATGCTTAAACCAACCAGTGCCTTTCGAGGGGGAGGCACGAAAAGAGCTGCAACCCCAAAGTTGTAAGGTACGCCAATAGGCAGTATACCGTAGTGGCCCAGAGAAGAGCTCTTCTTTTTACCATAAATATTGGAAAGATTTGGAAATATGTCGCAAGCAATGATGCTTTGCATAGATAGAAAGTCGTGAAGAAGGGGAAGTCACCAAACCATGACATCTTTGAAGAACGTGTCAGCATATTTTAGTTTCGATCGGTAAAAAAAACGTGCTCTTGAGAGCTAGTTTGTATAATTACCTTGAACAAATACTCTATGACTTTGGGGTCTTCCTCCAATGTCGTAAAGTCATAGGTACGCTGAGGCTCGAGTGCTCCATGGACCTTCATCACAACATTGACTGATGCACACAAAACAGCGAAGCACCATGCTGCTATCATGAAATATTCGCTTGCCAGGAGGCGGTTTCTCTGAATTTTCAACCTCAGATAGATCCGTGCACCGATAATTACGGCTGCGAGTCCGATGAGGGTGTAGATGGTGGCCTGTCTTGGTAAGCATTCAACACGATCCAACACGATCTCCAGGGTCCTGTGCGCCCGCTGAAGAAAGGGGAATCAATCGTAGGGGATATAGGGCTGGGGCTCAACACTTACAATCACGGTCGACCCGGACGGCGCTATGACAGTCATTGCTGTTGATGCATCGCAAAAGTCGCGTAGGATGCGGAGCCTACGCGTCGGGGAAGAGCTCAAGTTGGGACGAGAGACTTGAGAAATGAAATGCATCCATAAATCGACATCCGACCTAAAATTTAGACTAGGCAAGTTCAGGTATGGTCCTCCATTCCAAGCAAGGTGGATGAAGTCTAGATGCCGCCAGGGATCTGAGAGCCCTGGAATGTTACTGTGGCGGTTCGCCCAGACCAGTTGCAACATAGCATGAAGTAAGATCAGCCCAGGAGATGATGGACTAGCTAGGAATGTTCAATATCTCCCACAGCGATGTTTTCGGGCTTTGTAATGCATTCAAAGCGCCGGGTTACGTTTTGTCCCAAACGCCGGAACTCGCATCCCCTGCCCTCCTGGCCCCTCCATCAAACAGCCACTTTTGACAGCATCCAGTCCCTGCGCCTTCCGGGTATCGGCACATAGCTTATCATGGTCGGAAGCCTGGCCTCGACTTTCACTTGTGCACTTGAAGCGTTTGTGCGTTACTCGCACGGGGCAACCCAACCTGTCATTATCCAGCCTCGGTGGCTGTGTACTTATCTGGGAAGCCCAGGAACCTTTCGAAGTCGGCGGTGTATCTTAATAGACCAGAAGAAGTTCAAAATAAACCGTAATAAATCAAGAACTCATACTCTCTAAAGTCCCTGCATCGCTCTCTTCCCATGGAAATACCTGCTCAATAGACCGAATTCACTTCTCATGGTGAGGTGACCGTGGCTTGATGGTAGCCTTGAAGGGCTCTGGGTGGCTAACAACGCCTGGTGTGAACCGTATCTCCGGCTGAGCCACTGGATCACCCCTAGTGATATCAAAGACAGCCAGAGACTGCGCAATATTCACATACAATGCATTGTCGGCCAAAATGCGACCAGGACAAATGCGACGCCCAAAGCCAAAAACAAAGGTGTAAGGGTCTGGTGCAACCTCGCTTCCATCATCTGGCAAGAATCTCTCCGGCTTAAAGGACATGGGTTCGTCATAGACCTTAGGGTCATGCGTAAAGTGCCTAGAGCGTAGGCGTTTGTTAGACACGTCGCAAAACATGAGTGTAGGCGGACTCACCAGACGTTAGCAAATAGCATGGAACCCTTCGGGATAAAGTACCCTTCGCACACATCATCCGCCGTACTCGTATGAGGCAAACCCATGGGTGCCACTGGATGCCATCGTAAAACTTCTTTGACGATTGCGTCAATGTACGGCAAATTCGGGCGGTCTGCCAAGGTTGGCAAACGGTCCTTGCCAATGACTCGGCCAATCTCTTCTTGCGCCTTTCTCTGAACATCTGGAGAAATGGACATTGCCAAGAAGAAGCATGCGAGAGCTGATACGGTCTATACTTGTTAGCATGGCGCCAAGATTAGGGGGGAAAGCACTAACTGTACCAGCGCCCGCTGTGTAAAGCGACATGGCTGACCATTTGTTGGTGAACTTCTCTTCAGGAGTTGAGTCACCAGTCTCCAATAGTCGTGCAAGAAACGAATTGTCATCCTTGCCCTGGGCGATCTGATGCTTAACAAAGGCATAGGGCTTCTCCGTCACGTTATGCAACTCGGCTGCCCATTGACGAGCTGTCCTCTTCCACCCAGTTCCGGGCACCCAGTCTGGAAGGTATCTCACTGTGGTCATGAACGTCAATTATTGCAGCGACTGAGGTCAAAGGGTGCTTACAGAATGGCATCATGTCAACCATGAAGGCACCTGGAACACCGGCAAGTGCAAACTTGTCCATGGCGTCGCCAGCCATGTTGACCAGAACATCCTCCTTGAAGGGCTCCGCCGTGTATCCATATGCGATTTTGAGAATAACCGCACCAGCTTCCCTACAGCCTAGTCAGTCACAGGCTCTTGAGAGGATGTTGGTCAGGTTTTGGAGAACAAACTTCCTTATCTGATTCACCACATCTTCGGGATTGTCCAGCACATGAAGCAGAAAATGTCCCACTTCAGCCTCTTGCAAAGTGTTGTGTTGGGCTGCTGCTGTCTTGGAGCCAATGATCCGACTCATGTTCTTGCGGTAGGTCCGAAAACGGTCATTGTATTGCGAAAGGCCCAGAGAGTTCTCCCAGCCCAACCTGTTCCAGGTGTTGTTAGTCCTACGCAAAACATGATGAGGGATGATGTCAAGCCATACATTTCACCGACAAAAATTTGTCGAGGCCTAGAAGAGTGCTTTACAGATCTTTTTTCGAGTAACTCAAATGCAACTTGAGCGTCGTTGATGATCACTAGAGTCTGTCCCATCACGGTGACAGAGCTGATTGGACCTGCACAGGTTAGGTTTCTTGAGAAACATTCATGTGAGCAGGAATCAATGCTAGACATACCATACAGACCCTTGTGTTTCAGCCAATGATGGGCTTCAAGGACACCGGGCCTGGGTAAATCGTTGAGATTCCCGGCAAGAGGTAGGCCATTTGGCCCTGGGGGCAAGGGAGGGTTTCCATTTGCTGTGCTGAAGGAGCGCTTGAGAATTACCACAATGACGACGCCGATTGCTGAGCCAAGGATGAGCGCTGAGAGGCCAGTCATGGTCGAGTTCGCAAAAGGAACGTTGGAAAGCCCAAGATGGAGAAGTCAATGAGCATTGAGAATGATGCAACCCTCGCCTTCGCTCACAAAAAGCTCATCATGCTTGGGGCTTTAGGCCGTTTTGAATCCCTGTTGCAGCCACAACATCGGTGCAAACGCCTCGGACGTGCTCCGTTCATACCGTCAAATCAGGGGTGGTGGATTAGCTACCGCGGAGGCACCCACGCAACGTTTTCCCAGAACGGAGTGGACTTCGCAACGACTGTTGGTTTCTCTGCATTTCTCCAGTCCACGCGCGGCATTTTTCATCATCTCCAGTGCCACCGTTGCGCGAAACAGGCTAACAGGACGCCGGCATGCATGGCTCAGGAGAAAATGGTACCCCCAAACCCGACAAGTGCGCGATCGACGGGATAAAAAAAAGCAAGTCTGGGGTTGGATGCTACCCTCTGGATTGTAGCCCCGAGCTCGCAAGGCCCTTTGTCTGCGACCTGTTGGTTCTATTATACCAATCCTTTCAGAATTTGCAACGCCAAAGGCTCTTATGTTGTATCTCTTTGCTTTTCTACAATCGATGGTGAGTAAGAAATGGTGGGATGCTGACGTTTCGTCAACTCCGTAATATATCACATCCTTCAGGGCTGATGGGAACACAAATTGTTCCCCCACGTCCCAGGCCCCCGCTATAGCATCCGCAAGTTTGGGGTGCTAGAATTTGTTTATCGCATCCGTGCAAGAACTGAAGTCACTGTCAGATTCAAGCCGGTATCGCCGCTGATGGGAACCAGACAACTTGCAAGCATACAGAGTCAAACCCCAGTTTAAGTTGCATTGAGCAACCCTAATAGATCCAAGGAAAGAATCCTTTCGGTCCGTCCAGGCTGATCAGCTCTCGTTTTGCATCATCAAGACTATCGCCACCAAGTTCAAGCAGTCTGAGGTCTCGACACACAATGAGCATGTCACATGTGAGAAATTAGAAGAACAAGGCGAGGTGAGCGAAGACCCACCTTCCTACAACGGACAGAAACAGAAGAATGGGAGAAGAAAGATACCGGGTTGTTGCTGGCCGACAATCGCTTCGAACGACGGCTTTGTCCTTCAGGGCCATCGGACTCCAGTTTTGCTTTTTATATACAACCCGCCTGGCCACCCAGTTGCTATTGAAGAAACGCAATGGGAGAGGTCTAGGCTTTCCAAAGAAAGATTCACCTGCAGCAGTCTATACACTGGACAACGGCCTACCGGGAATTCTCAGCAACCAAGCAGGGGTGCGCGGCATGTTGTCTCTTTTCTCGAGACAGGCCAAAGGCATCTTCGAAACCCTGTCCTAGTCGTTCCGGGCCGTTGGGCCCTTCCAAGGACATGCGGCTATTACTGGTCACGAGGTGAAAAATTCACAATGCCTCCCTGGTTAGAGGGACTAGGAACCCAGGCTGTCTACGGCACAGATACGGATCACAAGCTCCTCCATACGAGGGCCATACTAGACACTCGTTGGAGTTAGCTCTTAAAACGCTTCAGGTAGATAAATAAACCTGCCATCAAACATTTCATGTGACCGTTCTCCATGTAGGCACCCCATAGCCCCAGCTCTTTGGAGTCAACAAGGTCGCATGCTTGGTGAGCCATCTGTAACAGTCGTTGCGAAATCACGCCTCACTCCACCGATCGTTTCATCCCCACCCCTTTCGAGGTCCTGATCTGCAGGCCACAAGTTCATTATACTGTGCCGCGATCCATGGAGCCGGTAACGGCGCCCCCACGGGTGATCCGGATCTCGATCGGACCTGCAGGGTTATATCAATGAGTACTGCATGCCACGACGAGCCGCAGCTGTGAAGTCTGATCCTCGGGCCCAGAAGTTCACGGCTCTCTCAGAATCCTTCGACCTGGCGACGAAAAAGGCCATCATGAGATTCTCCCTGATTCTTTGTCTCACTGCTACCATGCTAGGCAGGGCAGTGGCTCAAACCGATCTTCTGGTGGCCCTCCCAAACTGTACGGTACGTATACGCCGGTTGGTGCTTGATGGCGCTAGCATCATTTCCACAAACTAATGTCCTGTCCTCAGGTCCAATGCTTTCAGACGAGTATTTCCAACACCTCTTGTTCACCTACAGATATCCCATGCCTTTGTGGTGATCAGACATTCCAAAGTTGTACCATCAAGGAGATCTTGAGTACGAAGCATCTCCTAGAGTCCCCATCCTCACCGGCACTGATCGAGTCTTAGCATCAACAAACGCAAAATTAGCAGCTTGTGGCGTGGCTCCAGGAGATCAATCCGCGACCATCATCGGTATCCCAGCATCCTTCGGCTCCCTCGCCATTCTTTTGGTCTTGATTCGCGTCTTCGGGCGTCTCTGGATTACCAAGGTTGACTTGGACTGGGATGATTACTTGATTGTCCTCGCTGTGGTGAGTTTTATCCTCAACAGCGTTCTCTGCCGCCCTATTGAACCACTCTCTGAACCAATACCTTGATATCTGCCTCGGTACTCAATTTGGTTTGCTATCCCAGTAAGTCAACTCGCTGCTGCCGCCCTGACCTCGGTCTGACAAACAAACAGTGGCTCACCTTGGAATGGGCAAAGACTTTTGGACGATCCCATTCCCAGACATCGATATGACTCTCAAGGTAACTACTTCAACGCGACACGGCTCAAAGTCCGAGCTAATTGCGTTGTGAAGTTGCTCTATGTTGCGGAAATCTTCTACATGTTTGCCGAGATGCTGGTACAAATGTCCCTTTTGGCATTTTACATCCGCGTCTTCCCTGAGGCTTCTCTCTTCGTGAGACGATCGTCTTGGACTCTGATCGCCATTGTAGGGTGCTTTGGAATCGCAAACACCTGCACAATGATCTTTCAGTGTACCCCAATCCCCTTCTTCTGGTCTGGTTGGGCTGGTGAGATGACTGGAAAATGCATTGACATCAACCTCTTCTCTTGGGTCCGTGCCGCCATCGAAATCGCAATTGATGTCGCGATTCTTTCCTTACCTCTTCCCAGTGTCGTCAAGTTGTAGATGAGCTGGAAGAAGAAGGCCCAGGTCCTTCTCATGTTTGCGCTTGGCTTTGTGTAAGTCATGTTCCGCTATTCTTTGTCTCTAACCCTGAGTCTAACCTGTGTATAGCATCACTGTTGTCAGCATTCTGCGCCTTCAATCCCTCATCCAGTTTGCCAAGACATCCAATCCCACTTGTAAGCCGCCCTTCTCCTATTATTGCGCACTTGGCAAGCCGTTGCTCACAGACATGACACAGATGATAACTCGCCGGCCATTTACTGGAGTGTCCTGGAATGTGACATGTTCATCATTTGCGCCTGCTTACCCGCCCTACGATCGGTTCTCTCCAAACTCGCACCCAGGTTCTTTGGCACCACTCGCAAGAAGAGTTATCCATCTGGTGATTACTATAGACATGAGGGCTCAAACCAAGACTCTGAGCTTCAGGTATCCTCGCATCACATGAGAAGTTTAGACAGCTCGGGAAAGATCACGAAATGCGTTGACGTGGATGTCACGCAGGAACAAAGAACGGCATCCGATGAGGATCTGGTCTACCCGCCACGATCATACTACTTATCCGATACCTAAAACTGGTCCTGGAGTGAAAATAGACTTAGCTAAATGATAGATATGAATAATACAGACACATCATGCTTCAATTTATTATCTGGCGAGCTTAACCCTAGGCGTCGGTATCACACAAGCTGCTCGGTCATCTGATCCTTATTGAGTACTTGGGTCTATAACATATCTTGGCCGTCACATACACCATTCTTGTCCAAGGGAAAATCCCGAATCCTTCCTTTCGAGGCGAGTGGACCCAGAATATGAGCTGTCCAGCTTGAAACCAAAGACATCAGAAAATCTAGTTCTTACGTTTGTGTCGCAGTTTCGTAAGGCCCAGCGATCACTTCAATGAGTCAAAAAGAGACATCTTGACTGTATCCAGCTGCTGCACAGCTTCGATCTCATCATCCAGACTCTCCAGGAATCGCTTCTCGTCCCACTTTGGCTTCCACCCAAGCTTCAGTGCATTCTCGGAGATAAGGTGCCCACTTCCAGCAGTTAGCTTGTTAAATTTGTCAAATCTGGGGAATACCTCACCTGGAAGTGCCGATAGCTCGCATATACAGGCGTGGGAATCCCATAGTATCGGCGGCCTCGTCATAACTTGGCCACACCTGGACCTCGGGCTCGTTCACAAGCCCGCGGGCGTAAAGGCCCTTGGCGAGACCATTCATTACCTTCCACCAAGGAGACCTATGAGCCAGGGCGAAATAGTATCCGTTTTCACCGCTTGGAACCGGCTCTTGTTGCAAGATCTTCTCCAGGAGGAGGAGATAGAATGACGTCAAATCCGAGATATGAACTGCAGCTGGGCTCTGTGTTGAGTCAGTCATAAATTGTGTCCGCAATATGAGAAATGATCCCGTTGCGTGATCTTCTAGGGAAAATAGAACAAGGAAAGGGAAGTGGTGAAACCTACACCATCGACGTCGAATTTGTAAACAGCCTTCAGCTTGATGCTAGTTCTGACGAAAGCAGGGATGTTGACAGACAGCTTTCGACACTCGCCAGTGCCTCTGCCATCTATTAAATAGTTAGACCTTTTTCTTTCAACGATTCACCTCTTTGTCGACACTTACAGACCACAGGGACGACAACGTTCAAAGTCGTCACGTTCTGTGCCTTGCCCTCGTCTGCAAGAAGGATGTTTGTCTGTACTTGAATTAGGCATCTTCCTCGTTTCGTAAAACTAATCCTGAATGCTTACCAGTCTAACCGGGTTTTCCGTGCCAATCTCTCTCTCTTTGCTAAGGAGAGGATCAGTATCCCTGACTTCTCCGGCCGGCCATCCACCCTCCTCCGTGAACATGGTTGCCACAGATGACTATTTCAAGGTCAGTAACATCTTCCACGCTCACCGTCAATAACTCACATGAATCAAGTAGGTTTTGTTTTCACTATCTCGCTGGCGTTGGCCAAGAGCGGCAACGAGGTTCGTGGTCATGGCAGGGTACATGGAACCCGCAGTGTGGATTACAATGTTGACTGGAAATCTCGTCAGTGTCCCTACCTTAAATATTGTGGGGTGTCACATACTCTCGTTTCGAAGCACCGCCTCTTCAACTGCTGCGTTGTCATTGAGGTCAACATTGACAGCCTCGATCCCGAGCTTCGATACGCTCTCGACTTGGTCCTGCGCTCGAACGGCAGCAAAGAACTTTGCGTCCTTGAAGGAATCATTTGAGTGAAGGAGTAGATCTGCCAAAACAGAGCCACCACCGCAAGGTGTCAGTAACAGTGTGGAAGGGGGCCCGGGGAAGCATACATGTAACCGGCAGCACCTGTGATGAGAACGTTCTGAACCATGATGTTGATATGGGTATGGTAAAGTAACTAGAGTTTGAAATGGGTGTAAGAGGCTTGTTTTCTGTACTCCTTTCTAGTAGAAGAGAGGAACAGTCCTACTTATACTCAATATCTACTCGAGCCGTGAAGGGGAGGTTGAATGGCCTTGGAAGGCCGATTGGCTGTTTCAATCGATGTGGACCCACACCCAATTCTTTCGGAAACCCGCGCGTTTGCGGTGAATTTGTAATCTCACTAGAACAACCCTCGATCTTACGTGAAGGGTGGATAGGGATACTATTTCCTAACAAACTTGTGACAAGATGGAAACCCGCGGGAATCCTGCCGAAGGGAAGCCCAATGGTCGTCCGGCAATCACTCGTCGCTCGGTAAGTCCTCGTCGTGTCACTTGTTACTGCCATGATGCTGACATTTGCCTGTTAGTGTGACCAGTGCCGTGCACGAAAGGTGACCGACCACGACCTAGGCCTCCCCGGTTGGCGTTTACTAATACCTGTCCCTAGGTCGGCTGTGATAGAGGCTCTCCCTGTTCGAATTGCTTATCTGCCCGTGTCGACTGTACTCATAGTGCGGTCACCTCGAAACCGGCTACCGGCAAGCAAAGAGTATTGATCTCGACACAATAGTGAGTATTAATGACCAAAGCCCCGTATAACGGGCTGATCTCATAGCTGTTTGTAGCGAGCGCAAGATTGACAGCATTGCCCGGGATATTGACGACATCAAGCTTCTTCTCCAAGAGCTTAACCTACCAGGACAGCAAATAGCGTCCCAAGTCCAACAGCCTCTCCCGAAGACGTCTTCAAACAGTCATGATAAGCCCATATCTGTGAATATTACGACAGCTGCTCCAGCCACAATTGCACAATGGGATCATTCCTCCCACGTCATCGACTTTGTGAGAGCCCTTGTGGAGGACAGGTCTGGAATGAGCCACGATGGTACAGGGCCAGACTCCGAGCCAAGCCAGGTGATATCGTCTCTGAGAAGTCTACTTCATGCTCTTGAGAACCCCAGCATCACCCGAAACTCACTTCCAGATGCCTCTACAACTGCAAACGAACAAGCCAGCACTACAATGCCCCCATTAGAGTCTGTTGTAAGTATACTGCGATGGGCCAGGGGTATGTTTCCCTATGACTAAACAACTTAGACTTCCACTAATGATTCAGTACACCAAAACTCTCACAGACTCTCTTGGATCTGTAAAGTTCTTCCCTTTGACAAGTTCGAAGAGATCTGTCGTAAAGTATACTTTGCAGTCGACGATTACACCAAAGCAGAGTTCATTATCGCCAATAGCTTCCTATCATACGTCTTTGGAGAGCATGCTGTGATTCGTGGGGATGCTACCTCGCGAGATTATTGTAATCTCTGCCGATCAAATCTCGGCAACGCGATATCGCGTCTCCCTCTGTTCCTACCCGCCTCTATGGAAATGATTGCGGCACTCACATTAGGAGTGAGTCTTCAGAAACACAGCGGACAAATACATATGCTAAGTCCCAAAGGCTTTACATTCGGTTGAAGACTCCAAAGCTTCAAAGGCTTGGACTCTGCTCACGAATGCCCTGAGCCTCTGCCAAACTCTTGGGTACCACCGCCTCAGCAATTCAAAAAGAGGGACGAGTGCTGACCAAGATGTTCAGAAACAACTCTTCTGGGCAGTCTTTGGTTACGAAAGCGGGCTCTCTCTCAGGCTTGGCCGGTCTTCGGGCATTCGGGACAGTGATATCGCAACACCTGTCAATCTGAATGAGCCGCGCTTTATCAAAGTTTCACGAGTCCAGAGACAGGTCTATGATCGGCTATATAGTCCAACTAGTCTCTCAGCAAGTTCTGACGACCGTTGCCAAACCTGCCAAAGGCTTTCTCAGGAGATGCGAGCAACAATCGACGAGACCCGCGCCGAACTATCTGTGTGAATCCAACCCCATGCCTCCTCGGACCTTGCTAACAAACTTCTCAAGGAGGCGACAAGGGAAGCCGAGGCTGGCAACTCTGAAGTGGATCCTATGAGAGTCATATATCTTCAATGTGACTTTGTCTGCCAGTCCTCGCTTCTCGCCTTGATTCTCAAGGCAATTCCCCCGGGGCAGCATCCAGACATTCCTGATAATTGCATCGCTGTTGCTCGCAGCACCTTGGATATGCATGAAAGATGCATGGAAGGGATGCAACGCTGTAAAGATTTGTTGGTTGTCCGGAAATATGTCAATTGGTAAGTCAGATGCCCCTGTGACCTGGAAGTTCCTTGTACTCGGCAATGCTTCTTGAGGGCAAGGCCATTGCCATTAAATACTAACTATTCTTCAGGGCGCTGCTAAACACTCCTTTCGTTCCTTTCAGCATCCTCTTCACACATGCTATTGAGAGACTCGATATGGAGGATTTCGCTCGCCTAGAACGATTCGCAGCGTCATTGAAACTTGAGGCTGCTGATACCGAGCCACTCACACACCCGCATCGACTATACGAACTCCTTTGCAAAGCCGGCCGTCTATACATCAGTTCCAACACGCTCTCATCTCAGCTTGGTGATACTTATCCCAATATGCTGGCTAACTTAGCATCAACTGAGCAAATGAGTATCATGACGGAAACGGGGATGGCGATACAAGGCCCTGATTATTATGGGGATTACATGTTGGACCTTGGTGGCTGGTACCATGATAATCAGCAGCTAATGAGTTTACTGGATGAGGATTTCATGTTTGAGTAGGGCGTCTATTCTCAACAGTTCTTGCTGGTTGGTCCATTCTAAAGCTGGCATGGTCATTAACGATTGCTCTACCTCATAATGTTGCTCAGGTCCCTCTCAATGCTCGGGTGTTGCCGCAATGGACTAGCTGAACCTTCTAGACCCTCTTCAAACGTACCCGAGCTCTAGAGTGCCCAGAGGCCGACTCATAATCAGGTAACTTGCTGTGGCGTTCACGGCATGAAGCCTTGAGGCCATGGCGGCCACATATACCAAAGGTAGACGGCATGTTCTTGAGAAATGAAATCCGCAAGGAAGGTGTATTAAATCTAGTAAAGTAAAGGTAATTATATCTGATATCTGTTCATGTCTCATTCATTCCCGATCTGACCCCTGGGAAACCTATATACCCGGCCCTCAGCCATCCTTGCAAGCCGTGATCAGGCGCCACTCCCATGTAGTCTGTAACCTGACGCATTCTTCTATAATTTCAAGATCCTCCCACCACCATGTATCAACTGTGATATACTCTCCCCAGACCTCCATCCAAAGCATCCTACCGACTATGTTTCGGAGCTCCTGCTTGATGGTGTCTTCCGACGGATGGCTGTTTTCAGCTGGTGTGAGCTGTTGCTCATCGAGCGGCACAGCAGAGAACTGTGTGCTCGTAATTCTACCTTCAATATGCAATGATGCGTTCTCCAACCAGATTGGAAGCAATCTGCTCGGGTTCATGCAGCGAAAGTTTGTTTCTAAGTTCAATAACAGGTTGTGCTCGATCCACGCTCGTAACAATGGCCCCAGTGTGCTCGCAAGCGGGAGCGGGTCGACTAGGACAAGATTCAAAGCACCATTGGGCTTGAGGCATCGGTGGATGTTTTTAAGGACTCCAGGAATCTCCTGGGATGGTGTTGACAAAGGAAGACGTAACGAATAGACTGCCTCAAATGACGATGGCGCCATAGGAAAGGCTGAGGATGACCTCACCGGCACAAGGACCGGGTGAATATTAGGAAAGAGAGTGTGAGAGAGTGGCGCTGGTGACAGGTGGTAAACCTGCTTGCTGTGGTGCACAGCTGCTAAATATGAAGTCGCAGCTACCAGTCGATGTCAGTGAACGGTTCCATGACAAGAATCCGGCTACAAGGGACTTACCTGGCGTCTCGTAAAGTGCAAGAACTTTCTTTGGTTTATCCGAGTTCATATCTTGGGCAGTGTCTGGTCTATCCTCTTCATCCGCCTGTTGATCCATGTTGTATAACGCGGAGAGCATCCATTGAGTCTTCTCCACCTCCAAGTCTTTCCATGAGTTGGGGCTGCTCAATGTGCCCCATACTCCCTTGAGACGTAGAAGGCGGATGCTGTTGGATTCAGACGCCAAGCGTGTTACTTCGCGTTGCATGGCATTCTGCTCCATAGGGAAGGTCGACTCCTGTGAGCTAGGTTCTTCAACGGGATCTTCCATGGTTGACGAGAATGTCTCCGTTGTGGGAGTGCAGGCCCATGTGTCTGGCGGCTTCCAGCCATCAGTTGGCTCACTCCTCAACAAGGCATTGCATGATGGCACCCGTCTTGGTGTACTGGGTAGAGGCGGTAGAGGTGCACTTGGGGACTTGCTCTTGAGCGCCCGCAAGGATAAAGTCCTGTTCATGGTGAGATGAGATCAACAAAAGACAATTGAGGTACATACTGGCCACCTGAGGACCGTGGGCGACTGAAAGACTTGCTCTCTGTGTTAGCGGTGATGGTCACCTCGGAGCTCAGACCAAATTGAGGGTCCGAGGGCGTGCGCAGTGAGGTTGTGACTTCAGTGCTCCTGGCTATGTAGGAGCCCTCACTAAAGGTCTGGACGATATGGCATGGCTCTAATGCCACCCGCTCGATAACTTGGGTGTCCCATGGAGGAGAAGGAGGTAGAGGATACTGGTCGTCATCTCCTCTGGAGTTGGTGTTGTAAAGCTCTGGAGGAGCCTGGCGGTCAGTAAGTCGAGCCAGGTCAAAGTCGTAGATACCTGCGTCTCGCTTTGACAGATTCGACGAACCTGAGGAGCATTCCAGGATCTGTTCGTGAACAAGAGTGTGATCGGTGGTGGACTCGAAGCTGTGAGACACTGTGTCGGATGTTGTTTCGTAATTGTTAAGAGTGAAGTTTGAGGATCTGTCAGCCTCAATGTCGTAATTGTTGGTCGAGGTGGTAGTGTGGATGGAGGATGGCGTAGGTGACAGAGGTGCAAAGTCCCTGCTGCTGGTCTTGCGTCCGGGATATCCAACAAATGAAGGACCGTCGCTGGATGATGTCGAACCTCGACTGAAGAGGGACCTCGCCTTGGTGGAGCTCTTGTCGCTGCGCGGTTGTCTCGCCTTCCTTTCGCGATGTTCCTTTCTGGACTCCCTCTTGGGGTCGGTCCAAACGACGTCCCACATTTTGTGAGACCGACGAAGACGACGCAAGTAGGCAAAACTTGTTGCTGGTCTGAGAAATCTGGGCAATGTGCGGCCTTTCGGAGGAGGGCCTGGTGAATCTGGAGTTGGCTGTGGAGATGGGGACCGTGTCATCGGAGCAGAGTGCAACTGTGTGATCGATCGAGGATGACGTGAGGCAGAGCGGAGAAGAGGGCCGGAAGGTTTGGGTGTGCAGGGGCCCTGAGCAAACAATGCCCTATCCTTTTATTTGACTGCCCCCTACATGAGTGCACGGCGACCAAAAGGCATGGCTATTGACTCTGGCAAGCTGGCGAATGTAAGGCTGAACCTAATCGTCAAGGTGGTGCGTCCATGCCATCGAGAACGAGCAAGCAGGCAGAAGGGCGGGAACCCGGCACCAACATTGGCAATTCCATGGAGTTGAGCGCCATGCCATATATCAAGGGGACGTCAAAGCACCACCGCCGGATCCTGCTCCCGCCGAGCTTCTAGATCCATCCACCTGGTCTCGCTTTTTTCCTTCCCGTGAGCCGATGCCCTTGTCACAGAGATCAGATTTGCAACAGGCCCCTGACAAGACATCCCCGCTCGCCGGCATCACACCATGCATGGGTCTGGATGCAGCCACGGCACTTGTGTGGCTTGATGCTATCGACGCCATCACCAGCTGGTTGGTTGCTCACGTGGGGGACACGGCCCTTGCTCATGGCTTTTGTGTGCTTGTCCTCGGATACTCGCTCCTGAAAAGAGAAAGGCCATCTCGGTAACGTTGAGGGCTTGATACATAGCAGCTGCATGAACTCCCTCTGCACGGCCGTTTACGGTTCCTGAGATGGGCACCCACGATGTGGCAATCACTGGCGGCGATTGTTGCTTGATGCAATCCCCAAGGTAAACGCCATGGTCTGGCAAACAAGAGGACGTGCGCCCTCAGAGTTGGCAACCAAGAAGCTCCTCTGCCCACAAACATGCAACACAGCTCGTCCAGAAGCAAAGCTACGTACGACGTGGCCAGTTCCAAGGAACGGAAAAAGAAAAGTGAAACCCATTGTCCGATGCCACGGCCGCGGAACATTTCAACGCGGAACTGTGGCGTCCTGGTCGGTAGCTGATGGCAGGGCCTCAAATGCCGTGGCTGATTCTAGACCGTTTGCGGGGATCATCGGAACACCCTCCCTTGCCCGCATGAAGATTGATCGATTTTTATCACCCTTGACAGGCTGAGATCTCGATTGGTCTCAGCTAAATTGACAGCGTCTGGGCCACTCGCGGAAGGGTTTATTCAGGCTGTCTTATCCTTTCAGCCCCTTGATGCATCACCACATGCTGTTCCATACAACCGGGTCGCCAAACCCACGAGGCGGAGAAGCAAAACGCGTGGCCTGCAGGTTGAGTTGTCTTAGCTTTTGGAAACTCTGTTAGCGCTTGCATCGGTAACAAGAAAAGCAAACAAATAATCCCATTCGCTCCCAGTCGCCGAGCCTGCTTTTCTTCTCGAACCGTCAGCAAGCCTCAAGCACGGCACGTCAGAACCAACAGTCGGAGCCGCCGAAAGTGCATTACGAGGGTGAGAAATTGAAGGCTTTTTTTCCCGAGCATCTCGACCTCCTCCTTATCAAGGGACAGGGAGGCCAGAACCAGGCGGCAGAAGCCAGACAACAATGTGTGAGGTGCTGCTAGTGCGGGAGGTGGCTTTGTCATGTGCTCAGACAGACAACCTTTGCGACACTCAGCGAGTCTATCGCCACTTGGAGGCAAACACAGCACGAGGCAGACCGTCAAGGCCTTCCCCAATGCAGAGAGCACAGTCTCTTGTTGGGGAAGTGTCATATCCACGTCACGTACCTGACAGGTGGCTGAGCTAGTGGCAATCGTCTTGCTTTTGACAGCCCCAGCTGCCCAGCTATTTAGTGCCAGGGGCTAGCTGGAGGTGATTCAGCTGGCAAGAAGCTCGCCAAAAGCTCAAGTCAATCGGACCTGACAGCGATTCTACCCGGGTCCTTCTCGTGCACGGGGCTCGAGTCGCGTGTCGCATCCCGCTACTTTGACCCCAGTGCGGCCCGTCTCAGGCCATCTATTGGTGCTTATCCGTTGACGGGGAGAGATTGACTTGTGCCTCTGCAGGGCCGTGGCTTAAGGTTCAGACCTGGAACGGCCGATCGGCTAACTCGACCCGCGGATGGGTTCCTCCGCGACTGAGGTCCATCCCTGTTGGCCATCCCAACCGCTCTGTTCTTAACTTGCAAGCCTCCCCTTAGCACAAAGGCATGCTGCCGTCTTTGTGCTGTAGGCAGCTCATCTCACCAAGTAAAACGCCGTAAACTCAGAGCCACCGCTGACGTTTGGTGTTGATGTGCTGCTCCTGGTCATCATGGACAGCGTCAAGCCCAAGTTCCGAGGCCTGTCGATGGCACTCAACGGCTTCAATAGCCGTGTCTCATCTTCAGGCTTTGGCCGTTTTTTCAGGTTGGAAGGCAGTGGCCATGTACGCTTTTTGGCCCCTTTCTGCCATATTCCTTGCACTGTTTTGCTGACAGCTTCTCTAGCCCAAGGAGATCCCTGGCTCATCTCTGTACAATGAGATCCGCGCAGGAGCGACCACTTTCGCAACGATGGCATACATCATTGCCGTCAATGTACGATATCCGACCGATTATACAATTGCTTGGCCGGGCACTAATTCATTGGTATACAGGCCACCGTTCTTTCACAAACTGGCGGTACTTGCCCCTGCGATGAGGAGAATCGGGTGGACTGCGACAACAGCGTCAGCTATATGACGTGCAAGGAAGGTGAGAACGCATTTCATGAGTCAAGTATGAATTTCAGATGGCTAACCTCCATGAAGAGGTCAGAAGGGATCTCATTACTGCAACAGCTGCCATTGCAGCTCTCTCCAGCTTCCTCTTTGGTCTCTGCACCAACCTCCCGGTTGCTCTGGCGTGAGTTTCTTGAGGCGACAGGCAAACCCGTATACTAATCGGAAACAGACCCGGTATGGGTATGAATGCCTACTTCGCGTTCCAAGTCGTTGGTTACAATGGATCAGGCCATATCCCATACGGCGTTGCCTTGACAGCCGTTTTCACCGAAGGTCTCATCTTCGTCTTTCTAGCCATGACTGGCATGCGACAATGGCTCGTGAAACTCATCCCAGCCACCATCAAAACAGCAACAGGAGTGGGCATCGGTTTATTTCTCACTGAAATCGGATTATCCTACTCAGCAGGCATCGGAGCCATCACCGGAGGCTACAAGGCTACGCCTTTAGCTATCGCAGGCTGCCCAATTGAGATGATTGACCCTCAGACTCAAATGTGTGATGGTGGACTCATGTCAAGTCCCAAGGTACTTGCAGAACCTCCTATGCTCGCATGAGATACTGACAACGACACAGCTCTGGACAGGTATCTTTGCAGGGGGTATTTTGACAGCTTACCTCATGGCTTTCCGCGTCAAATACGCCTTCGTCATCGGCATTGCTCTGGTCTCTATCGTGTCTTGGCCGTGAGGATATTCCGCCCTCCCGGATCCCAAGCCCCCTGCTAACGAGCCATTAGACGCGAGACAAGCATCACCTACTTCCCGCATACAGCAGAAGGAGAGTCACGTTTTGAATTGTTCAAGAAGGTCGTGTCTTTCCAACCCATACGACACACTCTGAACGCCCTCGAGTGGGATGTCGGAGCCCATGGCTCTCAGTTCGCTCTCGCACTCTTCACCTTCCTCTACGTGGATATCATCGATGCCACCGCGACATTGTACTCTATGGTTAAGTTCTGCGGCGTTGTTGACGCTGAAGATGGTGATTTCCCTCGCTCGACTATCGCATATTGCTGCGATGCCATCTGTATCTCCATCAGCGCGCTTTTCGGCTGCTCTCCAGTCACCGCCTTCATCGAAAGCGGTGCCGGCATTGCTGAAGGAGGGCTTACTGGACTTACGTCCATGGTGACTGGTCTCTGTTTCTTCGTCTCCGTCTTTTTTGTTCCAATCTTTGCCTCTATCCCACCGTGGGCGACTGGTCCTACTCTGATTCTTGTAAGTGGCCCCTGGCCTTCCTCTGTATTTGCAGGTTCTAACAGAATCTACAGGTTGGTTGCATGATGGCTCGACAGATGACTCAGATTAACTGGCGCTACATCGGCGACACCCTTCCTTCATTCGTCGTAATTGCCTTTGTGCCATTCTCATACAGTGTCGCGTATGGTCTTATTGCGTAAGTCAACTCCAACTGTTTCCCAGGCGCTTCACTAACACCATGTTCAGGGGCATGTTCCTCTACGCCGCCATCAATGGATTGGTCGGATTAACCGTACGGCTATCTGGCGGAAGGATAGAGCCGCGTGAGTACGACCTCAAGGAGTACTGGACTTGGAAAGCGCCAGGAAGAAAGCCCTGGTTTGTTCGAGCTCTGCGGAACGGGGGCTGCGTCAGCAAGGAAGATAGTGAGTCAAGCACACGGAGGTTTGACAACAATGGCTCCGATTGCGAAATGTTTCGAGTGGCGTCCACCGAGCGCAAGGACGAGGGGACAGATGTAGCTGTAACGGTGCCGATGAGGACACTATCATCCTTTTCACGACGATGAGTAGAACTAGATTCGGTATTTTCTTCCAGAAGTTTGTTCCTGACACGTCTCATTTTGCCTATCGGACCATGTTATTTGACACTACTAACCCTTGGGGGTGGAACATATTCGGTCATTTGTTCCAGCAGCCTTTCCCACTTCCGCGAGCTCAAAGGATTTGTCCTTTGATTCACGATGGTAGACTGGCTGGCAACACTTCAGCGTAAAGGTTCGATTAAATACCAAATACTGGTCGCTGATTGTGTATTAGTGAACGTCACTCCAAGCCGTTTCTGGCTTCATGAACTCGGCGTCGCAGTCCGTCAGTGGATCCCAATTCTGACGTCGATGACCCTGAAGACAGCGGTCAAGAATGTACTGGACAATACCACTCAAACCAAGCGCTTGAGGCCCCCCTGCTACATGAACAATCTCAGCAGCCGCTATGACGTGCCTGATGGCCATCGAAATGTCGCCAAGCATAATCTTCGTGACCAAATCAGTTCATGGTTCTACTTCTACGCGTTCCTTGAATCTCAACATGAAACTTACCTCGTCGATACCCAGAACCAAGGCCTTCGTCACTGCCATGCGGCTTGAGGCTGGTCCTGTTGCCGAAATCGTCTCCCGGAGACTCCGGACGTAGTTTAGCTTGTACTGGATCGCAAGCTGCCCGAACTCCTTCTCCAAGTGGACTATGTATAAATGACGACATGCCGCGAGAAGAAAGCCCTTGAGAAGTTCGACTTCGGTTGAGGAAAAGAGTATCCAATTTTGTTTCCTGTAGTGGTAATCTCCACCGAGATGTTTCATCACTGGACAGTGAAGATCCAGATAGGGGACGACGACGTTTACGTCTTGAGGCAATGTCAGTTTGGAGTTACACTTCTAAAGCTTAGCAATAACACAAAGAGGGCTCGCTCACAGTAGTCAAACATGAAAACCTCTTTGTGATCCAGCGATCGAATAAAACTTGCCAGGGGTTCGTGTTCAAAGGCGCCAGGGATGGCTCTCGGAACCAGCAGCCGTGTTTCTTCTGGGCTAGCTGAAGGCTTCTTATCTTTATTAGAAACCACTGCTGTCTCCTGTGACACTTCCGCGTTGTTCTTTTCGCGCATATAGTTGGCCATCCGTAGCCTTCTGGCTCGTGCATGGGCGGTACGCGCAGCATGAGAGTGGATTTGTCGGCTTGAGCCCGCAGACGAAGAGGGTTGTACTGGGGGTCGAACGTTGATAAACTCCATCGTTTCAAAGAATTAGGTCATGGACAGTGAATGTTTAATCACTACCTCAAACCAGTCGATTTACATATCTGCCAAGAGGAGAACACTGGCTGCTGGGTCCTCGCCAACACGCATTTGTCAGCGCTTTTCAGACAGGAAAACCGGCTAAGATTTTCTCGGCAAAGTTGCCAAGACTTGCTCCTACTAGATACGGCCTAGTTCACTCTCGCAACCACCATCCCTGGCTTACATATGATACGAGACCTCGTCGCCAATTTCCTTGTACACGGCTTCCAAAGCCGCAACCACGTCATCAGGCAGCGCGCCCTGCTCAATCATGTCAATGTTTGACTCGAGTTGCTCCGGGCTCGAAGCTCCGATGATGATGGCGTCCCCGTGGGCCTTGTTCAGCTGGCTGTGGTACGCCGTCCACCGAAGAGCAGCAGCATGGCCACTAATTCCATGGCCAGATGCGATCTCAAGTGCCTTGTCCGTGGCGGCCATGATAGATGGCTTCAAGTAGAATTGAGAATAAATGCCACCCAGAATAAGCTGCCGAAAAAAAAAGCCAAGGTTAGTTCCGAAAACCGTCTTGATTGGGATAACGCACCGATTTATCATATCGCCCACCCGCCTTGACTTTCTTGTGGTTGCCAGCAAAGAATCCAGCGGCAGCAGGGCTGTAGGCATAGAAGGCAATGCCATTCTTTCGCAAGATAGGAAACAGTTCCTTCTCACCACCCCTCACAATAAGATTATACTGGCCTTGGTAGACGGTCGGCTTCACAAACCCGCGTTCCTCACAAATGTTGATGATAGTCTGGACTTCATCAGCTTTGTAGTTGGACAGACCCCAGTGCTTGATCTTCCCCTCTCTGTGTGCTTGATCCATAGCTTCACAAGCCTCCTCGAACTTGGTGGCCCTGTCTGGCATATGCAAGTACTCAATGTTGATTTGTTTGATCTTCAATGCCTCCAGAGACAGGTCGATCTCCTTCAGAACGTTTTTCTTGGTATGACTGCCAGGCTTGAGCGAGTTGACCTTGGTGTCGATGACGAATCTGTCGCCCGCAGCAACCGCCCCCAGCCTGGGTTCAGAACTGCCTGGGGCATGAGGGGAGTAGGAGCGTGCGTTATCAAGCTGATGATAGCCACGAGCAGCGAAGGCGTTGATAAATCCATTGACCTCATCAGGACTGTTAAAACGAGCCATGGGGTCAATCGATGTATCACCGACCTGTGAAGTTTGTTAGGGGTGTCATCTGAGCATAGCACTTTTCGTGTCACCACTTACGTTTGCTGTTCCAAGTACCAGCTTGATGGGCGACTCAGTGGTAGAAGCCATTGTGCTTGAGATGAGAGGCAAGATATGGGAACTGTAGATAATTACCAAACGTTGAGAGGAAGAGATTTCAAGAGGATGTTGCGTGTTTTCAGATTCAAGAAATTGCGAGGATTTAGAGAGCCTTTTATGCTCCGGTTCTGCCATACTCAAGCCAGACAACAGTCTCCCAAGACTGCATCTCGGACTATGGTGCTCGCAATCATCGTTGGATGCCAAGAAATGCGCCTACTCTTTTAGGCAATTGCCTGGGTCCCCGAATCGGCGCCATCGAGTCTCACCTCGACATTCTACGCCGATGATTCAATCAAATTGTATTTGTAAGGAGAAGGAACCGGCTTGGCCGGCTTATTTTTCAAATGTCGGTGTAGTTGAGTAATTACACAACTTCTTTACCCGTCCTTGAGCCATTGTCCCGAGTGCTTTGCGCAGGCTCAGTCGCTGTTGGCTGCGCGAAGGCTTCGAAGCCATGGCGAGCTCAATGTTAGGGTACTAACTGAGGAGTACTGGAATTCTGCGCAAGCCCGATGATATCCTATCACAGCTGAGGTGAAAAGTGGCCTCACTAGCCGTAATTGGATTAGCGCGCTCTTGGGAGAACAGTTCGCGCCCCCAGGGTCAATCACTTTTGCTTGCCCTGGGCCGATACAGTAGCGAATAAAGTACTAAGTTCCGGTTAAGATCCAAGAGAAGACGCGTGGCGAAAGAGCCGGTATTCTGAGTGAAGGTCCCTGGCGAGGGGGCGTCCCAGTGAATGACCGCAGTGATTGCATAGACTTGCCCAATCATAAGTGACGAGAAAGCAGCAAAAACATTATCCCGGCATCGACTACCAAACAAAAACCGCGACAACGGGCTGGGGATGGCAGGCAAAGGGGATCAACCAGCGCCAAAAGCACGAGGCCAAAAACGCAAGGTCCCTCTTGTTCTATAGAAGCAGAAGGCAAAAACATACAACAGCGGGGATTCGCTGGTCGTCACCGACCCAACTACTAATCCGCCCCTCACCGGCTTATCTATGGGAGAGCGGACGGGATCCCGAGTTCTCCGGTGGGTATGGTCGTATGTACCAGAGCTTCTGCAAGATGTCATGATATTCAGGGGAGAGGCAACAGATGTCCCTCTTTCGCATCAAAATAGTACTTGACGCTGCTCGTCTTTGGCACTGAAGATGATGAAGAAAATTCTCACCTAAGGTTTAGATCATAATTGTTATTATCTCAAATGGGGGAGGTCGTGATGAGTGTTGTGTTAGATGTTGGCAGATAAGGAGGGAATCGCTGGAGTTTCCCCCAAGATCAACCTTGAACGAACTTTATTCACAAGAAATCTTCGGTGGGTTCCCCGACGGACCTCAAAACTTTTGTGAAACATCACTACTATCTAATTCAATAATACCGAAGCTGAGATAAATGATATTTGTGACTCAATTGACAGCAATGGATATGGAACTCTGATCTCTGTATGGAGTACACATGCTTGCATTGTTGAACGTTGCCAACCTGGAGTGTGGATATGGAAACACGCAAGGTGAGAAGTCCCAGAGGTACCCCGAGAACCGCGAGAGCCGCTCAAGGCAGTTCCACACTGTGCAGCTTGACCCAACCTCCCCTCGCCTAACAGAAACCAAGCCACGCAAACAAGACGGGGCAGTGGAGCACCTGAACAGGGAGTCGCAAGCCACAATTTCCCAGCCCCCTGATTTACATCGTGTTTGCCCAATGTTAGGCGTTCGTCCGATGGATGAGAATGCTGGCGTTGCGAATGGATGCCCGTAAGCAGTCATCCCCAGGTGACCAGTAAAGAAGCACCGATCAGCTCAACCGAGCTAGAGCTCACCCCACTTTGAGGAGTGAAGGATGAGAGCAAGCGAGTGCGATGAGGATCAAGCAGGTGTCAGAAGGGAGCCAGGAGAGAGGCATCGTCGAAGGACGTACGGAGGACTCCCAGAGCCATTCACGCAAGCCGTTCTCTCTACACGAAATTTGAGCGACGCCATCATTCCCATCCACTTTCTCCTCAAGCCTCTCACATTCCACTGGGGCCTTCCGAACTCTGAGCAGATGACCCATCCACGGCACGCTTCCCTTCATCAAACACGGGTTCCGTGGTCTAGTTGGTTATGGCATCTCGTTAACACCGAGAAGGTCCCCGGTTCGATCCCGGGCGGAACCACATTTTTTGCCGTCCACACAGATTTGGTGTGGGTAGCTTACCTTTTTGCCTGCTGGAATTGTTGCCCTTGGGCCGGGTAGAAAACACGACGCGACCAGCAAGCTCCAAGTTCGCGTGGGCTTTTCATGAGCTTTGGATCATATGCACCCCTTTTTTGCAGAGCTAGTACTTCAACACTACGTCAACACATGACTCCGAGTTCCTTTGCGGCAGGCGATGCAGCTAGGCATCAGAACCATGGGTTCTATTTGCTTTGTATGACCATCTATGTGTATGACTGTCTATGTGTATTCTTCTGACTGCTCCTTTTCTCAATCTATTCCAGAAGGTACTCAGGAGACTTCAGATCAACCCATCCCAGGTTTGGTTCAGATTGCTTCCAACCCAGCCGGTCACGAACAAGTTGTGAGTAGGTCTTGACCTCCTCGATCGGGTAGCTGAGAAAAGGAATTTCCTGGAAAATGTCAACGGGATGAACTGGTACCTCGATATCTATTTCTCACTTCCTGACGATGTACGCCGCTGCACATGAACATGATGTGCACAGTTCTGCTGCCGGTTGGCAGGGTGTATTCTCCCGCGCCATGATAGAGACTTCCTAGCATGACGAAAGCTTCTCCACGTTTGAGCTCAGCATTGACGACCCCCGTGTCGCCGTCCGGTCCGAAATCAGGCTTGCCATCTCCCCAAAGGTGTGAGCCTGGGACAATGCGAGTCGCTCCGTTGGCTTTGACTGTGTCGCACGCGGGGACAAACAGACCCAGCAGCATATCTCGACCCTTGGAGTACTTGTCGGCTTTTTCATGCCTTGCGTGATGGTTTTTATCGTCTCGGTGCAATTTTTGTGCACTTGTTCCTGGCTGCGAATCCATAGTGATGGAGATGGAGAGCAATGGATGGGACTTGGTGACTGACAGCTCATTTCCATACCAGCACGTCGTCTCGAGGCCAATGAAATGCTCCGCAATATCCTGCCCAGGTTAGCCAGGATGCCTCTTCAAACGGCTCGCCTTCGGGCGGACACATACTTGATACAGAGAGTCGGAGAAGAATTTCTCCCTCACTGTCCGACTCCTCCCGATTAGACGTGTGCATATCGCAGTACCGCCGTTCAAGGCGCCCACTGTACTTCCGGCTGCGGCTTTGGAGGCGTCAAGATAGGGTTGAACCTCCTTCTGTGCCTCACACAGGGATTCTGAATCTGTAAAGTCCTTGATGATGACACAGCCATCTTGTTCTATGGCTCGGATAAAGGCATCCAGACCGGCCTCTCGAGAAATTCTCTGAGCCATACTGAGTTGTGTTGATGAAATACAAGAGTCTTCAGATTGATACGGGCAGTCTTGTAACAACGCGAGGTTCGATTGGGACGACTTGCGGAAGTCGAGACCGTCTTATCACCGGCTTTGAATGCCGACACCCTATCCATATCTACGGCAAAGATAACCAGAATAGGAAGCCATCAGCGACAGATGCGGGGTAAATGAGTTGGTATCAAAGGTTGCCAACGTCGGCAACCGAAGTAGGATTTCTTACGGGGGCGATCCCGGTCATCTTCCAAATTCTTCAGCGGTCTGATTCTATAATCACTCAAACCGGGGCAACATTCCACTCGAGAAAGGCCAGTTGTGACTGAAAGATACAACAAACATGACACTCCTTTCATACTATTCATGGATAGCTGATAGCAGTAAACGATATAGGCGTTTCATTACTCTCATTGACCCGGCCTAGGCACTTTACTCTCACGCAACTTCGCATCTCGCAGCCTCCAGCTTCACCAGCTTTGACCTGTCCACGCTTCTCGGCCTGATGTCACACGGAAAGGGCAAAGGCCGTGGGTTCGGTGTTGGTTCGTACTTCATGTCGATAACAACAGGCTTGTTGGTTTCCGGATCGATTGGCTTCTTTACTTCGCAAGCCCATGCGATCTGGGCCACCAAGATGACCAATGTGCGTTCCGCAAAGTCGTACCCTGGGCAGGCACGGCGACCATAACCGAAAGGAGTGAAGTTTTGGCAGTTGGGATGCACAGTAAGTGGCTCCTTGTATGTTGGATACAAAGGTTCAAGCCAACGGGCTGGGTTAAATGGTTGTTGGTCTGGATATGTGTCCTTGTCCATGAGAATGGCGCTTTTGGGGTTAGCTGGGATCTTTAAGGACAAGAGGATAAACTCACGCATAATTCGCATGAAACACGGTGTCTTTCGGGAAGAAGTATCCGTCGTAAATGTCATCTTCCTCAAGTCGGTGAGGGATACCGAGCTCCGCCATAATGGAGCGATACCGAATGCCTTCTTTGACGACTGCCCTAACCATCGGAAGGCTGGGGATGTCTGCGAAACATGGGAGTCGATCAGGTCCGACAACCTTGTCAACATGTCTCTGCAGCTTGTCCTGCCATTCAGGGAACTCCATCATGAGGTACAGAAAAGTCAACAGTGCATTGTATGGCGACCTGGTTCCGCCACCAATCATGCTGTCAAACGCGTACCCAGCTTCCTCATTACTGATCACATACTCATCTCTGTTTTCAAAGAAATGTCGATAAATACTGGGACTTGCTGTGCCTTTCCTGACGGAAAGCTCGACCTTTTTCTGAAGTTTAAAGATCTCGTCGTACGCCTTGTTCTTGATTCGCTCCATGTTACCAAGTGATGGGACCAACCAGGTTGGCAGGTAGCGCAGAAACGGAAAGACATTCCCAGGATATTCATCTGGGCGGAAACACTTCATTGCTTCATCGATGAAGGAGTCAGTCTCGGTGATGAACGGGTCGCCTGCCGTAGACACACGGAAGCCCAACATGGATCTGGTTAGGACACCAAAAGCATAGCGCTTCATGTGGTTATCAAAGTTGCTGAGATAGTCAACCAGATCACGCATGGTAAGCTTGGCTTCCTCTTCCATCAGCTCCAAGTACTTGTCGTTGGAAGTGATGGATATTGCGCTATGGATGAGTTTTCGCTCTCGCCTCCAAGCCTCTGATGGAATTAGCAGTGATAAGGTCAGGAAGATGGTGTTCAACTTACCGTTCTTGGGCATTAATGCTGGATTGAGATCCCTGGTGATATACGCCATCGCATGAGGCGTGCCTCTGTCAGAGTACTTCGGGCCTCGTTTCACAAACAGCTCGTGTGCAATCTTGTCACTAGACAACAAAATCTGTTTCTCGCCCAAAATGCTGAACTGAACAATGTCTCCATAAAGTTTGGCCCATCTGTTGAAGATGGGAATGAGGTTTCCATCCGAGCTGGCGAGCTCAGGGGCGTTGCCGACTACCGGCCACCCTTGAGATGATCGTTAATAGGTTTCAAGGTATGGAACTTGAACACTTACCTTTGGGTCCTGGAGGGGCTTTGGCACCTTTTGCTCGTCGCTTGATAGAGGCGATCCGAAAGGCGTAGATGGAGATTGCCCCCACGATGGAAATAAGAACTAACTGTCCGTATGAGGCCAACATATTGGTCTTTTCAGGAATGATTGCAATGCTCCACGAAATGGCAGAGTATTACTTTCTCTTATTTATGTTGCTACATGCGTTCGTAAATATGCTGCTACTATTGATTGCCATAGCGTGTAGGTGAGTATGATCGTCGCTTATTGCGGGCGTGGTATGGACCGTATGGCACAGTCAGCTTACTACCTGGTGTGGTAAAGGCAGTTTGCTCGCCTCTGATTCAATGGTTTGAACTCAATTTCCAGGACTAGCACGTAGGCCATATTTATAATCTCTCCGCTTATGTCTCCGATCCAATCGCCATTTCTTCAACATCGGAACGTTTCAAGTGTCGCTTGTCACTGCAGGAAGACTGCCATCCTCCCGCCTATCACTTGTGTGTTATAAGAGCAGCTGGAGCATGTTTCGTGCACCCATTGGAATCGTGTCGTAACAGCACGTCCAATAAACAGGTCGAGAATGATGATATTGTCGTAGTAGGGACAAGAGGGAGGGGTGGTCAGATAGTGCTAAGCAGGCAGCTATCTAAAGTACGGGGCTTAGAAACGTCGGCACAAACATGGAGATAGGTCAAGTAGAAATGGTCCCAACACATATGTGTCAGCGATTTGCTCTCAGGTTATTAGCTTATCATCAAAACAAGCTGAGCAGAAGGACGGAGGTAATGGCCCGGGGTTCCTACTCCCTGAGCATGAAGGCGAAAGTGTATATGGTACCGAGCATGGGCAAGCTAGCTGTATCAAAGAATGCGGGTTGAGATGTGCCTGTGACTGTCTATACATAGCCCTGGTGAACATACAAACCACTCAACTCCATTGCTAATTCCTCTTGTCCCTTGTAGCAAAGTCGCTCCAGCTCTACCAACCCCGCAATATCGTCGTCCACAGTTGTCACGATCTCTTGACAACCTACAATAGGTTCATCACGCCCATCCGGATTTTGGTCAATGTAGTACCGTTGCATTTCCCTTCGGCTGATTCTGAAATTTGCTATATCCTCTTGTTCTAGCAAGTGTCGACGTGACTCTAAACCATGCTGGATCTTGGGAAGACTGACGGATATGTCCAGCTTGGTCTTTGTTGCTAACGGCTCTAAGACCGACATGATCGTGCGCTCGTCGACGATGGACCAGAACATATCGCTCTGATGATCTAGCCAGATATAAAGCCTTTGTAGCTCTATAGGTGGTGAGAGAAGTGATGTTAAATGTAGCCATGCGGCTGCTTGTGTTCCCCAAGCATCAATGGACACATATAGATCGGGGGATGTTTTAGAAGCGGTATTAATCTCAATGATATCCTCAAGTTTCGCCAAAAACGCAGGCAGAAGCCGGAGTGTGACATGGAGCTCGCTAAAGCAGAGAATCGAGGATATCAAAGGACTCGGCAAATGAGAAGTGATCTTGAAAAGGCCGTCTGGCTTCTGTAGCACCTGCATGAGGACATCTAGGTCGGTAATATGAAGAGCCTGGTTGTGGATACTAAGTTGAAGAATTTCGAGGTAACTAGAATCAACCGTGTTTTTGTCATTATAGACCTTTAGATCCTAGTTGCCATTAACTCACAGCTGCTTGCAAGTGAAAGCGATGGCCAAGTCTACACGAGAGACTGGCCTTTGAGCATTGTCCATGTTCAAAGCCAGCTCTTCGCACAGCCAGTGAGGACCCCAGGAGGAGTCTAGGCGACGCGCCCAAACAGTGTCAGACATTGGATCACCTGTCGCCTGTCTTTCGGAGCCGTCTTCTTCATCGCCTGAGGCTCCGACACAAGCGGAACAGCCTAGCCTTGCTCCTTGACTGAAGACATGGATTCCATGTGGTAGCAGGTGTTCGTAAATGATGTACCGGATTTCGGCTGGCGCAAGAAGAAGTCGGCTCCTAGTCTCACCGGATTGAGGCTCTGATGAAGACGATCGATGTGCCATTTTGCGAAGAAATTATTGAGAAGATGAGTCTTGAAGAAGAAAAAGTGATGTTACGATGCTGACGTACCGTGGCGGGGTAGCTAATGTGCCTGGAGGTCCCTGGCAAATCGTGCGTGGAGTGCATGGCAGGGCAGTTCATTCTGAGAAAGTCTTCTTCTTACTAGACTTACAGTAGGATGCCTCTCGGTATAATTGGGAATCTGTACTCAAATTGAATGGCAGCACCCTTGATTCTTTATAACGTTTTCTGAATGCTTTTGCTAGGGACCGTTGATTGGGAAAACACACCAGTTTAGCAGGGAGCCGCACTAGACTACAAGTATCCCTCTAACAATTTCAGATCGGGTAGGGTTAAGCATGGACAAGGAAGGAACATGGTCCCCCATATTAACTTCTATGTGGCCAGAGGTATCTCCCTTTCCCATTCAACGGTCCTTTTCTCATTCAACAGACCCCCCACCAGGAGGAACGACTGATGGAGATATGCGATTTTGAGCCTCCCCGAGACGCCTCTCAAGTTTAAACATCCACCTAGACTCCTTTCTACGGTCCCGTAGGGTCCTCTGGCTATGCGATAGCTTGGTAGAGCTGACACTGCTTCAGCTACTACGGTCGCACATCGCCCAATAGTATTTCATGATCAAAGAAAGAAAAACACTTTCCTAAAGAGATCACTTTTTACTAACGCGATTGGAATGTTTGCCACTGCGATGATGGTGTATTGCCTTGTTTAGCACCGCACCAGCTTTTCTATAGTTGAAGCCTGGTATCTTAAAGGGGCTGGTAGCAGAATGCTCAGGTGATATGTCCAAACCATACCTAGTGAGGCTAAAAGTTATAACCACGGGCAGCTCTTTTGTTCCTTGCCTTGTTGTGCGTCAGTGATGGTGTTTGTTGTATCACCAGTCGCGACATGTGTACTAATCGGGAAGCTGTGCCGCCTCAGGGTGTCACCTTTCGTTGGCCAAGTCTGTCAACTGGTCAACCTTGTGCATTGCGCAGAGACGATCAGTCCTTGTCTGAGCGATTGGAAATCACCCCGCCTCAGATCTCATGCACTGATATCACGTCAGCCGGGCCGATCGGCAGCCAATTTTGAGGATAAATATGCACCACTGAGACGACTATTTAACACTGAGTTGGTTCATTGCCACCTAGACAACACATATAAGGCCCTCCTCAACCCCTTGATCGAATAATCACACCAGTTGCTATGGTATCCCATGATACAGATAAACCCGACGGAGCGAGACACCGGATATTCCCTAAGCCCTCATCAAATCAACCGAAGAGCATGCATCCTCTCCGCTGGTTACTCAACCTTTGTGCTGTGCCAGAAGTATGCAGTGACGCCATCATCGAGGGTACCACGTCTAGCCAGGAGCCTCTACCTCCTAGTAGGGACCCATGGTACACGGTACCCTCTGGTTTCGAGTCCAAACAACCCGGCGATGTTCTTCGCATACGATCCGCGCCAGGAAATCTCACAGCTGTTATTGGCAACCCGTCTGCAGCCTACCATATCCTCTACCGCACTACCGACTCCAGAGATCAGCCCTCTTGGGCTGTGACCACGCTATTCATCCCTCCATCCTTCTACTTCTCGCCTTCAGGTAAGGCGGCTCTGCTGTCTTATCAGTTTGCCTACAACTCAGCCAACCTCGATTCTAGCCCATCTATCGGCCTGTACTGGAGAATGGCCCAGAGGGAACCAAATCTTGGTATCAAATCGAACGCTGATTTCATCAATTACATGCTCTCCTTGGGCTGGATTGTCAACACGCCCGACTTTGAAGGCCCAAAGGCATCGTTTGGCGCCAGCAAACAAGCGGGCCATGCGACTCTCGACGGTCTACGCGCGGTGCTGGGGTTGATAAACCCACACGGACACACCGAACCTAACACTGCTATATGGGGATATAGCGGTGGCTCCTACGCTACTTTGGCCGCAGCTGAGTTGCAAACACAGTATGCTCCAGAAGTTAAAATTGACGGAACAGTTCTGGGTGGCCAAACCGACAATATTTCAGCTGATTTTGACAACTTGAACAAGAGTCCCATCGCCGGGACCTTGATCGCCTTCTTACTGGGCGTGACTTCGCAATACCCTGAAGCAACAGCATATCTTCAGAGTCGCCTGGTTCCAGACACAAAAGAAGAATTCTTATCAGTGCGACATATCAATGTTGTAGACGCGGTGAGACAGTTTTCAGGCAAGGATATTTATGCCTACTTCAAGGGAGGCGCTACGGACCTGCAGGACCCGGTTCTGAGAAAGATATATGACGAAGATGTCAAACTTGGCTATAGAGGAGCCCCAAAGATGCCAATGTTTGTGTACAAGGCCATTGAAGACCAATTCTGTCCAGTGGACCAAACAGATACGACAGTGGACCGGTTCTGTCATGGGGGTGCCGACATCAGGTATGAAAGGAACACGGTGGGAGAGCATGTTTCCGAGATTGAGAATGGGAAACCGAGAGCGTTCAAGTGGCTTTGGAGTGTGTTTGACGAGTCTTATGAGCCATCTACTGCTGGATGTAGGATTCGGAATGTGACTGTGAAGGTCGACTCCGAAACTTGATAGACCGTTTTCGCATCCTTGACTCTCCAACACGTTCTCCCTGAATCCGAAGATTGTTTCTTATGCATATGGGTGAATAAATTACCTCTTAGGATGGTCACTCGACAAAGCCGGTCAGGATAGGGGCATGTGTTTCATGTGATTAATATTTGTTCATATTCTAAACAACGCTCAAAGTCCAGCTATGACTTCCCCATTACTAATAAATCGTATCCACTTCTAAAGTCTAGTCATTTTCTATCCCAACTCCAAAGTGTACATCCGTGTCAGGTGTCGTCTAGGGGAGAGCAGCAGGGGCGTAGGACTGGTCAGGCTTGACGACCTTACCACCAGCCAGCTGCTTGTCGGTGTAGGCAGGGTAGATGATCTGCTTCTTGCTGCTGACAACAGAGACAGTGGTGAAGCCCTTGCCGGCGCCAAACTGGCCACTCCAGCCGGAGGTGATGGTGAAGGTGCCGCACTTGGCAGGGCCACCGTTGGCCTTGGAGGCACTCTTGCCCTTGACGACATATTTGCAGGCAGTGGCGGCACCGCTGCCGGTGTTGATCTTGAAGTTCCAGGTGCAAGTGGTATCGGGCTTATCGCAGGAGCGGCTAAGGCCCTGGATGGTCCATTGAGGTGTGGCGGCCATCATAGAGACGCTGTCGGAGGAGGCGGCCGGGGCAGCCATGGCGCCGGTGGCGGACAGGAGAGCAACGAAAGCGGCGGTGAACTTCATTGTGATGGTTGAAGGATGTGATTGATGGATGTGGTTGTTTGGAGATGTGGTTTTGGTGTGTGAGTTAGGGATGATGTAGAGAAGAAGTTGTTGTAAGATGAGTGTGTTGATAAGTGATGATGATGTCCTTCAACAGTCGCAACTCACCGGTTATATAGTTTTTGATTGAATAGCAAAAATGTATTAATAGGACCATGACCTCACTCAGGAACTCAGGAACGGATCATCGGCTTCGAAACTCTGAATGACCTCACCAGATCCAGTTACCGCTTCGCCTTCGCCGTCGCCGTAGCGGCACTCTAAGCAGAATACGAACGCCTCAAAAGTGCCGTTCCGGGGATTTTCAGGGTAGAAGATAAAAGCCAGCACCATCACGCCAAAGTTTGCCCGACCAGTGCTGGCTTATTTTTGGGCAATGGCTCGTTCGAGAATGGGCGATGGCACTATTCCCCGTCAACCCTTTGCATCTAACCCTACCAAGCTTAGCATAAAATGCCTACCGAGCCAATCGGACCCATGATATTTTTAGGCATTACCCCGTTTGTCTCAATGTGCGGAAATGCTGCCAAGAATGGTCAAGGGGATTGACCATTCCCCAGATGAATACGAGCTGATGGTCTCGACTATTGCCTTGTGCGTTCTCGCGTTCACCAAGCGTCGGTCAAAAGGCCTCGTGATGATGCCAGCCACCTATTAGCAATGGGGTGATCTACACTTTGATATTGCTCTCACCGTCGAGGATCATCTCCTCATGCAATGGTCTAATGTTGCCTGGAACACGATGATCATTATCATTGAGCGACTTGTTGAGTTTGCTGTAGAAAGAAAGGCCTAAATGAGAAGCTAGTGCATTCTGGATCCCAGGGTAAAGAATGTCGAAATGTCCAGCACGAAGGCTAAGCTAAGATGGGCTAGGGATGGCAATTGGTTTTATAACGCAATCTATGGATAAGACAGCTCCTGTTGTTGAACCTAAGTTAGTTCTTGAAAGAAATAATAAAGGGGATTCTAGCTTTCCTATCAAGGCCAAGATGGTAGGTTCTAATAGGAGGATCTTTTACGTTGTTAAGTCCTACCACCATACCCCAGAGGAAAGCTGTGATGGAGATAGATGACATGAAGATAAACGTCAAGAGTTGGATTTTCGGTATAGTAGAAAAAATATTTAACTTAAGTTTTTAAAGTATAGTGGCATTAAACATATTATCTCAGGCTTCTTCCAATAGTTTATGCAGCACACCTATGTCGAGTAAGTATAGATTGGACTTGAAGGTTTTCTTGTGTGCTTGGTAATGCCTTTGGAAGAAGCTTTCAGCCCTAACAGCAAAGAACTTAGTTTTTGAGAGATGTTGCCAATAGAATATAATACCTAAAAACCCCACAATTTAGAATAATCTTCTATCGTTGCTGCTAAAAGGTACAAGGGGGCTGGTCGGTTTGAATGCTCTCGAGGAGCGGTAGTTTCTTCCTACTACGTGTATCCTTGAGACCTAGGTTCCAAGTGAATAAATAGAGCTATAAAAGATCTGAATTTCTGCTCATTGGTCTGATGGCGACCACCGCCGCAAGCCATGAAAAAGTGGCCATCGAAGCTGGTTAAGGGACAAGAAGAAGACAGCATTCTGGTGCTATTCTAGACTTTATGGAGTCAAATAAAGCACATTGAGTGCTTCAATTCACTCTCCGCTATCCCCAACTATATTGAGATCTCGTGAAAAGCAGAGCTCTTCATCCGGAAAACGTAAGGAACAGGGCCAGACATGATTTGGATGTAATACAACATCCATCTCCAAAGGTCAACACCGGTAAGGATAGTTCTGGCAATCAAATGAGGAAACGACAGGTTAGAGGGGAAGGGCGTAGAGCGTAGGGTGTGATGAGTTCCCGACATCGCATGGTGCGGCCTCGCTGGGTATCTCACACAAACGCGTGTCACACTCTAGCAGCGTCACATTCGGTAGAAGGGGCAACCGGAATAGAATAGATAAAGCTTACTTGCCAACCTTAATGCTGGCTCCTGACTGCTTCACTTTGCGTTCCGGTCCAGGGACACCCCAATTCTCTCTAAGGCCTGCTTCCCTCATGCTTAATCATCCGGTTGAAGTAGGAGGAGACCTTGTGTTAACAATGCATCACAAGGAATTAATTAAGCGTGTTGTAATTATTATCATTGCAGAGTCATCGTAAACTGGCTCCAATCGCTTAGAGTGTAGCAGACAACTCAACATCCTCAAGGAAGCCAGATCGCAGTTACGCGTCGTTCTTGGAACGCGGGCTCAATATTTCCCCGTCTTTTGAACTTTCAACCATACCAACAAGATATAGCACATCTACGATTGGACCGATCTCCTGGCCTGCCTCAAAGATGACGGTTGTCAGACATCAGCCTCCTGTATTGGTCGCGAGATACGTCACAGCTGACGTGGTGGGTACCAAAGGCGCGGGTTCTCGAGCAACCGACATGCATGTAGGAGTGGGCTCTCATGACAGATTAAGCAACAGGGCATTTAAAATAGGAGCCGAGCTCGGTGTTATGGATCGTGTAGTTGCCCTTTCATGCTAATTTAACGCGGCGTTAAGGCGCGGTGGTTAATAACTTTGAATTGTCCGCTTGGACGCGCGTTCTTGAATAACTTTCCTCTTTTGGAAATCTTCAGTGTCATTCGATGGAGTATAATATTCTGCAGTGCTGAGTTGATAGAATAGTAGCTGAATAGGCTTTTTTTCAATTTATAAGACCCAAGGAATTTGTAGCATTCAACTCCTTGACGCTTATCATCTTATCCAGGCGGTCTCACCTGAAGCCTGAGCCCTCGACTTCCGTCTATATCTGATTCCTTGAAAGGTCTCTATACTAGAATACACAGCTCAATTACCGAATCCTTGTCATGCCTTCCAACATCTCGCGTCCATTGAGCTTGTCTCCGACGCACCTCTGCATGCTCGGCATAGGCTGGGTCCTTCTTGTTATACGGAAGTCAGAAAACCAGCCTTCATGGCTTCCCATGCCTCTCATATATGGTGCCATCCCCATAGAATGCGTTATTTGGAGTATCTTGGTCCTGCACCTTATGCTCATTGACTTGTAAGATGACGCATGCATGATCTTGAAAGGGCCCGCTGACAGACAACGAAGCCTCGATCAAATCAAGGGTGAATGAGGCGAGGACAAATACGAGTGCTTTCCTAGATGAGCGAAGAGTGTTGCAAGCAGTATCTGAAATGAACTCACTAAAAATATAGCGTCTGGCAGTCGGCTTGTGTTTCTCTTCTTATTGAAGTGCTTGAAAGCTCGCATGGGGTATTCTGATCTGCGTAGGAGTTACTGGGTGGAAAGAACGTTAGTTTTCAGGCAAAAATTCTCCGGAAAACATTCAACCCTTCTATTTTGGATTATGGTTGATCCTTCTACCGCAATGAGCAGCCCTACGCCTTTCTACGAAAGCCCAAACTACCCTACGCCCTACACGTGAGCTATATCGCTTGGCGCATTCGACCGTGTAACTAAATACCCGCCATTTAGTTGTCAGGGACACGTAATTCCGGGCTGCGCCATTCACGGGAGACTGATGGCCCTGGCCACCTTTCCACGCCTCGTTCGCCGCTGCCACCTCTCTTCAGCTCATCGCCGCTATCGATTTGTACCATCCACAAGTTTGGACCTGCTCATCTTCCATTTCTGAACCTGCGTCATTCAATCATGAGGCGTCTAGGCTACAAAAAGTCCAAAAATGGCTGCCTTCCATGCAAGCAGCGTAGGGTCAAGGTATCGATTCGTTGCATCTCCAAGCGTCCGGCTCGTCGAGTTTGCTGACGGATTGCGGTTCCCTGCAGTGCGATGAGAAAGTTCCGTGTTCCGCATGTGTTAGACACTCACTCTATTGTTCATTGCAGGATAAAAAGATGCCAGCAAAGGTAAGCTAGATACCTTATCCTGTGAGTAGATGCCGAGAGTTGGCTGCTCTCAGATATGTACTCACACAATAACTCCGTGTCCAGATGCCATCACCCGAGCCACCTTCACGTCTCTCGTCTACGACCAGTGACGCCGAATCGACCTCGACAGACGGCTTCCCGTTTCTACCAACATTTTCGCGCGGAGGCTTACCGATGGACGAGAGCGACTGGACGAAAGACATGCAGCTCATACATCATTACACCGCAAAAGGCTACCTCGCAATATCAGCCTCTGAATCCACCAGGGATACACTTCAATACGCCGTACCTCGAATAGCCTTCTCTCACGACTACCTCCTCCACCAGATCTTGTCATTTTTGGCTCTCCATCTTGCCTATCTTCATCCTGAGACTGGAACCGAGTACTCGCACCTTGCCTCGCAACACCAGAACGAGTCTATCAAAGGGATGAGAAGTGCATTGATGCAGGACGCGACATCCCAGTCTTGCCATCCGTTATACTTGTCCTCTATTCTCCTGTCATTCAATGCATTCGGTCGATTAGCCAGGTATCGTGACGACAGCAAATGCGACACAACTTGCGAGAGTATACCTGGTGCGAATTCCCCTTGCCTGGACGATCTGCTGGACATCTTTAGGTCAATCCATGGGATTTCAACAATCCTCTCTTCATCCGACCTTGATTTGCGCTCAGGGCCGTTGAAACCGCTCTTTGAAATGCCATGTGATCCCAGCATCTCAGCGCCGCACCTTCAATCGGTAGCTCAAGAGATGTCCTCGATGCTAGGTCGGTTACCAGTGCCGCCAACGCCGTTTGACGAAAACAGAAGAATAATTTTCGGGGCAGGGACTTCCCTGATTGAGAGTCTTGTTGCAGTAACTCGTACACTGCATTCCGAGACCCCGTCCGAGATGAGAGCTGTCTTCTTCTGGCCCATCAGGGTTTCTGCCAGATTTGTTGACCTGGCGAGGCAGCAGGATCCATCGGCCATGGTCATAATAGCCCACTACTGTGTTTTACTGCACTTGGCTGAGGCATCGTGCTGGTTTCTTAGGGGATGGGCAGCAGCTGTGCTGAACCCGATAGCTACGCAGTTGAGGGGCACTCCCCTTGAGGAGCTTATTCGGTGGCCTACTGACACGGTGCTTCATGGCTAGATTGGAGATCACAAGTGACGCGATTCCTTCATATACATATAATTTAGCTTATTCATGTTCATGCCTGTGAATAGTAGATAATGCCCAAGCGGGCTACGTAGGCAGCAAAAGAGGCGGGCAGGACTACAGACCGTCAAGCCCCTGAAGCAACCGTATGCACCTCTCTCGTCAAAACCCCCATCGTGTATTCCTGTATTCAGTGGCAAACTCGGCATGGTGGAATTGCGAGGCCCCTTTGAGTCCCACTTGGGTTTGAGGCGGTGCTCATGAAATTCCAACCAATTTCAGGAACACGCGTTGTGACCCTCTTGCAACGTCGTGCGACACCCCATGACGACTTTCCCTACTAGGCTAGAGCCATCTCGTTCTCGATATCGTTCTCGCCATCGCTCCCCCACAGACACCTCGCGAAAAACCATGTTGATTTGGATTCGGACAAGACCGTCGTTCTCGAGAACCTGCCAAGATGGCTCGGCCCAACAAATATTTGATGCCTCAGGAAATTTTCATTCAGATCATTATGCTTGCTATCCTTCAAGAAATTCTTTCCTTTCACCAGTTTGGATATGGAATTCCTCACTCATGACCACCGAACTTCGCCGACATGAATGATACGACAACTTCGAATGATTCAGATTGTGCTGAGAAGACACCGCAAAACGACAATCAAGACCCTTCTTCAAGTACCGCTTCTCAGACCGATGGAGATGATCCGAATATTATCGCATGGAACGGGCCCGATGACCCAGAGAACCCGATGAATTGGTCACCAAGAAAGAAATGGATGAACATTGCTCTTATGTCTCTTTTGACAATTATCTCGTGGGTTGACTGGTTTAATTATGTCTTTTGCGAAAATTGGCTAATTTGCATCGCCTTCCTACAGACCCCTGGTATAACTCGTACGAAATCGTCTCTCCCAGCGTCTGCTAACAGGATATCCAAGGGATCCTCGATGTTTGCACCTGGAGTTGCCAAGATCATGGTTGAATTCAACAGCACGTCGTCTCTCTTGGCTACCTTTGTTGTCTCGATCTATTTCATCGGATACGCATTCGGACCACTCGTCTTCGCACCCCTGAGCGAGATCTACGGCCGAGTTTACATATATCACGGGGGAAACTCGGCATTCGTGCTAGTATGTGTGGGCGCAGCATTGAGTCACAGTATGGGAATGCTGTTGGCCCTTCGCTTCCTGATGGGAATATTCGGTTCTGCTCCTACTACGGTCGGAGTCGGAAGTATTATCGATGTTGTGGACCTTGAATGGAGAGGAAGAGCTGTGTCTATATGGGCCATGGGACCTCTTCTCGGTCCCTGCGTTGGGCCGGTCGTCGGGGGATACGTCGTAGAGTACATTGGCTGGCGCTGGGTCTACTGGATCTTGGCGATCATGGTGAGAATATGCAAACAAGAGGTACAGTTTACGGTGCTGACGTGTCACAGGGAGGAGTTTTGGGCATCGTTGGGCTACTGCTGATGCGAGAAACTTATGCTCCCACTCTGCTTGAGCGCAAGGTTAGGCGACTTCGCAGTGAGACTGGTAACCAATCCTTGCGCTCCAAGATGGATACACGAAGCCACAAACTGGTCAAGCTGGCGATCATACGTCCGATCAAATTCCTCATCAAGACGCCTATGGTCACGATCATTGCACTTTACGTTAGCATTGCCTATGGGATCCTCAACCTCCTGATCGCCACATTTTCTTTTGTCTACGCGGACCAATACAACTTCAGCGAAGGAACACTTGGACTTTCGTTTCTACCGGCTGGCATTGGCATGATGATCGGCGTACTCTCGTACGGAAACCTTGCCGACTACCTTGTGCAAAGGTCTCAGAAGGATCAACAGCCAGGGACGGCCTACCGACCAGAGGTCAAGCTGGCACCATGGGCCACTGTGCCAGTGGGATTTGCATTCTGCGCCGGTATGTTTATCTATGGATGGACCACAGAGGAGCGAGTCCACTGGATCGTGCCCATGCTCGCCGTGGCTGTTCTTTGTTTCGGGCTCATGGGAGCTACAGCAAGTCTTGTCTAAACCTTCAACCTATATCATTGTCTAACAATTGATTTCATTTCCAGATGAGCCTGCAGAATTACCAAATCGACTCTTACCCGGCATACGCGTCGTCTGGGTCGGCTGCCATTACATTATTCAGATCTTTGGTTGGTGGGCTACTTCCTCTCAGTGGATTGAGGATATACGACTCCCTTGGACTGGGCTGGGGAAATACAGTTTTAGGACTGATTGCGGTTTCACTGATCCCTGTGCCTGTTCTCTTGTACTTTTATGGAGAGCGTTTGAGGAAGAGGTATACGCCTACACTGTAAGGATTGTGGGTTTTCTGGAGACCATAGGTGCCCTTTGATAGATGACAAAACCCCCATTGGGTCGAAAAGCGTTGGGAATATTAACTGGTCACATTGACGATTACATCTCTCTTTACGAGTTGCCTGTAGGTATTTTTTTGGGATTTGGTGTGATGTTGAACAGTATTTTAGGCGTTGAGTTGGCAATGGTCTGCATCAAGCCTTCTAGCCTCACGATGGTAGTCAAAATAATAAAGGAGCGCTATAGTAACAAGCTGTTTATAGAAGCGATATGAATGAAGAAACTATAATAAGACACCAAGGAATCGTTTCCGCTATCTTCCTTTAACACGCACCCAACACAGCCCCTACCATTCTACAAATCCATTTACCAAATTCTACGATCGATGGAGATAGACATGATCCTTCAGATCCCGTGGCCTTCGAAACGCCGTCGAAAACGCAAACAAGACGGCAAGAATAAGACTGATAGACCCTGTCACCATGTACGCTGTCCCTAAGAAACCGTTGTAGCCGACACCTGAAGACGGAGAGGTGATGATAACGGTCTTCTTCCCACCATTCTTTTGTATGGGGAAATCTGTGACGCTCGAGTCAGTTATAGAGTTTTGCCGCATAAGAGGCCCAAAAAATCAGATACTTACGTGAAAACATCTCCAGCCGGTATCGACCCCTTTTCATAGGCTCGTCATCATTGCGCATTGCGAGCTTGGCAAATGACGGTGACGCAGCCGTGCGCATCCAGATCATGAAAGCCTCATCCTCAGATGGGTCAAACATGTTACCACGATGATACCCCCTAGGATATCTTGCAGCCCAGTTGGGAGGAGGTACGATTATACTATCGTTTGCCCCCGCGGTGTCGGGGATCAAGTAGCTGCTTGGTTTGTAAAGCGACTTGTCCTGAGCAGACGCGATTCCTGCCCTCGACATGTTGTACGAAATTATCTGGGTACTGGAACCGGTGCCTGATGCATCGAGAATCCTCTTGGGCGTTGCAAAAGTGTCATTGAAGACTGAGTTGGCGATGGCCCCGCAAGGATATATGATCTTTTCCTGACCGTCCTGGACAGACAGTCTGGTCTCCGCAGGATGACATGAGTCTTTGATAGATTCCAGGGTGGCATCCTTGCCCTTGAGCTGCCCCCTGTGACGCGAGGCGATGTATTTTCGGTGATTCTGGTTGAAGTTCGTGAGGTGGTAGTAAAACAAGACAGGAGGCTTGAGTTCCTCAGGGAGGAAAAAATCGATCGTACACAAGGTGTAGTTGTTGGTCACTTGATCGAATGTAATGGGCCGGTCAGTCCGCTTCCACTGGACTACAGGCTGACCAGCAGATGAAGCTTTGAAACGCTTACTGATGTACTCCTCAGGCATCGTTTCAAATTCATCTTTCAAGTCGATTTCATCACATTTTGTGTAGTCAAAACGAACCTCTCTGACCTTAACCAGCCAGATATGTTAGCAGGAAATAAAGATAAGAGATGCATGTGTTGAAGTAACTAACCTTTTCATTTGTGGACAGCCAAAAGCCCCCTAGAGGTATGAAAAGAAGCCCCAAGACGAGAAATGTCTGTATCGATGTTCTGTTGGTAAAGATGGGCCTGAAAAGTGTTGTCAGTCAGGTCACAAGGAATTGTGTCTGCCGACGGGGCGTCTTACTGCCAGGCTTTCATTCGCTGCTGAAGGAAAGGTGTGTCCTTGGGTTTGCGGGACTTTGCTTGGCTTTCGCCGGGTTGGCCAGCCTTGTCTTTTCGGAAGAGGGAGACCATCTTGGCACTTCTGATAGACAATTATGTGAAGGGCTGCAAAGATGAGTAGAATGGGCGACTTGGATCTTGGAATTGATCAAGTCGGATGGAATCTAGACGCGCTTTTGTTTCGTGACGCTCACAAGAAATGAGACTCTGTTGATTGCAAAAGTCCTGCACCGCCCCAGACACTCAAAACGACACGACTGAACCTTGGGCACAGGCTTGGACCGTAACTATGATATTCATGCGCTTTCAAACCAAGCCTTTCGATTGTCCAACTTTATTCTGCGTTAACCTGTCAGATCTGCCGGCAATTCTACGAGCCCGGAAGTGCCGGTGTTTGAGGCGCCCCGACACGCAAGACTGATCGTCCGGTACTTCACACATACGAGCGAGTAAATGACGAAACAAGCTTGAAATAACCATATCTTACAGGGCATGACAGGTAGCTTATCTCTAAGCCTCGCCAGGCGCACGTCCAGCTAATCTGTCTGACCCATGTTGTTGACGCAAGCCTGCGACCGAGCCGCCAGTGTGCTGTGTTGTATTGTGGTTTCAAACGAGATGTGCAACACCTCGTTTTCGTTATCGATATCGTTGTCGTAAACCTAATTTCGAGCTAGGTACTAGACAAGGGTCAGGGGCCTCAAAGCTGAGACGTGTCCGAGAAGAGAGATCGACACGGGCCCTACGCCCTACGCTTTGTGCACAGCCGAAACTTATTTGATCCTGTCAATGCTCAGCCCTTGATAGAGCAGCCTTGATTGGCTTGGACTTGGAGTACTGCTAAAACTCCTAAGCTTCATGTTGGTACGGTGGTGCTTCATTAACCGTTTAATAACTCGGCATTGAAGCAATCAATGAGACACTAGGAGAATTCAACTTGAAGCGCTTTGCAAGATACTTTTGGAACTTATTAAAACACGACACGAAGCCCTCCTAGGAATAAGCGTCAAACACTCCTATCCGTTAAAATCCTCTCTCGCCGTCAACGGATCACGCCTGGGCATACAGGAGGACGTCTTGGCTCCAATGCCCATCATGGCTCTCAAAGACCTATGGCAACAATACTTCGTCCAACTCGTTTTGCGACAATCCCCACTCGTTCCATCTTCCAACGGCCGCCAGATTCCATTGCAGTTAGGCCGCCAACAGCCCCTTTGGGACGAGCGACGCAATGCCCCATATATCTCCAACGCAATCCGTACGTCGCGGTACACCGTATTTGACTTTCTTCCTCGTCAGATCTTCTATCAATTCTCGCGTCTCGCCCACGCCTACCTTTTGGTGGTAGCCATTCTCCAGGTTATCCCGGGGCTCAGCACCACAGGAAAACTCACCACCCTTATTCCTCTAGTCATCTTCGTTGTCCTCGTCATTACCAAGGAAGGCTACTATGACTGGAAACGTCATAGGGCGGATGTTGCTGAGAACTCCCGACTGGCCTCTGCGCTTAGGAACAGCGCGCCTGGAGGCCATCTCGACTGGGTTGCAGTGAAGTGGGAGGCCCTGGAAGTTGGAGATGTCATCATTCTCTCTAGGGACGATGATGTCCCGGCAGACATTGTTCTTCTCTTTGCCAGCGGCGACAACGGATTTGCACATATAGATACGATGGCTCTTGACGGCGAAACAACCCTCAAAGCCAAGCAGTCGCCTGCCAATCTTCCCGACTGCAGCACCATAGAAGGCATCGCGACTTGTCAGGCCCACTTCAGTATCGAGGATCCAAACGCCGACCTTTATCGGTTCGAGAGCTCTGTCACCGCCGGCGGAAAGACACTACCAGTCAAGCTCGACGAAGTCATATACCGAGGCTCTACAATTCGCAACACACCAGACGTTGTTGGTCTTGTCGTTAACACAGGCGAGGAGTGCAAGGTTAGGATGAACGCAAACAAGGACGTCAAACCCAAGAAGCCGTATCTCGAACACGCGACCAATTACATCGTCCTTTGTCTCATGTCATACGTGCTTGCTCTCTCGACGGTTAGCACCCTCGGGTACTTTATGAGTTGGAAACCTAGCCAAGAGGATAGGGCCTGGTACCTCTCGGGAGCAACCGTCCCATTTGTCGAAATCTTTCTTGGATTCATCATCATGTTCAACCAAGTTATCCCGCTCTCACTATACATCGGAATTGAGGCCATTAAGCTGGGACAAATGTCTTTGATCATTAACGACTTGGCTCTGTATGACGAGAACACCGACACGCCGGCTGGAGTCAATACCACCAACAATCTCGACGATCTTGGGCAGATCAGCTACATCTTCACCGACAAGACTGGCACGCTCACCGAGAACGTGATGAATCTCCGCAGACTGAGTGTGGCAGGCACAAGCTGGCTTCACAGGATGGACATGTCAGAGGCAGAGGCTGGAAGCTACAGGGACTCCCCAACGACCGAGGACATGCTGGAGTACATACGAACCCGGCCTACTTCCGCCTTCTCCGTCAAAGCTGTTCGGTATCTGCTCGCCGTGGCACTCTGTCACACATGTATCCCCGAAGCCACTGACAATGGTGATATCGAGTATCAAGGTTCTTCTCCTGATGAAGTTGCCCTAGTCCGTGCCGCCAAGGAGATGGGGTTTATCGTTACCCAGAGATCCTCACAGTCCGTCACTGTCAGCATCCTAGGATCTACTGGTCGGCCCGATGTGCAAGTTTTTCAGATCCTGGATGTTATCGAATTCGAGAGCGACCGCAAGAGAATGTCCATTATCTTGCAGCGCCCCGACGGGTGTATCTGGCTGGTCTGCAAAGGCGCCGACACTGTTCTACTTCCGCGCCTTGCCGAAGCCCCTGAGGATATGAAAGAGTGGCAGCAAGGTTCCTTCGATTCCGGCAACAGCAAACTAGGCCCTTCAGTAGAAGCAGAGAATCGTTGGAGCGGAAATTACCGTCCGGGAACTGCATCAACAACGGATGAAAGTGGTACAAGCTTCCTCTGTCGAGGCCAAGCCAACAACGCCAACGAAGAATTCATCCCGCTGAGGCCGCGCCCATCACACAACGAAACTCCAGGTTCGACAACTCAAACATCAGGAAAGCCTCACCGTGAGTTGCTGGATAATGTTGGAGATATAGATGCTTCGGATGTCATTCGTCGTTGCTTCAAACAAGTTGATCAGTTTGCTGTTGAGGGCCTCCGCACGCTCATTTATGCCGACCGGTTCATCTCACCTGCCGAGTACCGAGCATGGAAGCGGCAGTTCAGTGAAGCAGAGACAAGTCTTCAAAATCGGCAGCAGCGCATCACTGAAGTCAGCGAGCTGATCGAGCACTCCTTTAGTCTCATCGGTGCCTCAGCTGTTGAGGACAAGTTGCAAGATGGAGTTCCTGAGACAATCGAGAAGCTTCGCCGTGCCAACATCAAGATCTGCATGCTCACGGGTGACAAGCGCGAGACTGCTATCAACATCGCCCATTCAACACGGATGTGCGGTCCTGGGTCCTCCATCTACGTCGTTGATGTTGCCAAGGGTGATATAAAGCTTCAACTGACGGCCATTGCGGACAAAGTTGACTTTGGCCAAGACACTCAGTATCCTGAAGAGACTTCCGGTCATGCGGCTATCGTTGTTGATGGAAAAACTCTCACTGCTATCGAAGAGCCTTCGGCTATCGACCTCCGTCGACTCTTTTATCGTCTGGCCCAGTCAGTAGACTCGATCATCTGCTGCCGCGCGTCTCCCTCTCAGAAAGCCCTTCTCGTCACCTCAATTCGCGATGGTCCGCCTCCCGAGACCCAGCCATCTCGAACCCAAAAGATCATGTCTTTCTTCCGCGGCACCAGAAAGCCGTTGACCTTGGCCATAGGGGACGGCGCCAATGACGTTTCCATGATCTTGACCGCGAGTGTTGGAGTTGGAATCTCCGGAAAGGAAGGTCAGCAGGCTTCTCGGGTAGCCGACTTTAGTATCTCCCAGTTCCGATTTCTCTCCCGACTTATCCTCGTCCATGGGAGGCACAACTACCATCGCACCACCATGTTCATATTGACCACCTTCTGGAAGGAGATATTCATCTATCTGCCCCAAGCTCTTTTCCAAGATCGAGCTGGTGTTACAGGAACCAGCTTGTACTATCCGTCCAGCTTGATCTTTGTCAGCTTCCTTACCGCTGCGTCTATGGTCATCATCGGAACCTGGGAACAAGACCTCAATGCCCGCACTCTAGAGACAGTTCCAGAGCTTTACGCCTACGGACAGAGAGGCGAGGGACTGAATATTGCCACGTTTGTTTCTTGGGTCGGCAACGCCTTCTTTGCTGGGCTTTTGGTGTTCCAGGCCTCGTTCATGGGCTATGCTGACGCCGACATCATCGACGACAATGGACTATTTGCTCAAGGTACACTGGTATTCATCGCTTGTATTATTTGGATCAACTGCAAGATCTTGTACGTAAACTCCGATCAGTCTATATTTTCACCCTGGCTAACTGCTACCCAACACAGGATTTTCGAGATGCACCACAAAACTACCATCGCTATTTGGAGTGCCATTGGAAGCATCGCTGCGCTCTGGGCCTACCAGCTGATCAACACCTTGATTTCTGGCGCGGATTCCACTCCATACGTTGGAAAGGAAGGCCTGATCAAGACATTCGGACGTGACCCTGCCTGGTGGATGACATTCATCTGGATCATGCTCTCCCTGATCCTGGTTGAGACCATTCTTAGGTCTTTCAAGCAACATGGTCTATTCCGTGCACTGTTGGCGCGGTGCTGGCCTTTTGGTAACCAGCCAGGTGTTGGTGGAGGTGTTCGCGAGGGATTTCGGGACTGGGAAACGCGTCTCTGGCAAGAGATGGAGAAGGATCCAGTAGTGCAGAGACATCTCGCAAAGTTGCACAGCGAGTAGTTGTCCGAGCCGCATATAGACGGCGGTGATTGAAGAGACGCAGGAAGAGGCAAAGAATAGGTTGCTGGAGAAGATTTGCTGTTTTGTTGGGCTTACCCGGTTTTGCTAGTTGCATACTGTAGGCCGAATGATTTTATTTTTTCTGTCAGACCTTCTAAGATTCTGAGTCGGCTTTCTTCAGTGAGCAGTATGCCTGGAAAGGTCCCTAGAGATAGACCATGTAGTGTGTTTGGCCGCCGTCCAGTCTCAAACAGATGTGATCATCAAAGAATGCGTACTCTGAGCCCCCAGCGATGTGGATTTGATACCGACGAAAGGAACCGGAATTGAGTGGGTATCTATGGTGATCTCAAATTCCGGGTTTCTTCTATGCCTCTCAGTGTAAATACGTATGTGTCTGGACTATCATTGCGCATTACTCAGTGACATTGGGATGTAGGAATGCATGAGGGAACCCTCACCATATTGTATCACATTGATCATGGCCATTGGCTACTTCATCTGTCAAGTTGCCTTAGCAGTTGAGTAAATACCAAGCCGTTTTAGCTCCACTGATCGACACCTCGTTCTCGTTATCGACATCGCAGTCGCCTTCGTATCTATCGATATTCCTATATCCAGATAGTTACGAGACGTGCAATGGACGCATCAAGTCTGACGTAGGCTATCAAACAGTATTCGAGCCAATCATATGAAGTCTGTTTGTGGCTGAGTGTCCTTGGGCGGCCCTTTAGGCGTGCTGATCGACACGGATAGCTGCGCCATGAAGCAGCCGGGATCTATTTCGAGACAGCCTATGAGACTCAAGTTCTTTACAGGTCAAGGGTTTCAGTTCATCACTAATTCGTCATCTCCGAGCTTCATGCATTGGCAGAGGCTACATTTTCACGCCCCAGCACAAGCTGAAAGACGCGTTTAAGAGCGACCCAAAGCCCAGTTACTCTGAGGTCGTCTTAGTACACCTCAAGCTCTCTTCCTCAATATCTTAAACTCAAGAGACATCTTCGGGCTAGGAAAAATGTCTCTAGAAGGCTCTCTCTATGCTTTTTGCCTTGGCTTTGGTCTGGTAAGTGACTTTGTCGTTGCGCAATCGGGCTGACCAGAGCTGACCGTTATCGCGCAGGCAATATTGTACCTGCTGGGTTCCATATTCTACAACCTCTTTCTGCACCCTCTTCGCAAAATCCCAGGCCCTTTCTGGATGCGAGCAACACGCGCTACCTACTGCTATAAGCTGGTATTCGGTACCTTGCCTTTTGATATGTTGGATCTTCACAACCACTACGGCGACGTGGTAAGGATCGCTCCTGATGAGCTTGCTTTCTCCGGTCGAGAGGCATGGAAAGAGATCATGGGCCATCGTATCAAAGATAATAAGCGACCAACTTTCGAAAAATACGACCAGTTTTACAGACCGAACGGCGGCCCAACGGACATTGCCAACTCTTCCGGAACCGAACATCAAGTACTCAGGCGACTGCTGTCGCACGGATTCAGCGATCGCAGTCTGCGGGATCAGGAGCCTATCGTCAAGAAATATGTGGATCTTCTAATCCAGAGGTTGCACGAGAACAGCGACCGCCCCCTGGACATCATGTCCTGGTACAACTATACCACGTTTGATGTCATCGGCGACCTGGCATTTGGCGAGCCGTTTGGCTGCCTGGATAACTCCGACTACCATCCCTGGGTCCGGATCATCTTCGAGGTGGCTAGGTTTGGCACGGTGAACCAGACAGCTGGTTACTTCCCTCTACTACGCAGCCTTCTTACTCGTATCCTCTCCTCGAAGGCTGTACGGTCTCGTGGAGAATCTCACCGGGCTTTGACAAGAGAAAAGATGCTTCGACGAGTGGAGCTTGGAAAGAATGGCGGACGTCCAGATCTCATTGACAACTTGCTGAAGAAGTCAGAAGAATTGGTAAGTGGCCTGGTAGATTTGATTCGCATTTCGTCTCCTTGGGAGCACGCCAGAGACTAATGTCGACACGCAACGATTAGGGTATCACCGAAGCTCAGTTGCTCAAAAACTGCGGTGCTCTCATCATCGGCGGATCAGAGACTACGGCAACCCTTCTTTCCGGAGTTACTTATCTGCTGCTCAAGACCCCAGAGGCGCTCCACAAGTTGACAGGCGAAGTACGATCTGCTTTTGAGACTGAGGACGAGATCAACTTCACATCGGTCAACAAGCTCACCTACATGCTGGCTTGTTTGGATGAAGCCTTTCGAGTGTACCCACCTATACCTGGTGGCCTTCCCCGACAAATCCCAAAGGGTGGGAGTGAGGTCTCTGGGAGATTCATCCCGGGAGATGTGAGTATCAGGGACACAGGACGTTGTCACTCGCTAATCTTTTCTACTACCGATAGACCGTCGTCGCGATCCATCAATGGGCCATGTACCACAGCGAAAAGCACTTCAGAGATCCTTTCAACTATCACCCTGAACGCTTCTTGGGCGATTCAAATTTCGAGTCAGACCATAGGGATGTGCTGCAACCATTCCACGTGGGCCCAAGAAACTGCCTTGGGAGAAAGTGCGTTGCTTGAAACAAAACATCTGTGTCTATACATGATACTGACTTTTCGTAACAGCCTCGCATATGTGGAAATGAGAGTTATCCTAGCTCGCATCATCTGGAACTTTGACTTGTCCTTGGCCGAAGAGAGCCAGGACTGGCTTCAACGTCAGAAGGTATATATCTTCTGGGACAAGGGGCCTCTGATCGTCAACCTGACACCAGTTACGCACAAAACTTTGAGGGAACTTGAAGGCAAAGGTAAACAATGGCGCTATAGAAGGGTCTAAAGTGCTGTGTGCTCTATGCTATGGAATAGGTGTGGTCAAGCAAGTCACAGCTGGGCTTACAATGCTCTTTGGTGGATGAGACTTATTGTGTCGTCAAGCATGAACCCATTCTAGAAAGCCATTATTGATTCGAGTGAGTGGAGCTTGGGCGACATCATTAGATGCCGTGAGCCCGCTTTTGGGCTCACTTCACACTCTGCTGTACGTACGAAAGCTCGATGTCAACTGGCCAGAGCATTTCGATGGCTGGCAGCTGTCAGATCTCCTCCCACTTCCCAGTGACGCAAGATTTCTCTTGATCATTTGTGTGTATTTATCAGCTGCCAGGTTTTGAGGCTGGCCAATCCCTGGGTCCCTTTTCTTAGTGCTTACCAGTTGTTTCAACAAGCGGGCTTTTCTGCCCTAAAATCCAGGGTACCTCATCCTCCACCAATCTGCAATCGTAGATAAAATGATAAGGCTGGGAAGGCCAGGGTGGTTTAGCCGAATGCTACCTTCAATATGGGCCTTTGTGGTTGCAGCCGTTTCTACACTGAACAGAAGTGGCAATTCTGAAGAGTAACTGGAGACAGAGAAGGCCTGAGATGTGTTTTCGCTTCGTATCAGTATGTATTTCTAAGGTTGTAGAAAGGATCAGTAAAGTCTCTAAATAGTATAGAACTGGAACCCTTAGGGTGATGAAGGAATAGTTGCCAGAATAGTGCATGAAGTTCATGTCATTGTCGAAGTACAGGCCAATCTCCGCCGCCCCAACCACACAGTCGCTATGATGCCTCACTTTGCACCCGCCGAAGCCTGCGTTGTCAGCTCACTCCACTGAGAACAAGCCGCGGGAAACTCTGCCAAGGCAGGCCAAACACGTTTCAGTCTATATAGTAAGATTGAACATCGCCTGGAAAGTCCCATGGCCATCAGCCACACGAGGTGTGAAAGGATCTCGACAGACTCGGAGAATCCCAAGACGGTGCCGTTCCCTGACTTTGTGTCGTTTCCTCCCTCGACGCTCGATGTCACCGATGAGAATATCAATGACTGGCTATCAGATACACTGCCCGACCTGAAACAGCCCGAGGTGTTTTGGTTTGATTCCGGAGCCATTATCGCCAACACTTCAGTCGGTGCTGTGGTGGCAATGCCTTCGAACCAGTCAGACAGTTCTTACGATATTTACGGCTGCATGATCGATGCCCGGTGGATCACGACCACTCTGTCGGGCGACGCTGTTGCACTTCTCAGTATAGGATACGCCCCCTTTTCTGACTCCATCGCCACCTCCCTAGCTGGCTCGTGGATTGGCAATCCTACTTACGGACAGCGCGTTCGCATCGAACCGAGCTTTTCAAAGTACCTCAATCCCCAGGACTCAAGAACGAAGCGAACAATTATCCACGAAATGCTCCTCAGCAGTGGCGTCTGGACTTCCGATGGTAAAGGATCCAGGTCTCTCGAGCACCTGGAGGCAATCCTTGGAGGCTTGGAAACAAACGGCCTAGCACGGTCGGCTCCAAGGGCAACACCCGTAACTGCTTTGGCTGACCCCAAGGGAGAGTGGTGGAAGAGCTTCATGCCACAGGATGGCAATGTATTTGGTCCCGGGGGAAGCCCTTACGCGGTATCTACCGAGGATGAGGCCCGTTTCTACAAGACTGAGATGGAAACTTGGGTGACGGGATTCGCTTTTGCCGATAACAGTCTAACGATGCGAGGAGCCATGGCAGTCTTCTACGTTTACGCTCTCTTGGTGATAGACTACTCGCTTTGGTCGATATGGTCTGGTATCACTTCGTCATCCTGGGAGTCAGTCCCAGACCTTCTCGCTCTGGCACTTTCCGAAAAGAAGCCACTCAACGACTCTAAGGCATTGGAAGACGATGGATTCAAGAGCGCCGATATTATGAAAGAGAATTATTGTTTCAGCAGACGGGGGAACTTTGAGGCTTCGACCGACTCATGGCCCGGTGCCATATGAGAATCGGGTCAAACCAAACGAAGCCTATGACTAATAAAAATGAACCAGGCTACAGGCCCGGCATCTTTCTGCATACTCGTCCCTCAAAATTGGATCCCGCCGGGAAGCTCCCACGTGCTATGTCCTGATCCAGCGCATGTTTTCCTACCGTTCACCACTGGGCCTCCAAGTCGAGAGCACTCCGTTGTTCCACCGTACGCGCGAATTAGAATCTTGAGATCCTCTAGAATCTCTTTGGCGTTGCCCTCCGCCTTGTCCTTGCACAAAGGAACTAGGGTCCTGAGAGGTCTGTGTCGAATGAAGTCGATGCCAAAGAAGATCTGCTCCATGACATAGAGTACGCGGTTCGTAATTACCTCGGTGTTAGCATCAATCCCGACAGAAACCGTATGCAGGCTGGTGGTCAAGTCGTCAAACTCGGAAGTAAACTTAGGCCGAGTCAGCGGATGAGAAATAGTTCGTGGAGCTCTGATGGGACACAGACCTGGTCGAACTTGTCGCAAACCTCTTTTTGCTCGCCATGATTGAGCTTCTTGATGTTGTCCTTGCCTTTTGTCTCATAGAACCTTTCTACGAGAAGGACGCACACATCCAGTATTTCATTCAACTTATCCCTAATAGCCTACAGGGCAAGTTGGAAAGTTAGCAGGTGGCATACACCGTTAGGGGATGGGCCATGTGAGCTTGCCTCTGCTGTCTGTTGGGCATTGTCAAAGTCAATGTTTTCGATGATACCTATTGTTTCGCTGAAGAGGGGAAAGAAACTGTCCAAGGTATCGGCGACGCTCTCGACACCTGTGCTAGTCGGGGCTGGCACGGCAGCGCCTGGGGCTAAGAGGAGGCTGAAGATAGAAAAGACCACTGAACTCTTCATCGTAACGTATGAGGATGTCAGAAAGGTACGAAGTGTATTGGGAGTGAAGGGACTGGGTGATTGTTGGCCCAGGTTGGCACCTGTTCACCTCTTTATATCTTTGGATCCCTTTCCTACAGATCCGTTATACGCATTGTCTTTTGAAACTAACGAGGTCCAACAAATGGAGGAAAAGGTCCTATCGGCCCGGGTCGTGTTTCTTAATCCCCTGTCTTATTTGCCTCCCGCCCTCAATCAATTGTGTCTCGGCCTTCTATAGCACAAGAGATGTGCTACCATCCCTTTTCCACAATGTTATCCGCCCTATTACGGCATTTTGCGACTGAGTTTCAAGACCACTATGTTGTAATCACGATTTTCTTTATTATCACAGCCGATATTCTCCGTGAGCAACCAAGTGCTATCACGAACAACAATATGTCAATGCCTAAGGACTCGTTGGAGTTTCCTCACAGGATATGTTTTCACTCGTCCGAATTGTTCACGTGGACCAACAAAGACACAGCCTTACTATCTTTGTCAATCACGACGAGGGATATCATGGAACAGTGGCACCACAGAAGCCTCAGGTAGATATGGAATATGTTCATTCGTCAGGTATCTTACAAGACTGCTGACTCCAAGACACGGAAAGTGTTGGTTTCTGAGTCAAGCTCAGCCAGGGTATCAAACGGCAGAGTGACCATCGGCGTCGTATGCCCAATATCAACATTAAAAAGGATAGGAAACTTCCTCTCAGCAAGACGCCCTTCACACAGGAGCTCCTTGACAACTCCCGTAACCTGCTCCCTCTGCTCTGGGGTGTCATACCCAAAGGGACGTCCGATGACAAGTCCCGCCGCCTCCTCAAATGCCCCGTAGGCGATCAGATCGGCAAACCCGGCCTGAATACGGGGTAGAAGAGGGCCCGAGGCATCATCCTCGCCAATTGTCGTTTCCAGAAAGATGATTCTGCCTCGCCAATCTGGAACAATCGCAGGAATGCCATGCAAGCGCACAGCAACAGTGAGACATCCGCCAAAGAGGCGGCCCTGGGCCTTGCCGGGCCTAAGCCACGTCCAGCCCGAGTTCCGAACGAGCTCGGGCTTTCTGGTCGAGGCGGCATCGGTAAAGCATGTGGCTGCCTTGGGGGCGTAGAAGGCGGCTGCTGGAATGTTGCCCAGAGGCTCGCGGGAGGCGATGGCGCGGAAGAGATTGTCCACGCAAAAGGCTAGCGGTGTCTCTTTGTTGTCGACTGAGTTTGGCTCACCAAGCTCAGGGATGGGACCGGGTCCGTAAAAGGTGCGCAAGCCAGTGAGAGCGTGCAAGAACCAATGCAGGCCGGTGATGTCCGAGTAGCCCACCACAATCTTTGGGTTGTTGCGAATGATGCTGTGCAGTTCCGTATCGGCAAGGAGGGCAGGAATCAGTTCCGTAAAGTGTGTGCCGCCGATGGTGGTGATGATGGCAGAGATGGTTGGGTCTGAAAAGGCCTCTCGGATCTCTCTTAGCCGGTTGCTAATAGACGACTGGATGCCTGTGTCCTTACTGAAGAAGGCTTGCACTTGGTATCCCTTCTCAGTGAGCACTGAAGTCGCCCGCGACATGACATCAGGGAGTAAATCGTTGAGACGTGCCGAGGGGGAGATGAACGCAACCTTTGCGCCGGGCTGCAGGGACTTGGCGAGAACCGGCGATGGCATCTTGATGGTAGGTGATAGGAAGGCTTGGGACTTTGGAAAAATAGTCGAATGCGTGAGAGTACGTAGCTTTCTCGGCGCCAAGGCTCTTGGATGTAGTTTTCGAGGCTTGGCTGTGGATTGAGGGGTTTGGCCATCTGGAGGGGATTATACGACGTCAACCACGCCCTTCGAACCCATGCCACAACGACGCATAATGGGGCTCAAGGGGTCGGATTTTGTTATCTCCGCCTCTTTCAAAATCCATTATTGTCAAGAGAGAAGATAATGACGTGATCAGCCTCAGTTGGTGGAATAATTACATGTGATCACGTCGCTCGGGTGTTGCGGCTCTTTCAAGGGGTATATCTTGATCGCGTGGCATTGTCAGGCCTAATTGCCTCCCATACTGGCCGATTTGCCAGGCATTCAGAAACAGCTTTTCAGTCCTTCAAGCGGCAGTGAAAGAAAGAAGACAGGTCTTTCCAAAGAAAAGCCTCGCTTCATGTCAGATCGTTGCCCATAAGGTGAGTGTCAACGATAGGGAAGAGAGACATGGTAGTATCAAACGAGTCGAACCAGAGCATGTTGGGGGAGATGCCCAGGATCTGATCAGTAGCGTTTGCAACCGTGATTTCTGCCTGCTCTTGTCCCTCGCCTTGGTTGAGCGATTGCCCGATCGTGTCTGTACCCATCTCATGGTTCATGGCTGATTCTGGTGCCGGCATTTGTCCCTGAATATTCTGAGATGGCCCAGTCGATGAGAGCCGCGTGACAGGATCCAGCAGGGACGTATTATGAAATGGAGACCTTCCAATAGCATGTATGCTACCGAAAAGACCATTAACAAGATGTCCTTGGCGTTCCATCCTTAGCCTCGCTCGGTTCTCCATGTAGATGTCGCAGGCGCTCTGGAGATGGTCCAGAATCATCAAATGACGCTTGGCTACAGCATCGTATCGACTGAAGCGCTCAAGGATACTCCTCGTCGCAGTCAAACTCTTCTGAAGAGGGAATGAGTTGTCGAAATCCCCAAAGATAGCTGCGCCCAGCACAAGTCCGGATACAAACGCCGAGTTTCCAACAAAGGGCAAGCGTTTGGGAATCGCGTCAGTCTTGACAAAGACTTGAAGAATATCAACAGTTCGAACAGCTGATTCAAGACAAGAATGCACCAAAACCTCATTGGAAGAAGAAGAAGATGGCTGTCTCTCCTCTCCACGGAGTGATGTTTCGTTGGCCTCGACATGCTGAGATACCGCTTTGTGAAGAAACGGGAGGGATAGCAACATGACAGTCCAATATCCTGTCTGCTTGAGATGGATGAGACCAATGTTAGGCTGCTTGCCTCCGGCTTCATCATCGATAAACTCATCCTCCTCAATGCCATCGCGCGCAAGACCATCGGCACACTGAACCGTCCAGCGGCGTAGATGCTTGCTGATTCGCTCCAAGACCTCGGGGGAAATCATGCGTTTCGCATAAACATCTGTAAGGATGGACTCAAAGATCATCGAGAGGTCATTACAGGCGGAGTAGTCCTGGGGATTCGCAGTGTCTCGAAGTTCCGATGTTGACGGTGGGCGACCAAGTGATGCACTCATGAACAGGTCGAGGATTCGTATCGCTTTCCAGAGACGTTCTCTAGTGCGACACTCGGCTGGTGAGAAGAGGGACGAAATATCGTGTCGGTGCAGGCCAATTGCGTAGGCAGCTCGCACGCCCATGCCGAGATACATAAAGGCAGCGTTGCGACGTGAAGCACCAAGCAGATACATGGCGATCAGGGCGAAGGCTTGGATCGTTGTGATGCCGGGATCTTCCATCAAAGTCTCGACTGTCAAGTAGCGACCATAGTTGAAGAAGATCTCAGCGAGGTCATCTTTGTCCTCAGGCCCTGTTTGCGCTCCAATGGCAAAAACAAGATAGTACACGGAGCTTGCAGGATCTGCCATGTCCTGCCCATCTTCCAACCACTTGTGGATGCCACTCTCCAGCTCCTTCTGGTCGAACAAGAGTAGCACACAATTGGCCGATTGCATGTACCATCTCTGAAGATAGTCCACCTCAAGCGCAGTCTGCCTCGGGGGCGGATTTTGGGCGCTCGATAAGATCCATCCTCGCCGCGTCTCAGGTGATGCCTCCACAATGCCATGTCGCAGAGGGTCATCAACGAGGGAGCAATCCCCTATGCTGCGTCGTACAATGCGTCGAATATTTTGAAGAAATGACAGCGTCGCTGAGTCTCCGATGAACATGTACTCTCCTCTCGTGTCTTGAATGAGCCGTGACATCCGAGGCAATCGCTCTGGTTGTGTGTTTGAGAGGAGCTGCAACGTCTGCCCATCGCCAGCGTAGGTCTCATCTATTGACGCCAGGGCCGATGCTCCGCTGGCAGATATCGGTCCCGAAGTCTCTGGGGTAGCATGTCCCGTCGTGTTGCTTATCCGATCTGGATCAGGGCTGGGCAGAGAAGACGCGACGATGCGTCTCCCATCGGAGGTGATCGTCGACTCCTGGCAATCGAGCTTCAGGCCACGCTTGATACAGCGGGCACAAGGCCTCCGACCGTCACATCTCTGCTTGCGGCGCTTGCAGTTATCGCAGGCCTCGGCGCATCGCCTTCGGTCGCAGTCCCGGACCCTCCTGGTAGGCATTGTTTGAGTTGAGGGCTTCGTTGACCGCGGGCCGCAACCTGTCGGATATGGCCCTACCTTTATTGGTCAACTTTGGGCGTGTGATGGGGCTGACTGTCAGGTCACGGCTGACGTGGAGAGGGGCTGGCAGCTCGGTCCGACTTTTCCCTTAGCCGATGCTGCAGGCATTTGCCGACGGTGAGTTGGCATCGACTCCGTTAAGCGACACACCTTGGAGGGGTTTAGCGCCAGCTGAGGCAGGGGATGGTCAAGCGATCATTTCTCTATTGTAGGATATTCTAAATGGTGGAGATGAAGGCTGTTATAGCAGGTATCGTGTCAACCGGTTTGGATAGCCTGTCAAGATGAGTTTATCGCGAATAGTGATGAATTAGTTCCAATCGCTCAACCCAAGTTTGAGACGAAGTCCTCCAGAGCGGAACTGACTTCATCCGCCGCTTCGATACAATGCCAATGTCCAACGCCGGGAAGAATTCGAATGTTTTTGGCCGCGTTATCGCATCCCCAGCTGGATGAATGTCAGTAACAATATTTGTGATGAAGCCACATGAAACTTACCTGGCCAACATGGTTTCGGAATCAGCAACTGGACTTGTTTTATCCTCCTCTCCTGCAATGATGAGCAAAGGCGAGTGCGCATCTGCATATGATGGCCGCTCCGCCTTAGCAATGGCGTTACACAGAGCGATGTATCCGTTTGTCTTTTGACAAAGGAGCAGCGTTCGAATAAATGCCTTTTGCGTCGAGTTGGCCTTGGAACCCGTCGCAGCAAAAGGGATCGTCTTGGCCATTGCTTCCATCCCATCTTGGAGTTATCGTCAGCGATAGGGCCTTCGTTTCAACTTTCAGTTACTTACGTTCTCTCACTGTCTCAATTCTCGCGCTGAAGATGCCTGCCATAGCCGGCTTGGGCAAAACCGGTCCAATCAGGACTGCACCACGAAGATTGTTCCTTGATGCCAGCTTTGCCACAACAATACCGCCCATCGAGTGGCCGATGGCAACGGCATTCTCGATAGGGATGTTCAGTTTTGAAACCAGGCCCTCAACATCTTGAGCTATCGAGTCAAAGGTCGGATCGTCAGTGCCTGGCACCAACTCAGAGAGGCCACTTCCTGATCACATTGTCAACGATGCGAATCACATACTGTCAGACAGACGAGCACGAACCATAGACGTCAAATGCAACAGATGAATATCCTGCAGCTGCAAGATGGCCCATAACGGGCGTATAAAACGAGTGAGATGAACCAAGTCCATGGATGAATACCAACACTGGCGATCCTGCCCGAGGGGATTCAGCCTCCACCTGGGTGTAGAAAAGCCGCTTCTTCTCGATCTCAAGGTAGGGCATTGTGTCTAATGAATAGAGCGTAGATGAGGCTGAAGCTATGCGTATTAGTCGCTCAATGTAGCATCTGCCTTCATTCTAGTACGGTCAGTGTTCCGGCCCAGAATCCAACCTTGACGTGGCTTGGTCGGACGAGAGCCGGTGGCGGCAGCGGATGTTACTCTGTCGGAAGTCGGTCGGTGGAGGCATCGGATGCATCGGCTACAGGGTTAAAGCCATATCTGGCCGGCTCTTACCGCTCACGACGAGAAGAACAGCATTTGCCTGCCTCGGAGCTCCGTAGAAGAGATGGACATTAATGGGGCAGTATCACACATACTTTAGTCACTCTTATCGGATTGTTTATCCTGGTATATCACGCAAGCAAGCACCTTGATTCCTGCAGTGAATCAGATCAGATCCTGGAAAGATTGCTTATTCCCGACAAGCCTGATCTCGGGATTTCCCCGAAATTATACGCAATCGACCACAGATTGTATAAAGTACTCACATAATAGCTTGCTTTTGACAGGCGCCTCAAACTTGAAGTATTTCGGTACTAATAAAGGTGAAAGTCGATCAATATGGGTAGCATTCAGCCACAAGAGTACTCCTCGCTCGAGGAGACCAAGCGGATTTTTGACTACCTATGCACTCAATTTGATGCAACCTCTCTGCCGCCGGCTGTCAAGGATCTCAAATCACATATCGAGTTCACATCAACACACGATGCCCCTTACTTCCCTATACCTTTCAAGGAGACGGAGACAAGCGCAGCCCTCAAGGCTGTCGAAGGAGGCGTTGCAAACCTCCTAGCAGACCTGGTCGAGGGTGAAGCTCGCCCACGGAAAATTACTGTCAATCTCGAAAAGACCACAGCATTCCTCTGCCAGGCTTACTTGGCCAAGGTTGGTGGACTGGGCAAACTTGACCCCGGTGTTAAGGCCAAGCTCAAGGGTGAGTGATTGGACAGATGACGTTTCAAAGCGTTGTAACTGAGGCTTACACTCATTAGATACGGATTTGCTGGCAGCACAATCAAACCCTTATCGGCGCATGTCAGCCAACCTGTATGAGACCAAGGTTCCTGACGAATATTATCATATTCACGGGTCTCTTGAGGCATCCACTACTCTGCAAATGATTGGCCTTGAACCTTTCAGACCTGAGTTGCAATCCCACCAAGACATCGTTGCGGCCATTGAGCCCGCTGTTCGCAAGTTTTCTACTCAAGAGCTTGAGGCCCTCAACGCCAAGAACCGTCAGGCTGGCATTCCTGCCCTGAAGCACGAGGACTTCTTGCAAACCAAACATGTAAGCATTCAACACCTGTTCTAAGACCACGTTCAGAGTTAATGTGCCTGGCATTTATAGGGAAAGACAAACTTTCCTCTGCCCCCTTGGTCGGTGGACAGTCTCGAGACCGAGACACCGAAATGCCCACTGACCCCGAGCTCAGGGCAGCCGACCAAAATCTTGGCCGGTGTCAAGGTTCTTGAACTATGCCGCATCATTGCCGGGCCTATCATCACACGTATCCTTGGCGAATATGGCGCCGACGTGCTCAAGATCACGAGTCCCAACCTGAGCGATGTTCCTTTCTTCCAGGTTGATGGTAACATGGGAAAGCATGCTGCAGACCTGGACCTCAAATCTCCCGAGGGACGAGAAATATTTGAACGTCTTCTCGCTGAAGCAGATGTGGTCGTTGATGGATATCGACCTGGAGCCTTGGAGAAGCTCGGATACGGCGCAACAGCATTGGCACGCATCGCCAAGGAGCGCGACAAGGGCTTCGTCTATGTCAACGAGAACTGCTTTGGCTATGAGGGAGAGTGGGCAGGTCGCCCAGGATGGCAGCAGATTGCCGATTGTGTAAGTGATTGTAACACCTAGGTGCACCAAAAGTGGGAGCTAATTCTGTCATAGGTCAGTGGCATTGCATGGGAGCAGGGTCGCTTCATGGGTCTCTCAGAACCCGTTGTGCCGCCTTTCCCTATCTCGGACTATGGCACAGGGTGTATCGGCGCCATCACTGCATTGATTGGTCTCTATCACCGAGCCACTCAAGGAGGATCGTGGCATGGCAAGGCGTCCCTCCTCCACTATGATCTCTTGCTGTTCAAGGTTGGACAGTACCCAGAAGAAGTCAAGCAGAAGCTGAGGGAGGATATCGGTCCTGATTTCCTCGCACTACGACACGCCCACAGCGTCGACCAGATTTCGGGGACCGCACTACTCAGGATGAGGAAGAAGTTCCCTGAGCTCTTTGAAGGAACGCAATACGTCGAGAAATGGTACTCGACGGCGTACAAGGCGGAGGTTCAGGCCGTGCCGCCTGTCGTAAACATTGAGGGTGTAGAGGTTGGATTTAAACGAGCGAGTCGCCCGAACGGCACAGATAAGCCTACTTGGGATTTTGGCAATGAGTCAGATCGAAGGTTGGCGGATTGATGATTGCATTTGTGGTTTTTATACACATTAGGCCTCTGAAACGAATACACATGATAGCATACTACTTTTTATAATGCCCAGTGTACAATTGGACAGTTCACTTTTTAACGTTATCATGTAGAAGTGGTAACGGTGGCCACGTATTCCCCAGCGACAAACATCGATACTCCTGCCCATTTTGTCCCTGTCATTGCCGATCGTTAAGGTGACACAGCAACGTCGTCGACATGGAGGTTGTGACCGCCTGCCAGCCATGGACCCTCCAAAGCTGGGCATTACCTCTAAAACCGCAGTCTCCACGGTTGCAACGGGCTTCTGTCGGAGTTCACCGGCAATACGACCTCCTCACGACCGGCAGTGACACTCTCAACCGCGGGGAGCTATCGGGGAAGGGGTCTGCCCCTCCACAAGGTGCACATCCGACCGGGGCTGTCCGGCATCCGATGGTGTGTGGGCCGATATTCCCCAGGACCCGAACACTCAGACGTAATTACCAAGCCTCGCATTGGCTCGACTCCATCCCCCCGCATCATGGCTTGCCCACCGGACTTCCTGCCGCCTTCCCCATGGGCCTTGATGCCACCCATTCTCTTTGCGGGCGGGGGAGTGAGCCGACTGCCATTGTCCGAGAGCTCCATTACCCGCCCGTTCGCTTCAGTACTCTTGTGATTCTGTATATCCGAGTGAAACGTGGTCGTTGACTCCTGATTATGCGGGGCTAAGTCATCTACTGCCGCCGAGCTCAGTAGGCGCTATAAAAAAGTCTGGGATTTCTCCGCAAAGAGCTAAGGCCAGTCCACACTCACTCATCGATTCGGTTGGTAGTAGATTTTGAACTTTATCTTGTCTTAATAAGTTCAAAGCACCCAGTCTGATTGCCACTTGATTCCATCCAACCTTCACACAAAGATCATCACAATGGCAAACCCCACCACCGAGACGGCCAAGCCCACCAAGGTCAACGGCCAGAATGGCGATGCTCCTCAGGAGGAGGGCCTCGGCCAGGCCTTCACACAGCAAGTCATTGACTCTTTTGGCCCCAAGGCGGATCCCCGACTCCGCGAGGTCATGTCCTCGTTTGTGCAGCACATGCACGACTTTGCTCGTGAGACTCAGCTCACCGTCGATGAGTGGATGACGGCGGTCAAGATGATCAACTGGGCCGGTCAAATGAGCAACGAGAAGAGGAACGAGGGACAGCTCATGTGCGATGTGATCGGTCTTGAGAGGTAACTTGCCTTCTTCCATGTTTAATAACCTCACTAACGAGAGTTATAGTTTGGTGGACGATATCACACACCGCGCAGCGGCCAAGGACGCTGCCTCAGGCACAGCGACTGCCATTCTTGGCCCTTTCTGGCGGGCAGACACTCCCATCAGAGAGAACGGTACCACCATCACTTTCGACACTCCTGAGGACGGCATTGTCGCCTATCTTTACGGCACTGTGACTTCGGCTTCTACCGGAGCCCCTATCCCCAATGCTTCTGTCGAAGTCTGGCAGGCATCCACGAACGGTATGTTTTCTGATACGTTTGTAGAACTCCTCAACTTACAGGTGCTTCAGGCCTGTACGAGCAACAGGACGACAAGCAGCAGGAGCACAACCTGCGTGGCAAGTTCATCACAGACTCTCAGGGTCGATTCTCCTTCTACTGCCTGCGACCTACACCGTATCCTGTGAGTATTTTGTTCCTTTTAGATATTCGAAACAAGAGCTAACTATTGGTGATCAGGTTCCCGATGACGGTCCTGCTGGCAAGCTCCTCCAGCTCCTCGACCGACACGTCTACCGCCCTGCGCATCTCCACTTCATGGCACGTTTCCCATTTTACAAACTAAAAAGATGTATCACTAACAAGTTCTTTAGGTCATTGCCGAGGGATACAAGTCCGTCGTGACACAGATCTTCGACTCCGACTCGGGGTACCTCGACAACGACAGTGTGTTTGCCGTCAAGGATGGGCTGACGGTGGATTTCGTGCCACGAAAAGGAGACCCTCAAGCAAACTGGGAGCTTGAGTATAACATGAGCCTCGGTACTGCGTGAGAAGGATATTTGTTTTGTTAGTTGTGCCCATGAGTTACTAGCGAAAATGCAATTCACGTCTTTTGAGAATCTTGACATGATGTTCCCCGTCACCTGGAGGTATATGTGACGTGTTTTAGTCATAGGCCACTATGTTTACTCGGATACGGTGGTATGAAGTGTTTGCATTGTGTTCTTTGCTATAGTTGAATCCCGGCCCTTGATGGGATGACTGCGCCGATAAGTAGTGTTTTAGCCATTGCTGCAAATACCGTTCTATTTAGCCATACCCCCATAGTTAGCCCTCTCCGGCTCTATGTTTTGTTCATGACCATGTCTTTCTTCTTTCAAATCCCAAGGGAACTCAACACAGTTACTAGAATACAATTTTCGCAATAATCCAATATTGACATGCTCATTACAGTGTCTCATGCCGTCAATCATGGATATCAAGTAAAGCTTTTAAAATAGTGTCCACTAAAGAAGGCCTGGAGAATCCCAACCAAGAACCAGGAGACCAACAGAGATATCACAAAAATATCATAGAAAGCCCCATACGATCCACAGGATGATTCCTAAGATCTACAACCCGTTTGAATTACTGTTTCATTGCAGAGTTTCATCAATGTCATGGCTTGACTTCGATCCACACAGACGTAGTATCCAGTGTTTGATGCAGACACAGCCAACCTCTACAGCTACATACATTCACCTCAGTCTGCAGCAACATGTGCCCTCTCATTGGACACACCTTGGGCCGGCCTTCACTCCGCCCATGGCTATGCTTTACCTGATTATTCATTTCTTACACAAAGTTGCCTATAAAATCACAGCTCATGCGGATTCTTCGTCGCCCTGCATCCGCGTAGCCGGCGGGATTATTACGTCGAGTTCCCAGTCCGACTCTGTCCTCGGGCATCATCAACCTGCACCCGAAATTGAATTAGGTAAATAGACACCATGAGGTATATCCGATCCTCAACCCTGCAATCCGAATGCCCTCACCCCTCGTGGGGATTAGATACGCCTCTTTGCCAGTTGGTCGCTGACAGCCCTGAGGATCAGCCAGTTCCCTCCACTAGCCCGAAGGCGAGGAGCAACGTGCCCACCAACATGCTTCCGAAAGCCCCGAAACAAGCTGCCGACGTCTCGAGGTCAGGGATCTCCCCACACCATGCCCTTCCCCCAGCGGTTTCCCCCGCCTTCACCCCGGGTTAGTTTGCGGGGTCTAGCACAATCCCGACGCACTGGAGAGTGCAGATCCACTCAGTGGCCACGAGTTTGTCAATATGACTCGGCACCTTCGCCAAGGTTGGGGGCGGTGATCCAAACGTAAGGGTTGCCCGTCTTCCGAAGAAGTAACCGATGGGCGATCTTACAGCCCTGCTAGTTAATTAGTCAGGCATCACTCAGCCTCACATCTACAACTTCCTATAAGATGTTGAGCAATCACGACCTGGTCTAAGCTCAACACCACAGCTCATACAAGTCTTTTCAGGCCACTCAACGTGAATCAAATCCCTCTCCTACCTCTGCACAATCATGGCTGTTGGCGCACAGACTGATCATGTCGACGTCCTCATCGTCGGTGCCGGACCTGCCGGTCTGATGATGGCGACATGGCTCGCCAAGTGCGGCGTCAAGACTCGCATTGTCGACAAGCGAGGCACAAAGGTACACTCATATCCTTCAATGTCACTTCTACAGATTTTCTGACCCAGGAACCAGGTCTTCAATGGCCAAGCAGATGGCCTCCAATGTCGAACCCTGGAAATCTTCGACTCGTTTGGCTTCGCCCACAGGGCCTGGATCGAGTCCAACCACATGTTGGAAATCAGCCTTTGGAACCCCGATGACAAGGGCACTCTTCGAAGATCTTCACGCATCCCTGACACCATCCCTGGCATCAGCCGCTTCCAGCAAGTCGTCCTCCACCAAGGTCGAATTGAGAGGTTCTTCCTCGATGCTATCAACGAATTCAGTGAAGGCAAGGTCTCGGTTGAGCGTGGTGTCATCCCAACCAGCCTCGAGATTGACGAAAAGACTGTCGAGGACCCCGAAGCCTATCCCATCACTGTCAACTTGCGGCATTTGAGTGAGGAGGAAGCCCGACCGAAGCAAACGGCCACTTCTGTCAATGGAACAGTCATCCAAGACGGCCTGTTCCGCAGCAACCTCTCTCCCGACGACACTGCCGAGATGATCAAGTCAGCCGAGCTCAACCAAAAGGCCGACACGACAGAGATCGTCAAGGCAAAGTATATGTTGGGAGCAGATGGTGCTCACTCGTGGGTCCGCAGAGAACTTGGCTTCAAGCTTGAGGGCGAGTCTACCGATTACATCTGGGGTGTCCTTGATATTGTTCCCATCACCGATTTCCCCGATATTCGTATGCGCTGCGCCATCCACTCTGCCAATTCTGGAAGTGTCATGGTCATTCCGAGAGAAAACAAGCTCGTCCGTCTATACATCCAGCTCACCACGACAGAAAAGATTGGCGACCAGGATTCTCGGGCGGATCGCTCATGGATCACGCCGGACGTGATTCTTGAATCTGCTCAGCGAATCATGGCTCCCTACAAGCTATCTTACCGAAAGCTGGACTGGTGGACAGCGTACCAGATTGGTCAGCGTGTTGGCTCAAGCTTCTCTGCCCACGAGAGAGTGTTCTTGGCTGGTGATGCTGTGCATACTCACAGGTTTGTCTTCCAAAGTGTTTTTGCGTCCAAGCTGCTGACAAGTGACTGTACAGCCCCAAAGCTGGTCAGGGTATGAATGTGAGCATGCAAGATTGTGAGATACCTCTCCCTCCACAACAAACATAACTAACGCTGAACAGCTTTTAACCTTGGATGGAAGATTGCAAGCGTTGTCAAGGGACTTGCCAACCGCTCGATTCTGAAGACGTACGAGTCTGAAAGGAAGGGCATTGCGCAAGCCTTGATCGAGTTTGATCACAAGTTCTCACGGCTTTTCTCGGGTCGCCCAGCAAAGGATATCATGGATGAGGAGGGTATCAGCATGGAAAAGTTCAAGGAGGCTTTCGAGAAGGGCAACAGGTTTGCCAGTGGCATTGGTAAGTGCATCTCTGGGGCTCGTCAAAAACGCATACTAATGCAGTATACCCATAGCTGTTGACTATGATCGAAGCAACATCGTTTCCAAACCGGGCCCGGATAGCGAGGACTCCAGGGCCACCAAACTGCAAGCTCTCGCATCCGAGGTCAAGCTTGGCATGCGAATGCCAAGCGTCAAGGTTCTCAACCAGTCTGATGCCAGACCTTGGCATCTTCAGGAGCTCCTTCGAAGCAACGGCACATGGAGAGTCATTGTATTCCCCGGAAACGTCGACCAAGAAGGACAGAAGAAGCGGATGAATAGCCTCTGCGACAAGCTATCTGCTCCATCATCCTTCCTCAAGCGTTTCACACCACCATCAGCAAGATACGACTCTGTCATCGAAGTCCTGACAGTGCATGCCGCCAAGCGCCAAGACCACGAGATTTTCGACTTCCCAGAAGTTCTGCGACCATACGACGAGGTGGACGGCTGGGACTATAACAAGATCTTTGTGGACGATGAGTCGTACCACGAGGGCTATGGACGTCTGTATGAAACATTTGGCATTTCTCCCGATCAAGGCTGCGTGGTCATTCTCAGGCCGGATCAGTATGTGTCGTACATCGGCGAGCTTGATGACTACGAATCTCTTGATGGATTCTTTTCTGGTTTCTTGATACCACAGGTGGAGGTTAAGGAGGCAAAGGCCTGATAGTATGAAGGTAGAAAATGTGATAAGCCTTGTTTATTAATTTCGAGTTGCGTCTCGGTGATCCAAACCCACGAGCTAGCCATGACCTAATCCCGATGAATGGTACAATCATGAGACTCATATCATATGGCGGGCCATTTGACCTATTTGTGGACTAGTTGATGAACACCCACGGACGTTTGAAGTTGCAGCTAACAAATCATCCTGTCCAAGTCTAGGGTAGTTAAACACCCTCTCACCAGGGCATAGACGTCTCTCACATCATAGATGAAATGTGTCCGGCCCAATGCGAAAGTCCCCAAGGACTAATATAATACAGTAAATATGTCTATTGCAAACACAATCGACGTAAATATTTGTCAAGTTCGATGGTTAGTGTTGTGGGGTGAGGATCCGCCAACTATGTTGATGCCATGTTTTGCGGGCGCAAAGAGGCAGGACAAAAGAGAGCAACAATGTCGGAATTTGCACACAAAAAGTCATGAATGAGGCGAGATTTGACGTCTAGATGGGCTATTGCATTCTGAACTTGGCATTCCGCATTGTGGGCGAGATACAAGAGCTTGGCTCTGGTGTGACGTGCTTGAGCGACGTGTTAAATGCTCATCAAGGTGTGATCGAGTTTCCCCTCCCTAGGTAGGTACATTACTACGAGAATAATGAGTAAGCTTGACTTCCTCGCACCTCAAGCTCCCGAGAGCGGTGAAATTAACTCAGAGCCTGGCTCTTTTTCCACATGAAATTTGTGTGAGATTGACGCGAAGATAATTGCAAATTATTGTCATTTGCTAGAGGTGTAAAGTAGTATGCCGCTGCTGCTCTCAATGTGCTCTCAATGCCATGCTTCGTGTTTGTTTGTTGGGATGTTTTCTAGCGGGCGCTTGCTGCATGGCGTTCTAGCGGTATGGGGCGGGTTGTCACGGCATCCGGGGTGTTTATGGAGAAATGTCGGCCACGTGACCGGTTCGGGGACCGCTGCCCGACTCCATTCGGAGCCGGGACCGAACAACCATGCAGCATAGGCAGCTCTAATTGGCTGGTCAAACAATATTCCGACGCCACTAAGCACCAGCAGCCGATGCAGCCAATAATCGTCGAGCTGTTGGAAATGTGCGGTGACATCCCCTGACACCGCCGATAGCTTGCTTATCTTTGTGGTATAATTCCAAGATAAGTTTATCGAAAGCTGTCTTCAACTTAAAAACAGTTCAGTTCAACCTCCTGCAATGAATCGCGCGGGGATGCGGCGACTTTCGCTGCTGCAGGCGTCCGGGCGACGCGCCTTGTCGTCTGTATCCCTTGCAACCACCAGAAGATGGCCAATTGCGTCAACAGGGCCAGCTCCCTCTCTCTCGCGGGTGCCAAGGGCGAGGCCATTGAGCACCACAACACCGTTCAGGAATGACGGTCAAGATGATGAGCAGACGGGCTCATACAGCGAAGCTGACCACGAACATGCCGTTATTTCAACCTTTGATCTCTTCTCCATTGGCATTGGCCCCTCTTCCTCTCACACTGTCGGACCCATGCGCGCCGGAAACATTTTCGTCAACGACTTGGTTGAAGCCAACCTCTTGCACAAGGTCAACAAGATTCGCGTTTCCATCTATGGAAGTCTTGCATTGACCGGCGAGAGCCACATGACCCCCTCTGCTCTCCTCCTTGGTTTAGAAGGTGCTGATGTCGAGACTGTCGACACGGGTTATGTGCCCACGCGATTCACCGAGATCAAAGACACCAAGAAAATTCATCTGGGTCGCTGGCTCGCGAAAGATGGCAACAAGGGAAGAGAGATCGATTTCGACTATGAACGCGAATTCGTCTGGGAATGGGGTCGCAAGCTGCCCATGCACAGCAATGGCATGCGCTTCACCGTCTTTGACAAAGAAGGCTACGTCTTGGCTACCAACGACATGTTCAGTGTTGGTGGTGGCTTTGTCGTTAACGGTGCACTCTCCATCGCACCGGAACAAACACTCTCACCGAATGCCCCAGCTCAGCTTGAAGCGTCCGATCCGCAGGCGGAACCCACCGGAAGACATCCAGCTGACTTGGCCGAGAACATGTACTACAAGGAAATTCGGCGCTCTGATGCCGCCGGAGATCGCAAGACCGGTACCGAGATCAAGCCTATTGAAGCTGCCGCTGTTGAGCCGGCCGCACTTGTCGGCGATGACTCGGCAAACAACCCCGAAGCCAAGACAGACATTTCGACAGACGTCAAATCCGAGACCAAGAGCACCACTTCTCCGCACCCACGGTACCCGTTCCGGGATGCCGCTAGCTTGCTGTCACTATGCCGAAAGCATAATCTCACCATTGCGCAACTGGTCTATGAGAATGAGAAAAGTCTCGGCTACACAGATGAGGACATTTACCGTAAGCTGTTCAAGATTTGGGGTGTTATGGATGCCAGCATTCTGGAGAGCGTTCAAGCGCCCCCAGGCTCGAAATTGCCCGGCTCTCTCAAGCTCCATCGACGAGCACCAGCACTGTACCAGCGGTTGACGAGGGGATTGTATCCTTCTTCTGCCAGCGAGACGACATCGGCTCGTCTTCAAAGCAAGTGGGCCTCACCCGAGGCAGAGGAGAGTGATGATGGAGCATTGCCGTCCCCGACAGCTGTATCCAAGACATCTGCTGCTTCTAATACACCCGAGCAAGTGAAGAGCATAGGCATTCGCAAACGCCATCCTCCTCGTATTCACGGCTCATTGGATCATCCGATCGCTCCGTCCCCATCACGGCGGACTACGTTCCCGACCATGGACTACTTGGCTGTGTATGCCATTGCGGTTAACGAGACCAATGCAGGTGGCGGCCGAATCGTCACCGCCCCCACCAACGGTGCTGCAGGCATCATTCCCGCTGTTCTTAAGTACACAATCGAGTTCATCAGCGATGATCTGGAGCGAGATATTCCCACGTTCCTTCTCACAGCTGCTGCCATCGGCATGCTGTACAAGCGTGGAGCTACCATCTCTGCTGCCGAAGGTGGATGCATGGCTGAGGTGGGCGTGGCTTGTTCAATGGCTGCTGGTGCATTTGCTGCGTGCATGGGTGCAAGCCCTGAGACGATTGAGCAAGCTGCCGAAATTGGTATTGAACACAACCTCGGACTGACTTGCGACCCCATCGGTGGACTTGTCCAAGCTCCCTGCATTGAGCGAAACGCTCTGGGGGCCACAAAGGCCATATCGAGTGCCAACTTGGCTCTGAGCAGCGAGACTGGAACGCAGCGAGTGAGGCTCGACGATGCTATCCGGGCCATGCGACTAACAGCCAAGGGAATGAGAAACGAGTTCAAGGAGACGAGTCTGAGTGGGTTGGCGACAAGTGTGCACATTAATATTCCAGTCAGCGTGCCTGACTGCTAGAGATTTCCTTGCGCGATGCTTAAAAGAACTGGGACTTTGCTGCAGTATCGTGTTTATTGTGACTGCACATGCATGGTAGATCTAGTTGAGCAGATTCGAAACTAGACCCTACGTGGGGTATCTTGGTTACCTACATATGCTCGTGACTGAGTAAAACAACGCTTGAGGCACTGCCTCTGTTTCAGCGGCTAGCTATTCACTTATCTATGTTCTCCGGAAAAACTGGATCTAGAACAATCAGGTGGTGGATTGAAGGACTAGATTGGCTGTAAGACCAGGTGTGAAAGCATAAGAATGTCTTGTACTCTCGTGCCCAGCACTTTGCCGATTCGAAGGCAAACCACTGCGTCTGTAGCGCGACAAACGCACTGTGTTTGCCCTCACACAGTTATGTTGAAATACCGTGGCGAATATGAACACAAACATGCCTATCACACCCGTCCCGCGCATTCACTGCACTTTTAGCAGCCCTCAAAGGTTTGAAGGGCGGGGGTGACGTAGCCATATCCTCCTCCTTTGATTAGCAACACCCAACATTGTATGCGGTCGAGTGTTGATTATCATGGGATTGACTGAAAGAAGAAAAAGAGGGGGAAAAATCCATGACTGTTACCTCGTGTTCTTCTTAGCTCATTTTCGTCCTTGCTCCCCATCTCACACCTCCAAAGGATTGCCCATTCCAAGCCCTCACTCAACCTGCAGAGCCTCAACCAAGCCACACACTTATGTGAGCGCTACAGATGGTAAGCTACCCCTGTTTAGCCAGTCAAACCAAAGCAGTTGAAGGCGACTGTTACCGAGTGGGAATGTACTAAACGAACCGATAGGATAGGAGCGATTCATATCGAGGAGGGGCAATATACCTATTCTGGAAGTCAACGTTGCGTTAACTATTAACACCCTCCCCTTGGATATTCAGGACAGATACTCGCCGTATCAGACGGCTTCAAGAGCCGCGATGGAGGGATCCGGGGTAGAAGATGCGGGCATAGCCGTTGCAAGCCCGATGGACGACTCTAGAACTGACCCCAACGACGACCCTGAATCCAACATGGGTATCTGTTCCTTCGGAGACTAGAATGAAGTCTGGGAATGTTCGGAAATAGACCCGGAACTATGCGATTGGAGTGGATATTATGCTACCAAGTCTACGGATGATGGGGAGGGCACCTCTGGAGACCCCGAGCCACCGTCAGTGAGTACGAACCATGAGCCCAGCCTTCACAAGCGACCTAGACATGGATCGGAAGACCACGTCAATGGGGATCCAGATGGATGAGCCTCTCGTCAAGCGCCAAAGGCCTCCGCGTTTCACTTTGGCATGTCCCTTCTTCAGACACAACTTAACTAAGTATCAGGTGTGCTATGATCGCAAACTCACCAGCATTAGCCGTGTCATCCAGCATATTTTCCGTGCCCACAGAAGACCTCCTTATTGTCCCGTCTGCTTTCGGACATTTAATAGCGACGATGCTTGCGACGAACATCTCATTGAACGAGCGTGCCAAATTGGCGAACATGTTGTACCGGATGGAATCACTCGCTCCCAAGAGGCGAGGCTTCGGTCGCGGAGAGCCCCAAGAAACATGTCGGTAAACGACCAGTGGTTTAAGATCTAGAACATTCTTATCTTAGAAGCCCCAAAGACCAAGTCTATCTATCTAGGCGATTAGCAATCTAAAGTGATTGATGCCTCGCGCCAGTTCATAAACCAAGAGGGTATAGCAATAATCGTCAGGCAGCTAGAAAGAGACGATTCTCGGTGGAAGAATAACCAGGAATTAAGGAAATAACTAGAGAACGCATTGCATAAGGTATTTAATGAGTAGGAAACTTCTCAAAAGAGCGAAATGAAACAAAACAACAGTGGACTTAGTTCGAGGTCAAAGGAAACATCACGACAGAGAGCGCCAGCGGAGGGAGAAGTTGGCCAAGGGACTGAGAGTGAGACTGTCGAGGGGGAAACAAGCTCGGGGACCCGGACGTCGACGGCGATAAGCTCGCAGATGAGGGCACCTCAGGGTGAGTAGAAGGAAGGCGACTTGTTTACGATGACGCAGAGGTGGTTCTGCGCTTGGGACTGATGGACACCGATCAAAAAATAAGTTTTGACAGAGTCAGGATTTAGATCTAACTCATATACGCATGAAGATAGATGAAAGAAATACAACACATAGCGACTGGGTAGGTACTGTTGACCAGGTTGAGGCAGTTACCTGTGACGCGATTGTAAATTAACTTCACAATCTTGGTATTGTGTGCAGTAGATGCGAAACTAGCCCTCAGTCAAACTCTGAGTTATGATGATGTATTATGTGAACTTGGTGACGCTTCTAAAAGAAGCCATCAGTATTAAAACTGTGTATTTTGCACAATACTATCTTTGTTGAGAATAGTACTCACAGACTGAAGTTTTTGTCAACAGCCTTTCGAGATTGACTGTAGCCACTGTTCGATCTTCGGGCTTAGTTGACCCATCAAGGGCCGGGCTGCAACTATAATAAAGAACAGATCTTAAACACATTATAATATCATGACCCGATATTAACACAGTGGCCTGTTTAAACTTCTGCAGCAGCAGAAGAGTCATACCTAGCTGCATCATCATGAAAGTCTAACCTCTCACGGGTATTTTAGTTGCCCTAACCTCCGTAGCCACTGTCCTCCATCATCCATCTTGTCTGTCACGGCACCACCACTTGCTTCGTGTATCACCCCCGTAGTTTAACCACCATAGCGCCATCTTTTTTACTCCTTCCTGCCCCGTGATGAGCAGCCTTTTGCAAAAATTCTACCGCCTGCTTCTTGTTCTTCTGTTGTGCAAGATGCAACGCAGTCTCTCCATTCTTGTTTTGCCCCTCTACATCGGCCCCCGCGTCTACGAGAACTCGAAGAATGTCCATGTTTCCCCTCTCAGCAGCCATCATGACAAGTGTGCACTCATCGTGTTGCCAGCGATAGTTTACATCGCCACCGTGTTCGATAAGTAACTTGAATAGTTCCACATTGCCACAGTATAATGCCCAGTACATTGCGTTTCGGCCGTCATTGCTGGCATGGTTCGGGTTGGCACCTGCTTTGAGAAGCTCTCTGGCCACCTCAAGGAAGTGATTGGCACAAACACCGATTAATACGATTTCACCTTTGGGAAAGTCAGTGACTGCTGGAAGCTCCACGTTGGTGTACCTACGATTAGCGGTGCCAAGGACGTGATTCGGATCGGCTCCAAGTTCCAATAGCAACTTGATCATCTTGGCATCATTCATGACTCTCGCGGTTAGATGCAACGGAGTGGCCCCTCGAGTTAACGTTTTCTGTATTTCTTGTTGCCTTGGCAAGCTGGGGCCCAGTTTCGTTATCGTGCTTACAGGAAGCCATTCGTTTAGATTTGCGCCGTGTTCGGAAAGAAACCGCAGAGAAGAGATGTTCTCCTGTATCAAGGCATAAAAGAAGAGTGATAGTCCTGGGCAGTGTCAGATATTTAGATAGGCTGTTAGACCACTCTAGGTGCACCTACCGGTTTCATCCTTGAACTTCGGGTCAAATCCCGACTCGAACAGAACCTTGAGGCTTTTTATATCCCCGGATCGAATTGCTGGATGTAGAAAAGAGGATTGATCTGACGGCTTGAGTGTCCTGGAAAGAGCTTGAAAGAGGCTAGTTCGACCTGGTATTTCCCCATCTCTGGATAGTAGTCGCCTCAGCTCCTCCACAGAATCACCGATATCACACCCACTGTCGACAAGTAACTCGGCAAACTCATAAGAAGGCAATGACAGAGCAAGTCGCAGTGGACTTCGCAAGTGGAAATCTTTGGTGTTGATCTGAGCTCCATTCTTGATGAGGAGTTGTCCCATGGCCACATCGTTGTCAAAGGCACAGTAGTGAAGGACTGTGAATCCTTGCTTTGACCTACCCGTGAGCCCTACGCCCCTAGAAATGAGGGCACGGACATATTGTTTGTTTTGACTGCGAACGGCATCGAGCATGGCTTCGGGGTTGTCCATGTTGAATAGATCATCGCCGCCTGCTAGGGTATCGGAATTGCTTCATTTGGTTAGCATGAAGCCTAAACTTCTGGTTGTTGTTGCTGCACTCACCTAGAGGCACCGGCTCCTTGATCAGGGTAGTCGATACCAGGTGTCTGATCCATAAAGTTCCTCATCACGAAACCAGCATCACTCTGGCCATCTCTGACCGAGTCATTGTCGACATCCTTCTCGATTTGTTTTCGGAACTCTTCTCCCCGAACGATATCTTTGAAGTCAGACATGATTTTCTCATAGAGCTGGCCTATGTCGGACTTGATTTCGTCAAGCTTCTTCCCCTCGAGGTACCTGAATGAGTGTCAGCTGAAAATCTCATCGCCCATCAGTGTCTTCCTCACTCACCCATGCAAACTGGTTATGGTCAAGTTTAAGCCAGCTTTCCCTTCACTGAGTCTTCCTCGCAAGTCACGGAGCTCACTCTTCTTTATATTCCACTCAATCATTTTAAGAAATTTCTTTCCTCCCGATGCCTTCTGGACGAGGGGATTCAGGAAAGTCCGAATATCCTGCATAGACTTTTCGCAGGTCCCCAGTTGCCCCTTTAACGCTCTCGTTAAGGATGGGGCTTCGACATGTTGGTATTGCTCCGACAGCTCATGCGTCGTGTCTAGAACGGCGGCAAGGTTGGCAACGTCATCTTGGAGATGGAGGATGTCATCTGGGGCATCGCGAATGCCTTGGACGAGGGAATTCAGTCGAAGCGCGACTGTCGCTGTGATTTGGATGATGCCAATGACACTTCCGACGATTCCAAGTGCCTCTGCCATGCTGAAGGGTTGTTCTTGCTCGAGGAATGGGGTGCTCGGTCGGGGATGAGCCTAAACTCGACGCGCGTGAAGAACTTGCAAAGAACCACTGACGAAACGGTTCCATCGACAACAGCAACGATTTATTGCCGCAACGTTCGCAAAGCTGCACCAAAAGGCAAACGGCCGCCCGGGGCTGTGCAATGGCAAGGGCCTGCAGGGAGTTGGAGAGGCCTGCAACTTTCTGACGCTGGGATTGGCTGGCTGCAGACGCATCGCCAGGTTTCCACCCATTTTCTTACACCCTGCATCTTTTCAAGTTGATCCCTGTCGTTGCTGAATCTTCAGGCCTCCAAAGTCATCTGTCTCACTTTACGGTAGATAGTAACACGACGCCGGCCTAGACCCTGGTAGTGTAACGAGGCTTGGTGTAGATCCTAATCCTCTGCTCTCTACACCGTTTTCGCCCCCATCAGTGCCGCCCGCATAGACGTGCACAATTATGCAACGGGTCTGTTGAGGGAGAAAGCAGCATGCTAGAGTTTGAGATAGAGACTGCTAGGGTCTGCTAAGAGTAGGCGGGCTATTTGCAAGCCTGACGGTTACCGGCTGTGCCTTGGTTGGCATGCTTTTTCGATAATGGTGAGGCCTTGACTAGATCTCGCACCTCTGATGACTTTTCAATCCTTTGATATAGATATCTCACTCAACAATTGTTCCAGCTGAGCTTGAGATCTCCGAAGCCTCAACGCCTCTCGCACAGCCTTGCGGTGTCTCCTCACTAATGCACAGCCATCCCATATTTATTGGCACTCGAGGTATCAAACGTAAGCACTTCTAACCACGCCATACGATATTCTCCTACTTGGTCCTATACATAGCTCATCGCTTTTCAATGTGTAGGCGAGATGAGATGGCTTTCAATCTGAGCGCATTTAGGAGGGTTTCTTCCAGACCCCCCTGCAAATGAACGACGTTTTCTAAAACATGGCGTTCAAAGTCAAACGCCAAGCAAAGCAAGAACAAAGACAACGCCTGGCCTTTTTCGACCAAGCTCTCATTTGATCCCGGACACCCCCAATAGATGCCATCAGTCGTTTGCACCCTTCCGCCGTCCAAGGTCTGTTCATGGGCAGCCCACTTAGTGGAGATTTCCTAGGCGCCTCAATCGGCTCGGATCTAGGATCAAGGCTGGAGGCGGCAAACGAGGAGCAGACTGTAACAGGGGCGGAGGGTCGGTATTAGGCATCGACTCTGGCCAATTCATCGCAGACGCGGTCACACGCGTATTGAAAGCCTATGGCAAACACGTTGGGAGAAATGGCTGGTAGCAAACAAATCATACGGCCAATCAGCAGGTTGCTTACACGAGGAGCTGAAAAGCGGTGGATGCAACCATCAACGCCACAATATCCCGCATGTTGGGATCCATAACCCTGTTCCATTTCAACCCATCCCCATTACCCATGGAGAATGAGATGATAGAGTTAACTTGGACGTTGATGAACTCGACTACGTAAAGATAGATATTGAAAAGTATTTTCACAGGGCTACCATGTCTTTCAACACGTCCAGGAAACCCCCTTTGCCATTGCCCAGCCAGGAATTTGGAGGCCGGTGGACGCTGTGCAACCTTTGGTGGAGTCGGCTTCTTTGTTTGTGCAGCCTACAGAGCACCTTGTCGCTACAAACACTCTAGCGTGCATGATTTGTGACAGATGGGCATTTCTCATATGTTGTGGTCTCTCAACCATCGGGTCATAAGGCGGCGGCACCCAGAATCCCCATCCATCTCACCTCCTTCATTAACCATCGAATGTTTGTTCATCCAACCCCATCAGGCGAAATGACTGACCAATCACCCCGGTCACGAGTCCTAATCGAGCGTATCAACAGAGAGACAGAGAAGTGTTTGACAGTCCTTGACAGGCTACCACGACCAGCTAAGAGAAACGCACGCGAATCGCACGTTGTTGAGGCCAAACTTGCCGCGGCAGAGACAGAAGCAGAATGCCAAGTTTTGCGAGCGGAGAGGAGACGACTCATCCGTGAGAGCGAGTCTGGTCTGAAAGAAGCGATAAGGGACTGGCACGACGAAACTAATGATGTCGTGGAGGACCTGGTTATTACCTTCCTCAAGCCCATGCTGAAGGAGATTGAGTCTCACGTCGCCAAGAGTAATCGTGATACTATTCAAACTGACCCTCCCAGCGGGGTTGATCAAGTTGCAAGCCCACGCACGCCAACAATGCCAGCAACACTGGTGTCTGGGACCAACCAGGTACAAGAAAGCCCATCCGTCGCCTCCAACATCCTTGCTGCTGAGAAGGTTAGTGGCATACTCCAGATGACCTGCTGTGATCTAGGACTCATGATTTTAGCCAACCCACAAGAGAAAGGCGAGCCCCAGTCGCCCACCTGCTCCGAAAAGACAACGACGCGAGCGAGAGAAGAATACGACAACATTTGCCGAAGTCTTCTGTAACGGCAATGCACCCGTCAAACGCATCATCGTGCAGTATCCTCCTGATTACGGCAAGTGGTACATAATACGATGCCGGAGGCACAATGTCAACTTCCGGGAGAACCCTCTCAAGGCAGCATCACGCCACATCTGCCAGAGCAAGCATCCCAATATGCCACGGAACTATACATCAGTCATCAAGATGATGGGATATCGGGTCGTGGATTGTGATGAGGATCTCGCTGAGAAGAACAATGCTGTGGCCAGAGAGGCGTTTGGAATTCGTAGCCAACCTCGCTCTGCGGATAGCATTGAGGTGGGATACGATACTATCGTCCCCGGGCCTGAGAGGCCATTTCACGATGATGATGGCGACTACGGAGAAGAAGGCCGTCGTGAACCCACACCTAAGACCAGCAGCTCAACTCGACGTCGGAGCGTCATGGTAATCACAGACCCGACACCCGGGGAGGTCTATCAGGTCTACTGGAGAATGTTGAAAAAATGGACCGCGGCAATTGTGCTCCCGCTTGAAAACCTCGAAAGATTTGGCATCGAAGACTCAATCGAAAGCCTAGGGCTGCTCAAGAGTCTCCCTTCATGCTATACTTACGACGCCTTGGCCAAGACATTCAAATGGAGCAAAGGATGCGAGGCTGGCGGTAATAATGTCTCTAAGCGAGAGTTTCCCGTCATGTTCTTCAATGGCTCGCCATTTCCTGACGCAAGTGAGGTTGCTTGGGTCCCAGCCAAAGATTTGAACCCCCCTGAGATATGGGCGTTGGAGCCTCACATTCAAAGGCAGGTCCTGGACTTTCTGGCGACTAGAGAGGCTAGACAAGAGAGAGTTGTCGAAGACGAGTCTGAAGAGAGAAGCATCGAAGAGGAGCCGGAAGAGAGGGGCGTTGAAAAAGAGCCAGAAAGAACAAATTCTGGGGAAAAAGAAGGTAAGCAATCTGTGGATACTGATCAATGAGCATTCCTGACATGGCAAGATCCTTGCCAAACAATCCAGCAAAACGAGCCCTTCCAGCTGCCGACTCAGACTATCCCCATGGAAGAAGAGCCAACGGAAACATCACAACCTGTCCAGAACGTGGAGTCTGGAGTTGCCGCACCCGTAGTCATTGATCTGACTGGCGAAGACTCATCATCAGACGAAGAATCCGACGCGGGCAGGGATACCGCATCGGGTCAGGAACGACCAGCGGATTCTGCTGTTAACGAAGCTATTGGCAACAATCAACCAGTAGCTGTGGAAGACCACTCTCAAGTGGAACCTGAAGATAGAGATCCTTCAATGGACACAACGCCCAGCACCGACAGTACAATTACGGATCCACCAACACCTGTGGTGGCTCAGTCGCCAGTTACTGAGCAGGAAAACATCCTTGGCCTTCAGCTGACAGCTTCCATGACCCCAGAGACAACTTTACTGGCGCAGCTCGCATGCAGAATGGTAGACCTGGGAGACAAGAATATCGAGCCTCAATATACGTCGAGACAGGTAGCTGCCGAGCAGGCCATGCAACACTCTCGCTTGGAGAGACCCCGCGAAACCCCTTACATCGCTCAGAGCTCGCCCAATATCCACATGGACCAAAGTCCCCATGCTATGACTCCTGCGGTCCAGAATAGGCCACACCCCATCCCTCGGCCACAGACCGTGGGCCCAAGTCCAGGGCGGTTGCCTGAGCTCAGGGTCCAAACGAACCACCAAGAAAAGTCCGCCTGCCGATTGCCATCAATTCAGAATCTACTCGAAGGTCCTCAAATGACTGGCTTAGGTATCAGTCAGCCCAGAAGAGCGACCCAGTCCCCCATGATGCCACCAAGTCCTTACACTCCAGGATCCTCTATCCCCAACCATCTACGCCCCCCCAATGAAACGCAAACCCATCCGACACCGGCCATGATGTCGCCCCAACTCACACCTCGCGCGACTACTTTCCGCAGCTGGAATTGGCTTTCATGCTTCACCCAACCGGTTGCGGAACAACTCCAACTAGCAAGCGGATCGCCTACCCCTGCGAGTCCGAGAGATTTCATGGACCATATGGGCCGCCTACAATGCCCATTTTGCAGCATTCATGTATTGCAACTTGATCATTTCACTCAGCACTTGCAACACCCGTGCCGAAGCATTTCGGTAGGGCATGCTTCCCCAAGCATGTCTACTGTTACAAGAGGATAGGCAGAAAGGTCCTGTCGCTAGATCTGGAACGCGATCCTGCTTTCTACGATGATGAAACATATTATTCTACTCAAAGAAACAATAGGGAACCAAGGAGAAAATTAAAGGCTTTACTATTGTTAAGACCATCATCTATCATGGACCTCCAAATGATCCGTAGATTTTCAGCTAACAACGTTTCACTCGTCGACGTGTTTCATAACGCCTCGGCATCAGATTTCTCCCTTCACCACGCGCCTTCTACCGTCTTCTACCTAAACTAATTCGAGCCCGATTCAACATGATCCGTCTTTTTACTCTGCTTAGGTTTGATGAGAAAAGATACCAGAAACACAAGTCCTGCTAGGGATGTGTAGAATGCCCACATGATGCGCAAGCCGCTCATATAGTCCTCCTTATCGGTCGTAGCCGATCCCTCTTCGTGCGAGACAGACGTCAAGTTTCCACCACCGACGGTTCTCTGGATCAACACTGTTCCCACAACGATAGAAATAGACGTGAATAGGCTTCGTAGAAACGTGTATGCTGACATTGCCGCCGTCAAGTCCCTGTGGTGGACATGGCTCTGTAGAGCGATCATGGGGTTCTGGAACAGCACTCCAGATCCCATACCAGCGATAAGCTGGAAGACTGTGATCTTGGCCCACTGAACACTCTGAGAAAGATCAATGAATAACCCAGTACCCAAAGTCATTAAGCCAGCTCCGATGGTGATGAGAATCTTGAAGTTTCCAGTTCTTCGAACGATATATCCGCCTAGCAGCGTTACAAAGGACATGGGTAGTATGAGGGCAAAGAGTGTGACTCCAGATATGATGGGCTTGAATCCTAGTATGACTTGGAAGTAAAGAGGGAGGAAGAAGTCGTACGAGATGAAGATGAACGAGTGTAAACACGCAACCGTGAACGAGGCGATATTCGTCGTGCTCTGAAAGATGTGGAAGGGGATGATGGGCGTTTTGGCGAATTTGGCTTCCCAGGCCATGAATAGAGCCAAGATGACGACTCCAAAGACTATCAAGCAAATGACAAGCGATGAATCCCAAGGCGCAAGTCCGCCAGAACCAGCCTCAAGGCCGTAAAGGAAGCAGATGGTGCCACCGATGATGAGGGCGAATCCCATCCAGTCAAGGCTACGCAGTCCATCCACCACCGGCTCTTTCTCGATGTCGATTTTAAGCGTGAAGAAGAGGACGACCAAGGCGACGGCATCGAAGGGGAGATTGATGTAAACTGGTTCGACATTAGCTTTCGAGCATGAACGTTAGGTCAACAGGTAACTCACAGCACCATCTCCAACTGACGGCCTGCGCAAAGATGCCTCCTAGGACAGGTCCAACAGCACTGGCAATTCCGAAGACAATACCCGTGAGGCCGTAATATTTCGCACGCTCCGCCAGAGCAAAAAGGTCGCCAATGATGATGGTGATGAGCACAGTGGAGCCCCCACCACCAAGTCCCTGGACCACCCTGCCAGCGATGAGTGTCGTACTCGAATGGGCCAGGGCACAAATAAGACTTCCGCCCATGAATATCGCCGTCGATATCATTATCGTGGGCTTCCGACCGAAAATGTCTGAGAGCTTTGCCCATACTGGCGTCGACGCCGTCGTGGACAAGGTGTAGCCACTACCAATCCAGGCATATTCTCGAGCAGTGACGTGGAGTTGATTGGCGATAGTCGGCAGCGCAGTCGAAGTGATAGTAATGTCGAGAGCTGAAAGGAAGAGTGTCAAACAGAGAGAGAGCATGATCAGACGACGCCTCCATGTCCCTATCTTGGGGGGCTGGTACGAGGTACCAGTCTCGACCGGCTCAAGGCAGGCCCCTGCCACTTCCTTTTCCTGCTGAATTTGTGAATGGTCCGCCATGATGATTGCGAGCTCGAAAATGAAACAACAGAACACGATGGATCATGCTGGAAAAGTTGCAGGTGATTTGTCTGTTGACCTTATTTTGTAGCTTCGGTTCGTTTCGGTTCGGCTAAGGAGTGTCTTACGATTCGACCAACCGAGCCTGTTCCGCCGCTGGCAATGAATGACAGTTGATCGCGATATGAATCAATGACTCAGGAAAAACTGTATTCTTTTCTTTGGCTTCGTTTCGACACCTATTGGGGTCGATGTGTGCACCCAGTTTTTCGCCCTTTGATAGACAGCATCGGGATGGAAGTCCAGAGGGGGAGGAGTCTGGGTTCCGAGCTAACGGAGCTTCATTAGGACTGGGGTGACGCCGTATCGATGCTACGTAGCTAAAGTCTCGGTGGACTGATCGATTTTATCCAAACGAACAAAAATGATTAATCAGGTCTTCGCATCCAGGGAGCTACTTGAGCTATCCTACGACAGGTGTGCGGCAAAAAGAGTTGCTCAATAGGGCTAAACTCGGGCGTGAGTTGTCCCAAACAAAAAGGGGACACTACGCTGGGACAGCAAAAGAATCACAGCATTGCGACTGTCAAACTGTCATTTGACGGTACACCAGGGACTCGAACCCTGAGCCTTAGTCTTAGGAGGACTACGCGCTACCATTGCGCCAGCATACCTGAGCGATCCTAATGGCTCGTCATTGACTGCAACGTGGTCGTAATGCACCTCAAGAGCATGACTACTCGGGCCAGCCACGTTACTTCAAAGGCGTCACACTCTATCCTCGACGCACAGAAAAGTCACAGAAAGGTTTCGATAGTTGCCTCTGTACCAGTATTCATCCAGGAGCCACCATAGCTGACAGGGATCAAGTATGGAGAAGTCTATGTGGGCACCAGTCAAGTACTCTCATTCAAGGCTGCATTCACTCCAAGGACGTTAAGCCAGTGTCTATAAACTACCATCTATAACTCAACAAAAGGAAGAATGACTCTGCTAGGATACTCTCCACCAAAGTGAACAGTATGGCGGCCCTTGTTCTTCTCGCTCTCTGGCCGAGGCTTGGAAAACGCTGCCACTTCTGTGAACCCAGGATACTGCCCCAAGATATCCACCTGAATACTCTCTCCAGCCTGGTAGTCAACACCCATGGCCCAGATGCCAATCTCCAGCTTGACCACCTCACCCTTGGGGACCAATTGCGCCTCGTCGTGTGGGTGGAAGGGGAACTGAGAATGCAGGGAGCGAGCAGAGTCAACCTTTCGATGAGAGGCTCGGAGAATTCCCATTGAGCCATTGTGCAGCGTGAGGCTTACACGCTCCTTCTCAGACATTTCGTCAAGTGTCTTGACGGGAGTCCTGTCGATGGGGAATTGTAGGTGGCTCAGCTCCTTGCCCGACTTGTCAAGCTTTCGCAACTGAACAAAGACGACCATGTCGTCCAGGGCATCACAGTTCATATAGAGCTCCGCTTTGGGGATTCCGAGGATCCGTGTAGGTTTGTCGAATGTGTATCGGAACTTGGAGATGGACCATCGATCCTCGGAATCGTGAGAGGTAGTACCAGCGGAAGGAAGATTATCGAGAAGACTGCCATCCGATCCGAGATACAAGGAACGGTAATTGGTGTTTGGCGAGGGAAAGTCGGGCAACTCAATGTTCTCCTCAACACGGCCTTGGTCATATTGGAGGGTTGCCCAACGGACTCGGGGTGTCTTCTCCCAGTCGTTGTCAATACCTTTCAGGTACTTGTCAAAGTATTTCTGAGACGATATTAGTGGTGGTCTTAACAAAGGATTGTGATGCAGAATGCTTACCTTGAGCTCTGAGTAGCTTTCCCTCTCGCCGTAAAGCTCAAACCACTCCTGATGTCCACACCACTTGATCCACTTCTTGTCACTCTTCAACTCCATCCAGCCTCGCACAGCGCCCATGGTATGAATCTGACTGAGGTCGGAGCCGGTGATGAAAACAGGAATGTCAATCTTGCTGAAATCAACACGCTTATCGTTCCAGTATGCGTTGGCAAGGGGGCTGCGGCGATACATCTCGGCAAAGTCTTCCACACCATGGTTACCCTTGATCACCAATGTTGTGATAAGGTCAAAGTTGCTCATAGTGAACCATCCTCCCCGGCAAAACTGCTCTCGGAAGACATCTCCACATCCCTCCCAAGGCGCAATTGCCTTCAAAGATGGAGGCTTCTGGGCGGCGGCGTGCCATTGCATAATGGCCAGATAGGAATTGCCAGCCATTCCCACACTTCCATTGCACCAAGGTAGCTTTGCGAGAGCTTCGATGACATCATGTGCATCTTCACCCTCTTGAGCACCCATGCAGACAGTATCGCCATCGCTGTTACCCGCACCGCGAGCATCAACGTTGGCGATGGCGTAGCCTTGGTTCACCCACCAAGCAGGGTCGAGACCTTCAAATTTTTCCAGGCCGCTGACATCTTCGCGTTTGAGGCAGCATGCCCAGACACAGACGTTGAAGATCATGTCAAGTGCAGAGTATTTCTTGCCGTATGGAGACCATGAGATGATGACGGGTACTTTCTCATCGCCAGTAGGACGGAAAACATCGGCGTAGAGCCTGCAGCCATCACGGACAGTGATCTCGACATCGTGGTCAACGCGGATGTCCGAGTCAAGTGTTCTGGCTTTGAAGGGTGCAGAGCCTTTCTTGAGGACTTCTGACTTGCCGATAGTTGGCTCAGCGTATCCATTGACGCCCACCTCTGGCTTGGTGAGGGGCTTGAATGCAACTTGAACGGGAACGGGCATTGTTGGAGATAGAAGGGGGGGGATGAGTAAGAGGAACGAGCAGAGCAGCCTTGACGTTGAGTTGACTAGGTGACTGGCTGATGAGGAATGTGAAAGTAAACTAGGAGAGACAGGATGAGCTTGGTCGATTGATGCGTGGTACCAGGGTGGGAGTTGACGTTGGCTTTAATTAGTTGATGATCATGCATCAATTGCCGTGTCACTAATGCCGGCTACACAGACCAAAGAAGTCGAGACCTCTCCACATCCCGCCTCGTGATTACAACTAAACACCATTGTTTGACCGTGTCATCTCGGTTGAAGTTCTCCCCACGGGGTAAAGTGAGGGGAAAGGTTGCGGGGTGCGTAAGACTCATTTTTCGGTTCGTTCACGAACCGAAATCCGAACCGAACGGAAACGAACCGAAGGAGGAGGAGTTGAGCTTACCCCTGTACCATCTCTCCAGAATGCTTGCTAATGCCGACAATGGATAGCTCCGAACCGAGTGAGGCACATCGGAGGGGCATCTTTAGCTTCAGGTCTCGACTTTCTTGGGATTCATGACCGAGATGAGATATAACTACCTTGAGCCTCATGATCTGCATATTCTTCTTCTCATCAACACAATCTCATACAATTTGATCTATACCTTCTCCATCTTGCATTCACTCCAAATCATTCGTCTTTCAATCTACCAACATGTCGAGCACAATGTCAATGACCCAAACCGTCGCTGCGCGGTTTGAGACCAAAGACCTTGTCGACTTTGACACCAGCGTCACATACGGCGACTGGCGAGATGAGTTCCACAAGCACGGCTGCGTCCTCATCAAGAACGTCATAAGCCCCGAGAGAGCCCAGTACTACTGCGACAAGCAGATCGAGTGGCTCAAAAAGTTTGACCTTGGCTTTGATGACAAGGATCCCAGCACCTGGACTGCCGAGCACCTCCCCGTCAGCTTCAAAGGTGGCATGTACTACTCGTACGGCGCTACCCATGAGAAGATGGCTTGGGAGGCTAGAACGGAGCCCAAGGTTGTTGAGATCTTTGAGAAGCTCTGGGATACCAAGGAGTTGCTCTGCTCGTTTGACGGCCTCAACGTGTCTATGCCCAACCGCAAGGACATCTCGTGGAGCCCTTGGCCGCACTGCGACCAGAACCCTGAGCGCAAGGGGTAAGTGGACTACAACTTGCAGTGGATAAGACTAACCAGGGGCGAAATAGTATGCAAGCAGTCCAGGGCCTCTTGAACTTTGCCCCCAACGGACCCAAGGATGGGGGTCTCATGCTGATGAAGGGCTCTTCCAAGCTCTTCAACGAGTTCTTTGCCCACAAGCGCGAGTCAGCTGACCACGAGGATGCTCCTCCTCCTGAGATCAAGTACATGGATCTCTTTATCTTTAGCGAAAAGGACGTCAAGTGGTTCGCAGACAAGGGCTGTGAGATGATCAAGGTAAACATGGAGCCTGGCGACTTTGTCCTCTGGGACTCGCGCACGATGCACTATGCGAGGTTTCCCGAGGGTGATCAGATCCGACATGTGCAGTATATCTGCATGACCCCCAGACGGTTTGCCACTGAAGAAGCTCTCGAGGCCAAGAAGTACTGTTTTGAGAACTTTGTTGGCACCACTCACTGGCCTCACTGGTACGTATCATGTTACCCACTCTGATTGCGTGCTAATTTGCCATAGCAACATCCGCATTGCTCAAGAGAAGCCTATGAGGAATGGCGAGGTCTGCCCCAAGTACAGGACGGAGCCTTTTGAGAAGCCTGATGTGACGGACCAGGTTCTGCGGCTGGCGGGCGTCAAGCCTTACACGGAGTGATGGAGGAGAAATCAATATATTCAGCAGCCTAGTTAGAAAAGAAAATTAACTCTGTCTTGATTAAACTATTCGCTCTCTCACTGTGTCTTCATGCCTCTTGTCTTTGACGAGTAAGCCGATCTAGGTGTGAGCCTGTGAGCCATCTGCCATGGGGCCGACACGGAGTGCACTACTTAGGTCATGTCCGTGATGTTTTGACAACCGCCAAGAGATTGCAGCCATTTGGACTCGATAAGGTGCTGATGAGATTTGGTCATGGCATTAGAAATGCAACGGCCTGGATAGGCCAACCCGAACCAAGGGACACCAAAAACGCGGGGGACGCAACTCGTCAGCCGAACGGTGCTCGGTTCGGCTCTGCTACCCCGGATTCTCTAGTGGCAATCTCGGTTCGTCCTCTTATCAAGCAACCAACAAAGCTTAGTTTCCCTCTCAATTCGGGATGTGGCCCTCTAATAATGCGGGGAAGCCAGAGTTGTGGCGGGCTAGCCAAGGGCGTTCACTAGAATCGAAGCCAAGGAGACGACCTTTTTTACCTCCTTGGCCTTTGCCTTGACTTGGCCATTTCGTGTATAAAGCCAGCGTCGTTGGCATCGTTGAGGGCTTCAGGACAAGGCACACACTGACAACGAAATCGCGACGCAACAAAGGTTTTTTACAATGAGTAGCGAATCTCATCCCGTGGACATGAAGCAAGATGCCAGCCATGTCGAGAACGTCAATGTTGACGACCTCGAGGCTGTTCATGTTACAAAGTCCAAAGTCACTGTCAGCGGGACGGTGAAGCTCACCGAGGGAAAGATTGTGTACATTCCCATGCCTACAGCCGATCCTCGAGGTAAGTTGAGTTTCTGACAAGAGGAGACTTGCCCTGACAAGTTGTAGATCCTCTGAACATGAAGATGTGGCAAAAGGCCATGGTTCTCGTAACCATCTCCCTCTGTAAGTCGCCTCAACATCACGAACCATCAAAACTATGAGTACTGACAACGAAAAGTCTCGACAATCGGTCTAGCCCTCGTCTCTGGATTCGGAGGGCTTCTGGGCTTCTACATCCCCGGCTACGCGGCCGTTGGGAAGGGCTACGATGATATCACGCACTTGATGACATATCCGACCTTGTTCATGTAAGAAACTCTCTTCTTCTTGGAATAAACATCGCTAATCGCTTCAGGGGCATCGGAAACCTCATCGGAATGCCTCTCGGTATCGCCGTCGGCCGTCGAATCGTCCTCCTCGGAGCTACAGTCATCATGGTAGCCAGCGCTGGCTTGTGTGCTGGGGCGAAAACATACGAATGGCATCTTGGTGGACGCATCGTTCTTGGCCTGGCTGCTGGTCAGAGCGAAGCTCTCGTGCCCATGATCACCCAGGTATGTGACAACCGAGTAATATTTGACTTCTAGGTCGGAACTAACTCCTAGACAGGAAATTTTCTTTCTGCACGAGAGAAGTCGCTGGTTGATGTTCCAGCAGTCGATCCAAACAATCGCCACAGCCGTTTTCGTCCTTTTTGCCGGCCCAATCGCCGGTGCCATCACCCCTGAGTGGTGGTACGGGCTCGGCGCCTGTCTTTCTGGGCTCTGCTTTATCATGGCCGTCTTCTTCGTTCCCGAGACAAAGTATGACCGCCCCTCTTCATCTTTCCAGGAGACTGAGAGTGACGACGCCGCAACCTCGGAGGATGGCAAGACTTTGACTGTTTGTACGGACCGTCCAGAGCTTGACTTTGTCAACTTTGAGCCACGGACCTGGAAATCCGATCTGAGACTCTGGATTGGAAAGCCAGAGTGGAATAAGCTGACCGAGATCTTTGTGGTAAGTACCCGTGATCCCAGAAGAATACACATGGTTAATCATGGTCAATAGCAAACCTTTGGACTCCTCCTCTTCCCCAACGTCCTTTGGGCTCTATGCCTTAACGGTCTCACTATTGGAGTCAACATTGCTATCGGCACGACCTACGGAAACATTGTGACGAGCCCTCCTTACAACTGGCCTCAGACCTCTGTGAGCTACGTCAACGCCGGCCAGATCGTCACATCTCTGGTTGCTTTGCCTCTACTTGGTCACGGCTCTGATAAGCTCATCACCTACTTTGCCAAGAAGCGTGGAGGCATTCATGAGCCTGAGATCCGCATTATCCCGCTCATTTTGCCTATCATTGTTGGTATCTTTACCGCTGTGCTGTATGGGCTTGGGGCCGCCCATCCAACTAAGTATCACTGGTTCGTCTACGTCTGGGCAGTAGCTGCGTACTACTTCACCTTTGTTGGAGCAAACATCGTCGCCATCACCTACCTCTTGGACAGCTACCCCCAGCGAGCTGGTCCACTTCTCGTCATCATCTGTGCGTTCCGAGGCATTATCTCCTTTGGAGTCAGCTACGGTATTAGCCCATTCATTGAGAAGAATGGCTACGATGGGGCGTTTGGAACCTTTGGAGGTCTGACCGGTGCGCTTGGTCTTCTTGGCATTCCCATTTACATCTGGGGCAAGCAAATTCGCAGGATCACCGGGAAGTACTGCATGGATAAGGAGAAGGGTGAGTGATTACCAGAAGCTAGCGAGTCCGTCTTAGGATCGCTCTCGGATGCATAGTCATGAGGCTTTCGGGGGTGGCTTTAGACTGCCTAGGCTTCTCATCGCATGCAGGGAAGATAAGGGGCTGCTAAGAGGGGCCAGGATGATGGTCGAAATGGCTGATTTCATTTACTTTCTATGAGTCAAATTAATTACTTGACGCTGTGTTCAAAATCCATGAATTTGTCGACATGGCAGCGAGCGTGATCTTATCCTGTTGAAACCCCCTTGTATCAGCCTGCGGCGGAGAGACCGTCGTTGGCGGCGTGAACCCGGGGGAGACACCGCCCGATATGGGTCTTCCAGAGCTAAGGTCTTCATCAACCACGACGGGGAATTCCCAATTCTGGTCATCAAGAAGCAGTCGGGCAATCTCAAGTCGTCCCTCTATTGACAAAGCCCGTCGCGGTATGGAGAGCTTAGAAGACCATTTATCTCCAAGACAGGAGATAATCCCGCGAATCTCACGGTTTCCGATGCCTATTGCCCACCAGATTGTGTCCATCAACTTGATAAAAACAAGATAGTGGGCGAGAATGATGAGGGCACGCGGCCTCCTTTTCCGGCAGAGTTCGACATAGGACTCTGGTAAGTAGGTGAACCAAGTAAGGATCCGCAAGTTCATCACTGGCTCGGAGTTTTTAGACAGGTTGAAGTAAAGGGATCCAAGATAGCGTAGGGCCGCGTAGTAGGTGCCAATGCTAGGATGGTCTTCGTCCCCAGGCTCAATCGAGGCCACCACGGAGAGCACGTGGCTGGGGATGTAAAAGGCAGATTGGTTTGGGTCGACACAAGGTCTCAAGAATAATTCGGCCAGCCCAGACTCCCAAATTCTCTTCGGGCTCACGAGATCGATAACATGACTGATGCCTCTCCAAAGGGTCATCCAGTTGATGATGTACAGTTGCTCAGTTCCTTCCTCGCGAAACATGTGAGATGCAAGGTTCGTGAGAAGAATAGAGCATGCAATGATTGCAGGGAAAGTCTCCGGTTTGGCTTCTGCTATGGCTTTACGATAGCCGTGGAACGCGTGAGAGCGATAGCGGACGGCGCGATACATGTCAACATCTTGACCCAGAAGCTCAAGTTGCAGTGCCGAGGTCGCGAGTAGACAATCCATCAAAAACGGGGATGAGAAGGCGATGCGAGGGATATCAACCTTCAAAATGTTGGTAACGCGCGCCTCTCTCGCAGGCTCAATAATGAACGTAGTGCTACATGCTCTGCTAGTGTAGAACCACAGCAGCTTCATGTCGACAGCATCCCTTACTGGAGACTGTATAAAGAGGGGCTCTGAGACAGGCGAAGGAGCTCGAGCTCGGGGAGGTGGAGGTGGAGATTGTTGAGGGTAAACACAGATGGCGTTACGCATGACGCAGCTCCGACATGCCGGCCGAGCTTCGTCACACTTGACCCGACGCGTCTTGCAGACCTTGCAGCCATTTCTCGACTTGGTATGGGTCCTCTTGGTGTGATAGGGTTTTCGCGCCACGGCGGCGTTGGGAGGCTCCATCTTGTGTTGGGAGTCAGGGATGAGATGGAGGTCATGGAATCGAAGAGATGAAGAAGTCAATGGATCGTTAGCGAGACTGCCTCAGTCGCATTCTCACCGCACGGACCAGGCCATGCGCCTCACTCGCTTGTTGACCGTTGAGCCAATGAGACAGGGTTGAAGGATCATGATGCTGGTAATGTCGCCAGGAACGAGCCAATGATGCTTCATCAGCTTCGTTAAGCATAAGCCACCCAAGGAGGGAGCGAAAGAGAGTACGCATCCTCCATCTGTAGGATCGGAATAGAAACTTGTGGATGATGACTGGGAGACTGGCAAAGATGTCGAAAAGAAGAGAGGTGTATAAGAATCTTGCCAAGTTACCAACAACATGGCCATCTCCAATTCCTCATCGTTTTCTCAACTCTCAGCATCTTTATACTTCCCAAGCCGTTAAACGACTTGGCATGGATTACGAAACCGCAATGAAGTCGGGCATCAACCCGGAATACCTTCACGAACTACCAAACGGAACATGGGTGCACCGAGGAATGTTCCAGTCTTTCGGCCCCGGAGCAAACTGCACACTCGATCTCTGTCCCATCGAATGGACCATCTACCAATACCGTCCAAGTCTACCAGCCAACATCACCTTTATGGCCCTATATGTCATTGCCCTTAGCATTCACGTCTACTTGGGTGTTCGATGGCGTAGTTGGTGGTTCATGGCTTTCATGGCCATGGGCTGTATTTACGCCATTATTGGTTACGCTGGACGAGTCGTGCTTTGGAAGAATCCTTGGTCGTTTGGAGGGTTCATGCTTCAGATGGTTTGCGTCACAGGTGGGCCTGTCTTTTACACGGCAGCCATCTATGTGACGCTGTCCAGAGCGTAGGTGCCCTATTGCACACTCACTGAGACATTGAATACTAACAGTAATGGCGAAATAGCATCCAGTTCTTCGCTGCCGAAATCTCCCGTCTACCTGCCAAGATGTTTTACTGGATCTTCATCTCAGCCGATATCACCTGTCTCATCCTGCAAGCAGCCGGCGGTGCACTCTCCTCATCATCGAGAGGTGCTTCACAAACGGGCATCGATCTTGCAATGGCTGGCCTCATCCTACAAGTCGTTGTCCTCGTCATCTTCTGTGGCTTCTTTGCCGATTACATGATCCGTTTTGCACAGCTTCAGAGATCCCGTGGATCCACCCTTAGGGCTGCCATCACCACTCGTCAACAGATGTTCTTCGGAGGACTTGCTGCAGCCATCTTGCTGATCCTGGTGCGCTGCATTTATCGTGTCGACGAGCTCAGCCAGGGCTATAGCAACTCGGACAAAATCACCGACGAGGGGCTTTTTATCGGACTAGAGGGCGTGTAAGTGCTACTTTGCTTGTCTTGCCTTGAACGGCAACTGATATCCAGCAGGATGATTTACGTTGCCGTATGCTGTCTCTTCGTCGGACACCCCGGCTTTGGCTTCCAGCATGTTGACTTGAGTGGGAGAACAAGGGTTAATCAAAACGCAGAAGAGATATCGATGGATTATAACTGCGGTCGTACTGCATCAAAGCAGTTGCTTTCGACGCTTGCTCATTCGACACCCGCTTATTCGGATCGACCCATGTCCTAATGGGAGCACCTTTAGGTGTAGGGTATCACTAAACTTGTTGATGAGGGAATCGACGATACCGTCACGCTTGCAGAGGAGTAATTGGAGAAATAGATAATGATGAGAAAAGAATTCTGACTACTTAAAACTGCTGTTTGGTATTTATTTCCCCCTTAACCTCACTGTGACGGGAGATTGTTCACGCACGCTGTTGATGGCATGGGTTCCCGCCGATCTCGCTGAGGCTAGTGAGCCAACGTAACTTGCGCCGACTCTACGTTTTAGTCACTGCTTTATAACCAACGTGAGTATGGTATCATTTAAGATGTCTAATTTCCTCTTTTTATCTACTATTACCATATTCTTTTCCGCTGTCAAGATATGCGTCAATGCGGCATGCAGCCGATCAGCAACCTCAACGGCCGACGACTCCATCGGCCCCACGTCCACACGAGACGGCGATGGTCTCAGGACCTTGGCCTTATATCATTTAAGAATTTCTTTTTTGTTCACTCAAGTAATCTTGATCTATACCACCCAGATAGACAATTGAACATGCCTAATAATGCTTCATGGCCCCCAGCCATTGCCCACCCTGACCCAGACCAAACCACCATGGATGTCCATAGCCGTGAACCGGTCCCGGGATCGCCACCATGTGGGGGAACTCCGCACAAGAAGAATAATCTCACTGCTTATTGGCTGCGCTCCAAGTACCCCAGATGGCCCATGACCCTCTAGGCCACTTGGGCTCTAGATCCGAGTCCGTTGGGGGGATACAAATGCGTTGTCGGGGCCCTCTCTGTCGCATCACTCCTGTCGCGGGCGTCTGTTGGTACCTTTGTTGACCATCGCGACCTCTGACCCTTGATCCTGGTGATCCTAACTCCATACAGCTCTATCATCATGAGCAACATCGGCGTAGCAAGCGAGGGCGCCTCACCCCCTCGTCCACCACGCTCGAAACGCAACCGCCTCACCCTCGCCTGCACCCAGTGTCGCAAGCGCAAGGTCAGATGCGACGCCTCTACACCAAAGTGTCGCAACTGCGTTCTACGAGGTGACGACTGCGAGACATTTGATCCTCGACGTCCAAATGGTCCAGCGATCAGGAGATGGCCAGCCAAGGCGCCGCAGGGGGGATTAGCGCGACGACACAGCTCTATCAGCGAGCATAGCTCTCCCAGCTCACTCACGAGCGCCCAACATGAGCGGGCAGGGTCTTTATCAAGGAGTGGCCCTAAAGAGAGGCACCCGTCGTGGATTGAGAGGGCGTACCAGGAGAGTCAGACCACTCCTGATCACGTTGCCGATGGCCAGACGAACGACAGCCCTGACGTGGTGATGAACACTGACGACACCTCGCACCGAGTCAAGGTTGGTGAATATTCCGCCATCCATTCACACCGCTGACGACATTTAGTACATGGGATCCAGCAGCATGCAGTGCCTCTGTCAGTTCATAGATCTGTGCTTCGAGAGGAAAGGCCTAGAAGCGATAGGCCCGCACTTCCGATGGGGCATGAGCTTCACTGAAGAGTTTCAACTACCTTTGATGGCCTATCTACCCGATTTGCCTCACATGTCATTGATGGAACCCTTGATTGAAGTCTTCTTCAACCGCACACATCCTCTCGTACCCGTCCTGGATCGGACATCCTTCGTGGCCGAGGTGACACGACTGTTGGAGCTTCAGCAGGCACACGAGAATGGGCTACAGGCTGCCATATCTTCTGCTGACGCTCCAGCTCTGGTAACGATATACAGCGTCCTGGCACTTGGCATGGATGATTCTGAAGGGACGGTCTCAGCGACGGCTACGCCCTACCTCACTGCGGCTTACTCCTTGACCAGCCATTGTCTCAGCCTCCCATATACGAGCTCAGTACAGGGTCTGTTTATGTTGGCAATCGCATTACGTGCAAGAAGTAAGTGTTGCGTACTCGATTGTGAGGACTATTTTGACATCTTCCACAGGCAAGGAGGGACAAAGCTGGCATCTTCTAGGTCAGGCTATCCGGATCGGTCACTCGCTCGGCTTCCATCGACAGATTGTCTCTTCGGAGTCAACGAATCACCCAGACCGAAGACTGCATTCTAGGATCTGGTGGGCATGCTATGCCCTGGAGAAGATGATGCAACTCGAGACTGGACGGCCATCAGTCATAGAAGAGTTTGACTGCGACCAGGCCTTTCCAGATAGGAATAGTGGCCTTAGCCCATATTTCGTCCGATGGGTGTCTCTATCTCAAATCGTCGGCCAAATTGGCGAGCACATCTATCGAAGGAAGGCGACCAGTTCTCTTGGTCTCTTGTCCGAGATTGCACGACTCGATCAAGCGCTGCTCGATTGGGTCGAGGAGGGCTCAGAGGGGCCCAAGTCAGCACAAAGGACTGGCTGGGACTCGAGAGTGACGGAAGAGGAGCAGCCACTTGCTCTCTTCCTATCATTGCAGTACCACCAGGTAAGTGGAAACTGACGGCTTACCCGCAAGGACTCATTACTGACAGTATTGCAGGCGCAAATTACTCTTCTCCGAGCATCACTAATCTTCCCAGAGGCTTCGTTTACTAGAGAGGTCAACAGTCACGGACCCAAGCTCAAAGGTGCCGCACGTCTACTGCAAGGGCAGAACACATGCGTGGAAGCTGCAAGATCCATCATCACCCAAGTTGCCGAGTTTGCCGATTCCCATGACCACTTCATGCTTCTCACACCAACACAAACCTTCTTGGCTGCAGTCACTCTTGCACTCCACACTCTTAAGAAGCCTCACAAGCGTATGGGTCGTTCTGATGGAGAACTTGTCAGGACAGCGTCGGACTACGTGGCCGATTTCTACCGCCGAGTTGGACAGAGTGAGGAGCTTGTCAAGGGAGTTCTAGAGCTCTCGCGGAGGATGAACCAGGTTCTATCTGGGGAGGGGGCTGTAGCAGAACAAGCATCAAGGGTCCCCTCACATGAGGTCCAAGAGGCGAACCCCGAGCAGAGTGCTCTGTCTCCAAGTCAGTTCTACGATCATGGGATGGAACCTCTGACTTTTGATCCAAACGACCAGTTTCAAGACCCTTTCCAGGATATGCCTCTGGATCAGTTCTGGGCGATTATGGAGGGGGAGTTTACGACTGTTAGCGGTCTGAATTTCCCGTAGTACGCGAAAAGAGGCATGCTTTTTAACCTGTTAATTATTTACATAATACCCTTTACTTGGTGACCAACGAGAATTCTACGTCCAGGCCTTGACGATCCAAGCAACTGGCACATCGGTAGGTTCTTGGGGCTTATGCCGCAACACCAAGCGGAAAAGATTCAGTGCCTGAGTTCCTAGAGGCAAGGGGAGCTTCAGCCTCTGGCCTTCCTCAACCGCTTGCTCCAACTCCTTGGCCAGTGCACATAGTCCTTCCTTTGCCTCTGCCGGCTGGCCACGCAGAACGCGAATGATGTCACTGCCAACGGTCTTGAGCATGGCGCTCCCTCCCGCAGCGTTGACGCAGAGCTCGAGGACCTGGTCCAAGTCTAGACCTACGTGATGAGCAAACGACAGGGTCTCTGCTGCTGCACATGTATGGATGCCCTTGAGCAGGTCCACAGCCAGCTGAACCTTGGTATCGACCGCTATATCCTTTTCGAGCACACCAAGCCTTGCACCCCCTTCGAGATACAGCTGGATCAGATGACCGTCATCATGGCTTCCGAGTCCTTTACCAAGACCAAAGAAGTACATTTGCTCAGCCGTACTAGTCATAGGCGTCGCAAATCCGTACCGTCTAGCTTCCGAAGTGATGATGCTCGTGTCCTTCAAAATGATGGTGACCGCGCTGGCAAGAGGCGCCGCAGCGTCCAATATGCGAGGTAGACGATTTTCAAGCATCCAGCTCCAACCATCCGAGGAAACCAATTGCTTCCCTGTCTCAGCCAAGTCGAGGCCTAGGTGGTTGGCAAATCCCAGACCCTCGCTCGCCGAGAGGATCTGGTTGGCGGCGAGCACCTGATGGCACATCTTCATGTTGCTGCCAGCTCCGATACCTCCGTCGACGATGTAGAGCTTCTGAGGGTCTGAGAGGGCTTGCAGAAGGTCATGGCCCTTTGAGATGGCTTCCTTTGAAGCTCCGGCCATGATGGATAGCGTGCCGTCGGCGGCTCGTATTGCGCCCCCAGAAACGGGACAGTCGAGGAGCAGGACGTCGTCTCGTCCATGTTTTTCAATGCGCTTTTGGAGATCCTGGACGAAACCACACGGCACAGTAGAGCAGAGCAGCAAGACAGCTCCCTTGGCTAGTGCGGGGATTGCTGGGTTGTTCCCATCAAGGAGCACCTGTTCAGCCTGTTGCGCCGTGGCGACCATGCAAACGCAGTACTCATGATCGCGTACAGCATCGGCCGGACTCGATGCGGTCTTTCCGCCGGCTTCTTGAAGTTTCTGCAGAATTGGAGCTGAGATGTCGAAGCCGGTTAACGGGTAGCCTTGTTTGACAAGGTGGGTGGCCATGCCGAAGCCCATGGCTCCGAGGCCGATGAAAGCGACGGGCTCTTTCGTGGAAGTCATTTCTTGTATTGAATGCGTATCAAAAATGAAGGTGCAACTGAGAACTGAATGCCATCAGTGCCTCTGCCCAGGTGATCTGATCTTGTACTCCAGGATCGCCCTTTCATCCCACGTCTGCACACACATCAACGCACCCATCACCCCGTAAGAGTAAACCGAGCCGAACCACCCCGCTCCCGCTTCGTTCGGCACTTAAAAGACCGAGTTATGGAGGGATCAACAGTCATCGGGCATATCACCGAATGTTTTCCGAACCGGGGTTCCGGTCCCGGCCGGATAAGATGGAGAAGCCCGAACGGGTAAGCCGAGAATACGGGAAAGCATTCAAGATGGGCGTTAGAGGTCGTGGAGTTGATGAAGATCCCTGCTGGAGCTGTATTTACCCCTCAGTAAAGGTTGAAACTTCAAGAGAAACTTCATCGAGACATTATTCAGAGTAAACACCATGCCACCTACCGCCGACTCCAACAAGACACTGGGCATTCTCCGCGATGCCAAAGCGGGAGGGTATGCAGTGGCCGCCATGTGCTGCTACAACCTCGAAGGCGTCCTCGCGACCGTGAGAGCCGCCGAAGCTTCATCTTCACCCGCCATGGTCCTCTTGTTTCCCTGGGCCATCACATACGCCGGCACATCACTTGTACGCGCTGCAGCAGACGCCTGCCAGCACGCTAAAGTCCCGGTCGCATTGCATCTCGACCACTGTCAGACGCCAGAACTGGTGCGGCGGGCTGCTGATATGGAGAATGCGTTTGACAGCATCATGTGCGACATGAGCCATTACGACGATAACTTGGCTCTTACGAAGGAATTGGTTGCGTATTGTCATGGGAAAGGCATCGCGACGGAAGCTGAGCCAGGTCGCATTGAAGGTGGTGAAGATGGTGTTGCCGACACAGTTGATCTTGAAGGCATCTTGACCACGCCCGAAAAAGCGCAAGAATTTGTCGATACAGGCATTGAATTGCTTGCTCCCGCCTTTGGAAATGTCCACGGCGAATACGGGCCTCGGGGGATCAACCTCGAGTACGACCGCCTCGAAGCCGTCAATAAGGCCGTCGGCGACCAAGTCTACCTTGTCCTCCACGGCGCGGATCCCTTTGACGAAGAAATATTCCAGCGATGCATCAAAGCCGGCATCACCAAGATAAACATCAACAAGGGAATGAACAGGCACTTTCTGGGCGTCATGAAGGAATTGTCGGACAAGCCGTTGACGAGCATCATCGAGGCAGGGACCGACGCGATGCAAAAGGCCATTGAAAGGTACATGTTGTGGTTGGGTAGTGCTGGAAAAGCTGCCTAAAGAGACAGCCAATACAATCATCTTGCTGATGTTCTGTCCTCCAATCATATCCTCCCTAGAAATGCTGTGTTGGTTGCCTGGGAATGCCTGCTGGAGATGGTTTCAGGTGGTGACCATTTTCGCTTATTAAAATGACCCCCTTCTTCCTTTCGCTGACATCTTCAACTTGCAACCTTAGCCATGGATACTCTACCTCAGGACATCATCGACCACATCGTCTCGTATCTTTTGGCTAGAAGGTCCAAGCCCCGAAAACCATACGCCTACCTCCACCATCACTTGTCCCGTGCGCCCCTCGCCACCGTCTCACGCCGGTTGCAGACCGCCGTGGAGAGATGGACATTCAGGGACATCAGGATCAATAGCGATGAGTTGGAAAAATTCGTCCAATTGCTCACGCCTGCGAGACGTACATTTCTCGCTGGTCTCGAGTTCATCCCTATCCTTCCAACCTACAAGGATGCTGCTGGCACCCGAGCTGAATCACCAGCCGAACGCGCTGCCAATGATGAAAGCTACACGCAAGCCGTGCAATCTTTGCTGGAAACCCTCAAGACCTGGGAAGAGGAGGATCCTCATTCGGTCAACTATCGTCTGAAGTTGGCCATCAACATCCCACAATCCCCCAGTGACCGTGCCTGGCCGGGCATCTTCCCTCAATTCAGGGCTCTGTTGCCCAAGGGAAACTGCATCTATGAGGGCCGTTACCTACACTCTTACATAGATCTCCTACGCCTAGAGCAGCTACCAGAGGTCCATAGAGTGAAGCATTTGGTCATGAAGCGCCCGGATAAGAAACGCATCCACCGGAACGTCTGTCACAGGGTGCCTTTCATGCTGGCCTCCAAAATGCCAAACCTTGAATCCATTAATGTGTCCGTGGATGATTCCGAGGAGCGTTTTCTTGACCTGCGGGCCAAAAACCGTCAAGATGCTGCAGACTTGTTGAAACGATTGTCTCTCCCACACCTGAAGAGCGCCCGTCTTGACTTTTGGCACCGAAGATACAATCATGAAGCCACCGTGCCGCCACATCTTCATGGTGTCGGTATCCCGGATCCGTTGAGCGCAGCCATCTGTGACTTTTCAATGAAACTCGTGGACCTTGAAGTCGCAGGCATACTCGATCCCAGCCTCCTTCGGCCACTGAGCAATACTGTTTGGCCGGAGCTCCGGACTCTTCGCATCAAGCTTGAGCCTGTGACGCCGGCTGGAGAGTGGTACTTTCTTGAGAGCCACCCTCCATCTAGCGCTCCGCCGGAGAGACCGTCGTCCGATTTTACTCTCAAAAATCTCCACGAGGAGTCGTTCCACTACTGGCGAGAGTCTAGTTATGCTAGCCAGAAGCATTCTGAAGCATTCCGCGGCCGAGTAGATGAAAGGCTTCTCGCTCCCTTCATCGAGGCGTATGCCGACGCACTGTCAAGCATGCCCAAACTTCGCAAGGCGAGGCTCATCTGTAATCTCGATCTTCAAGACGAGACGCTTTCAGAACCCCTTTCACTCCAAGTTTCCTACTTTGCACCTGGACAACACTCCAAGAGTAGTTCGGTAAAACGCGACTACAACAACCGACAACTGGTGACATCCTTGCTGGGATGGGTGCCCAACCCGGACCTGATGGCCAAGCTGCGAGGCATCCAGGATGAGTATCGTTTTGAGCCCATGAAGGAGGTGGATGTTACTGATTCGTTTGAAAAGAAAATGGAGGCACTGCAGATTTAGTGAACAGAGTCTTTAGGGCCCTGTCCTTCGGTAAAGGTAGTATGACAATTTCCATAGACTGGTATGGTCAAGTTCCATTGGATAAACGAATCAAATATCAATCGGCTTTCTCTACTATTATAATATGCCTATCTATATTTGCAGACCAAATCCCAACATGACAGGAGTCTTATCAAAACTGCCCACGTTCGCACCAAATATAGATCATACGCCCCGATTCGCCTCCGCCCAAAGCGCATCTACCTATTCTTCCCCCATGGAATATCTGTCCGAGACTTGGACTTCAGACGAGAGCATCTGCCGTCTGTAGACTGTCGCGCGTCCCACCTTGGAGGCTATTCTATTCTTACAGCATTCCAACGAGGTGCTATTTGGATTTGCTTCTGCCGAAGAGGCATTTTGCGGCGACCTTTTGTGGTGTTTTGATGGTTCCAAGGCAATAAGCATTGCTCGTCCCAGGATCATTGTCAAGGTGTGAGTTGGCTGCATCTCCGAAAGGCGTTGATGGGCTCGGGGCACCAAGGTTTGAGACTAGATGGGTGGAGCCAACAAATGTTGACAACTCGGTGTTTGTAACCGGCCTTTAGTGATAACACCGCATAAGCTTTTTCGGCAGACTATTCATACTACTCAGCCGAGCGACACTCCAGCGTTCCCGGTATTTGGCAGTATTCACCTGTGTCGAACCGAGCTCGGTTCGGTTCGGCTCGATCAGGGCACAACACCAACCCGATCGACCATCCTACACCAGATCTGGCTTGGCCACTTTTACCCCAGATTCCGACCGAGCGGGACCGAGACGGCATGTACTTGGTGGGCCAGCTTTCTCTACATAGAGAGCAAGAGACAGATAAGAGGGGACCGTCTCAGAAGCGGAGTCGAGTTGAACTTGGACATTCAGCCAAACAAGACTACCCATCATCAGAAACCCCAAGACTACACTCCCTTGCCAATCACTCAGTCACTTGCACATACACAAACGCAACAGAGCGACCAAAACCCAACATGGCACCATCGGCGACTGTGACCACAACGGAGCAGCACCCCGTTCTCACCCTTCGATCAGAGGGCCTCGAACGAATCAAGCTCGACGGGACTGACCGTCGTTATGGTGACTGGCGAGACGATCTGATCCGCGATGGGTACGCTGTCATCAGAGGCGCTATCCCTAAGGAGCGCGCTCTGAGCTATGCCAACCGCATGTACGGCCTTGTCGAGAGTTTGTAAGTCCATTCCATTCATTCTCCCCAAGCTTTGGCTTACAGTTGTGTGAAGCGGGCAGGGATATAACCGCAACGATCCATCCTCAGTCCACCCCGACAAGCTCCCTGTTATAAACGAAAAGGGCATGCTGCTCAACTACGGAGCCGCCCATGAGGACTTTGTCTGGGCTATCCGCTCCGAGCCAGGCGTGGTTGGCGCTTTCGAGAAGGCTCTTGGAACTGAGGACCTGATTGTCTCCTTTGACGCCATCAACTATGGCTTCGCCAACCGAGAACACCTTCCCGCCAACAATCCTTGGCCGCATCAGGATCAAGACCCCGATGTCCCTGGCTTCCGCTGTCTCCAGGGCCTCGTCAATCTACTTCCAAACGGCGCCAGGGATGGCGGCCTCATTGTCGCCAAGGGAGGCCACAACCTGAGCAAGCAGTTCCATAATGAAATTCGTGGAACTGAGGAGAGGATCCCCGCGTGGACCAGAGAGTGGTATGGCTTCACCGACAAGGGCATGCAGTGGCTCAAGGACCATGACTGCGAGTGGTACAAGGTCGAAGCCGAGCCCGGCGACCTGATCGTCTGGGACTCGAGGACTCCCCACTACAACGTGCCAGTGTCCTCAAAACAAGACAGAATGGCAGTCTACACATGCTACATGCCAGTTTCTGAAGCTTCTCAGGAGGATCTGCTGCGCAAGAAGAAGGCCTTTGAGAACCGTCTTGGAACTACCCACTGGCCCAACGCCATGCACCTCGGCAGCAACGAGGCAAAGAGGAATGGCAAGCCTGACCACATCATTCGAGGCCGGCCTCTCCACGAGCCTATTCTGAGCGAGAGGGCGTTCAAGCTGACTGGAATTCCCTACATCAAGGATACCAAGACCTAGAGGGAGGAATTGGATGAAGGACAGGCTTTGCCTTTTTGTATAGTGGCATCTGGTAGGAAAGGAAATTTGCTTGAACTAGGGAAATTGTTGTATTCGATAGCGCCCACAGAGCCACTCGTTCACAAAACATGATTTGCTGCTGAAGAGCTATTTCTTGTGTGGTATTAAGACGTGTGCATACCAAATCGAGTCTTAAGCGTTTTGATATCAGCATAGACACGTAAATAATTGGCAACATTCAACGAAAAGGTCCCAAGATCCACCCCTTGCAACATCAAGAACACGCTGTTAGTGACAGAGGCGGAACAAGCCATGAGACGATATCTTTCAATGCAACCAAGAGTTTCCAACTCCAGAAAAGAATGAGAAATAATTAGAAAAAGAAATCAACAGTCAGTAAGTCTGCAAGTAGCAAGACCCAGGGGTAAAATTCAGGAGCCTCCATGGCCACCCCTGGTAGCAGCTACCGGCTTTCGAGATCACACTTGAGCCACTGAAGACAGCGTTCCAAGTCAATGAATCACTCCCGCGATACTCTCATCGGGAAGACACTCGGAAGCGAAGTTGAGAATCGACTTCTAAGAGCAGAGCGATCCTTGGCGGTTGACCACTTTCCGACGGCTCCGGCGTTCGGTTCGGGGCCGCCGGGTCGGTTCGCGGGGTACGACTCCGAGACAATAGTGTGGTGTCAAACCAACCTATAAGGATGTCTCCATTTCATGTACAGGGCTTATTACAATCATTAATCTCTCGATACATACATTCCAGACACTAGAGCTATGGGGAGCCTACCTAAACTCCACGTCGTGATTGTTGGTGGTGGCATTGCTGGCCTAGCAGCTGTAAGTCATTCGCTCCCGAGTCTCGATGCACAAGTCACACTCATAGCTAATCCGGTGACCAGGCAATTGCTCTCCGGCACCCAAACCGGCGCATTACCGTCCTGGAGCGCTCTCGCATGCTTCGCGAAGTTGGTGCTTTGTTATCCCTTCAGCCCAACGCCAGCAAGATCATCAGCAAATGGAATCTGGACGGCTTTCTCCAAAAGACAGAGCCACTAGTCGATGGCGGCTTTCGGATCTTTGACGCCGATGGTAAGTGTGTGAGGGAGCTTGCATTCGAGACATCTCAGTTTGGTGCGGATCGCATTCTTTATCACAGACAAGATCTTCAGGCGGCTCTTGGAGATGCCGCGACAAGTGAGCATCTTCCTGGGAAGCCAGCAGATATTCGAACTGCGAGCCAAGTTGTGAGTGTCGATTGCGAAGAGGGAATCATCACACTGGAGTCTGGAGAAGAGATCCATGGCGACGTGATTATTGGTGCAGATGGGATTCACAGCGTCGTGAGAACGGCTGTTCTAGGCGAGGAGAGGGGAGCCTTGCCTACCGGAACATCTGCATACCGCATGCTCATCCCTATTGAGAAGCTTGAGGGCATCCCTACTCCCGAAAAGCTACTTGATTCCTGCAACCCTTACACCGCAATGATCATGGGACACGACCGGCGCGTCATCATGGGCCCTGGTCGGGGCGGAAAGTTGTACGGCATCGTGGCTCTGGTCCCAGATGAGAAGCTTTCCGAGAAGAGCTCGGATACCTGGGTCTCTCCAGGGAGCATTGACAAGCTTCTAGAAGCCTACTCGGATTTTCCAACTTGGCTCCACGACATATTCCGAGCTTCACCAGATATTGCATTGTGGCAGCTCCGGGACATCGACCCACTGCCACGCTGGGTTCATGGACGAGCCATCCTCATCGGTGACGCGGCACACGCCATGCTCCCTACTCAAGGACAAGGAGCATCCCAGAGCATCGAAGATGCAGAAGCAATACAGGCCTTCTTGGCCGATGTTCAGTCTAGAGACCAAGTTGGAGCAGCCTTAGACCGAGTGTTTGATGTTAGGTATGAGCGAGCGTCGCTGATACAAAAGTTTAGCCGGGAACAAGCAAAGCCAGCGACAGATGGGGCTTCTAGAGAGGTCAAGCTAGATCCGGCTCAGTTTCTCAGGTACAACTGCGACTATGAGGGTGCATCGGATTGGGAGGATAGGCAGAAGAGGGGAATGGACAAGCCCTGAGAGAGCTGGCTGTATCAGCGGGCGATGGGATATGGTGTTGCAGTCCCTCGTGAAGGCGTGTTATGCTAGGTACCTAGATAAAGGTAACACATAATGAATAAGAGCGCAGTCCTTCATCCAAGTTTTCAAGAGTCATAAATATGAGTTAACAGGGATTTCGTCTCACCATCCACTGGATGGCCTGTTCGCCTCAAATAAGGGTCTGCTTGCCTGCCCGGCCTTACCAGGATGTGCTTCTCAAATTTTTGGGTCCATCCCCAGCAATTCGTTTACGCGGCTCCAAGATATAAAATCTCGACAAGATTGGATTATAACCTCCAGAGTATATGAAACTGTCGGCAAAACACGGTTGTACGCCGATGCATAGTGGCTAGTGGAGAGATTTCACCACACTCTATACACTACTCTTCTACTTTGCGCCTTTTCTACCTTGCGCCTCTTCAATATACTAATATTCGAATACCCCCAGTAGCATTAATTCAATGAAACTTTTAAATCTATAGTCGAGCTTAGGTGAATACACATAAATATTATACTCACGTTGTCGTGGTGCAAGCCCGCGTGTGAAGAGTCACCCCAAACTTGGTCAAAGATATTGCATCATCGCCGACATGACACCTCGTAATGGCTTAGGCTTGGCATTTGCCGTGTTGAGCTGAACAAGCATCAATGCTCCCGAGATTATCGCTCAACTTAACCGAAGGATATGCCGAAGAAGCCGACGAGCGTGGGGTGAGATGCATCAACGTATTCAACTGCAGCAGACAAATTGAATCATAGTACGACACCAGCCGCTTGGCAATATGTCCAAATAACGAGATGGCGCGGCAACAGGCTTCTCTTCTCCGAGCATCGCCAAGTTAAGCGATGCGGAGGAGAGGTGAAGCCGCCTCCGAAACACCGGATCCAGAACTGGCATGTTCGTCTTACGCAATGGCCACTCGTCTAAATCGACTGACAAAAAAACCCTCGGTGAGAGAAAGTTGTGGGGGAACGGTTACTTAACCTTGACTCCAGAGTGTCCTGTGCGTCTTGCGTCGCGAGATGCTTGGTGGTATGTTGACGTAGACAGCTTCTACTCAGAACTTACTCGGTGTAAGGAAGCAAGGCGAGATGATGGAAACAGCTCAGAGTCGTGTGCTTTCCGCCAACCGCCATGAGGAGGATTCTCGCGCACTGATGATGAGAGATGCCAGCATGACATGTTTTCTCCAACACGGGGTAATAAGCGTTATCAGTAACCATGGCCATTGGCGAGGGCGGCAACATGGCCAATGACGATGTGGTGGACGAAAGCCGTGACAAGCCAACAATAGGTAAATGGAATATCCATGTTGACGAATAAATGCCCATGACGCAAACCTGTTACAATCCGACAATAGGTAAATCAGATCTCGATCTCGGCAGCGGCCAATGGGGGCTCGTCGTTAAAAGTCAAACAGATCGACTCTGGTTCCTCTCACAAGATTGGATGAGCGACGCGTGGTCCGGTTTGGAAGCAAGTGTCACATCATTCAAATATAACAAACATTCCACAGGCAACACGGTGATGTGAGTGCCAAGACCTGCTGGGGTCGTTCTCCTTTGTCAGTCTTATACAACCCTGTCGAGCACCCCCTAACTGAAGTCCTCAAGGTTTGATGCTGTGGGGGAGCGATAAGATGGAGAGGGAAGCGAAAGATTACGACCGAGGGTGATATCTCTGGACTTCTCATATCTACTATCATCTTTCCTTTTTCCCTCTCATCTCTTTTTTTTTCTTCTTTTTTTCTTAAGTCACCTGAGCAACCCCATTACTCCATTCAAACCCCAACCCCGCAGACTGTAGCCAAAGATCCCGGGGGAAATCGGGGCCCTAGCCATAGACTTAAAGGCTAGATCCCTGGACCCATGCACTCCATTAGCTAACAGAATGCCCCGTCTCACACCAGTCCTGCGATGATCCAACACCTTCTTTGTTTTTCCTGCAACTCAACCGTTTCTCACTCTCTCAAGCTGCCGCAAGCGTTACGAGTGGGCAGACAGGCACTAGAAAAAAGTACACTCCGGGGGTCCCAGGCCTGGGGTGTGCTCATTTCTCTCTTACACTTACACCGAGGGCCATGGGCTAACTATTACCTAACAGCTCGACGGCTGCGCCGGAAGAAAATGCCGCTGTGAGCCAGATGGGTGATAATTTATAAGAAGAGAGAGGGTGCCAAGTCCAGGACGAGTATTCCCGCCCACTGTAGAGCAGAGCAATCGTCGTTGGTCCCAGAGTCGTTCAAGTCAAGCAAGAAGAATATTCGTTCATCATGGCCACCAAGAGTGTTGAAGAACTTCACTCTCCCATCTCCCAGGCTCCCAGCATGGCCCATCAGATCGGAAACCCTGTAAGCAACAGCTGCCCACGACTCTAGAGGAATCATAAGAGGACGTTCACTTACATGATAATGTGTCAAAGTCGCCCATGGCTATGGGAACGTTCGCCACGACCCTGCTGACCCTGTCCCTATCCATGATGGGCTTCCGTGGGGTAGAGACGCAGACCGTCTTCATTGCCAATCTGTGTTTCGCTGCCGGACTTGGAATGCTCATCTCTGCCCAGTGGGAGATTGCCAGGGGTAACTCGTTTGGTTATGCCTATCTGAGTGCCTACGGTACGCTGCAGCCCTACTATTCTCTGCCCTATATGCGGGAGCAGATTTTGAGGGGGACCGTAAACTGACAGCTATATCTAGCCTTCTTCTACGGCGGCTACGGTGTTATCCTGTGCCCATCGCTTGGCGTCCTCCAGTCGTATGGTGGAGCGACCGCAGAGTACCACAACGCTCTCGGATTCTACGTTCTCAGTAAGATCAAGACCCTAATATTCTCCGAACGACAAGCTAATGCATGGCGTAGTCTGGGCGGTGCTATCCCTTTTCTTCATGCTGGCATCTGCGCCCACGTGAGTCCTTTCCCATCCCGCCACAAGCTAAATACTAATTTTGTAGCAACCTGGTCTCGTTCGGCATCTTCACAACCATCTTCTTCTGCTTCCTCTTCGACGCCGCCTCCAACTTTGCCCTCGCCGACGGCTACGAGAGCAACGCCAAGGGCTTGATGCAGGCTGGAGGAGCCTTCGGCTTCATCTCCGGCCTTCTGGGCTTTTACAGCTGCGCCGCAGGAATGTGCGCTGACGCTCTGCCCTTCACCCTTCCCGTTGGTGACACCTCACGCTTCTTTAAGAAGAACCACAAAAGCCTGTAAGCAGCTGTAGGAGCTGTAGCAGCTGGAACCAGACCAGGCCCCTGTCAGGGCAGTGAGCAGAGTCACCGAGGACTCGGTGGTTTATGTATTTTGAGCCAAAGATGGCCAATGCGGGAATGAACGGACATGACTACAGAACTCTGGGAGAATTATACCAGGGAGCGTGTGATTTAGCGAGCTGGCTAGAATTCTATCTCAAGCATTGATGCGTAAAACTCCTGATGAACGAACGTGCGGTTGTTGCCGTGAACACCTACACAGTGGTGATGAACCTGCCCCAGAGATCGCCATGCCTCCACAAACTCGGTGAACCAAGAGATGGCCCTAGCACTCAGACAGCCTGTCGTTCACCAGCTGTGACACTCGAGCTGCGTTTCTCACCGCACGCCGTCCTCGGTTACCAGGACCACTGCAAGTATGGTCACATATTGACACATACATTGGTTCTCATCCACATTAATTTACCTTGCATCTTTCCGCGTTCCAACCACCAACGGCCATGCCTTGCATCCCCCGGAGTGGAACCTCGAGCTCAACACTGATGATAGCCGGTCCCACACCGGCTCCGTCTGGGGGACGCCTGCAGCTTCAAGTGCCGACGGCATGCGAAGGTCTAACCAGTCACTAACGGCGTCAGGACAATTATTACGTACCACAATGCCTCTACAAACGCATCATTACATAAACTGTGTGTAACCGCGATGTGGAAAGTTTCTACTTAGCCGCGGTAAAGGCAGTTGAGGTTTATCTGACAAGTGTGAAAACTCTGAACGGAGATTACGAAAAAATGTTGAGATGACAGAATGAGAAAGGAAGAACAAGGAAAGACGTAAGGAAAACTAGGGAAATGCTCCGCATTATCTTATTTAACATTTTTAACCTTTGCAAGCCGATCTTCAACTCCCCGGATTCTTCCATGGCCCGGGCCTCGTCCGGCCGGAGCCGAGCGGGTATAACTCCGCGCCGGACCGGAGGAAGGATTCGGTGTTCCAGGTGCTGTTTATTCTGTTATGCAATGCGAGGACAACACCAAAGCTGTTTGAAGTGAGATGCACTGCAGCTATGCCGGGCTTACATGCATGGCATATGGTCACGAGTTGAACAGCAGTTAGTCTGCGTGAATCTGTGGACGCAGCACAGGTAGGAATCCAATCATTTTTCCATCCTGCATATGCTTTGCTACCAAGATTCCTCGCCACAAAGACCTAGAATGCGGTCCCGTCACACTTCGAAAGCTTGGTAGTCTCATTGAGTAGAGGAAGCCGAGGTCTGGCCAACATCACAAGCGATGTACGGCTCGAGGTCTGACCAGTTTTCTAGCAACAGGCCCAAGAACCGTATCCTTGTAATGCGGACTTCAGATGATAGAGTAGATGCGTTCCGAGGCTTTTTCATGAGGGCTGATGAATAATGCATTGAAGGTGTAAAGCTGCACCCTGAGCACTGAACATGTTATAACCACGGTCAGAAGACGAACAAAATAATCAACAATAAAGAATCGCACAAACCTATATGACGCCAGAATATCACAGATTTCTCATGTATAAGTCATCCAATAGAACACACGGTTGTCGGGGCCACTATTATTCTTGTCTCTTGTCTTGTCATGTGCTGGATCACTTCACTTCCATGTTCACGCGAATAGGCGGAGGCAAACGCCAAGAAGCTAGGCATTCAAAATAGATAGTCAGACCAAAGTGCGAGCATAGGGCTTAATCTTTTCTTTAAAGTATACTTCCTTCCTCGGGATGTTCAGAAATTCTGCCATTGTCTGAAGAAACATTCGCTCCATGTTCTGCTTTTGTCAACCCAGAGCTTCCTCCATGTGATAGTGATGGTTTTATCCCATATCATGTTTCCAGAGGAACTGCTCGGTCTTGAGTGATCCTTGAGTTCTTTTCTGAGAACTATCAACTGGCTAGATCGATCGAAGGTCCCTGCTACCTAAGTTGAAGTGGCATGAGCAGACGCAACAGCTGGGTTCAAGGATATCCATCCGAACAGCGTAAACAACATGTCTTAGTCAATTATTGATCTTTGAATTTAATCTAGACTTGCCTTTTCTTTTTCAACTTGCATTGGTTTTGTGTCGCCTATTATGCTCACTATCCTCACTTGTTACTTCGGACTTCTTGGCACCTTATCTCCACTGGGGCTCGGACAACAACGAATGCCGCCTCAAGTTTTGGGTCTCACAGGCAGCAATAAAAACAACAGGCAACAATATTTCCCTTCATACAAATACGGAACAGCTTACGCGGCTTCAGATGTCTCCATTGGCCTAATTTTCGACCCAACACCGTTTTCAGCATGTATCGCATACCTTATTTCCCTTTAGAGCTCATCTTGCAAGTCCTAGAGGCTTCATTGCCCCCTGGAGGTCCCGGCCGAGTCTTCGACCCTTCTTGTCCGGATGGCCAATTACTCGTCGCATGGACTCAAGTTTGTCATGCTACCTATCGACCCGCAAGTCGTCTTCTACGACAGAATTTTGTTTACATGAATTCTTTAACTCGTCTTCGCAATTTTCTACAATGTGTGGCCGACTCGAATACATGGGAGCAGTCCACACTCCCACCAACTATACCCCTATCATCCATCTCATCCATATATTTGAGACTTGGCAGAGCAGACATGGAGTCTCCTCAGATTGCCTCACTTGTCGGGGATCTTTTTAAACATCTCAGCAAATCTCTTCGCCGCCTCATCCTTGACCTCCCCTGGGGCAGAACTCCCCCAAACGACACGATCAACTCGCACCTTCATCACATGTTTTCAGAGAGCTTCACAGCCCTGACAGGGATCGAAGAGCTCATCGCTGTTGGAGGGTTGCCTGCCGTGGACCGCTGGAGCCATGTCCATCATCTATGTCAGAAGTGGTCAAACTTACGGCGGTTGGCGGCATTCCAAGTCAACTTGGCTGAGCAGGGGCTGTGGCACAGTATTTCTAGATCAAAGAGCCTGGAGCAGTTGGTGATAGCCCAGCCTTTCTTGCTTCGCCTAAATACATGGAATATCAAGGCTTCTATTCACGAGCATTGGGATCCTAAATTTGGAGGCAACTCAACCTATTCCCGGCCTCTGAGCATCACAATTGCCAACCATGAGTTCAGTCCCCCAATTATTGACACAACTGGTGATGCTCTTCACGACCCTCGGGGCTTGATCAGCGTCTCATCCCTCGATGTACCTATTACGGATACAACAAATGCAAGGGTTGACTACATTTGCCGAGATTGGCTCCTCGAAGAGGCGAAACAAGACACACTTTGGGGCGATGCTGGGGCTTAATCAAGAAGGGTAACATAAATGACGTTGGCTGACTGGATGCGTGACATGAGCGAAGAGTTTGGAGGATATGATCGACGGTTAGGGTTGTGATAGGAGCGGGCGCTTATAATAGCATGGTGATGATAAAATGTTGGAGAATCCGCCTTAATAAGTTGTCAAAGTGTAGCAATTTTGAGGTAGCTTCAATTCATAAAAGTCCACTGCTCAAAAGACCCTCTGATATCAAAGTTTCTCCTTCATCTAGCACTCACGTTGGGCCTGTCGTGAGATATCTTCTCCGCTGATCCCGCGCAGATCATTCCACCACGAGGAGTTTCAGCCACGGGGGCTCATCGGGCGCCGAAATAGCACGAGCTGGCAAGGCTCACTACGGGCCAGACCAGCAATTATGCCAGTGGCTGTGTCTGCTTTCTAGGTAAGGGATTGGCGGGTTGGCCAGCTGGGCCAATAGTGGTCTTTCGTATCTCGTATGACGGGTAGGGGTGGTGATCCTTCAGGCAGCGACATTTTTCATGTCGATCTAGGGGCTCTTTTTCTGACGGTTACAGCTTCGGTGAGCCAAATTGTTATTGAAGAATTCATTAAAAACATTCGTCAAGATGCTGTGGCATTAAACCAAATGCCGCATGACATGATCTGCGTGGAAAATGAGCCTTGTTATTCCCGCAGTCGTCGTGGACTTCACTTGTTGGTTACAGCCTTGAAGGATCAGGCAGTGACAAATGACCTATGAGAAGGTCGCATTATGCATTGCCACACGGCTATGTCGGCGCTGCCAACAAGAATAAATAGACATAGAACCAACATTTAAATCCCAGCGTCTCGTCCCACTCTCCTTCACCAGACAACATCTTCACCACCAACATGTCTACATATTGCATCACCACCAAGTGTCCGCCGACCCAGGCTTGGTACAAAGATGAAGCTCTGTACGAGTACACATCCAGCGACCTCTTCTGGCTTCTTGCCATCGCCATCATGATCAACTGCTGGTGGGTCGACAAACAATTCGAACCGTTCGTCGAGCCTCCCCGCGATCCGAAGGAGCCCGAAAAGGCAGAAAAAGAGGCCGACAAGGTCCCCAACGAGCCGGATAGCACTAAATCACCAATGTCCCCCGACTCAAAACATGTCTGGCTCAAGTCAAAAATCACGTCCGAGCCTCGCAGGTACCTCGCAATGGCCATCTGCGCCCTCGTCTTGCCGGTTCAGCTCCTCCATGGGTCTTGGGTGCTCAGAACACTCTGGCGCTGGACGGCTGCCCTTCTCAAGGGCACATATCCTTCGATAAGGCCGCGACTCTTCGGTTTCATTCTCTATTCGCCTATCACCTTGTTCATACTGGTTACATGGATCGCATTTCTCTTCGTGGGCATGTTTTTTATCGGTGAACAGTTCCTTTGCTTTAACAACATAAACGAGATGAAGTTGAGTGTGCCGCCAATGACGAGTGAGAAGGTTGCGAAGCAGAGTGATGATGAGGAATGGGACGAGGTCGAGAAGAACAGCGAGCAGGGAGGGGTAGACAAGGAGAAGAATGGTGAGGAGCAGGGAGAGGTATACAAGGAGAAGAACGAGGCGAAGCTTGCGGATTAAACACTTCCACTTCTCGAAGGCAGGGTGGTGTCAGTACCTGTGGTTATTTATGGTCATGTTTGCGAGATAATCAACTTGATGATCACGCCAGATGAGACGTTTGCAGCGTCGTATACCGGAGTGCAGACGGCCTCGGGTCGCTGCCAGATGTCACCACCGGGTGAAGACGGTTATGCAATACGCTCAAACTTTTGAATAAAAATTAGGCGACCTATGCTTGCAATAGGCATTAGAAGAACCAAAAGAGATCTAACCATAACCAATACGCTCTACTCCCAACCACCACTGTACGCCTTGATGTTTGCCAATGGTTCCCTGATAGGTGCTCCCTTATTATACTATACATACGGTCTTTGACCGTAGGTTACGTGGCTAGGCAAATTAGTAAAGTTCAAGGGGAGTGCGGGTGGGCTTACAAATTGAATAGTGCGTGAAATCCCATACTCTTGAGTTCTTTCCTGACCTTTGCCAAAAGATCCAGAACATCCTCTTGACTCCATCGAAGCACTCCACAAAACAACCTCAACGAGAATCCATCAAGACCATCCAGTGTTTGTGCAAGATTACACATGCCGAGGTCCTTCATTCTAGGATCTTTCGCCCAAGGTCCGATGGGAATCTTGAAGACCTGATGTCTCACGTTCTGGAAGCCGGCGTTTTTTACCCACTGGTGTTGTCGAGGGCCAGGACATGGATCACGTCCAAGAATTCGCGCTGCATCTAGGAGGGTATTGATCCATTCGAGGGTCTTGTGTTCTGTAGTTAATGAGCCGTCGTCGGAGTAGTACTGTAGGTCGTAATCTTGGAACTCGGCCCAACCGCCCGGTTTTGTGTTGCTGTGCTCGGACGGTTAGTGAGTGCGAATATTAGTTAGTGGGTTGAGTGCAGACTCAACTTGTATATCCTGCTGATTAATGTAGGCCAGTCGAGGATGCAACATGTCATGTAGCGGCAGAAGATAAAGTCGAAGGGATGGTGATGAGTCCACGGGCTCTCGACGTCGTCAACTTCGAATCTGACGTTTGGCGGGACCCTAACTCATTAGTACATATGACAAGATAAAGAAAGTAACGTGTAACACACCACATCGGCTGAATGGGACTGAGATCGTTGCCCAAGACCTGCATCCATTAGCCACCGTCACTTCACGCGGCAACTCAACTGACCTCAGCGCCCGGATATGTCTCGCCCATTTCGATGGCCCCTAGATGAGTCAGTGGATGAATCAAGCTTTGCCAGCGCGCCTAGTTTACAAATTCCTGTTCCCGTCCCGATATCAAGGACCCGCTGAAGCCGAGGGCTATCCACCGGCGCAAGATACAACTTATCGCCAATGACCTTTGTAATGGTAGCATGGTTCAAGTCGAGCCTCTCCATCTCAGACTGCATCTATAAGCGACAGCTCATGACAGAAAAGCCAAGACTCTCACCTCATCGTTGGGGAGTATGTAAGCTGTGAGACGTCAGTATACGAGCCCGCTCAGAGTGGAACCTTGCTGATTTACATCCACCGCGGAATGCATGATAACGCCGGCCATGCTCGTAAGGGTAGTCGACCACACTCGAAGTCAAGGATGGCGTGTAAGCCGCACTGCATGTTGAACAATGAGATCAGATCAGGTCATGTCCCGGGGAGGAGGAACGGGTGTCACACACAGCTGAATGTCAATGGCCGAGTCGACATCGTCAGCCAATGGCTGCAGCCTGATTAGCGATCCACCACGTTCACCGTGAGGAGTTTACTGACAGTGTTGTCGACCTCGATATGAGTCTCGTCTGCTCTCTCATCCATGATCAAGGCTCCAGTCTCCAGGGCCAGACGAGACGAGGATTCAGCAGCGATGGATCTTGAGAAGGAGAACGGTTTGTTTTGGGACAAAGAAGCGGTTTCAGAAACCCCGCACCCCGTCATCCCATGCAGATCATCTGACTGGGTATGTCTGGGCCTTGGCGATTTATGCACGCTCTGACTGGAATGTTGATCAAGCCTCGTCCCGCAACCGACCATATCCCCGGGCTCTGTAATTCGGTGAGTGTGGAATGTGCTCCCGCGGTCGATCTCTGTCTGCGTGTTGGTTCGTTATCCAGGCTCTCGGGGCTAGCGACTGACCAATTGGCACACGGGAACAAGCGAACCCACGTTATGAACGGTTCATAACGAGTTTTGAACTGCAAATGGTGCGTTAGCTGGATTCACAAGATGCACTGGCAGCAGCATATGAAAGCAGGGGTGATTGTGTCGAGCCAGTGCGATGCGATAAGAGACATTCTTCAGCCAGCCATGTCCATCTTGGAAGCGACATTCACGCGAATCCCAGGTCAACGATCCTGGCCTGCAATGTCCAGACTCCACCATCTCTCTCGCTTCGGCCTGAACGATCCTGAGCAGCATCCTCCCCTCCAGCAGTCGGTGGCACCCCGCGCCGGCTGGTTAAATTAGGTCTTCCCTTCTGTGCTTCGTCCTGTTACTGGTACTGCGCTCAGGCCGTCACCTCAAACAACATGCATCACTTTCACAACCAACTCAACTTTGATACCAGACAAACCGGTCAGCAACAAAGACTTGGTCATTTATTTGTGAATCTCGGTATTTATTCGTACCTCGCCTCTATATGATGCTAACGAATTCACTGCTCTGGCACCACCAGAATGTCATCAACGTTCACAGCCTGTCCCGTCGCAATCGACCTGTTCGCAGCAATTCCAGTGAGAATCGACGCAGCACCATCCACGTGGCTCGCCGCTCTCATGTACTCATCCGACACAGGCTCACCAAACAAGTCATTCAACAGAATCGCATCACCACCGCCGTGAGCGCCCACGCTCTCTTCAATCTCAATCTCTCTGGGCTTCTCAAACAGCGGTCGCAGCACAATTTTACGGCTCTCGAGTGAACCCTCCAGAGATTGGTCGCCGCCGGAATTGACATAGCTGTTTTCCACAACTTCCACCTCCAACCGTCCACCTGTACCGTTGAAGCTGACGCGGAATCCTTCCCAAGGTGCGTACGCCGTAAGCGAATAAGTCAAGCTCGCACCGTTGCGATACGTCACCAGAAGGTTCATCGTATCTTCAATGCTGATGCCATCGCCAAACACACTCTGGTCGCGGTAGTAGCTATCCTCGTGCTCCGCATCAAGGTACATGGCCTTTAGCTGAGGATTCTGGTCCAAGTGCAGCGCAAAGGGATCCGACTTTGCGGCCTCGCTTCCGTGAGCACGAGTGTAAAACTTGGTCTCGCCACGCTTCTCTGCATTTTCGCGACCGTAGAAGGCGAGGTTGCCTGTCGCATAGACGGTCTGGGGACGCGTCTGAAGCCAGAAGTTGACAAGATCAAAGTGATGAGTCGATTTGTGCACCAGCAGACCTCCACTGTTGCGCTTGTCGCGATGCCATCGGCGGAAGTAGTCAGCTCCGTGGCTGGTGTTGAGCATCCATTCTACACTCTGGTTAGCCATAGAGCCATGTGCGATTCTTGTCTACTCACCAAAGTGTACGCTCGTCACCTTGCCGATGGCCCCAGAGCGCAAGACCTCGAAGACCTTGGTGTTGTGAGGTGCATAGCGGTAGTTAAACGTCACACGGACTTTCTGCCCAGTTCTTTCAACAGCAGAGAAGATCTCCTTGCATCTCGGGGCGTCAATGGTCATGGGCTTCTCAGTAATGACATTACAGCCCAGCTCCAAGGCTCTGACGATGTAAGTGTTGTGCGTCCGGTCGATAGTCGTGACGAGAACCTCATCAGGCTTGGTCTCTTGGATCATCCTGTCAAAGTCGGCAGCCAGGTAGGTCGGGACCTCGCCGTGTCCCACAGCCTTGAGCTTTGAGTTGGCATAGTTCATGCGAGTCTGGTTGGTATCGCAGAAAGCAACGATGCATGAGGTTGCGCTATAGTCGGTGGCGATGGCCGAGTAATAGAAGCCGGATCGGCCTCCGGTGCCGACGACGGCGTATCGTTTCCTGGTTGCGCTCTTGTCCGCCATGCTGTCTAGAGAGGAGATGTCTGGGTTGTGGTGAGGTTGCAACAAGCCCAGGTGGTTGGAGAGAACGGGAATAAGGACGACCGTTGCACTAGATACCCGAAGCAAATAAGAAGCAATCCTCTTCCCTCAAGAAGAGGAGAAGCTCGGTATCTGTTATCCCGGCCCCCAACATGAACCCCCAAACTTGTCAGATCCCCGCTCTTGGCCATTTGACGTGGCGGATCAACGCGGGGTCGGGCAACCTTGTTGAGGAGAAGCATTGGATGCTCGGATCGTGAGATCCCAGAATTCCACATGGTTTCTGGGGTGCAGGTCCCTCATTTCGGTCGAAGTGAGCCATTGTTACCGTAACCTCGGGGTAGCTTGGGGCTCTGTTCTCCAAGCAGCCGGTATGCAGGGTCGTGGCAATCATGTCCCGAATCTTTTTAAGCGATATCTCCCATGCTCGGGAAATGCTTCCCGTTGTGTGTTCATATTTTGATCATTCTCAAAGGTAGCAGCCTCACGAATCAGCAGTGTTGGTTCCCATCAGATCCGCAACGCCATTCCCACCGTCGCCAGCATGATCACCTTTAAGTAGCCAGAATTGTTCGATTTCGCAAGTCTCTGGTACTTTTAAATAGAGCTGCTTCATTCTCTGGTAGTTGCAGTCCTGTTTCTTATTTAACGATAAAATACGGTGTCCCTTTTTATTGTCTGTTAGCCCTGTTTACTAAATATTTGACTCCATTCTCCACCACTTTTCGCTCTTTTCGTAAGTTAGCCAGCAAACAGGACGACAACACCCAACAACTCAATTTTTAGGACATTTGACACAATTGACGCGTTTAAAAGCTCACAAAATGCCCATTAGACCCATTTTGACGCGCTTTATCGCCCTTTTTCTCGTCATTGTTGTGAAAACACGTTCAAGTCTAGGGTAGCCATTTACTTTCCTGCGTCATCAAAACACCAAGAATTGCTTTTCCGTGGCTCAAAATGACGTAGCGCCGGGTTAATCAAGTTCCATTCCCCCTGTATATCAAGTCGCCCCCCGTCGGTCGCGTTCAGCCAAACGCGTCACAATTACCTCTTCTTGACCATTTGGAACATCTCTGCAAATATGCCGCCCAAAGGAACTAGAGGGAAGAACAAGCGTCCCCTCGAGGAGGGAGACGACAATGCGCGTCAGTCTAGGTCCAAGACCGCGAAGACGGCCGAGACATCCGGAGATCAACCTCCCAACGACAATGGTGAGGGTGCTCAGACTCAACGGCCTTCTCGGGCACCCCGGATCGCGAGAGGGCCCAAAGGAGAGATTTTCTTGCCTGAAATCATGCCACGAGAATGCGCAGAGATCATCAAGGACATCCCCATGCCTGGAGGTTGGGTTTGCGGCATTGATGCCACCCCCGATCGGTCCATGACACTCAACTCTCGTGAGTGGTGGGAGGAGTTTGGACCTTGGCTGGAGCAACACAAGAAGAAGCTCAAGCTCTCTGCTGCCGACTGGAAGAAGAAGGACGAGGCCTTGAAGAAAGATTACGAGCCCGTTTCCGAAGATGAAGGGATTGAGGATTGGGATTTTATCTGCTGCTCTAAGCCCAACGTGGAATCTCGACGAGACGAATACGAGGGGGATGAGGAAGACGATGATGAAGATGAAGATGATGAGGATGAGGAAGACGATGATGAAGATGAAGATGATGAGGATGAGGAAGAAGAAGATGGCGACGAGGGCAATGACAAGGACAAAGGCAAAGGCAAGGACAAGGGCAAGAAGCAGCCGGAGAAGAAGCCCATTGATAAGCTTGCCTCTCTTCACCCTGAGTGGCCATGGGTTTTCACCGTGCTTGGCCGGGACAGAGTTAGATGGTGGATCCAAGAGGCCACGAAGCGCGACCAGGACAGCTTTGGGCTGCACTACTACAATGACTTTACTTGGTACGGCGCGCTCGAGGTTGTCGAGAACGTTGTAAGTTGGCGTACTCACTGGCTTCACAGATGTGCTAAATCATCGAATAGATTTCAACTTTCGACGCGGCCTTCAAGCCCAAGGCGAGCTATCGCGATTGGTGGCCCGAGGTCGAGGGTCTCGTGCTGGGCCTTTACAGCACCTTTCTCGAATTTGAGAGTGAGAACCCCAGTCATTCACTCAATGTTCCTGTGCTCACCATACATAGTGTGCGATGATGGCCAGCGCTGCGGCAAAGTCATTGAACTGATCGGCTACCTGGTCGTTGCAGCCATGGAAGCCCTCAAGAAGGAGGGAGTGTTCAAGCCCGACTCGGAGATTCGTAACCTCGGCCTTGTCCTCGCCATGTTCATCCAATGGGGCCATGGGGAGCTTCCATACGGGTTTGAGGAAGAGCTCTGCTCGTGGGCCTACAAGCTCCTTGACATGGCTGACGAAGCTGGAATTGATCTCACCGGGCCACCTAGGTACGAGAAAGCTATCAAGAAGATTATCGACGAGAGGGACCGCAAGGCCAAGGCCATGAAGAAGTGGGACAAGGTCAACTGGGCCACCAAGGTGAGTGCACTACCAAGCAAGAGTGCATAGACTGACACATGCTAGCTGAGAGCTTACACCTCGAAGCACGGTGGGAAGTCCCGATTTGGAGGGCATCAGTACGACATCACCAAACAGAGCGCCGCCGAGAGGAAGAGGCATTCATTGGAGTACGTTAGAGAAGAATTGAATGCTGAGTTGAGGAGAACCGCACTAATATACGGCTTACCTATTTAGCGGCGACGGTTGGGACCTGATGTAGTCTGGAAAAGTGGATTGCACGAACTCTGTCTGTGGTGCCAGGGAGAATGCCTCAAGTGCGTAGGTATCATGTCGGTGGTCTGGATGGTAGGTTGATGAGTTTGTTGGTGGGGGGTGTTCTTTATGGTAGTTATTGTCTAGCCCTTAATGGGTTAGCCGAGCCAGAAGATCGTTGGTGGTGGGAATGAACTGGGCTGGGCTGGGTTGAACTGTTTGTACGAGGGGACTGTACGATATTTCTCAAAAGGATCGATCTGTGTCTGCATTGTTTCTGAACTTGACCTATTCTCGAACCCTTGGCAGGTAGGAGGCCCATGGATACCCGTCTAGAGAATGTATCTAAAGTTCCTGTTCTGAACATCCGTCTCATCAACATCAAGCAGCGTTCCATCCGTGTTGAGATCCACCTGTCGGGTTTCCTCTGGGTCTCTCTGCACGCCCTGCTCCTTGTCTCGGCGGTTGTTCTCCCAAGCGAGATAGAAACGCATGGCGACGACGAGAACAATAGTGATTGCGAAGCAAGCCAGGATGGTTGTGTATGCAGTCTGGAAGGGTTAGTAACGTTAACCTGTGAGATTGAGAGGACTGGACTCACATGGTAATTCGGGGCTTCAGTGCTGATAAAGAACTGAGGTCCGCTCAGATTTCCAGCACAATAACCCAAGAAGATCATTGCCATGACAGTAGACTTCTTGGTAAAGCCTGCAATGTTGCTAGCTGACAAGGACATCATCAGAGGGAAGGCGGGCGCAACAGCCATAATCAGCCAGAAACCAGCAAGACGAGCAAGCTTCTCCTCGTTTGGCAAAAGCTTGATCATGAGGATGCCGCCAATGGCCATGAGATATGTCAAGACGAGGGCGATGTGCCGAGACTTGCGCACGTATGAAGTGAAGATGGCGACTAGGAGAACGGTCGTGAGTTGGAAGGCCGAGGCGGGGAGACCCATGAGGATGGTCTGGTATTCATCGTAGCCGAAACTCTTGATGACAATGGTGCTGAACTATTGTAGAGTCAGATTGAAAGCACGTAGTCAGTGGGGTTGATGGGACGCACACTAGTTGTTCCTCCGTTGGGCACGCAAATGACGAAGGAAAAGAAGAAGAACCACCAGGCCTTGACATCCTTCATGGTCTCGATGAACTGATCGCGATCCCACTTCTTGGTCTGCGTCGTTCTCTGAAACTTCTTGGGACGGAGGGATGCGAACTCGCGCTCAGAAGGCGTCAGGAAGGTGGCATTGGAGGGTGAGTCTGGGAGGAAGAAGTAAAGGAAGATGGACCACGCGATTGTGATGAGGCCGAAAATGAGGAATAGCATCTGTTTGTGTAAGCAAGAGGTCAAGTCAAGCTGAGTGGCTTCTACTGACCTTCCACTGAGCAAAATGTCCGTCATAGCCTAGAATGCCATACGCAATCATGGCACCAATCATACTTGCCGAAGCATTTCCAGCAAACCAGAAAGAGTGGCGAGAGACGTGCTCGTGAGGCGTATACCACATACCGGTGATGAGAGAGAATCCTGGGCTAATGGCGCTCTCAAAGACACCAAGCAATAGTCGAAGAACCATCAGGCTTGCGTAGTTTGACGCAACAGCATGCAGCGTAAGAACCACGCCCCAAATGAGCCTGTTTGTGGTCAGTGTATCGAGTCAAGTGGATTCCGGCATGGTTCGCTTACATCAAGATGCTGAGATACTTGCCAAGGGGGAATTTGACGAAGCCAAGGGAGATGGGGTAAGAAGCAACAAGGTAGCCGATGTAAAAGATACTGGAAGCCCAGCTGAACTGCTGTCCCTTGAGGTGCTTCATAGTGTTAGCTGAGTACGAAATTTGTGTGCAAGGAGGATAACTCACCAGCTCTTCTCGTAGTCCCAAGATGGCGCTGTATGCCAGACTGGTCTCTGAAAAATATGAGTCACCGTGACGGAATCAATGCAGGCCAAGAACGTACTGTCGAGATACTGAAGGCCATAGCTGACAATTAGAAGAGGCATCAGTCTGGTATTACCGTTAGCCCGAGGTGACTTCGACATGGTTGACGTTTCTTACCGCAAGTCAATCTTGCGAACCAACTTCTTTTCATCCCCTGGACTAAGTGTGTCCACAGTACCGCAATCATGTTTATCACTCATCTCGTAATCACCAGGAGAAATCTTTGCGTCAACCTTGTCTTCCATGTTGCGGCTGTTGATGAGTGATCGAGGGAGAAGTGTTGATGCTGAGTGATCCTTCAAGACAGCCGATGGGACCATACCCGTAGTTATAGCCCATCACAAAGGAATAAACCTTATCATCGGCTACGCTAGATTCGAATCTGGGTCTGATCACCGGTTCAAAATCTGGGGTCCTTGACTCGTTACCCCAGAGTCGACGCGTCTCCTGATTGGTCAGTTTAATCGACGTGATGAGATACCAGGATAGGGGCGATATCCGCTATCAACACCTCGGTTATCAGTGATATTGTCTTACTTGGGCCATGATTCACATTAAAAGGTTCATTTAGTGTAAGGAGAGTTAGATGCCATTGTATCCGCCACTGACTAGACGTCGGACCGCCCGCATGGTGATTCCCGACGACCCCTTAGCCGACTGGATAAGCTGAAAGATGCCCTTGATTGCGGGATCTGAAATACTCGCCGAGATCCAGTCCCTATGAATGGGATCATGCGTTTCGATTCCTGCAATCAGAAGCGCCCACTGGAACCTCTCAAGTAGCTGGACCGGCCCAGTCGCCACCGTGTAATACGCAGTCGTCATCAGGTCCTTCAGAGCCCTTTGCACTTCACAGGGAACGGGAAGCTGGCTTAGAGCAGAATCTCGACTACGAGCTAGGTATATCTGCAGGGCATGGAAAATGGTGACGGCAACGAGTGCCATCAGTGGCGTTGCTGGAACCTGCTGGGCTCCGTTGGCAGCCAACTCAAAGAGGAAAGATTGTTCCTATCATGCGTTAATATTGCGATCAAAATTTGAGAGAAATCGCCTACTTCTCGTATACGCTCAAGCTTCCTCTTGATACCCAGCTCCACGCCCGGTGATTTCGCTTCGCTACCCTGGCTGTACCTGTTGATCTCCCGCTGAATGGTGATAAGCGCAAAGTAAACATCGAGGATCATCCTATGGTGGCTTCCTGAAGACTGCCCGGAGCCTGGCCACAGGGTGCTCTGGTCATTGGAGAAGGGGAGCCTTGAAAGCTGCCAGATTCGTTGCCTCTTCTGGTGGTTTTCATCCACGTACATGGCAAAGGCCTCTCCACACCCAAAGAAGCCACAAAATACATCTCGATCGTAGATGTAAGTTAAGATACGAGATAAGATAGCTGGCTCGGATGTTCCGGTATTAGACGCTTCACTGGCACACAGCTCGTCCAGCGCAAAGGCTCTTACGTAGACCAGAACCGATGCACTCAACTCCTTCAATCTTGACACGTCGAAAGGATGACGTCGCATCCAAAACATGTACAAATACAAGAATGATAGCATCATGGCGATATGATTTGCATGTGTGAACGACTCCAATTGTTGGGTAAAGAGCCGGGAGCCATGCTGGAAGTGAAGGTAGGACTCCAAAGGAGGGCGGTCGCTGTAACCTTGATGAATAGCGAGTTCGCTGTGAGAGAAGGCAAGGAGCAGGTGCAATGCCATTCTATTCTGGATGGCAAAGTTGAGAAAGAGAGTGTGTGAAGATAAGGCAGCCACCTGTGTCGACTTCATGGGCGCCAGCACAGTTCGATGGAAAGCCACAGCTTGTGAATCACTGGTACCGATCGAAGGGGCAGGATCCATGGGGAGAGTGAAGGAGATGGATGATAAGGCTGAGAATAGGCCGAATGAGGGAAACGGGAATAGGGCCAGTTGAGTGCTTAGTCCAATGTCGTCTTGGTAGTTTTGCTGCTCTTGGTCGGCGCCGATAATATCTTCTGGCAGCAGAACAAGATTTGAGAGGTCGGCAATGGGCGCGAAAGGCACTATGGGTGAGGGAACGAGCGATAGGCCTGCCGTATCTGAGCCAGGGCTTCCTAGTTGATCTGGAAGCTCATCACCTAGCTGGATGTCGAGCGATGGTCCAGCTAGACTTGACGGTTCAGATACATCTTGTGTATCCTCTCCAACCTCTCTGGCCACGATAGTTGCTGGTCTCCAGCTGTGTCGGTCCTTAATGGGCCCGAATCCCCGTCTTCTGGACGCAAGGGATGGTTTCGAAGAAGCCCATTCACACTCGAGCATAAGGCGAATACAGCGACCGCAGTTTGGGTGTTTCTCATCACATTTGACTTTTTTTGTCAAACAGGTTTGACAACCTATCCTGAGCTTAGCACGAGAGGACACAATTGAACGGCACGCACCGACCGCCTCGCACTCACCATTTTTGGAGCGACCACCTCGCTCGACGCGTCTGCGCTTCTTTGGCTGGGCACTCGACTCGCATTCCATATCATCACCTGCACATCCAAGGATGGTCTGTTCGTTGCGGGCGGCGAAAGACTCTTGTCCTCTTGGGTGGCCGGCGGGACGAGCGCCGATCTTCACCCCGCTCCGACAAACTCTCGTCGATTAAACTGGCGAATCAGAGGCGAGACGCTATCAACCTTCAACGCACAGATGTTGTCAGGGGCACCTGATATCGGCGGACGGCATGAGTCCAAAAGGTCAGAACGGTCGGGTAAGGACGTTGTCCGAATCTTTCTCCCCTGGCTTTACCCTTTGTTTCCCTTTCCCAAATTTCTCTCCCTGTTTTCTTCTATCTGCTCATTCAGAACTGCCTTGTACCAGTCACCATGGGCAACTCCATCTCTTACACCACGTCCGACTGTCAAGTCGACCTTCTCAATAATGCCGGAACCCTCAAAGGGCTTCAGTTTGACTCCAAATCTCGTAGATTTGCTGGAGTTCCCTACGCTCAGCCTCCCGTAGGCAATCTGAGATGGCGCAAACCTCAACCATTCCCCAAGCACCACCAGTACTCGGCATCAGACGGTACACCGTACGATGCTACCGTCTTTGGCCCAGTGTGCCCGCAAGCCAACTACTCCAAGACAGTCAGCGAGCACGTTCCCAATCACATATACGATGAAGATTGCCTCCGACTTAATATCTGGACGCCTGTGCCAGATCCCAACATCCCCAACCAAGAATGGCCCGTGATGGTCTGGTTCCACGGTGGATGGTTCCAGGTCGGAGATCCCAGCCAAGAGCAGAGCATGGATCCCACTGAACTCATCTCTACTGGCAAACTCAATGCCGTATTTGTGGCAGTCGGATACCGGCTCAATGTCTTTGGCTTCCTCGCCGGTCGCGCCCTGCTAGAGGAATCTGGCGGACAAGCTGTCGGCAATTACGGGCTTTGGGATCAACGTCTTGCCATGGACTGGGTGTACGAGAATATCGAAGCTTTTGGCGGTGACCCAGAGAACATTGTCTTGGCTGGAAGAAGCGCCGGAGCTTATTCCGTCCTTGCCCAAGCCTTGTATGATTTCCGAGGCGACGAGCCACAGAACCGTTTCCGACGGTTAGTCATGTACTCGAATGCTATCCCTACCCAGCCCAAGACGCCAAAAGATTGCGAGCAGCAGTTTGATGAACTGTGTGAGTACTTTGGCGTGTCCACGGAGCTTGATGGAGCTGAGAGGCTCAGCAAACTGCGAGAGATTAGTTCTGAGGATCTCTGTGCAGCCATCATGGAACTGAAGCACCATACTTTCCGCCCCGTCACAGATAACGTCTTCATCCATCCTGGAATTTTTGACTACTACCGAGACGGATCTTTTGCTGCCGAGTTTAAGAAACGCGGTCTCAAGATCCTCATCGGCGAGGTTTTAGATGAAGACACCCTGTACGCCGTTACCAACCCACCAGACCCGAATCCTGCATCTCTTCGACTGCAGATTTCCAACTACTATTCACCCGAGACAACCGACCGACTCTTGAAGCATTACAAGTTACCTCAGACGAAAGACAAGCGAGACTGGCAGCAGATGTTTGGGCGCATCGTTGCTGATGGCCAAGTCCGAGCCCCTTCTCGGGATCTCGTCAACAATCTCGTGCAGAACGGGGTCGACATTCAGAATGTCTGGCGCTATCTCATAGCGTACCGTCTCTCATTCATCACCAACGAGGTCGCTCCAGCTTCATTTGGTGTAAGCCATGCTATGGATCGACCGATATGGAAGTCAGTCTTTCTCTTATCACTTTGCTTGCTTGCCCCTGGCATGATGTTAACGACAAATAGCTATTCTATCACACACGGCCCGATGATCGCAGAGCGTGAATTGATGGACGACTGGATTCGAGACTTGTGCGCTTTCGTCAGAAATAAAGAATGCCATAAGTATGGAACAACAAGGCCAGACGAGTACAAAGTCATGACTCCAGAGGGCACCATCAGGATACAGAAAGACCCACGATGGACAGAGTTGTTGGAGCTGGCAGGTACTTTTTCCGGTGCCACCAAGTAACGATTTGGTAGACATCCTTTTATATCAAGCAGCAATAGACCTTGGATATTTAATAAAGCTCTTGATTCTATTGACACGGTTTCAATGATAGTAAAGTGCCCTCAGATCTGATGTCGACACAGAGGAAGCGGCCGGGATGAAGATATCACCAACCAATCAGGAGCGGCCCTCGGCCGATGGAGCGGAGGCATCAGACGAATCAACGACGCCCATCGGCCGAGATGTCCGTCTTCCAAGCGATGGAGAAGATTCCCTTGGGTATTTAAATACCAGCCTTGCATCCCATTTTGCCAGGCTAAGTCGGATGCTGTCCAGTATCAAGCTCTTGAGGTGAGTGCACTTCCAGCCCCGTGAGCTCTCGGCGGCCTCGCCCCTTATCAAGGTACAAGCCGTTGAACGGCTTTTCACTTGCTATTCAACTGACAAAGCCTGAGACTTGAATCTTATCGACATGTCGCACCAATCTTTTGAAGTGCCATCCCACGATCAACCGAAGCCCCGGTCGGATGAAGAGAAGGCCACATCGACCATGGGGAATGAAGACTCCTCCACGACTGAAGTCGAGAAAAGGCCAAGAGATATCCACGGCTGGAAGGTTTGGAGCTCATTCATATTGTTCTGTGTAGAACTAACAGGTGCAGTGGGCTCTCTCTTACACCGCCATGCTCTCCACCACCTTTCTCTTCGCCCTGGATAACACCATTGTACGTCGCGATTCTTCCCTAAGCAAGTGCTGACACCCAAGATAATAATCAGAATTTTCTAGGTTGCCGATATCCAACCTGCGATCCTCAAAGACCTCGGTGCGATCGAACTCCTACCATGGGTCGGAACCGGTTTCGCCCTCGGCACTATGGCCGTCTTGCCCTGGAGCAAGGTATACGGCCTCTTTTCCATCCGAGAGATCTACATCTTCAACATCCTCCTATTCGAAATTGGTAGCGCTTTGTGTGGAGCGGCCCCAAACATGAATGCCATGATTCTCGGCCGAGTCATTGCTGGCGTTGGCGGATCGGGGATGTACTCAGGCACATTGACCTACGTGTCGGTGTGCACAACAATGAAGGAGAGGGCATTGTATATGGCTGGAAGCACCGTTGTTTGGGGAATTGGAACAGTACTTGGTCCAGTGGTCCGTCGAACCCCAACCCCCACAGAGAGACGAATGCTAATCAAGTTCCAGGTTGGAGGCGCATTTGCGGAAAGCAGCGCGACTTGGAGATGGGTGAGTATCACGTTGAGCCTCCTGAACTCTTGTTGATTATCCAGGGATTCTACATCAACCTCGTCGTCGGTGCCGTCTTTGCTCCCGCATATCTCTTCCTCTTTCCCTCGCTCAACCCGCAGCCCCAGCTGTCTATCAAGCAGAAGCTCAAAAGCATGGACTGGCCAATGACTTTCGTCTTCCTCGCCGGCTCGGCATTCTTTATCATGGCTATCTCTTTCGGTGGCACCCTTTACAGCTGGCACTCTGCAGCAGAGATTGCTTTTTGGACCCTGTCCGGCGTATTTCTCGTTGTTTTTGTGGTTCAGCTAAAGTTCCATCCCGGCGTCCCCAAGGAACACCAGCTTTGGCCATCCCATTTTCTCAAGATGCCAGTGGTGATGAACATGCAGTTGCAAATATTCCTGTCAGGCGGCATCATTCTGGTGAGTCAACTTCGAAGGGATGTGAGAGATATTGACCTTTTATAGACAATCATCTACTACATCCCCCTGTACTTCCAGTTCATTCGTGTAAGTAAAGCGAGAATGGTTGAAGAACGCTGCTGATCATCTTCTAGGGAGATGGCGCTCTGGATGCTGGCGTACGACTTCTCCCACTCATCATAGCTATGGTGGTAACATGCATGGTCAGCGGGGTGCTATTTCCAAGGACACCGCGATTCTCACCATGGTACATCGTCGGTAGTGCCCTGGTCTTGATCGGAACGGCCCTGATGTGTACGTTCTTTTCATCGATGACGGATCAGGAAAATTAGCGACGCTAATCATTTATCCAGACACTGTTAATGAAGCCACCAAGAACGCCAATATCTATGGATATAACATCTTGATCGGCGTTGGCGCTGGCTGCTACATCGTTACTGGCTTTACTGTCGTTCAGTCCCTTGTGCCAGCAAGAGATACAGCGAACGCTGTTGCGGCCATGACAATTGGTAAGAATCATCCGACCCGTTGTGGCATTAAAATCACCAACACTGATCTTGAACAGCACAAAATATGGGAATGGTTCTGTTTCTCTCTGTTTGCGGTACTGTCTTTCAGAATACTGCTATCAAGGAGGTTGGCCAGGCTCTTCCCCAATTGTCCGCTGACGAAATCGCCGACCTTGTTGCTGGAACGAGCAGTAAAGCATTCCAGAGCCTGTCCCCTTTAGAAAAGTCGACGGTTATCATGAACATCACATCTGCCATTAGAAACGTCTGGTTGCTGTTTCTCGTTGCTGCGGCCTTGAGCTTTGCGTTCTCTCTACCCCTTGCAGTAAGCTCTTCTTCCCCGGCATCGAATGCGATCCAAACGACTAATCTACCAATGTAGAGGGTTCGCCTTGGAGCTCCGCAGAAGTAATGCTTTCAACTTGGGTGTTGGGCAAGGACTGGTGTCAAAGCACGAATGTCCATGGTGCTAGATGCTTCCTGAAGGATTAAGTATGCATGCGAAAGGGGGTGTTGGTGGTAAATACCGGTGGCCGTGATGGTTGGCACAGAGGGTATGAGGGATCTTTATCTTCAATTTGTAAACTTCGCTCAAGAGCGATGACTAGTATCAATTATATAACCAATGTCAATTTCTTGTCTTTATAGCCAAGCTTTCCTCTCAATCACGACGCACGTGGATGCCCAATGGAGCTGGCTGACTCATCTGTTCATGCAGATGATGATCCCTCGGTCTCCTCAACTGTCAACATTTCCACTTACACAATCTCTTGCCCCTAGCAGCCAATTGCTTTAAAGACCAGCACCAGTCTCTAACCCCCTATAATCATTGCCTCGGCTTCTTTGCGATGAATCAACGTAGTGGATCCAAGTAACCAGCATGGGATCGAGGCGCGTTCGACAAGCCTGCACGGTTTGTCGAGACCGGAAGGTCAGATGCGATAGGGTACAACCGAGCTGCGGGAGATGCCTACGCCTTCACGAGAGATGCAGCTATGATGCTTCATCTGGACCTACAGATCTTTCACGTCAAGTTCGAGAGCTTCAGGCTCGCCTAGGTACGAGACTCCAACATGTAGCTCCACGTTGATGAAGGAACTGACAGCCGAATAAGAAAGAGCAGAAGAAAGATTATCGGCAAGCAGACACGGTAGCCTAGGAGCCGGAAATTCGTTGGTGGGATCAGGGGTACCACCCTTACTGCCTCTGACTGAGAATGTCGACCTCCTACCTTTTGTGCCCTTGGCCGACATCAGCTTCGATGCCCAGCCGCAGCCTCTTGCCCCGACGGGGTTTCTCGGCCTTTTTGCACAGCCTAACACAGAGAGCCTTTCTCAAGATGCATCGTCAGTGAATATCGGCCAAAGTCAGTTCGATTTGATGCGCGATTCCGAGACTGCAGCGGCCATGTCTGAACTGCAATTGTGAGTCAACGTGCCCTCTCTTTTAACGCCCAGTGACACTAGACTAACAAACTGGATGAAGTCCGGTAGGATCTCTACTAGTCGATTCAGAGCCTATGCAAGATGGTACGATGACTGGAAATGGAAAAGCTGGGGGGTTCGGGCTGGAGCCCGTTGATGAGGAATGTGCCGTGTTGTAAGGCATTATCGGAGCGCCGTATCCATGGGGGACTGACATTCTAGTAGACACCACATCTTCTTCGAGTTCGTCTATCACTCGCTCCCAATTCTCTATCAAGATCGGTTCTTCGAAGAAATGGCGATGCAACCTCATCCCCGCCCTCTACTGGCCTTGGGCTATGCAGTAGCCCTTGTGAGCGCGGCCATCTCACCATCCCATCAGCATCTGCATAAGAATTACTATGCCATGACGCGAAAGTTGCTCGAGGAATGTGAGATGGAGGATGATGGAGCAGAATTTGCGAACCTCAACATCTTCCAGGCCTTGCTCTTCTTGCTGAGATACGAGATCATGTCAAGCCAAATCACGAGAGCTTGGATGACGCTCGGGCGGGCGATCAGACTTGCCAGCGTATTAAATCTCCAAAACATGGACACACGAGACCGCATAGGTGGAACCGTCCCGGGTCTTCATGTGGAACTACCCCCAACGAAAGATCTCGTGTTGCTTGAAGAGCGACGGCGCTCGTTTTGGTGTCTTTTTATCCTTGAAACGTACGTCAAGACTCGATCAGGAATGCCCTGTCAGCTGGGTCACGCGGCAGTAAGTACGACGACAGTTAATCCGGCGATGTTTCACTGACTGGTCTTTTAACTAAGTCGTTTGACGTTAACCTACCGTCGCCTGGGCTGCTCAATCGAGGATTCGCACCAACTAACATGCCCTTTCTACGAGATGTCACTAAATGCAACGAGGAGCTCTCCTCGTACGCGGCATGTGTCGTCATGGTCGATCTCGCGATTCGGGCCTATAAACACGCAGAATTATCACAATCACAGACTCAGGGGTACTGGGATCGCCACTTTGCTCTAGCGAGACTGATTCAAGAATGCTCGAAAGAAATGGGGAGCCAGCTGAATAAAGAAGCCGCAGTCCATGACCCAGTTTCTCTAACGAATCAACTCAACTTGGGCGCTGTCAGGATCATATTGCACGAAACAGCTGTTGGAAAAGGGCGTGTAGAGGAGCTTTCACCGTCGATGATTGCGGAGAATGAAAGGTGCTGCCAAGTTGCAGCTCAGACAATAGCTGACACTGTTCGAGCTGTATGGGAGAGCCAATCCTCCGAGGTAAGAGCCAGTCCTTATTTGATCGCTGTAAATGAAAAATAATTAATATACCTGGAAACTGACTACGTGAACACTATTAGAAAAACTTATTCATGCTCCAAGCGACCTTTACGGCTTGGCCAATAGCAAAGGCGATCAGCACTCTTGTTAGGCACAGGGCAGATTCGTGTAACCATTCGTCGGTTCAACGAATGAATGAGCTGAAACTACTGTGCTCTGTCTTGGATTACGTGGAAAGAAAAGGAGGCTATTGGCACATCTTGATAGCTGATGATCTGGCTCAAGCGAGGGAGTGGGATGATGGGCTGGAATATTCAGCATAGAAGCTGAGAATTTGGATTGTTGCTGAAGTCCTGAGATGTTATTGATAGGACGACGATAGAAATTGCAAGCTAAGAGTTAGGTCATCACTGTTGGGCTGCACTCAGGTTTGCCTGATAATTGTCAATTGAGGATGAGTTCTATCTCAGGAGGCACATTTTTATCCAACCAACCAACCGCCCAACCACCGTCATGCCTTCATTTCATGAAAACTGGTCATCAACCTGGCTCTTAAAGCGGAAGGATGCAGCCCACAACCTGGAGAACGATGCCAATAGAGCTGTCCGATGAGAATTTAGCAACGGTTCGTCACTTTGCCTTATAGGTCAGGGTCGACAGTAACTTACCAGGTAGCCAGGCCAACCAGCTGGCTCAGAAGAAGCGTGGTGGGGGGGTTGGTTGGGTCGAGGCTGGGGACACAGCTGGTGATGCCAGTGATGCCGAGGACACAGGTGGGGTCGAGGGGGACTTCGGGAAGCTGGCGCTCCTCAATCTTGGCAGGAGTGGCAGCGGCGAGGGCGAGAGCGGGGAGAGCGAGGAGAACAGCGGGCTTCATTTTGCTGGTGGTGGTGGTTATTCAGATGATCTGAAGTGAAGAGTTGTTGTGTTGTTGAGTTGATGGATGAAGATGATTGTGAGTGAGTGATGATGAGAGAGCTATGAGGGAGGAAAGCGGGCCTTATATAGATTTTTGAGCTTTGCAAATGAAAGTATTGTCGACTCAACCGATGCTTGGACCAGTCTCTCTTGTGGCCTTTCCCGGTGGCTGCATGTTGACTTCTGAGTGTATCACGACGTGTTGACGGCTTGTACAATGTGCTGTTCTCGTCAAAGAGAGACAACAACTCCTTGGCATTATGCGATCCTCTCCTGCTCTCACTATGAGGCACATTTTTCATTGGTCTCTGTCGAGGTTGGTGTTTTGCTTCCTATGTGATAACCCCCTCAGACAGTGTTGACCGTCTACGCATGCAACGTTCTGGTCTGTGTCATGTCTCAACGCTATGTGGCGGAGACAACAAGGCTCTGGTATGTGACGGTCTCGTTTCTGCAACGGTTACTAATGGGAATTACATTCTGAGACTTGAGGCTGTGGCATGTTCGAGAGGGGTACACAGGAGATTGAGTTGCAACGGCGCATCAACTGCGTTGGCTCTGACTGGAGGGCCATGTCTCGGATCTTGAATGATCATCGTTCTCAGCAATGAATCCTCCTTGTCCCCTAATGTCATGGTTGAACAACATGAGAGTTTTGTCGATCACTTCGCCCTGATTTACAACTTGGAATACTCACCAGAGACTTCGTTTACTTGCCAAGTTGTCTCGGAAGATGAACACGAGTATTGGCCCTCAGAATCACTCCCACAAGCCACCATGACAGCATCGGCAAGACGCCTGCATGTTGAGCTGCGCCTCTAGGATGACCACATTGCGGAACCCCACTAGACAGTGCGCTTCAACAAACGCCTGCTTTCTTTATGGCCCTTCAGCCGCATGCCAAGCTTAACGGAGCGCAGCGTTAGGCCCCTACGGAGAATTTTGATTCTAACCCCATAGTCTAGAATCCTCGGCATGACTCGCGTGACGTGTTGGCGTGTTGTTTCCTCAACAAGTTACGCTCAGCATAACCGTTCACTGGCCAAGAGAACGGAACGGGATGGCCCTCAGATTAAGGGTTGTTAGTTTGTGCTGTGACACACTGGGCTGATGATCTATAGTCAAAGCTCAGAATAATAAGCTCGTCGCACAAACAGCCTCATTTCTGTATCCTGCATTCCATGTATCCCGAACGATCGATATGACAACCACCTCCCTGGCACCCGACTTGAGACGGGATGAACTCTTGCTCGATTCGACAGGCTCCATGTTGCACAGACCCTCAAGCAATGCCATGGCCAAGGCACGGAACCCTCATCCGAGCCACATCACATTGCTGTGAGGTTTGCCACTGCATATCAGTCAAACGATGCTCATGCTTTCAAAGTCAAAACAAGCAACAATTAACATGACAGGCTGTACAGTGTCTGTTTCTCCAGCGTGACAAACCAACATATTAGACCCCAATGTCTCACTGAGAAGGCTTTGAGCGGCTCGGATGTCGGACCGCCGGAAGCTCCCTTGCGGCATCCCGGAACTCGCAGCTTGGCGTCCGGGGGAAAAGACGAATCTGACTGCAGAAAAACAATCTGACGATCTAGATCGAGCGGCCCGAGGCGTGCGGGACTTATTGGCCTGTCAGAATGCCACCCCCGTCATCCCTGGCGGGCCGTTTGATGGACAGCGGTTGCGGCTGGCAACTCTGACGAATGAGAGGGCCCTCAGTCAAACGCGTGGACACGTTGATTCAGCCCCTTCGCTAAACCTTGTGATATGAAAGGCTAATATTGTACGTACGCTTTCTGCAGCATGCTCAACAAGGTTTGGATCACTTGAAAGTTGACGCGAAGGATGGATGCTCGAGTCCAAAATTGGAGATACTCGTGGGGGCGTTGTGTTACGATGCCTCGACGAGCACAGCATGAGGGAACCATGACGACATCTGTCAGGGTCTTTTCAATGACACATTACGCTCGGGCCCAAGTTTACTCACACTCAGCTCTGCGGCAAGGGAGAAGATGCATCTCCAACCCCCGCGTGACGTGAAGACAGACAAGATTCAAATATGCCAAGACACGGCACGTCGTTGGCGTCTCTCTCCAGCTTTCAACATTTTCTCGACTCCACAGACGTTGGCTGTGCGGAGAATGTGAATCCTCCTTGGCGGGAAGACTAGACTCAACTTTAATGGGTAATATTCCGATGCTCTACCCACAAGGCGTTGCTGATAGCTCCAGATTCGGACAGAGAGCCGTGTTTGACAGAGAGCCGTGTTTGACTGAGAGAAGTGGAATCGAAACACACGTGGATATCGGAAAAGTAACCCGAGCCGGACTGCCATGTCTCTTGTTTGACTCGGATGGATGGGACACGCGGAGCCAGTCTTGAGGGGATCGGGGATCAGGAGAAAGCTGAGTGACCGAAGAGGGAGGGAGCCAATCATGAAATCAATCACCTTGATGGTACCTTAATGTGCACAACAAGATGGGAGATGTCACTCTGGTGTTCCCTCTCTTGTTCCCTCCAGAGATCTTGTCTGACAGTGGCGTGCGCAGGGGAGAGAATACACAGCCTACCTCGACGCGTCTGAGTCACTCTGCCCGAGGGAAGAGAGGACATACACGAGGCATACGGTATGGAAGTTCTTGACGATCAATGTCTTGTTGGTAGCTGATCGCCGCAGCATCATCAGGGGATTCGCTCAACCAGGTTACACAGAAGCTGACAGCCAGCGATCCCTTGTCGGAGTACCACCCCACAAACGCCATGTCTCCAGATCTGTAGTCAGCCTGTTTGTCTTGTGTCGATCACTCATATTCTGATACTTTCGTGTACCCCCCTTAAAACTCCGCTCATCTCCGGGTGAGTGACGGTACCACTTGTCCCCGTTATTCGCACATGTTTCTTGTCTCGTGACGGCACGTAGTGAATCTGGACGGTGTGATGGAAGAGTGGATGTCTTGATGCTCTTCCGTCATGGTCTCCTAAACATGGCTTTGAAGCGTTATTGTTAAGCCCACGACAGTCCTGGAAGGAATAAGTGCTTTGCGAGAGAAAAATGGTTTCTCCTGGCCTCTCTACTACGCAGAAACGCATAATGCAGCCATTACTGTAAGCCATTCTTCAAACAGACATCCTTGGGCTTGTTTATAGTCATGTTCAATGCCTGAGTAGTTGTAACTATTCACTTTGTGTCTTCTAAACAAAGCCAAAGGTATCTTTAATGACTTTTGCCATGTTATAAACAAGGTCGTCCATTCATGAAGCAAGTACCGTAGCTTTACTTTGCCTATGGATAAGCGAATATGTGCTTTCTGAGACCATGTACGAACGCTCATCCACCACTGTTGGGCTCTCCAGTGTGCTTTATGGCAAGATTCCATAAGCCCTAGCGACGTGTATCTTAGGCAAGTGGCGTTCCATCATGCAATTTACGAGAAAGTTGTGCTGCATAAGTATATAAGGTAAAATGGAAGAAAAAAAGGGGGAGAGAGGGGACATGAAGGCGTAGTACTAGAAGTGGGACACAACAGGGCGAAAGGGGGCCAACACTGGTTCGTCTTCTGAAACGCCGTAATTTTGACATGGATTTCTTGAAATAGAATTATTAGTGCTTAGTGGATTGATGGAAGGGACCTAAGATGCAACGGACAAACAGCTTAGCCTTGGGAGTTACGGCACTATCACTTGCTCATCAGGGTGGAAGTCAAATGGGGTATATCAAAGAATTAAAGTCTATCAATTAAATATCGCTAATCCCAAACAACTTTTTAGGCCTTCTCATTTTGAAGGCATCTTCCAAATTATGTAAACGACTGCCTCGTGTTGACGCGGTCAATATTGTAAGGGTTACCCTCATAGGATCTCCTCCTCTGGGAGGCCCGAGTGTGTGTCGTATGTGTCGTATGTGTCGACGACCGAGTCCTGGCCAAGGAAATAGGAGCGTAGACTGGCTCATCAACTTCGGTGGAAGCGTCGTCGTTGAAGTCTTCCTGCTCTCCAGGACGGGTCTCGTCCTTTTCGGTCTCCTCGGCGGGAGGAGCCTGGTCGCTCTGAAGCTTGCGCATGAAGGCAGCGGATTGGGCGGCAAACTTGCACTTTTCGCGGATAGATGCGCCGTACTTGTAAAAGAGGAAAGGGAAGGGCACGCAGGCCAGGGCGAGGAAGGCCGGGACAGAAGAGGCCCAGTGGATTCCGAGGTCCTTGTACATGTAGGACGTGAACAAAGGGAAAGCAGCGCCAAAGCAGGATCGGAGGACCGAGTTGGCGGCCAAAACAGAGGCTGCAAAGATAGTGTAGGCGTCAATGAGATAGTTCATAACGCTGAGGAAGACGAGAACCATGCCGAAGCCAAAAGGCACACCGGCGGCGATACTGGCCATCCAGTGGACGTTCTTGTCGTTGGTCCAGGCGAACCAGAACAGACCAATGGGAAGGGCGATAGAGCCGACGAGGCAAGGAGGGAGACGAGCTTCAGGTGGTGCGAAGCCTCCGTGCTTTTCCTCCATCTTGATATATCGCTTGTTGGCAGGGATAGTGTAGGCAATGGCGAAGAGCATGCCAACCATGATGCCAAGGAAGGACAAGCCACCCACACCCTGGTTCCATCCACGGTTCTGCTGGTAGACGATAGGAAATGCGGCGAAGAGCATGTAGAGGGTTCCGTAGATAATAGCCATGTAGATGGAGAGGAGCAAAACGATGGGCTCCTTGAAGAGAAGAATCCAAGGTCGTGACAAGGCCGTCTTGAATGACTCAATCAGAGTAACCTTTCCGCGGTCATGGTCGATCTTGCTGACGTAGACCTTGCCCGTCATCTTGGAGAGCTTTGCAGCGCGCTTTCGAAGAAGAACAGGGGCATAGGTCTCGGGGACAAGGATGGAGCCGATGATCCAGAGAGCACCAGAGAAGGCAGCGAGGAAGCCCATGACCCAGCGCCAACCAGCATTCATACCAAGGAAACCACCAATGACAGGACCCAAGACGGGACCGAGGAAGGGAGCGGCAGCGAAGATGGCCATGGCTAGACCTCGTTGAGATGCGGGGAACATGTCGGCAATAGCACCACCGGCGTTGGTCAATGGCGACGAGCCGAAAGCACCAGCAAAGAAACGAAGGATGATCAGCGACTCCGCATTCTGGGCTCCAGCGCATCCGGCGTTAAATGCGGTAAGAGCGGCATAAGTTCCGATAAAGAGAACCTGTCGACCAAACATTTCGCTGAGAGGCGCCCAAAGAAGAGGACCGATGGCAAAACCAAGAACGAACAGCGACACTCCGAGCGTCGCAACCTCTTGGCTAATCTTGTACTCGGTAATGATCTCGCGGATGCCTCCAGTGTAAGCCGACGAAACAAGGGCGACGGCGAGGGTAGCGATAGCGACAGTCATGGTGATGAACCATTTTGTAAATGTGCTAAAGGTCATGGGGTTTCGGGGATCGTTGGGAATCCATTTCACTTGGTAAGGATCTTCTTCGGTACCAGAGCCATCGTACTTAAACTCGGCGACGGCGGGTGTAATGCCGGCTTGGTCGATGACTAGACGCCAGTAAGGAATGTGGTCCCTCGCAGGGGCTTCGATGTTGTCGACTTCAGCCATTGTGGGAGTGGCTTTTAATGGAATTGGGATCGACTATGATGATGTGCCAAGGACAGATCAGATCCATGACAAGGGAACGGGAACTATTTAAACAAAAGGAGCCTCGGCATGGACATGGGCCAAGATTTCTAGAAAGAACAAGCTCGTAAAGAAAATCTTTCGTCGGGCCCGCCGACTTCCCGATACCGACCAGGTCGGAGGGTCCTGATATGAATTCCGGCCCTTGATGATATCACCGGTGGCCACTTTACAGGGGCTACTCGGTGCGCTCGAGTCGTGATAGGTCAAGACCCCGGCCGCTACTGACAAAAAGCCTGCATTACTAACCGGTTTGGATCTGTGCCTCGGCCCAGATTACGGTTCCCATCTCCATTAAATCTCCGGAGTCGGGTCCGTGTCGGCCATTTCGGCCGTTACACAACAAACTCCGGCGAGTTTTAACAGCGAGGCCGTGTTTCTTGTGTGTGTCAGCTGCTTAATGCAGTCAGCAACTAGACCTTTATCTAGGACGAGTCGGATTTTGATTCCATCTAAATATCTTGATCTGTTGCGTCGGTGGTGGGGAAATGCCTCCATCCGCGGACTATCCGCGGGAATTCCATGGAGGAAGGCAAGATTTTCGCAAATTAGCATGTTAACTCCGGTTCAAGCACGGGAATCTCGATCATGCGATTTGATAAACGAAAGTCTAACATTGCAGGGGCTACGTAACGCTTCAGACAATTACTAAACAAAGCGGTACTTGATATAAGGGATAAAGTTCTTGGAGTAAGGGATCTTGGTAGGTCCCCACTCGCAAGACGTGACCTCTGTCCACGTGAAGGGAGCTGAGGGCCATCCATTGAGCATAAAGGTCTGTGTCTTTTCCTGCGCGCAGGGGACCTTCATCTCGTGCTCGCTCCATCGGTTGTATGGGGCTGCACCAAAGCTCCACTCAAGCTTCTTCGTTGTCAGGGGGAGCTTGTCCACGGTGACCTGTAGGGCGTCGATCGCCTTGATGAGGTTATACACGGGTGTTCTGAGCTCGGTTTTTACGCTCTTCTGGATGTTGATAAACCCATCGCGAACTTTGCGACCTGCGGCAGTTTTCGCGAGTTCCTTGTTCTTGGACCACTGAACACCAAGCACATAGTCGATCTGAGTCAATCCCGTTCGGCCTTGCGCAGCATACTTCTTGATGTCGCTAATGGGAACAAGAGAGTTCTTGATCTTTTCCACCGCCGGTGGAAAGTATTCGGTCACCTTGAACGCCTTTGCAAAGTCGCGGAGGGTGCTCATCTTGAAGTTCTGAAACAGGTCGACGTAGTAGGATCCTTCCGCCGCGCTTTTGGTGTATGAGAGGGAGTTCTTGGTCAGAGAGAGCATGCCGGGGAGATTCTTTGTTCCCTTGTCCGAGAGACCGGTGACGGCCCCAAGGCCTTTGACGGTCGAGAGCATGGTAGAGACTAAGTCTGTTAGCAGGTCGTATAGGTAATGATCGCAACCTGGACATACTCTTGCCAAAGTGCGCCGTGACAGTTGAGCTCTTGCAAGCCGTCCCCTTACACACGCTCGCCCTGGTGGAGCCAACCTTGCCATTAACAGTAGCTAGGCGGGTCTGAACAAGCTCGGAAGCCTGGCTGACAGCAGCAACCTGCTTCTTGAGGGTCTCAAAGATGGACACCCAAGTATTCAGCATACGAACAAACTCGCTATCAGTAATACCCTCTGCATTGCTGATATAACCGGCAAAGAAGTCACGAAGCTTGACAGGATCACAGCCGTCTAGCTCACATGGCTCCATTGCTTTGACGAGCTGGCGATACAGGGGCATGTCAACCTGTAGGGTGTCAGTCACAACATTGACCGGCTTCTGTCCTTGCACCTACATCTGGTCCACGAGCGACGGTCCAGCCGCGTGTATTAGAGATCTGGCTCTGAATAACGGTCGGTCGGTCGGTCTTGATGGTAATCCCGTCGTCGGCAATACACTGCAATTCAGTCGGTCAATCATTGCTCCACAAAGGTAATGTAGTACAACATACTCTCTCAAGATTGTATATGGATCGGGAAAAGTAATCGTCCAAAGATCCTATAAGTGCCCCTTCATAATAAGGCTTGTAGAGACCATTCTTGGGAAGCTCAATAGCCTGAGGGAAGCATTGACAGTTCCTAGAAGCATGGTTCGCAAAGTCGCCGCTGCCAAGGGCTCTTGTGACGGCCTCGCACGCATCGATCCTCTCCGTGTTGACCTTTGTTCCGCATTGCCATCCAAAACCACCTTTACCGAGTTAGCAGCGAGCAACCTGTCGTTTCGTAGGGTGACATGCATAGGATCCTCTCTGTGGTTGTCGGGTACGTGAAGAATTGAGAGTTGCAGTGGGTGATGCCAGAAACGCCGCCGCAGGCTTTGCCAATTTGTATTTGCTCGGCCACAGAGTAGTGCGCTATCCAGCCGAGGAGGATGGACAATGAAGAGGACCGCATGGCGAATGGATGATCGATGCAGCGGTAATGCCAAGGACGCTGAACACTGAAAATGGGCACAAGGGGGAGCTTGGTTAATTTAAATGTCAAGCCCAAGGGATATCTCAACGACGTTTTCCCCTGTTCATCAAAGCCACAGCCAGTCTAGACTCGCGCTATCTACGCCTCGCAGAAGCCATCACAAGACGAGCGCTAGAAACGCAGCGATCTGGGGAACACGCCTGAAAACAGCCTCTAGATTGGGCAGAATAGCGAAAGCGCACCGCCACGAACAAAAGCCAGGCTTCATCAACATCGCTTGTGGTTACTGAAAGAGGGTTAGAAATGACGCCGCGTGGTAGGGCTGAACCAGGGCCACAGCCGTGATTGGTGAAAGAGGTCACCGCTGAAGCCTTAATTTATGGTTATTGAACGCCCATCGCCACTAACACCTAGCGCGCAAGGCCTCCTGCGTTCTAGACTCTTGCCAGGAGGCAGATTTGAGACTGGAATCGGCGAGGCTGATCTCACTTGCGGATCAGATCTCCGGTTCTTGAGATCACATGACGTGGGTTAAGGCCTCCCTGGAATGACTGCCATAGGTCATCAATACGACTGGGAGTGTGTTGTGGTCTAGATTGATAACGGAAGCGTTCCGAGGCCTACTACTGTCTATACCTGCCTACGGGAAGTTCGAAAAAGACTATGACTACCTAAATTTCGCTAGCACTCACCCTCAGATCAAGTACTACAAGGATATACCACAACCGATCAAAGTATTTGGGACTTACAGTCTTGATATAACACGCAACCAAGGGAATGCCCAGTCTCTTATTCTGTCGGAATCACTGCCTGCAGTAGCCCGCCAATCTTTGGATACTGTCAATTGGGAGAATGCCAATTTTCCCATACGCAAAAACTTTGATAGGAACGCTGTCAAGGCATATTTCGAGGCGGTCAAATGGCGTGACGCCAAACACGCTTTGATCCGTCTCCTCTCAGGTCAAAATGCATCTCTTTGACTTCGTGAAGGCTCCCACACAGGACCGGTCTCCACTGCTAGGTCACTATCTAATTTGCTCGCTAGCTCGGAGGCAGCATGTTAGTCCTGTATCTTCATGTAAATGAGGGTAGAGAGATATTAATCGTAATTGGCTAAGATCCCTGCAAGATACTCAATGGGAACCATGGCGCGTTGTGTTACGTTGGATTGTCATCTGGTGTGTACGATAAGGTAGCCTAGCCGATCTGATACCGTTTTTAATCGTACCCGCCCCTTGCAGATGCCAAGCCAGAAGTCATTCTAAAACAAAGTTCTGTACTAGACAGACTTAGTGTATTGGCAGAGTGTCTCGTTGTCACCATGCAACTCGCAGTCCAGCTTAGCTCATGCCGCGAAACATCAACCCCTTTGCTGAAAGAGCTATCCAGAGTCCATGCACTACATCCCCTTCTGCTTTGATGGTAATTGTAGACGTGGGCTATTGATTAAGTATTATAGATCATGCGATGAGGTGGTTTTGATACTGAGGATACCGAAACCTTAAAGCTCGAACTTGGCAGCCGAGTGGGATAGTTCGAAATTCGTAAGCGTAAGTGCGGCTCATTGTCTCAAATGGGAAGCTGAATGAACTATCAGGAACCCGGCAGTTGATAGCGGCAATTTGTCCCCCGTGTCGATAACGACTTACATAGTTGGTGCAGACCGGGCTTCTTCAATACCAAGGAAAGGATCGAGACGGGACGATGCACAGCCCCTACAAGGCGGGTCAGGGGTAACGCATAAATATCAAGCCAGTCTCCGCGTTGTTCCAAGGACGGCTTTACCACAGTACTATCACCTGTAGCTCTTCTTTCATCATGGCTCGATTTCTAACTGTCTTGTTGACTGCCATCTGGCTTTCTACCAGCTCCGCATTGTCGATGCCCAGCGATATAACAGCTCGGCACCTCGACCAAGGAATTACGACGAGACAGACCTTGGTCGCGCCGCCGCCTTGCGTACCGATTAATCCACCGCCAAGCGAGTTTGAAACCAAACACCGATTCAGTTGTTTCGCTCACGCCTTCCTTGTCACCAAGAACTTGACCGAGGCATTCCAGTACATATCCGAGGGCTATATTGTGAGTGTTTGGACGCTCGAAGTTGTTTCCTGGCTTTATCTCTTCCACACGATTTCTCTAGCCCTTTTGCAATATTCTTTCACACACCATGCTTACCTGGCTTTGTACAACAGAACCACAACCCATTCGTTACGCAGAACGGCTCTCAAGCTGCTTTCGACTTTTTGGCACCCATATGGCCGACTACCAACGTAACGTTCCATCGGAAGCTCTTCAGGGGCGATATGGGGTGGGTGAACTACAATACCCCTTTTGCTGGAGATATCATCGACAGATTTCGATGGGAGGCTGGCTGTATTGTTGAGCATGTAAGTACATATGACTGTCTCAATTCGACTCAGTAAGCTAACAGATACGCAAGTGGGATGTTGGTGAAGTGTGGCCGACGGATGAATAGTCTATGAGTGGCTACTGGAGGCAGATGACAATGGATTCTTTCTTCCAGATACAGTGAAGTAAGGAAAGAGCCTATTCATCGAATTGCAAGTTAAAAAGAGATTAGAGCAATAGACGTACGTAGCTTCGATAGCCAAAGACTCTGGCATTTCTTGGGCGACATTTGGATTGGCATTTATCACATCTGGATAGACCGAGCGGGAACTTTAGCCAAGGAACAGCTTGGCGATGAACTATAGATTTTTCTTTGTAATTGTGATACTCCTTACTAGAGCTTTCTTATTAGACTTGATCCAACGGTCTTCTTGGGTTAGGGAGACCAAAACATATATATTCCGGATACTCCGGAACTTGTCTTATCTTCCATTGTGGCTCCTGAAACTCTATTTGTATTTTCTAAGATAAGAAAATGCCTCATAAACTTTATCAAGCCATCGCTGCCTTAAGATGGGAATATCGCCAAGAGTGCGTCAAGCAGGGGTGAGCGTACTGGTCCTTCCAGACAAGACTTAGCGAACAAAGTGGGATTGCCGGCTGATTAACTCCTTGTCGAACCACTGCCGTTAGGTTATTTAATGCATTCCCTTTTATAAGAGGGTCCTCGGGCAAGGGGAAATTTAACGCGTTTGGCTCTTGGAACGTGGCCTTCATAATTCTCACACAACCACATTGGTTCCACAAGCTCACGGAGCACGCCTAACCGGCGAGTCTAATCTCACTTGCAACTCAAGCTCATGATCTTGAGACTTGGTTGGCCGGATCTCTTGGGTTTTAACTCACTTAACGTTCATGTGGCGAGGTCAATTCTCAAGTCCGACAGCGATTCGTTCAATGACGGATAATTTCTAGGCCATCAACGTTCAAAGCCCGCCAATCACCCTCATCCAATCCCTCTGGGCCATCATAGACTGTAAAAGGGAAGAGCTTCTGTGGATCATGTAGTAAAATCAGTATCTGTCAATCGATCTCTCTATCGTTCTTCCACTAGCAACTTCACCCCCTAACGTCACTGCCAGCTAAACATGACGCCGCGTTCGACCGCGACGAGTTATTCTGCGGCAACCTGTTCATCTTGATTCTCTGAGCTGGTTCGCTAAGGCAGAGCGATGATCTCAGAAAGGTCATCCATATCAAAATCCGCAGGCAACCGCGCCGTATAGACCCCGAGCTGTCCCTCGTTCTCTTCCCAGAGTACCGGCTCTCTGTAGAGCTTCCCGATCTCTTCCTTGGGAGGAAGGTCGCTGCCAGACGTGTCGCGAGACCAGCCGTCGACGAATGCCTCGAAACGCCACCCAAACGGTGTAGCTTCAGCTACATCACCTGCCTCACTGCCCTGCCAGTCAGTCCAAAACTCAAGAGGATCTTCCCCGTAGGCTTCCTCTCCGTTGCGATGACGAAAGTGCCACTTCTCGGTCAAGTAGCCGTTGCCCTTGTTCCCGAGCACTTCCCAATACCAAATTCGTCCATTTTCGTCCCGACCCCAACCCCACCTGGGGCTTCTGAGTTGCCTCATGAGATAATCATCATCTTCTCGTGCGTAGAATGGTCGCATGTCGACATCTTCCTCATCTTCACCCGAGGATGCGTCGTCGTCAATGATCCTCTCAGGCAGTACTTCGCAAGTGTCGTTTCGATCAACTGCAAACCTGTGCAACGGGCCAGTTGAGTCAGTGCCTAGATCTCTCCAGAGACCCAACTCCCAGTCCCACACCCGTTCGTTCTTCACAGCCCAGGGGTTGTGCTCATTTTCCCGCTCACTCTCATAACTCCGTCTCTCTGGCTCCAATATCTCCTCATCCGTCCTGGGATCATACCAGACTCCATCACGGTCAACCCACAAACCTGATGCATGGTCGAGTACTCGGCAAGGGCCTAGCTCATGTGTGAATCCATCCTCATCTCTTCGCTCACCAGCCTCGTCGTCAAGTTCCATTACTTCCCGAGATTCATAGCCGCGCGTTCGCCATCCTCGCCGTCGTGTGTCAAATACCGCTGCGTTTGGCCACTCATCAATATCCCAAACCGCATCATGCGTGCACACCGGATCTTGGTCATCTGGCCCAAAGTCGGGATCGAGCACCTTGCCATTCGCTCTCTTGTTGACAAAGCCCAGGATTGTTCGTTCACTGGTCGGCCAAGGGTTATCTTCCTCCATATCTTGACCGGGAACGATGATGAATCTTTCCAGCTGCAACGAGTTCAACTTGTGCAAACTGAGCAGCATCCTTTTAGTAACCTTTGAGGAAGTGATGCGAAGTCTGCGAAGGGTACTCGCATGGAGCCGAAGAAATTTCACAAGTGCGGAGTTATCGTCATCAAGAATTTCCTCGAGCCGAACGAACTCGGTCTCCTGTTCCCTAAGCATGATATCGTCGAGGTGTACTTCCACCAGACGAGGTAGCTTTGGAATCATCTGCAACAACCTAGGAGACTTTTCGTCCTCCTGGTAGGCGGCTTCTCGACAAAGATGAAGATAAGACACGTTGGTCGCAGCCTTGAGGCAAGCTCTGAACCCTGTCATTTGCGACTCAGAGGGGGCGGTGCCAGAGATGCAAAAGTCGAGATGTTCCAGCTTGGAAAAGGCAAAGGCATAATCACTCAGGAGAAATCTGAGAGCAGTCTCCTTGGTAGTGGTCTCATCGACAAAGAGGAGCCGAGTCACCCTCTTGCCGGGCTGTTTTGCTATGTGGATAAGTGCTGGTACCAGAACACCGAGAAATCCCGTGTTGAACGTGCACCTTTCTTGATCATGATGAATGAGGCGTTTGATGATTCCTGCGGTTATCGGGTAGCCGGAGGAAACTGCTTGTATTTGGCGTTCGTCGTGCATGGGCTTCGAGACAAGGGTATGGAGGTTTGGCATTCTGTCAAGCGCGATAATGAACTGGCGCACGAAAGTAGCAAAGGTCTCTCGGAAGTCGTACGGCTCACCCTTCGGTGTGACCCAAAAGAGATCTGGCATCTGAGACATCACCCCGGTCAAGCCTGGCCATATCTGCCAACCAAATGGTGAATACCCCCCGAAACGTTCCCAAGCTTCGGCCTCGAATCTTGAATGGTCTCCGTTCAGTTCTTCCCAGATGACCGTGCAGACATGACGAACAAGGTGAGGGGAATCGGCGATCTTGAAGAAGGTATCGCGGTCAGCCTTGAGAGTGGATATCCGAATGCTGTTGAACAGGAGAGGAGTCGCTTTGTCGGCGAGCAGGCGGGACGCAAGTCTGACGGATTTGACATCTTGTTTGGGGAGAAAAGAGAGGATTGGCTGGAGAACCTCGGTGGGCAGGTTGGCCAGATGTGCAAATTTGAAGCTCAAAGAATCGAATTCTTGCGTCATGATGTCTCTCTGGTGTTGAGGTGCGTGAGAATCTCTGGGCAGGTTGTGAGGCTAGGCAGAAGGGAGGGGTTTGAGGTTGGCCTGCACACGTGTGACATCACGTGACCTAATCTGACAAGGGAGATTCCATGAGAGGAGGATTCAGAGCAGGCATTTTAGAGATGGAGCGGGGATTTCTAAGAGGGCATGATAAATGTGTGAGAATTTGAAGCCGAGAAATGCGGCTTAGGGTGTGAATCATTGACACCAACAATGTCGAGGTATGCGAACGTTTGTCTTCATTAACCCACTATCCCTCCCTAACCCAGGCCAACAGCCACTCAAAAGCACGTACACCCTATTACCACAAATAACTATAGCATCTCATACTTGATTAAAGTTTCCTATCGCAACTAAGACCCTTCCTCTTGTACTTGGGCTGCTGAATCTCTCATAAGCCTGGTTGCAATGTTAGTGGATTCAACGTGGAGATGGACGGGGGACTTGCCTTGAGAACATCCTTGAAATGAAATGAAGAGTCAATAAACACGCGCATTTTCCCATCTTCTGCAAGTGAGGCTAGCCGCTCCGCATTTGCGCCGGTTAGAGGGGCACTGAAAGTGATGTATTTCCTGGGAACGCCGCCCAAGAACGAAGGCTGGTGGGTATTCCTAAGGGCCTGGAGAATGAAAGACAGTTGCCCCGTCTCTCCATTACCCTCACCGACGTTTACAACAATTCCATTCGGTTTGAGGTATCTGGGTGACTTGATAAACAACTCTTGCGATCCGACTGTGTCCAAAATGGCATCAAAAGGGGCCTTTCCATATGTTTCTGTGAGGAAACCTGACACGGACTTGACTTGGCGATAGTCGACAACCTGGTTCGTCATTAGTTGTTTATCTTGATTGCAATGTGTGGCCAAAGAACCACTCACCTCGTCCGCCCCAACGCTCTTGACAATGTCCGCTTTCGATCCTGAACAGACACCAACGACGTGTGCCCCGAGATGTTTCGCCAACTGAATAGCAGCAGTACCAACAGCACCACTACCTCCATTGATCAAGATGCGATCCCCTTTCTTGACCTGGGCTTTTTGAATCATTCCCATAGCGACTTGACCAAGAACACTCAGACAAGCAGCCTCAGCAAATGTCATGTTGGTAGGCTTGATCGCGATGCAGTCAGAGTCGATGAGAAGGTACTCTGCCAGCGTCCCGTGACCCGATACAGCGGTGGCATACTTGGATACAGTTCCAAAGACTGGTGTTCCAGGCCCAAGTCTAGGAGCGACATCGGGGCCTGCCAAGACGACACATCCGGAAAAGTCGAGTTCTGGGATGGCGTTTTTTCGAAGTGCAGACGGTACCACCATCATGAGGGTTTTGCCAGCAGACGACAGGGCAGCATGTGAGATTCGGACGAGAACTTGGGACCCTTTTGGTTTGGGAGGCATCGGCGATGACGGGTTAAATGATAAGACCTGCTCTGGGGCACCAGAAGTGCTGAAAGTCCAGGCTTGCATAGTAGTGGGAATATCGCTAGCATCCATGATGAAGTGAGTTTGACTCTATGCGTATCCAAGATATGTTGATAATTCATGGCTTAGCGTCGACTTATATCTTGAAATTCTCTACCTATTGCAGCGTAGAAATTGATTCCAAACTCGTTGCTTACGATCGACGTGATGGCTTGACCCAGCCACAATGTCACTGCTCCGCAATGTTTAGCGCTTGGTGTTGATGATGAAACTCCGCATCAAATTGGCCGGGTCTCTACACCAGCGTATAAGGCAATGAGTTTCCTAACAAATACATACAATGAACTTTCCTTCATTACTTATTTGATAGAGAAAATACCATGATACCGAGAAAATAAGTTGGGCGGAGCTTTGGGGTGAAAAAGTGCGAGGCCATGGTTAGATCATATCGTAATCTCCGCCCAAGTTCACAAGTCCGCAACCACGGTCTCATGCAACGTCGAGGTCGGAGTTTCAATAGTAGGGCTGCCCGTGCTGATTACCAACCAGATTCGATTTTCGTAATCAGTGATTCAATTGGTCTGAATCTAACCATGCTTGGTAGCATCGTGGATGTGCTAACGCGGATGGCTGCTTACCTGCTCCACCTCATCATTAATGTGGGCATTTTCGTATCTATCTACCTAGGCACGTTAAAATAATATGCTGTAGAGCTTCGTCGACGAAAATTTCATATAAAAAGACCCCCTCAACGCTGGTAACCTTGTTGTTGGTGTCAAATGGCAGAAGTGGACAGTTGCGGCTGGTGGGTTTTCAGAATAAGTGCACTTCATTTCTCAGCCAAAGAAAATACCAATGACAAGAGCAAAGAACAGAAGTAGCAACTTTATACACTTATTTTTGTCGAATTTTCGCATTGGATCAGCTGCTAATGCAGGCAAAGTGAGGGCTAGTCAGCCAAAGTTTAATCGGTCGGGCTCCTTCGGCTGTCTCGTCAGGGGCTGGCATAACTGGGAACCAAAAAAAAGCACAATGCCAAATTCACACATTTGCCATGTGATGCTATTAGCCTGCAAATTGGACAGAATAAATAGGATTTAGGAGAAACTTTGATGAGCAGAGACTCCTAGGGGCTTTGGCCATCTGTCTATCAGCACATGTCTCAACACCATATTGTTGAGATAGGTTGTTGCAGGCAGTGATGGCCTAACCTATATCAGCTCAAGACTAATGGTTTGTTGTATGATGCGGGATGATGGCAAAGACCAGCATGCAGACTCGGCAAACGTTGCTTCGCGCATTTGATCCGTTGCCAAAACGTCTATTTGACCATTTCGACTCATCGTGCGTCAATTCCTCATCTCGCATTTCAACATCAAGTGTGAATCGAAATGACTCATGAACGCCATGTCCCGTTTGGGTTGATCTTATTTGCATAACTTGGCGTTGACTCGTGATGTGATTGGCCCTTGGAGATTGTGCATTCATAATTACCCTCAGTTGCAGAAATGCAACCTCAGCTCGAGAGATGTAACTGCCCCTTCTTTCCAACAAAAGATCGATACTTTCTATAAAACATGGAACCTCCTCATCGCTATGAAATGTGGAAGGAGACCATCACACCATTCATCAGAGACCTCAGCCACAGCTTAGAAGCATATCCTGTTCTGAGTGGCGACAATGACACGCTCGCAACCCCCTTCAGGGGACGACCAAACAATTGCTGACACAAAAAACATCGAACAAACGAATGAGAAAAACATCATCTCCAGCGACTCATCTTCTAGATCTAGCTCCAACACCAACATCAATGGAGCGACACCCAAAGACGACGATGAATCTCCGACGAGCGAAAAGGACGACACGACTGCAGGAGAGTACCCTACCGGTTTCAGGCTCTTCTTCATTCTTCTTGCTCTTGGTCTCAGCATCTTCCTAGCCTCTCTCGACATGGTAACTCACTTGATCTTTCTACTCCCAACTCGAGCTAACCTTCACAGACAATCGTCGCAACCGCCATCCCTAAAATCACCGATGAATTCCGTGGCCTCGACAAAGTCTCCTGGTACAGTACCGCCTTTTTCATGACCAACGGCGGCTTTCAGTCCTCTTGGGGTAAAGCCTACAAGTACTTCAACCTCAAGTTCACCTTTCTCGCGTCCGTCTTCGTATTTGAGCTCGGTAGCCTGATCTGCGCCCTCGCCCGCGACTCGACTACGTTTATCATCGGACGAGCTATAAATGGCCTCGGGGCTGCTGGCATTGGCACTGGTGCTTATACCATTATTGCGTTTGTGGCTGAGCCTCAAAAACGTGCCAGCTATACCGGAATCATTGGTGCCTCGTATGGTATCGCCTCTGTTATCGGGCCTCTGGTTGGCGGCGTCTTTTCCGACAAGGTATCATGGCGCTGGTGTTTTTGGATCAATCTCCCAGTTGGAGGTCTTGGTGCCGCCATCATCATCTTGTTCTTCCAGACTCCCAGCAGTGCGCGTCCGGTAGCTGCAAGCTGGCCGGAGAGGCTGTTGCAGATGGACCTTGTTGGTGCTTGCATTCTCGTCGGCGCTACGCTTTGTTATCTCTTAGCCCTCCAGTATGGTGGACAGAGCCTCCCCTGGGATGACAAGACTGTTATCGGTCTACTTGTCGGCTTTGCCACCATCGGTGCTGCCTTTGTGGAGTGGGAATGGTATCTAGACGAGAGAGCTATGATTGTCCCTCGTCTGTTCAAGAATAGAGCTATCGGCATGAGCACCATGTTCATCTTCTTCTTCGGTGGTCCTTACTACCTGACCATCTACTACCTACCCATCTACTTCCAGAGCGTGGGTGGTTCGACGGCTATCATGTCAGGCGTCAAGAACTTACCTCTGATTCTCGCGGTCACAATCTCTATGATTGTCTCTGGTATCTTCATTAGCGCTACTGGCCATGGCGTCCCGGTCATGATCTTTGGCTCGACTCTGGCTGTCATCGGTGCTGGGCTCTTGTATACTCTGGACGTTGATTCGAGCATGGGCGAATGGATCGGATATCAGATCCTGGGCGGTGTTGGCTGGGGTGTCGCCCTCCAGGTACCAATTATTGTTTCCCAAGCGAGCGCGGCCGCCCAGGATATATCATCGGTCACGGCAATGATCTTGTGTGAGTGGAATCTCTAGAGAAAACCAGACTTGGTACTAATTCCCCACAGTGTTTCAGTGTCTTGGCGGCACCATGTTCAACTCTGCTGCACAGGCGGCGTTTGTCAACAGCATGATCAGAACTCTTCCCGGTGATGTCCCTGGCATCGATGTTGAAGCCGTCGTTCAGATTGGAGCTACTGAGATCCGGGACGTGTTTTCTTCCTCCGAAGTGTTTGGAATCATTGCTTCGTATATGACGGGCCTCAAGCTCACATTTGCTATTGCCATCGCAGGTGCTGGCCTGGGTGTTGTCGCAAGTGTCTGTAACGACTACAAGAGGCTAGGCAAAGAGGCCGTCAAGGATACAGGGGCCGTGGCTTAACATTTGCGATGGCAATGCGCATTGAGATGACTCAATATTTAGATAGACTAGCGTGCTTGTTTCAATGTCAACCCTTTTCCTTGGAGCCTGCTTGTCCTTCGAATGCTTGGCGATGCAGTGATAGTCACAAATCACTCTTAGATGCAAAGGAAAAAAAAGATTTGTCGAACACAATGTGATATTTACTGCTCGTAGTAAGGCTTGACTACAAAGTATGCTGTAGATATGACTACCTAGTGTGAGAAGTACCCAGAGTCAGGCACGGGAGCCCCCTCCAGCTTGAAGTATCCCGGCTGCAACACCTGGAAGACCTGCTGAGGATCATACTTCTTGGAGATACTCTTCAGCTTGGCCTTGTTCTCGGTACCGTAGTTGGTGACGACATCCTGGAACTGACTGGCATAGTTCATGTAGAGATAATCGTTGTCCACACCTCGAGCCTTGGACTCCTCCTTGGTCTTCCTCATGATATCCGACATCCACTTGTAGATGGCCTCATCGTCGGACTTGTTCAGCCACATGGCGCAGAGCTGAACAATGAGAACGGGTCCATCCGTCTCATCAAGACCCAGAGCGTTGCCTCCGTTTGTCTGCATCTTCTTGAGCTGAGGAGTGGTGATACCCTGGACGACTATGTTGGGGAAGATGCCAGGGATGTTTTCAACATCAGGAAGCTTGTCGAAGAAAAGATCCTTGAAGAAGTCGACGATACCACTGTCAACCTTGGTAGAGATGACATAGTACATCTCACGCAGACCAATAGGCGCACCCTCCATGTTCTCCTTAGCCCAAGCGCCAAGATCCTTGTTCCCAGTAGTATCAGAAACGGGCGTAATAGCGCCAATCTCATCCCAAATCTTTGCATCACCACCATCAGGCTCAGCATAGTAAAGAGTAGGAAGACCAAGCTTTGTGCCGTTCAAAGATCCCCAGACCGCCCAGAAACCGGCCTTGGGATCCTTGGGAGAGTTGTTGACAAGGCCGACGACGGCTTTGGTGAGTTCGGGGAACTTGTCCTCGGTGAAGGCTCGATTGCCTCCCCACATCTGACCACCAGGAAGGGGAACGGTCTTGAGGTTAAACTTGACGACAAGACCAAAGTTGTTGCCGCCACCGCGGAGGGCCCAGTAGAGGTCTTTGTGCTTCTTGGCACTGGCCTTGACAATGGCACCGTTGGCCAGGACCACCTGGTTGATTGGTTAGAAACAGTGTCTATGTGAGCACGCAGGACTTCTTACCTCGTAACTGTCAACGTTGTCGCAAGCCCAGCCGTGCAGGTTGGAGAAGTAGGAGATACCGCCTGCAAAAGATTAGTAAAGGCTTAGAGAGAGATGCCAAGAGCCATACCTCCTGTTGTGAGTCCTCCGACACCGATGTTGGACAGCCGTCCTCCAATAACAGTGACGTCCGACTTGGAAAGCTCCTCAAACACAGGGCCCCAGGTATTGCCAGGCTCAATAGAAGCAACCTTCTTGTCCTTGGAGAGACTGACACCCTTCAGGTTGGTGAATGAAATCGTGATACCACCCTCAGCCGAGGACGCGCCAGCCATGGCTGCATGGCCACCACTCTTGGCCGCGAAGGGACATTGTGTTAGACGGGACAAGAGAACAACGACAGATACATCCTTTGCCTTTGATGGTTTGAAGATGCATTGGGGATCGACATCGCCCTGGTTTGCGGACCAGTATGAGCTTGTGAAGGCTTCGTATGCCACTTCACCTTGTGTCTCTACAGCCGCATCTCCATAGAGGAATTTGAGTGATTTGCACTAGTAAAGTTAGAGAAGAGGGGCATCATTTTGACATGTTCACTTACGGCAGCAGCACACCCAGTGGTCGATCGCTTTGAGTCCTGTACCAAGGCAGGGATCTCAGACACATTGACGCCAAGACCAAGAAGTGCATCAGCAACGTCAAAGTTCTTAGGCTCTAACGCAGGGTCAGTGACAGCCCACGCCGTTGACAGCACGGCACTCAAGGCTAACAAGGAACTAGCGGAAGGAGGAATCATGTTGACACAATGGCAGTCGAGGGCCTAGAACAAACACCCAGGAATAGGGCATCCATTGCTTTTGTATTATCCTCTCCCGGAAACAATCCAGGTACCGAGCCGGAACCTGGCTCATCTCCCAGCGTAGCAATGCCCCATGAGGCTTGCAGGAGACAGAAAAGCCACTCAGATTTGTGGCCCAAGCGTTTTCCCAATGCCTCTTAAGATCGCCAAGGACATGCGGGATTTGTCCCAGGGACGTAATTGCTTTGCCTGGGAAGTTGGGGGCGATGGAACTTCGGTACTCCGTAGGAAAGGTATAATCCCATAGCCAGCCCTACGGTAATCCGTCCGAGTACGGATACGGGGTAAAGCTGACGATGGGCCTTCGCCATTCAAGCTCCGAATGCCCTGCAGAACTTGAAGCACTGGTCTGGCTTGGCGGGTCAACCGTTAAACCCGCCACACCGCTAGCTTTGCTCCGCATCGGCGATAACTGGCTCGATGAAGAAAATGATTTGTTACACAGGAGCAGGCTGGACTGCTGGTGTTACTCAAACGTGAGTTCCTTACTTCAGCTGCACTGGCATTATCGTCCATCATTGGGTAGGACAGGGCGCTCAATACTTCAACTCAGCTACCTCAATGGAATGCAGATCCGCCAAATCTCGCCTTTACCAGCAGGGATCACCAAGCTGGCTGCTGACTGCATCTCACAAATTAGTGATCCGGAGACTAGGCAAGATTCTGCAATGGGTCCTCCCGGAATAACCTTGATCTCAACCCCTGTAGTAAATCCTGCGCTTTGCCCGAGATAGAAGGAGTGCGAAGGAAAGTGTCAGCAGCCTGGACGATAGGTTAGCGATGCGAGACGCATTTCGGACTCCGACTTTGTCCAAACTGCCAGTTTGGCCTGCATGACTGATCCAAAGATTCTGAGAGATAGGAGGGTCGTCACAGGTCTCCACGAGTGGCTGCGTGGAAGCGAGTATAAAGCCTCGCTTTGCAAACTCATCTCTTTAAAAGGTAGCGCCTTGGGATGTGCCAAAAACCACGAGATCACAGATCAAGATCCCATGAAGCCTCTTGGGGCAGCGCATGTAGAAAAAGTCAAATACATTTGATCAAACAACAACCTTAAACGCCAGTCACTTCTGCCCATCCCTTGACAGACATGGCAGGTATGACACTCGCCCGACTACTCCATACAAACCAACGGCAACACGTCCCCCTTCCAAAACAACACGACTGAGCTCGAAGACCAACCACCAAGTCCATTCCACAATCATTCGTCACCCAAACCACTGCCCGTGTCGTGTTCATCATCCCAGTCTGACTCATCATCCGAGGAATCCTCTGGAGAACGGTCTGAGGTGTAGTCTGGGCCGAATTCCGAGCAGTAGCCTCCCTCTGGAAACATCGATACCTTGACGTTAGAGCCCCTGAACGCCTTATCCAACTTGGTCTGCAGCTTTGCTGACTTGCACTTTGCCCACCGCATGTTTTCGTTATTGTCTTGTCGGCCAAAGGCTAAAAAGACATGGAAACTCTCGAGATTTGGGAATTTCCCAGCTACCACGTCATTTCCAAACCCAGTCACGTCTTTGCGCGCCGCCATCCATTGGGTGTCTAGCCCGATGGCGAGGTGCTTAATGTTGGGAAGAAGCAAGTCGCTGATGCAGTTCCAACGGAACTTCTCGGCAGCCTCCACGTCAAAGTGCCGACAGAAGGCTAGCTCCAGCAGCCGTAGCGTGTGGAGGTTGCGGAACGGTCCGAGGTTGGATCGGTCGATATTAGGCAAGCCAAATACGCCATCATTGTGGGTATCACAGTCGAGATCGTAAGAGCCAACTTCAAGAATCTCCAGAGTTTCCGCCTGAGGCTTGAGGGCCTCGAGGAAGCGACCTGCCCCAAAATGACAGGTTGGTCTTTCGTCGCAGTCGACGCAGCGGGCAAGATAGATAAAGTGCTTGAGGCTCTTGATCATCTCAATTACCTTGCGAAGGGCCTCCCACGGAACGTCCATAGGGTCCCATGGGACTATAGAGTTTATGAGCTGCAACGAGGTGAGATTCCACAGTGCCGGTGCAAAGACTCCAACGTCAAAGGCGGAAGATCTCTGGTCGTCAAGTTCGACCCACTGCGTCTCGACAAGAACGAGTGTTTCCAATGCAGGTGCTACTCTGAGTACTGTCCCAACTCCCGGGTGGTAGATACTGAAGAGCTCAGTGCCGCGCTTGAAGAAAGTAACATGTCGTAGGTTGTTCAAGTTGGTCGCAGATCCATAGGTCCGCCGGTGGGTTGCAGCAAGTTTCCAGTATTTCTGCTCGTCGTGGAAAGAGTCGAGCTGCATTGCTATCATCTCGACCTTGGTGCACAAAGCCATCACGAGCTGGTCGCAGAATGGTTCATGGAGTGTTGGGTGAGAGACCAAGCGCTTCCCAGAATGAGTGAAATAGTTGCGACCGCCTTCGATGTGCATTCCGATTTTCCTAGCGACCTTCAAGGCGAGATTCACGTCGTCGGGGGCATTCATCTCAATCTCGAGATTACCCAAGCGCAGTACCTTGACATGATTTGCGAGGCTGAAGTCAAGGTCGATGCGATAGAGCAAGTCGGAAAGCCTAAGGTAGGCGTTTGGGTCGTGGTATTGGATAGGTTGGGCGATGGATCGCAGGCGCCTAGAGGTTTGTGATAGGGCCTCGAGCGTGAGCCATGATGTCCACGCATCGTGGGATGCCTCGATCATGTCATGCTTAATCTCTTCGCCGCGGCAGTGCCAGCAAAAGAGATTGAATATTGCGAGGAGGGTCTCGGAAGGGAGGCGGTCGAGCGACGCTGGCACTGCGTCCTCGTTGGTGGAGGCCATGTCGACAGCCACGGCTGCTGTGTGTCGTGTACGTGCAGAGATGGATGTCGATAAGAATTGAAAGTGATGCAAGATGGAAAAGAAAGAAGAGAGCTTGGTTCCCCAGTAATTTTTGTGTGTTTGTTTTTGTCGGTTGGCTGCGTCACTGCAACAAAGGGCTGGCACTGTCAGGGACTGAACCGACCACTGACTGACGTAATTCACCACAAGCCGATTTTATTTGCTGTTTGTTTCTCTCGGTAGCCCAGTGAAGCAAATATTATATATTAAAACGTGGTATCGCGCAGAACGTTTGCTTTGCTGTCCCTGATCAACTCCTGCAACCACAAAGGAAATCCACTGAGACCGGCTAGTAGAACGCCGTAGCCAGGTAGCACGACCCGTCCGCTCTTGCATCCCATCACGTGGTCGACAACAACTTTAGCAACGCTGTCCGGTTCATCAAGTGGATCATGGAAAGTTGGGTGTGCCGTGAGGTTCTGGATGAGAGGTGTGCGGACCCAGTAGGGGTAAATGATGCTGAGATGCTGTGAGCGGAGACCGGTGAAGGAATAGCATCATGCTTACCTCGTAAGAACGTTTCTGGTGTTATATCTATGCTTCAAATCTTGCGCCAGACCCTCGTGAAATGCTGTCAATCCTGCTTTCGTGCAACTATAGTCGACATTGCTAGCAATCGTGATGAAGCTGGCGATGCTTGCCATGGTGACGATATGTCCGTGCTGCTGCTTGATCATGGACGGCAAAAATTCCTGCGAGAGCCAGAAATGCGCAAGAATATTGACATCAAACATGCGCCTGATTTGATCTTTGCTGCAGCTGAGAATATCTTTGCCGAGCACAACTCCCGCATTATTGATGAGAACAGTCGGGTCGCCAATATCCCGTCGGATCTTTTCCGCTGCTTCGCGTACCGCCTCTGGTGAGGTAACATCCACTTGATAAAAGCGGGCGTTTGCTGGTAGAGCTTGCTTTGGTGGTTGAATATCGAAGGATACAACTTGGACGTTTCTCTGAGCAAATTGTTTGACCATCTGGGATCCCATTCCACCGCTGCCTCCAGTGATGAGAACTATCTCTTTCTTCCAGTCCCACAGATGGGCACCCGTTCGAGTGTTAAGGACGAGCCTGTTGAGAAGCCCGTTAACACCATAGCAGGTGCCGAGGATTGCGAGAGGTCCAAGAATGCGCCTGAAGATTGTATTTTGCGGGATGGAAGTTATGATAACGTCAGCGATCCCGCGTCCTTGGTGCAATAGCGTCTGTAGAAGGCGACACAGGCCCCGAGACATGCTGTGTATGGTTGATTCCTGCATCTTGGCGTTTGACTGGAAGCGGAAAGCAAGGCTAATTCGAGGCAACGAAAGCAAAGCCGACGAAGACAAAATGAGAGACAGGAGGGTCATTAATGTATTTATCCGCCTCTTGTGACACAACCTCCTGTCCTCCATCACCTTGCCCCCACCGACCAAGGTCCCTTTCCAAGCACATTTCTTGAGCTGAGGTGTGGATGATCCCAGCCTGCCTAGCCCATTCAAGGCACGACAGCCAGCCACACAAAGCCAAGCGAACCAATAAGCCCAACTGTCACCCCGTTGCCGATATCTTTAATCACATTGGTGTCAGATATTGGTCTCTGGACTGCTCAATAGCCTCCCTCGCGTAGGTTCTCTGATAAGCACTTGAACAAACACGTTGCAAAACATACACCAAGACGGAAAGAGAGCGGCTTCCCCGAGACATCACGCAGGATAAGTGAGACACGAATTTGTGATATCCACTTGTTACGTGATACAGCCTATCCGAAGGAAGCCGGTCCAACCGAGGGGAGTGTTTTCTCTTGTACAGGTAACGAAATTGCATGAAGCTCTTACACATAAGTAGTAGGTTGTGTCTTGGCACTGCTGGTATCCCCACGATAATGGCGAATTGCAGGACAACACGGAGTGCCGGGCCTCCACATTATCGCCTTGCCGTGTCGCCTATCCTGCATACTTGGCAAAGGGATCAACGGTGGGATCCGTGTTGCGTACATATTCCGAGCCGATCGCCGTATCATCTGCCACGTCTTGTCCGTACTGCTTGGCAATAAAAGCGAAGATCATGTCGATGCCGGCCGAAATGCCGGATGATGTCCAGATGTTGCCGTCCACGACCCATCTTGCTTCCTTTACCCACTTGACCTTTGGCCCTTGAGATACGACCTGTCAACAGGTTAGAGAGGGAGTGTACGATAGAGTATGATCCCTTACCCAGGAGAACGATCTCTTGTTTGACGTTGCTTCCCTGCCATCGAGGACACCCGACTGCGCAGCGACAGCACTTCCCGTACAGACAGTCAAGAGGTATCGCAGCTTTGGATACCTCTCCTTGATAAACTGTCTCACTCTTGCCACGTTCTCGGGGTCTCTGGTTCCCATGCCACCAGGCACCAACAGGACCTCAATATCCTCAGGCGCGGTGTCATAGGTGTGTGTTGGAACAACACTCTGTCCAATTCGACCAGGAGTCGAATCAACAAGCGTCGTGACGGGCTCGAGTGAAGTGTGGAGTATGGAAAGTGAGAGCGGCTGGTTCCTCGACATGTAGTTCAAGGCATCTATCGGGCCAAAGACGTCAAGAGCTTGGAAGCCCCGGAAGAGAGCGACGGCATATTTTGTTGGAGGAGACATGGTGACGTTGCTTTGAAGAGTCACAAGTATGGGAAAAATTGTCAGATTCTTATACTCGTCCTGTCTTTGGAGGGCGTGAGGCTTGAGCACGTTTTATCTTGATGTGAGGGGTAGATCGGGCTAAACTCTTGGTATGGGTATCTCTGCTCATTGGATGTTGGTTGGGCGGATGACAATATTTGTCAGCAAGTTCCGGTGGTGATCGGAATTAAGGCTGTGCGGGGTGTATTGCGAAATCGTGATTGATAAGGCGATTGAGTAATGAGGCTATTCCCACATTGATTGACCGGCAAGACATCGTTGTTGGTGAAGTATGACACGACTCCCCACGCGCCCGGCCTAAATGGGTAGCCTTTGCGGTCAGGAGTCAAGAGTTGTGTTGGTCCAAGCAAGTAGCAATGCTCAATTCACGACCCTAACAACATGTAAGACATTAAGGAGCCCACTTTTCCAGGCAGCAGATCCCTTTGTCCGTCCCATTCACGCTCCCTTTTGAAAGCGTGAAACAAGAGTTGAATTATACATCAACACGCTGCTCAAACAATTGTTCAAACTCGCCTACGATGGCTGCTACAATGGACGATAACACCATCAATCGCATCATCAGACAGTTGAACCCCGGCGATCGTGCTGCTGGCAGACAGAAAGCGCTTGATTCTGCACGTCTTCCCGGGGTGTGTCCATGGTTTCTTAACCTTTCAGAGATACGAGCTTGGCTGAATGGAACGGGTCCCCAGCTCCTCTGGCTCCATGGTCCAAGTGAGAGTAAAGGATCCATGGTAATGGTTGTTAGTACTGACATGTAACAGCCGCAACAGGCAAGACATTCCTAAGGTGCGCCGCTGAAAACCGATCTCGTGATGAAAATGGCTAATATTTGCCCAGCTCGAAAGTCGCTAACCATATTCAATCCGACGAACGACTGCGAGCAAACAACTCTGCAGTTGCTGTCGTCTACGCCGATAAAAGCTACGAACACCGGAATATCGCCGATTGGAACCTCCGACTATCATCCGTGGCCAGGCAGCTCGCATCTCAACTGCAAACTTCCTCCGCTGCTCTACAAAGGGCTCTGATCAAGTTCTCTGATACTGATGACGACGAACTTCATTCGGTTCTGCGGACACTGGCCTCCGAGTTTAAAACCGTCTTTGTTGTCTTTGATGGAATTGGCAAGGCAACCACCAAAAGTTTGAAGGCGCTAATGCGTGCCCTTGGTGGAGGCCATGAAGAGAAGGCTTCGTTCCAGGTGTTGATAACCAGTCGTGATCCACCTCCCAATGCCTTCAAGGCTCAGTTCGAGGTCTCCGTTGTTAAGGCTTGGGCTGGTAGTATTGACTTGAAAGCTTATGTGACGTCTCAATTGCGAGATGCCTTCCCAGATATTTCTCATTTGGAGCTCTCCAAGGTAAACACATTGCTTGATGCCGACGTTTCTTTCACTTGTGACGGAGTGTAAGTATCCCTACCACTCCTTACTTCACATGCTCATGGCTCTCTTAGCTTCTCGCCTCTACCTTTGCTCTACCTGTGCGCCGAGCCCTCAGAGGTTATAGACACTCTCTCTACAATGATCGCGTCAGCTCAGGGGCAGTCAACTTCTGATGGCATGCAGCAATCTTGCCGCATGATAATGGCACAAATCAAACCAAGCAAATGGGGAGACATGATCTGCTGCGTCCTCTATCACCTGGTCAAAATTAACGAGTTCGGGTATGAGTTCACGATACCAATGGCAGTAGACGCTCTCGATGCTTGGAGGATATTCCATCAAGACGGATCCCCATATACCGCCACGGACATTCTCGAGATTTGCGCTGGGCTTTACTACTTCAGCGATGACAACCAAACCGTTCGCATGCGGTCTCCTCTTCTAGAGAATTATCTTCGGCACGAAGAGTTTGGCAGAGAATACGAAGAGCTTTGTACGACAGCACAGATGCGGTATCTATGCAAACCTGAATTCTCCAACGGAGCTTGTGCCTCCTCGAATGAGCTTCGCGAACGGTTCAAAAACAACAGATATCTCTGGTACGCGGCGAGGATGTTGGCTCCTAATCTCCATCAGCACATCCCTAAATCCTTCATATCAGACTTTATGGAACTTTCGTCCAGCCAGGGGTCAATTGACTCGTATCTACAAGCAGCCAACGCTTGGCCATACCAAGATGAAGTCTCCTACGACGAGTTGGAGGAAGATTTAGAGTACTGGAATAGCTTCACACGCGGCTTTCGACCTCTCCATCTTGCTGTGCAACTATCGGACTCAGCCCTGTTGATCCAGGCCTTGGCAGAACGAGGGGAGGAGCTTGAAGGGCGTAACAAGGACGGTCAAACTGCACTGCACATAGCTGCGCAAAGCCAAGGGGAGTGCAATGCCCTCCGTGCTCTTCTCACGTGTGGGAGCGACGTGTCTGCCGTGGATGAGAATGGCGAAACACCACTGTCTCTGGCGATTGTGTGGGGAAGCGTCGAGTCTGTCAAGTTGCTATTTGACTATGGCGCGGATATCAGCACCGTTGATGAGGAAGCTCTTGAGATGTGTACACAAGAAGAGCCGGAGATTGCCAAGTATTTGGCTGAGCGGGGTGTCGAGATGCCGGCCAACGATGACAATGATGACAGCTCAACAGCCTCTGAATAGGAGGATTGATCACAGGCGTTTATCACGGAATTCCAGGCACTGAAATACTCAGTTGAATTACTGAAATCGATTTTTGCTCTCACCAAGTCCAATCTTGTCCGTACTCAGGACGGGATGCCTTTAAGTCAGATGGCGGCGGACCAAGTTACAGCTCACGCCGCCGAGAGGGTGCCCAGTTCTCAACCCCCTAATTCCTATCGCCCTCCTTCGCATCCCCCCCTCACTTGGACCCGCATTTATTGGGCTTCCACATATCCCCCAATCTGTCAACAGCAGCTTGGATGTTGGACAAGCACAGAGGAATATCCTCGCTGGCGTAACCTGAATTGTTCTCGATTCCCCAAACCACCTGGCGCAATCGTTCCAGGCCCCTTCCCGACGTTTTGACAGTAACTTGGACGTGGTTAATCACCCTGTGAGTCTTCGTTACCATTTCAAGCATCCCCTTAAGTGCTGTTCTCCGTTCCGTGGAGTCTTTGTCCTGAGAATCAAGACTCGCCTCTTCATCGCGCAAGAGTTCTGCAATGGTTTGTAGGTGCACGCCAACCGTGTCCAAATTGTTCAACAGATGCGTCCTTTCCTCTTTGAGATATTGAAGAGGCGCGCCAATCCTGCGACCTTCTTGGCTTAACAGCCCACGTACTTGAGTCCATCTTCCTCTGAAGCCGCCCACATCATTCACTGGAGCCGTGGTTTTTAAAACATGATCGTTCAAATTCTGCGTTTCGTCAACCGTCGCTTGAGCAAAGCTGTTCCAGGCGATGAATTTGCTGACCACTTCGTCGGTTTCGAAAGAAAAGGCCTGCATCCCTTGTTGAAGACGTTGGCGATTGTGCATGTCCGAGTGTTTGATGGTGGCCCTCATGTGTGTCATGGATGTTTCGCAAGATTTGATAATTTTCGGAATGTTCTTGCGCTGGGAATCAGTGTCGTGGACCTTTAGCCAATCGTTATGAGACGTGGTAATATCGCTGATAGCGCTGACTGTGGGCCATCTCGGAGGCGTTTTCATGGAGTCGTGAATTAGGAAACCGGCTAAGCCTGCGCACGCGCAAAGAGTGCCAAGAATCAGCGCGATTAAACCCCAGAAGTTGTCGTCGTCGTCATGCCGTTTTCGTTTCTTGGTCGTTTGGCTTCCCATCTGGGGCGCCTGGTGGGACTGAGGCTTCTGGCGGGCCAAGGCTGGCATGTCTTCAAATCCATGGCTGCTAGATGCCATCAGCTCGATGTTGTGAACATAAGTTGCCAAGTTCGGCGTAGCGTCCTTTCTGCCGTGAAGCGTCATCTTAGTTGGTGAAGAAGCAGAAGAAAGAGCCCAGTTGTACGGTATGAGAGAAGCGGGTGAAGGATGGATTGGATTGGGAACTGAACGTCCATATGGCCTCTCAGGTTATTTATATTCAATAATTTCTGGCAAGATGTTTGTGGCGTCAGTTTACATTTAACCTGCAGACGCCATGAGAAAACGATGAGGCATGTTGACAGTCTTCAGTCAAGAGTAAAGACCCGCAGGTGAATCAAACGAAGTCAGCATAGGTGTAATTACACCTTAAATTGTGGCTTTAATGTGACATTCTGTGGCCTTGAAACCCTTGTGATACTAATCTTGCATTGGCAGCTGACCTTTGCGACTGTAGCCTAAAGTCACTTGAACAATCCCGGTGGCCTCAACAAACCTTGTTTGCAAGTTGCTCTCGCCCATGGCAACTGATGAAACGTGTCCTCTTGTATATTTGTCAATGCTCATATTGATCAGTCCAAACTAGCAACACGCGGTGCCTTGAACCACCATGCAAACCGGCCCAGTGGTGATTGTACGTCAGTGGGCGAAAGCGTCCTAACACGCTTCAAGACTGGGTCAGGAGCGCTTGATAATATCCGCCGCCTACTCCAGCTGTCAGTAATTTGGGGAGGTTACATATGGTTTTTGCTTGCCTTCTCTGCAACAGCGTACACAGTTGCCATCGTATGCGCAGCAGGAAGCAAAGGCATAACGCTAGCGTCAATAACTCAGAGGCCTTCCACTCCATAGACTTTGAGCTCTGCATCAACAACGCCGCCTTCTTCGCGACTGCCCATTTTGCAAGACCCAGCCGGGTGATAAAAGTTAGATACAGTTGAACGGATGAATTCCTCGAGTGCTTCATTGCTCGTAACGTCGGCTCCACGGACAACTTCAAGGGGTTCAAGCTTTTGCATGGCTGGTACGTTGACAAGTCTCCGACTGAATATGATGCCTTCAGCCAAAATTGCGATGTCCAAGGGATTTTTTATTAGTCCTGGGTCGGCAACAGGGGCATCAAAGGTACTTGGCGACATGGACTTGATGGATCCTCGCGAGTAAGGATGTTGAAGACATAATAGCATCTCGCCATCGTCCCAGATGACTTCGAGAATTGCTGACTTGAAATCAAGCAATTGATCATTCAGGATCTTGTGCTGTCTCTTGCAGCCTTCAACAACTTGATTTGGCGTGTCTGTGAGCAGGTACTCGGTGCCATCTTGGTTGATTGCTTGGTAAATGTCGGAGCTGGCATCGGAGAAGTTGGAAAGAGGCATGAACACCAGGAAGTCGCCCAATGGTGACGTCAAAGGGCCCTTCCTGTAATCTTCGTACTGCTCTCTAACCTTTGCGGCGAATGTAGCATCCGTTAGGTTACTCCTCTGTAAAGGGGCATTGACTGTTTCCACAGTTAGTAACAGTCATCAACAAGGCGACCACTTACTCTTGTTGGTCACTTTGACCATGGCATGATCTTGAAAGTTTTGGCCGACACCAGGCAAGTCTACAACTGTTGAAACGTTGATGCTGGACAGCAAGGCAGGATCCCCAATGCCAGAGACTTGGAGAATCTGAGGACTGTGAATCGACCCAGCGTCGAGAATAACCTCTTTTTTCGCTCGCACTGTTTCATGAATCCCATGCCGGCTTTTGGCGAACTGAAATGGAAGTCAGCGGTAGGTACTTAAGCGGCGACCTTCTGCATACCTCTACCCCAATAGCTTTGACGGTTCCACGATGTTTCTCGGTAAGGACTCGAGTGACCTGTCGACCAGCGACTAAATGGAAATTCGTTCGGCCAGAAGCAGAATCATAGTAGGCTTCTCGCGCAGACGAGCGTGTAACATACACAGGGTCTTGGCTGTGAGGGTTAAAGTATCCGCCCAATGGACTTCCATCTGCTTGGTCGAAGGCCATGTTGATACCTAGCTCTTTGACTGCCTGGACAAGGTTTTCTACAAGAGAGAACAAGTTAGCTCGGTTCACCATGTCCTTTCTATAAATACATAGTAGCTGACTCGTTGTAGGCCAGAAGAATGGCGAATAGCTGGACTGCAAATATCCCGATGTGCCGTGAACAGATGGATCAAACGTGATGTTGTACTCTTGAGCAATATCTTTGTTAGGCGGCATGAAAAACTCGCTCTGGATGCTTTCATGAGCTATCTTGTCATCGTTCGATATTGAGGATCGTTGTACCTCCTTAAAGTATGGAAGAAATGCCTCCCAACCCCATCCCTCATTCCCAAGCTCAACCCAGCGGTCATAGTCAGATGAAGATCCCCGATTGAAGGTCATTTGGTTGAGTTTGGTCGACCCTCCAACTACCTTGCCCAAGGACACTGGGAGTGTACGGCCATTAACAGCGTCGGTTGCGACGTAGGTGCGATTCCAGTCGTACTTTGTACCCACCCCGCGGCCAGCCAGGCCGGGGATCGTCAAGAAGTCTTCATTTGCGTCAGTTGAGAGCGTTAACTCGGCCTTAGAATTGCTTGAATGGGTTTGGCATACAAATCTCCGGCTTCGAGAACGAGAATGGTTACATCTGAGTAGGACCATAAGAGCCTGTGCTGTTCATCGATGGCCATACTTGCCTGGATCCTCGGACAGGCGGTTCGCTACCGTGAGGCCAGATGCCCCCCCGCCAACAACAACATAGTCGTACTCTGCGAGGATCTCGGTTTCTAGTGGGCTTTCATAGGATAACGCAAACATGAAAGGAAGGTTGCTCAACGCAACTAGCGTTAGACAGAATATTCGGAGCATAGTTTACAGTGAATGTCCACTCAGGAAAGGTGTTTTTAAACAATCTAAGAATGCTCACGAAACAAAGGTAGCACGGCGTGACATATAAGCAATATAGTAGCTGTCCGGTATGAGGATGGTTGGACAAGGAGCCGACCCGGAGAAGTCAGAAACGCCAGCCACAAACACTCATCAATACTTCGGATGACCGTATTCATCGTCTCACTTATGCCCTGGTGTCAGGGTTACAGCTATCGGAGTTATGTTCATTGTCCTTTCCGATGCCAATCCCAATAACTGAATGATCCAAAGGCCCTGTGCCTAGCAGCACTACGTCAGTCCATTTATACTAGTTAATTTGAAAGAGACGAACCAGTAACTCTACATGAGCTCAATTCTATGCCCAGCAGGGTCATGACGAAATTGAAGCACCCGACTGTTGCACATCATGCGTTTAACGCGCCCTCCGTGAGCCCGACTCGGAGCTCAAGGCGCGATGCTTACCAGTGCAACCACACTTTATGTCTTGCTCAACCACGGAATTTGTTTTCGTGCTGCCGTTAGTGATGTCATTGCCGTCAGTCGGTACGATATGCAACTTTTGTCAAGCGAAAATGTGTCGCATTCAGCGCTCAGGTACCAATGTCACCACTCAACACGCAGCATATTAATTAGACAGTCAATCTACTGTAGTGTCTCGCTGCTCATCTCAACGATCTTTTGGCTCAGTTAGCCCCTCAAGGGCCGGCCTGTAATTATAGCAAAGAACACATTGCGGTCATCTCAACAAGCTCCGAAACATTTATAATCCACAAGGTTCACTACAGTGCTGTAGTCTATTCCTGAAAGAATGACAACATGTTACGCCCCTTGGGCTCTTTGGCAATTCTGCCGCCACTTCTTAAGGCGTCTTTGTGGACATCGGGCTGGGAGGTTGCTGGGAATTAAGACTGGGTGGGTACCTACTTTGAGGCGCGAAGGGAATGACAAGCGAGGTACACATTCAGAACAAGGAATGCCGAGTCATAAGAGCTTCACGTACTTCCTAGGTTGTCTATTCTAACAGTCTTTTACACCGTGCACCCATCAAAAGCATTGTAATAACCCAGCTCATCACCCTCGTCCGAGACCTGCATCGGGCTCATCTCTTGTTCCTTCAGCGATAGCAGGCGATCCAGCTCACCAAGAACCACCTTGTACACTGCCTGATGTAGAGGAGATCTAGACAAATCTTGGCCCCGGCGTCGCCCGAAATCGCATTCTAGACACCACTGCGTTAGCTCCCGATACTTGGGAGAGATCTGAGACGTCCTTCCCGCCGCCCTACGAACCGCGAGAACATCCCCCAAATCAATCTTCCTCCAGTGGTTGATCTGCAGTAGTGCCACCCCAAGACTCCACTGCGGCCGGCACTTGATGTTACATCGGATTTCCTCATCGTCTCTTGCATCACCTTCAGCCACCTGGGAGGTTAGTGTCGTCATTATCTAGACGTCTTCCATTTATACCACTCGTATCTGTCCGATCTCAGCGGAGAGGTGCATATTACGAATTGACTATGAGAGATCTTCTATGTCATCAACTAACATAGATAGATCTCGGAGCTGCCAGATATCGTTAAGCCATGGAGTCGAGTAGAACTTAAGCACCGCTGATACAAGCATTCATGCCAGTCTCAGTTAATCGATGGGGTTAATTAGGTCTCGCCTACTGGTCGTAATGATTTCGTCGAGCGCCATCGGACTGCACTCAGTGTCACGACGGTCAGGTCCGGAGCAGCTTAGATAGAAAACATGGCGAAAGGTGTCTCTCTGTCGAGTGCAGTCAAGGTGCCCGAAGCAGTGCAGTGACGATCCACTTGACGACGCGGTCTGAGCTGGCGGCGTGCCTGTCAGTTTGAAGCAAATATCGCCTGACGACCGAAGATCGCGAGATATCTGATGGATCAGCTGGCTCCTTGTCTTGTGTGCAAACTCATTGGCCTGGTGGCCAACCGTCTGCTCACTGTCGGCTCCCCAAATCGAACGATCTTTCGTCTCTTCGACATCCCTTGATGCTCCTCGTCTGGGGGTATCAAGGGTATCATCGAAGCGCCGAGGTCCAATTGGAGTATAGAAGATCGGACGTGTAGTTGCACCAATCTAGACTCGAGAGCGACCTGTATGCGGTTGAGGTATATGATGGTGAGCCTCATCTGGGTTTGGTCTTCAACCTGACTGGTTTCGACGAAGAGACGGAATAAGTGTCTCGTGTGGTCCGCATGGCCGCACTTCCAAGCGTCGACAAGCGCTTCATGCAGTGCCCTTGAAGCTCTTTGAACACTCACTAAGCCACGCCACTCCATAAGATACCTTTCGCAAGTCTTTCCCTCCACAGACAACTCATATCTCTTCGGCTCTCCAAGTTTCTCTAGTTATGCCCTGAGTATGCTTAGGTTGCCTATAGAGCGCCTCAGCTTCTCGATGCTCTCAGGCCATATCTTGCTTCGAAAGGTAACCTTCAGACGGTCCTAGATCTTCCGCAATCTTTGTGCTGTGTCTCCAGGACGCTCGCTTTAGAAACATGGTTAGCAGGATTCGGTCTCCTTAGTCATTTTGATGTTGGATAGACCATGCCTCTCGATAGTTTACAAAAAGAGTAACGTCCTGAAGTTCCCTGCTAAGCTCTTCGAGGTCCTCTCGGATCACTGCTGTAGCTTTTTCGCAGGCATCGTAGTTCTCTCCAAGCGCCCTGCGTAGCCTTTGATCCAGTTGGAGCTTGCCTAGGCTTCTCCGGCTGGCATGGTCAGCAATGTCCGGAGCATTGCTATCGTCGGCCGTGGGCAAGAAGACAGTCCTTAGGATCTGCCATTCATTCTTAAAGATAGCTTCCTACACCTTCAACTCTCCTCGAACTCGCTTTGCTTCCCGGTCGTACTTCTTGAAGGTTTTCAAGTTCTTGTAGAGGCCTTTGAAAGACTTAAAAACAAACTCCACGACTGGGACGACGCCTATCGCGCCCAAAGCTAGCTCAGCCATGAGCAAAGCAAAGACTGTCGAATTTCGACGGGCGTTGGGTGATGGAAATGAGGAAAGCATGAGGGGTCCTCTCATAAAGTCAGAATTGAGTGGGTGAAAGCCTCGCCAGGCTTGGCAATTGCCTGGAGTTACACAGCATTGGATTGATGCATGCACTGCCACGTATACACAGCCTAGCTGAATGAATGGCTTCCAATGCAGAGCCCAACCCGTAAAGGAGGGACCAAAATCGCCCTTGGCACATGCCATGTAATTGAACAGGAGATTTGTGCTGTCTTTTAATGGCACCCTGACCGCCTTGTTTACTCTGCCGTACACTTCAACTGCACAGCCTCCACAACACATCCTGTTCCGTTCAGTCCTACCATTACAGATGCCACCCTCGGTAGAAAAGTCTTTGCTTGACCTGGATACATTCATCGTTATTGTCTTTTATACCCTCTCATGATCTTATACGTTGAGTATAACAGAGTGTTCTGGCATGGCCACCTCGCCACGTCCAAGCGGCGCCGAGTCGTCGTGGATCAGCAAGAGGAATACCTCGCAAGCGACTGTGAAGCCAACAAGCATAACGACACAGCTGTGTGGAGAATGCTTGACGACTCTCAAACTAGTCCACAGGCATATTTTGTCTAGAATTCACTTGTCAAAGTCAGCAGTCCGCTGCTATGATAGGGCGCTGGGTGCTTTTATCTTGTGGACAGACGGATACGAGGTTCTCAAAGGCGGTCTCGACCAGGTGGTGGCAAACTCATGGACTCTCCGACGATTGATACTCGGATTTTGAGCGATATAAGCCACAACCTAGCAGAGGGTGAGTACTACTTATCGACCTTACGATAGCAATAGTATTGCTCAACTTGGAAAATAGGGTTCATGCCAACTTTAGGTCTAAGTGACGAGTACAGCGCCCAGGTATCGAGCCTCAGAAGCGCATTTTACGAAGCAGAAGCACTGCTCCAAGAGGGGCAGAATATCAGCACAGATTGGGAGGCTGGAGCTGATCCAGTTTCAACTTTTGATGCCAAGTCGGACAGGACCGATGATTCGAGCCAAGCGTCCACGGTTTCGGACTCTCGGGGTCTTGATGAGCTTTTAGCCGACCTGCAAAGCGACATCCAAGGCCTACGTGATCTAGGCCCCCTTATTGAGTCACCGTACGTTGAACGACCAAAGCAGCCCGAAGATACCGTTCCAGTGTCCCTCCAGACATCATGGAAAGCATACCAACCCTATTGGGACCGCATCTTGCAACGCTTCCCTCAGGCGCAAGCCAACCTTGTTGAGAGACTGGCTAGAGCCAATCTGGGTCGTTTCCAGAAGATTCAAGAGGAGAAAAGCGAAAATCTCATTAAGCAGAAACAACATGATGAGACAGCCAGTCGTATCCGGCAGCATGAGGTATCGCGATTCAGCCCTCGGAACTTCTCTGGCAACCGGCAGCATTTACGCCGAGACGGTTATGGAGTATGGTCAGAGCGATGATCTCGCTGTTCGCGGCCACCACTTCCTGAGGGGGCTAAGTCTGGTGTGCCGTTCGAGTGCCTAGCTTGCGGTCGCATTATTTCGATAAAGAACAACTCTGCGTGGAAGTAGGTCTTACCCACTGATACTGACAGTCTAAGTAGATCCCGCTAATGCATTATGATCAGGAAACACCTTTGGCGAGACCTCCGGCCTTGGATTTGCCACGATAGTACGTGCGACTTGGGCAACGAGCCTTTCACCTCTCGCAAAGACTGGATTGAACACCTTGAGTTTGATCATGACTTTCATCTTGCCTGGGGATCTTTCGAATGTCCCCTTTGCCACGAGGAGACTGGCAAAGGAAAGACTGACATAGTCCATCATTTGGCTCGTCATATGGAAGAAATCTCACTTGCGGCTCTCCCTAGTGGATACGATTCTGAGAATGATCTCGAAGAAAGCGAGGATGAGGGTAAGTATGAAGATAAGGGCGAGAACGAGGACGAGGACGAGGACGAGGACGAGGAAGGGGAAGGTGATGTAAGTGACAAGACTATTGAGTGTAAATTTTCGGATGACCTTCTAAATATGCATTCTTTTCAGGGGACTGGTAGTGTCGTGCCAGCTGAGGGCCAATCCGTTGATTCTTGGACGTTTGTCTCCCCTCGTTGTACTTTACTGACTCCAAAGCTAACTTGACCAACCTAGTCCAGCCGACTCTGTCGATATGAACACAAGGGTTCATGATCTATACAGGCTTGGAGTGCCTTGGGAAGACGGATTATACCATTGTCCGTGGGAAGGTCAGCCATGCTGCAACCACAAGCGAGTCAAGTTGAAAGCACACTATGAGTAAGCAGTATCAAGGCGATTGTCTAGCATACGGGATCACTGACATGAATATGTAGCAAACTTGTGGACTCTCATCTGAAGCCGTATCGATGCAGAGTGGCCTCTTGCGAAGGCGCTCGGTTTTCTTCCACCGCTTGTCTCTTGAGACACGAGCGTGAAGCGCATGGAATGCATGGACATGGCGACAAGCCCTTTTTGTGCACATACGCAGGATGCCAGCGCAGCGTCCCCGGGAACGGCTTCCCTCGACAATGGAACCTCAAGGATCACTTGAAACGTGTTCATGACGACTGTACTGATTAGAAGCGCGTAGATGTTTAGTTCAACTTCGATAAGGCAGATCAGCATAATAAATAGCTACCTAGGGAATACAAGCAACATATGTCAAACTACCCAGTAAAAGATGTAAATTGCATTTGAATAAAGCATCTCCTGTGCAATGGATTGGAAGCACTTGTAGCGTTTATAATTTACAGTTTAGTCATCTTCTCATTCAACTGACTGGGACGCTGACGGAGTTAATCCTCGTTCCCTATCTGCGAGGAGCGAGAAGAAACATGAGGTCTTTAGTGAGGTTTCGATCATTCTCTTAGAGTCCGCTCTCTCCCGGGATTCTTACCTCTAGCAGTGGCCTAAATCTGCCTAAATACTCCTTGTCGAGCCTGTTCCTTGAGATGAGGCATGCTACGCCCCCTGAGCCTTTTCTTTGGCTTCTTGTTCGGCCTTGTGCTTGCGTTCTATCTTGCGGATAATTTTTGCAGGGTTTCCAGCCACAACATGATACGCTGGAACGTCCTGGAGGAACTTGTTAGCATGAGCTTGACTACTAAAAAGCGTCTCACTTGCCTTTGTTACAACACTCCCAGCTCCAATAGTGCATCCATCTCCAACCGTGACACCAGGTAAAATCATGGCACTTCCTCCTATCCAGCAATCCTCGCCAATGATCACAGGGCGGCCCAGCTCAGGTCCGTTTGTTCCATTGCGTAGATCCGGGTCAAGGGGGTGAGTGCCACTGAAGAAGGACACGTTGGGGCCAACAAGGGTTCGGGCTCCGATGGATATAGTGCATGTATCAATCATGGTGCAGTTAAAGTTGATAAATACACCGCTCCCAACTTTGACGTTTGTCCCATAGTCCATGTTGATGGGCCGCTCTACCCAGGGGTACTCGTGTAGGACAGCATCTTCTTCATCCTCTGTTGCCGCAGGGGGGGGCAAGGGGCGATCATCATCTGTGATACTAGTGTTTGTCAGAAACTTCAACGGTTTGCATGAACACATGTCAATTACTCTTTCCAATGTTCCGCAATGTCTCGGCGAGTCAACTCCCCCGCAGTGTTAAGTCGAGCCAGGGCCTGTTTGCACCGCTTCCGAGCAGCCACGAGCTGTGGGGTAAAGGCATAATACAGATCGCCTCGCCGCATACGGGCAAGATTTTCTTGCTCGTCGATATCAAAAACAGTCATATTGGTGTTGAGGGGTTAAATTGCAAGCAAGTTACCTAAGGTTGGTATCGCAGGACCAAGTTTGGACGAAGCAGAAGTCTCTGGTCGCTGGGAGGAGCCACCAAGTCGAGAACGCTATTCCTCTCTTGGGCATTAACAGCGGCGGTTGGATCCGTCCGACTCGCAGGCTGCGGATTTACGAAAAGTCCGGCTTATCTTCACTTTAGGTACAGGGTGGCTGAACTCACTTGATCCTATCTTCACCTCGACCACACATTGCGTATTCAACTCCCTACGTACTTTGTGAAAATAGAAGGTGGGCTAGGTTTCCTCGCGAGGTATCAAAGTCTAATCTCCCACAAATCCGATATCGATATCACATGCTATGTGCTCACGGCTTACTCAAAGCTTGACTGTGAGTTATGAGGCGAGCGGATCGTGGATGGCTGGATATTACGAGCTGAACTCTCTGAGATAAGTCGAGAATAAGCTTGAGTTATTGTTGATCTGACGATCTGCCAGCCTCTCCGATTACAGATAACTAGCCACAAAGCAATGGGGCCATGTTTCAATGCAAGTTTTGCATTAATACGGAAAGGTTTGAGCAAAACAGTCGGCCTTAACTAGAATGCCATGATATTCACGCCTTTTATGCCGCGTCTTGGCTCTCACAACTAACTAACCTAGTAATCATACATCGGAGTGATAGTCAAAAGTGGCTGGCTGTCAGGCTATTTGAGTTCAGCGACCGCTCTTTCGGACAGCAGCACCCGGGGATCGGCGAATGCTCCGTCGGCGACTGAGCGCACCTAGTAACATCACGATTCAAACAACATGTGATGTTTTTGTGTTATTTAAACTCGCTAATTCTACTGTCATCTTTCTCTCACTATCAAAGCCTATACTTCTTCTCGTCTTCTGCATCTTTACACAAGACAGTCATACCATATTCACTCCCAAAATGTCGTCCCTCGCCCCTGAAGCATCCACCCCCGCCAACAGCATCTCCAATGCCATCGACTTGATCGGAGAAACTCCCCTTATCCGCCTCAACAAGCTACCAAAAGCTCTGGGGATAAAATGTGAGGTTCTCGTCAAAGCCGAGTTCTTCAACTTGGGAGGGAGCACCAAGGACCGCGTGGCACTGCGCATGATCGAAGAGGCCGAGAAGGCTGGCAAGATCAAGCCTGGTGATACCTTGATCGAGCCCACCAGTGGAAACACGTAAGTCGCATGCCTCGCTTATGCTGCAGCCTATTGACTTGATGTAGGGGTATCGGGTTGGCTCTTATCGCTGTTTTGAAGGGCTACAAGACCATTATCACCCTTCCAAGCAAGATGTCACTAGAGAAGGTGACAATCCTTCGCGCCTTGGGAGCCAAAATCATTCGAACACCTGATGATGCTGCTTGGGATAGCCCCGAGTCACATCATCAACTCGCCGCGTGGCTCCAATCAGTTCTTCCAAACGCCCATATCCTCGGGCAATTTGGAAACCCTGACAATCCCCAAGCGCACGAGGACACAACTGCCCAAGAGATTTGGAGACAAACGAAGCATAAAGTTACCGCTATCGTCGCCGGTGCAGGAACAGGAGGCACCATCACCGGACTCGCGAGGGGTTTGAAGAAACACAACAAGAACATCAAAGCTATCGGTGCCGACCCACAAGGAAGCATATTGGCAGCTCCTGATTCTCTGAACAAGGATCATCTACACGAGCCCCACCAGGTTGAAGGCATTGGCGGCGAATTCGTCCCTGGTGTCCTGGACCGCGACATTGTGGACAAATGGTACAAGACGACTGATCGGGAGTCTTTCTACCTTGCGAGACGCCTTATTGCTGAAGAAGGACTCTTGGTGGGCGGAAGTTCCGGTGCGGCGATGGCTGCCATGTTCAAGGCCGTCAAGGACTTTGACTTTAAAGAGAGTGACAAGGTGGTTGTTGTCATGCCCGACGGCATCAGGAACTACTTGTCCAAGTTTGCCAATGACGATTGGCTCAAGGCGAATAATCTCTTCCCACTCGACGGGAGGGATCTGCCCTTTCCGCCATCAAATGGTGTTGAAATCACCGCGACACCTTCGGATGATATTGATGACTTGAGGAGCCAGCTACTCTCGGCCCAACTTACACTTCCAATCCGACCCCCTGGCTCATGCTGGGAAAAGACCGAAGTGGTGGATGAGCATGCGAATCACGACTTTCACATCGTATGATGCATAACGCACAGTTGTTTATGGGTAATGGGTCTTTGGTTCTGATTATCTGGGATTTGATATTTATAGCTTGGCGCTTTGTACTTTTATTAACGCAACACCCGAATCGGACATCGTTCGGCAGGTTTGACAAGGCCATAGACGAGATATAATGACGTTGTGAATATGAAGTCATAACGAGCCCTCGGTCTTTTGTACGCTAGTCCATGCACCTTCCCAAGTCAGGCATGATCGCGAATGCGGAATGCGATATTCATATGCACAAGGACCAACAGTCGGATCCTTCAAGGCCTAACGCGCGGTGGTGTACGCACTTCGCCACGCTCGCTTACGCACCAACAGGATCATCAGGCCACGTCCAGCCCCTTCTGCCTTATCCTCCTGGATCAATTAACATCTGATATGTAGTACACGATCAATACGATTAGGTTATTAAAGATGCCCCAGTTTCCCCCTGAATAAAGCCAAATAAACGGGCTTTAGCTTTCCCATCGCTTACACATCTTTTGCGCGAGAAATCATTACCCCCATTCTTCAACATGGCTGAACAAACCGACAACCCTGTCAAGTATGACATCAGGGAGTTTTCAAACTCCGATCAAGACTTTGAAAAGTTGTCTCACATGTGGGACATCATCTTTCCCACGTGGCCAGTTGAACGACAGCGGCTGGAAAAGTTTCTGCGTCTCGTCCCCGGCCATCACTACATCCATGAGAATGGCTTCGTTATTGCCTACCTCGAGGCCGGTGTTGGTCAGATAGACGTCCTTGGTGTGTTGCCCGAGCATCGAGGAAAGGGACTCGGTACTGCATTGTTGGAGAAAGCAAAGGCTGCGATTAGAGAGGCCAATGGAGAGGATCTCAAGTCTCTGCAGATTGGAAGCCAAAGTCCCCGGTTCTGGCCGCAGATGCCGGTCGACTTTTCACAAGAGGTCAAGGACTTTTTCATCCATAGAGGTATGCACACTCAATCACGTCTTTAAACAGGATACTGACTGCTATTAAGGTTTCCGTAGGATGGAAAAGAACTCTGCGATAGATCTCTTCAAGGATATCCGCGAGGGCCCCATCGCACCGCCTGAAGTGATGGAGAAAATCTCCAAGGTCAATGCAAAGTTCTGCACATGGTCTCCGGAACTCGAGGAAGAGTGCCTTACCAAACAGCGAGCCACTTTTGTAAGTCATTCCGTATTCTCACATAGGGCCACGGACTAACACACGGGCAGAGATGGTACATTGGCTACGAGGCCCTTGCCGCTTACAAGCAGCACCACGAAGCACTGGTGGCTATCGACCCCGAGACAAACGAGCAAATCGGATGGACATTCATGTGTTCCTTCTCGTCCATCATCAGTGACACTTACGCCTTTATGCCGCTACTGCCGTCAAAGGACAAGACGGGGTTGATCGCCGCCGTTGGCGTGAGCGAGTCCGCAAGAGGCAAAGGTGTTGGGTTGGCCATGGTTGTGAAAGCTATGGAAAATCTACGAGAGAGAGGGATTGAGGGGATTTACATTGACTCGGTTTTTATCCGGGGCTTTTATGAAAGGTTGGGTTTTGACACTTATTGGAAGTACGAGGGCTATGTTCAAGAAGGATGATTGGGATCTTGGTTGTTCTCAACTGGTTAAGAGGAAGTAGCCGAATGACATCACGTCTTTCGAGAAGATGTCAAACTTGCGGTGCATATCTTATGCAGGATATAAAGTTAAACGAAGAATGGAATGCATGATGAACAAGGTTGAGAAACGAGGCTTATCTCGACCAGCCGGGTGAATGCTTGATCGGCGACTCGCCAACCAATCACATCCCTTCGGCGACCAAGCCATCCGCCAAGTCCCCGATCCCCCGATCAGACCCTTCAAACCCCGAACACATCAGGTGGCACGACTCCATCACCATCCCCATCCCCAGACACAATGGCAGCTCCCAGGATCACCAAAAGCACCGGGCTCGCATCTCTCGCTTGCACCGGCTGCAGGAAGCAACATCTCAAATGCGATGGCAAGAAGCCGACGTGCTCGCGATGCGTCCAGAATGGTACACCGTGCAGCTATCAGCCTTCGCGACGCGGGGGACGCAGGAAGCCCAGGGATCTTAGCGCTGGGAGAGGACTTCAACAGCTTCGACCTTCGATTGGACCGGATGATGAGAGTATCAGCGCTTCTTCTCCGACCGCACCAGAAGTTCCCCGTTCAGAACCGTCTCGCCTCTCAGTGACGGACGATGCTCCATCGGATGGAAATGTTCTCTCTTACTTTTCCGGGATAAGCACCGATCATCTTCTTTGGCCAGGTCTAGGACCCAAAGACTTCAGCAACCAGGGACAAGTGTCATCGATAAGCAGACCTCCAACTGACAGTGAGCGGTTCATTCGGATGTACTACGAAAACTTCCACAATGCACATCCAATCCTGGTCCCGGCATCCATGTATACCTCGCGGGCGTATCCGACCTACTTACAACTCGTGGTCGACTTTGCTGGATCTCACTATGTCCAACTAAGTCCATCTGAGCAGCTCAAGACAAAAGTTGCTACCGAGCTTTCTTCCAACACGGACAAGTCGGCTTGTATGGTTCAAGCATGGTTGATCTACGCGATCGTGTTATTCTCGCGGGGCGATCTTACCGAAGCACAAGACGCCTTTTCACACTGCACGACTATTGCCTTTGATATCGGATTACATCGCGCCGATTACGCGTCATCACAGCACCCTGAGAGATCCATCGAAGCCGAGAGTCTACGGAGGACGTGGTGGGAGCTCTTCATCACTGATGTCATCATGGCACTACCGCAAAAGACCATCTCGTTTCGTTGCAGTGCTGTCTGCCCGGAAGTGCCTTTGCCATGTGAAGAGTCGCTTTACACGGGGACACATGACATTCCCGAACCGCGCAAGATTCTCGACTTCAAACGCCGGGTCCTCTTTGAGGAGGATATCATCTTTTCGTCTTTCAGTTATCGGATCGAAGCCATCAGCATCTTAGGACGAGTCCTGGTGCTAAACCGGTTACGGGATTATCATCGTGATCATCTGCAAGCAGTCGAGAATGCGCTTGTCAGTTGGTCAAATCACCTCCCCACTAAGAAGCTGGATATCGTGGACTCGTACGGAAACATTGATGAGATCATGTTCCAGGCACACGCCATGATTGCGTATGCTGGCATGTTGCTCCATCTTCCACGCAGCAGTTACCACCCTCATCTATGCAGCAACGAGGACCCATTCTGGCCGATGGCACAAGCCCAGTCGTTGTCCAGCTCGACCCGTTTGGTCCACAGCATCAAAGCAACCGAAGCTTCGAGGCGAATATCGGATTACATCTCGCTTTGTCCTAACATCCAGAAACACACTCCTTGCATCATTCCGGCGCTTGTTCTTTGCGGATTGATACAGCTGGCTACTTCAAACAGTCACTCTGATGAGTGCTTCGATCACCATTACAACCGGATCACGCTGATCCTTGGATGTTTGAAGAACCTGAAAAGAACCTGGAACTTGGCAGATTCTGCCTACCACCGTGTCCGATCATGCGCCGCAACTCTCATTTCAGAATCAATGGACAGGTGGAACTCCGAGCCGTTGTCAAAATCCATCGCCTTGACCACGTCCACGCCCAGTGAGTCTGGACAGGCGAGTAATAGACCTGTGGACTCGACGGTAGTGGAAGGGGCACAAGAAACGACCATACCAGATCTTGATCCGAGTTTCATCGATCGGTTATGCTATAGTTCTTCACTGTTTAGCTCGCTTCCTGATTTCGACCTCAGCTAAACACGGGCTTTGGTTCACGGAGTATGTGTTTGGGTATTGGTGTTTGAGTTAGAAGACGGAAATACCGCGTTTGTTTTGGAATGGTAATGGCGTGAGCAGGACGAGCTGTCTTCTCCAGTGATAGATATTCACGCACTTGATTTGATGGTCTCAACGACATTTAGATATGCAAAGGCAGTTCATCCTCTCGCATTAACAGATACTTATGGCTCATAAAAATGATTTTTGTGTCAAATTTATTTTCTTAGTCTCCGTTATAGTTTTTAATCTCACTATAAGCCACAATCCTATGCTTTTAGATGAGAGTGTTCACCCAAACTGCGTTATTCATGGCTCATGCCTCCCGTTGTGTAGGGTGGCCTGGGGATGCTGATGAGTGCGCAAAGAGACCAGTACCGTGCATATACGTGTCCCTTGACTGTACGCATGTGTGCAGTCTGTGTTGGATGTGACTGGTTCGCGACCCTTGTCACTGACTCAACTCAGTGGGTGAGACGCGTCGCGCACGCGTAACGCGGGATGTTCGTCGTGACGTGTTATCCCAATCAACGCGTGGCGGTACCAAAGTACCTGTGCATAGAACGATATGTACCTTTATTTGCTTTTGTGCAGGACCCGCTCTGGCCTGTTATCGTCCCCTGAGGGACCAGCTTTTCTCCCTCGTCGTCCCGTGTCTTGCGATAACAACCACCAGTGTTTCTCCCCTTCAGAACACATGACTGTGCGAACCTACCCTGGATGTGGGCGACATTCAGTCCCAACATCGACTACTCAACTGCTGTATATCCTTCTCCAGCCTCGCTACAACCGCCTCATAAAACCTCTGACAAAAGTCCTCGTTCTCCAGCCCCATTATCCCTAGAACGCTCTCAGTCTCTAGGCACCACTTCACCGCCGCCATGTAGTTCCACCCCCCGTTCTGCAGCACCTCATCGTTAAACTTGCCACCCGCCTCATGCTTCTCCAGCATCGCGTTGAGGTCCATGTCCGAGTCCGCTGCCATGTCGAGCGCCGGCACCGCTTGCCCGATCATCATCTGGATTAGCATCGCGCCGAGGGACAACACCGTTAAGTTCATGGCCTTGGATGGCTTGCACGGCTTGCTCTGTGGTTGGGCTTCCAGAGGTGCTGCCGTGTTAGATCTTCTGGCAAAGTTCTTAGCCATGAAGGGCCTAAGGGGAGAGTCTGGATGTAATGTGGCCTTCTGGCTTTCCCGAAGGAACACGACGTCGTCCAAGGTTAGGGTTCCCCCCAACCAGGGAGTGTCGTATAGATGAAGGATGCTCATGGATATAGATAGTGCAATCCTCAGCTTCTCCACGAGATCAAGGTCCTGAAACACGGGATCTTTCCCCTCTAGCATCTGCCGCAGTGTGACGGTCGAGCTCGATTCTGGATGACGATGCTGCGGGTAGAGACCAAACATGCGATGCGGGTCGGCGATGTACCCGCAGCGCTTCATCGCTGACTCCCTACGCTCCTCATGCCATGTGAATATCACTTGGCATAGGTCCGATTTGAGGACGGGTGGTAATGCCTCTATGGGGACTGAAGCTGTGCTGACGACCAGGTTCTTCTCGGAGACGACACTCAGAGTCTCCGTTGATGAGGAGGTTAACTCCCGCTTAGATGTGAACCCCAAAGATTCACGAAATCGGACTCTCCGGCGTGGGGATGGAGATCTGGGGCTGCTGAGAGGAACACTCAACGACGAAGGCGGTTTCACGTTGGCTTCGCTCTTGGGCTCGAATTGGACATGGAGACTGTCCCAACGGGTCGGCCGTTCTAGAGACTCCACTCTCTTCTCATCCTGACCAGAGCAGTCAGTGTCAGCACCAGGGCTCTCATACGACCCTAGCACCACGTGAAAGTTGAGGTTTTTGGCCACTTCGTCCTCCACATCGCTTGGCACCAGGACAGCTTTCCTCGGCACCAGCTCGAGACACACGTCGTGCGACTGGACACAACGACACGTTGCTGCACTCCTAAGGGCGTCGAAGATGCTCCTCGACAGGCCACGGATAAGTTTGGTGACCCTGGCCTGCGACCGCCGCCGCCGGCTGGGCTCAAGGTCGCGGTTCTGACCGGCCAGCTCGTGCAGGACTGAGTTGGCTGCCTTGATGCGGGCGATAATGCCCTCGTAGTCCTTCTTTCTTAGTGAGAAGGATGCCTTTCTTTTAAGCTCTTTCATTATTGCCTCAGGGCTATTTAGATTGGTCTATACAGAGATCGTTAGCAAACTGATACATCTGAGTTTGAAGTTTGTGGTGGCTATCTCACCTTGCCATCCGCTTCCATGGACAGTTTCTCCTTCAGCTCCTCCGCCGCCTCCTGCATCTCCTTGGCATGCTCCTTGAACTTGCCTGTTGCCGTCCATAGTCGCTCCCGGATTTCGTCGCTGAACTGCTCCCACTCGGGCCCGAAAGGCTTCTCGACCATGTCGTCGATCCGGGATAGCGGTGCGATGCCATCGAGGAGCACCTCGCACGTGGTTTGTAGGCGGACCTGCTCCGTCTCGAGATCTTGGACGAGGGATTTCAGGTCGCGGTCGGCGCCTCGTACCCCCGATAGCATGGTCCTGTACCCTTGGAGGGCTTTAATGGCCAGTGGCAGGATGCCGAGGACGAGACCCACGACCTCGATACCGGACATGGCGTGCTCTGTAAGTTTGGTACACGTGAATTTGATTAGAAGAGAGCACTCTTCGAGCGGCTTTCCATTGGGCTTGTTGAGCTTGGGAGTCGTGAGAATTAGGCCAAGAGTGAGGCTGTCGGCATGCGAGCCCCGCACGCGCTCACAGCTGAAAACAAGGACTGCATTATCCACGGTGCGAGGACCAATGATATATCGATGGATGGAGCTGTGAGCCATTTCTGGTACTCCCTACCCTACCCTCTGCAAACCACTCGCATGGCCAGCTCTGCCAACTGCCTGATGCCTGCATTGCTTGGTGAGCGGGGGTTGCTTTGCTGACTATCGCCCCATCAATTAGAGTGATGAAACCAGCCGCCGACACCTTCAACCTTCACTAGAGATTCCTTCAGCCCTCTTCTTCAGAAAATCAACAATGGTCGAGGTCTCTCGGGCCGCCTCGGAGCCCCAAATCGCGGCCTTGGTTGCTCGCAGCCTCACCTCGTTCAAGGAGCTCACTTCAACGTTGCAAGATGACCATGCCCGGGCCTCACAGGCCAGCTCCTGCCTGGCGAGGTTTAAATTGTGGGCTGGCAATCTAGGAGCCCATCGCCCATCTGGGAGTCGATCACTCGAGTACCGTCTACGAGATGCGTCCAACATCCGCAAGTTGGTCATCTCTCTGCTCCAGGATCTCTGTAGCTCCATCGAACAAGGCACAGCCACTCTTTCTACTACTGAGAACAAAGCGTTAACCATAAGCCAGGCACCCTCGTTGCCAACGGAGATAGCATCCCCGACACCATGAGCGAGGGCCATGACGCGGTGGAGGATGACCTGGCCGACTACTTCAACGACGATGGAGACTCTGACAAGTCCGAGGTTGAGCAGACACTCGATGAGATTGCCCACGTGGTTAACTGTCTTCTTCGACTATCTGTCACGATACGCAATCCAGCTCCTCACGACCAGTTCCTGTCTCGAGCGGGAGAGGGCCTCGTCAAGGAATTCGTATACTGGGATGCTAAGCACGTCCGGGATAAGTTCCCAAATGTGGACAAAGACCTGGCAGACAGACTTGGAAGAGCTATGGCTCGTAGGCGGCAGTATTTCAAGTATCGGGAGGAGCACAAGAGCCGCCTGGCTGAAGGCTTGGAGGAGGATGAGGCCGAGTTCGAAGGGCGAGCGACGACTATCGCTTCATCTCTCCCGGATCATCTCAAGGAAGCAGGAAAGAGTACCGAGGCTGGCGCGACCCAGTTAGCCATGCTAGATGACGCCCGCTCTGATGCCTCGGCGACGTCGTATGCCACCTCAAATCCTGACTCGACCCAGCTGCGAGTCCCCCCAATACCGAAGGAGCACATCGATGGCTCATTCAAGTGTCCGTTCTGCCACATGATAGTCTTGATAGACACGAGGCATGCCTGGAAGTATGTTTCACTGTCATAGAAAAGTGACTGATCAAGCTGACATGTTCGATAGGAAGCATGTTTTCAGAGATCTTCGACCATATGTCTGTCTCTCAGAGGCCTGCCAGACACCAGACCACCTCTATGTGCGCCGCAACGACTGGAAGATGCACATGAGGCGGGAGCACTGGAAGACTTGGCACTGTCCTTTGGGATGCGATGCAGAATTTGACAGTGCCCAGATCTTCCAAAATCACGTCAAGACAGCCCACGAGCAGAATGTACCCCCCGAAAGGATACACACGCTCGAGGGCCTCAGCAGCCGTGCCGACGTAACGAAGGCCCAAGGTAAATGCCCTCTGTGTTGTGATTTCCAAGTCGGATCTGAGAAGCAGTACGAGAAACATGTTGGGCAACACCTCCAGCACCTTGCGCTATTTACCTTGCCCGACACAGGGGAGGAGGGCGATGAAGATGACGATGGGGACGAAGACAAAGAGGAAGAGGGGCTCGACAATGGAGATGAGGATGACGAAGACGATGACGAGGAAGATGTGGAGGACATCTGGCTTGCAACGGACGACTCTAGAAGCAAGGGTGTTGAAGCTGCGACTGAGGCTATAGCCAAGATTCAAGAGGAAACCAAGGCCAAGCTTGAGGAGAGCCAAAAGGCCGAGCTGGCTCCGATCAGATTTAAGGACGCTCTCGGTCGGAAATTTTCCTTCCCTTTTCGGCTTTGCGCGACTTGGAAGGTATTAATTAGGGGAATTCTGTCATATGACTGAACTAACGCCGCTGACACTATCATAGGGCATGGAGGAGCTCATCAAGCACGCGTTCCAACAAGTTGACGTACTAGGGTCCCGTGTTATAGACGGCCATTACGACCTGATCGGCCCCAACGGCCATATTATCCTTCCCTCTTTCTGGGAGAAGCTGGTTCAGCCAGACATGGAAATCACTATGAGAATGTGGCCGATAGACACGGCACCTCCGTCCAACCCCCGTCCGGCTCAACCTGCGCAGTTCCCGCCCCTAGCTCACGGGGAGGAGGATCGCGAGAAGATCCGGTTGGTGGAAGAGATTGCCGCCTTTAAGGCCAGGGAGGAAAAGCAGAAGGCCACGGAGAAGCAAAAGGAGACTGAGGCTCAGATCCGCGCGGAGGCCGAGGAGGCCTTCAGTCGCCGGATGGAGGCAATGAGAATTGCTCAAGAGGAGGCCAAGGAGGAGATCGAAAAGGCAAGAATTGAAGCTGAAACGGCCGCCCGCCAGAGGATGGAGGCTGAGCGAAAGGCCGAGGAGGAGCGACTTCGAAAACATGACGAGGCTATGGCTGAGGTCAGGGAGGAGGCTCGCGCCCGGTTCGAAGCTGAGATGAAGGCCGCTGTAACGCGCGGGCAGACCGTGGCCGAGGCCAGAGCCAGAGCTGAAGAAAAGGCTCGAATGGTGCTTGAGAGAGGTCGGCTGGTTGCTGAGGAAAAGAGGATGAAAGAGGATGAAGAGCGTGTCAAGGCGGAGAAGGAGGCCCGAGCGAATCTCGAGGCAGGGCCGAGGGTTGTTGAGGGACAGAGGAAGGAGGGAGAGGAAGAAGACCATGAAAGGGTGCCAGAGGTGGCCCGTCGCCAAATAGAGGCAATGGGAATTGCTCAAGAAGAGGCCAAAGAGATGCTAGAAAAGGAAAAACTCGATGCTGAATGGGCAACCTATAAGAGGAAGGAGGAGGAACATCGTATCAGGGTGGAGAAGCTCGAAGAACTAGTTCGTCTCGGCCTTGAGAATGCTACGCAGGAAGAGAACTAGACGTGAGCATGGCCTCTGAGACGCGCCCGTAAGCCTTTTATCGCGACTCAATACGCAGATAGAGATTCTTCGGGACTGGAAGCATAGCACTGTTTCTGGAAATTGAAACTCTTCGATATCCCCACTTCGACATTAAGAGGTATAAATTGACGGTAAAATTGTGAGAAAACTCTCAGATAAGTGCATCCTTCTTTACACACGCTGCTGCCTTTCTCCCATTAAATCTTGATGTGCAACGAGTTCCTCCATCTGTGTCTGACTCAACAAACTCATCCACGTATATACCTGATCCTGGCACCAAACCTCAAACCTCTTTGGCTTTTGCCCCGTGGGATCGTCAATCATCTCCATCGCAATCAACCTCTCGTCGTCCCAAAGACCAAAGCCTAGAGCCCGGAACGGACCAAACATTAGGCCTCGACTTACACGAGCTTGTCCCCTTGGGAATAGCAGAGGCTGTGCCCAGCGTAAGCCTTTGCAGCCGACGAGTACCTTGTGGCGATGGTACGTGGATGCATCTCGTTTGTCGGTACAGGGAAAATGAGGAGGAGGGGGAGCCGGTGACGGCCAAGCTGGCCTGATCCTTTTCGCGTTCATCAATGGCGGGAGACTGAGGTGTTCATCTCCTAGCGGCCTGAATTCCGTGTTGAAGAAGGCGCTCATTTCATTATGAATGCCGCTTGTATCGCCTGCGCAAGGGCAACCATCTGACACACCCTCGAGGTGTCGGATATACATCAAGGCGGCCCAGAGGGGTTCCTGGGCAACCCAGATATTAGACTTGCCGAAGTTCCCGAGACACGTTCCAGACCCCATATTGCGTATGGCTGCAACATCACTGTCCGTCCAGCTAAGGCGGCCCTCGGATGCGGCATTGCTGAGCTCGTAGGACAGCTGCAGACTCCAGAACCCAAGAGTGATGCGCTGCATCTCATACCAAGATGCTTCTCCGCCAGCGTCGATGGTGTATGGCTGACCCCAAGGAAGCCCATCTGGTCGCTGGCTCCATGGGAGCGGAGTAGGTTGGAAGACCTTGTCAAGAAGATGGGACGGAGTGCAGGATTTGATGCGATCATGGAAGAATTCGAAGCACGAACCTGCGAGGCTTTCGATACGTCGAGCGAGGAATATCATTTCTCTGGGTGAGAAGCACGAAGCCTCGGCCCGCATCACATCGCGAAGCCGGATAAGCGGGATGTTTTCACATTGAAGGTCGGGAATACCCAGGCCCTGGTTGGAGAGGAAATACTTTGCAATAAACGACCCGAGATCAGTTGCGGGTTGATTTGAAGGAGTAGTTTGCCGGGCGAGGGCGACTAAGCGTAACATATATGGGATCCATGTCGTTGACGTGAAGTCTTTGGACACTGGATGGTCGAGGACGGACTCGAGGACGTTGGCACCGAGGGTGCTGCCCATGAAGTGGAACACATACGGCGATGATACGGTAATGCTATAAAGGCTTTTGAGATCTGGCAGATCGCTCAGGATGGGAGCCAGCAGCTCCGGAGGCAGCGTTGAAAAGACGTCCATGTTGCTGACTGTGATCGAATCTGACGAGAGCACAGAGTGTGTTCTCGCCCAAGATTCTACCCCTCAGCTTGATGTCGGCATCACATCTCATCATCACGTGTACAAGTTTTGGTTCCCCGGGTGTCATCGCCCGTCTGGTCTTTGTGAGGGTGTGGTCACACGGGCAAACGGTTAAAGGAGGTTTCCGAAAGTGAACTGGATCGTCACGCCGTGAGGGGTTGGAGATGGCCGATGACGTCTTGTGACGACGCCTCTTTTCTGGGGTATCATTGTATGGGGATGCAGTCAGATGTTGAAATTGAGATTGAGATTGATAAGATATCCAAGTCGGCATTGATGGATTTGAGGTTTGTCGTTTGCTGCTTGTTGTTTCTGTTCCAAGAGCCCGACAACAGGCGATCACCACAGCGGGTCTTTCGGCGATCTTAGCGGTCCGCTGCCTCGGTACAGCGGGGAATGCTTGCCCGCCCGCTCTAGAACTTGGCCAATATCGTGGCTCTCATTATTAACGGTGTGTGAGGACATGAAGATGGGAAGAAGACGTCGTGAAGCTATTCTTCTGAGCCCAACTAAAGGTTTTACATGAGAGACTGGACCTGTGAGGCTCCTAGGCCACCTTCGGTGACAAGATCAGATACTGGGTCTTCCGCTCATCCCCGCAAAGCTTCCTCAATGATCCGGGCAGCCTCCGTCACCAAATTCTCATGCAACCGGGGCGCGACTACCTGTACTTCAACCGGCATCCCCGCCGAAGTCTCAGGTGAGTAGTGCTTGTAAATGTGCGCTTCAATGCCATTCATCGGCACGTCAAGTTCACCTGACAACTCGCCGACCGTATTGCCCCCGCCCATGAGAGACGAAGCAGGCAGTGCGATAGCAGAATATGAGAGCAATTCCTAAATAGCTGTGTACCCCCAACGTTTGCATCCTTCATCACAGATTCTGTAGATGTCGGCGCCAGCATCCTCAACGGAATTCGCCGTGATAATTTCCTCCCTGAGCCTTTGCATGTTGCCAAGGGTGAAAGTTTCTACCGTCACCATAGAGTTGCGTATGAGACGGCAAAAATGGACGGCCTCGATTTGACAAAGTCGATGAAGATGAGGCGGATTAGATATTGTGGAACACAATAGACCACTATGCCAAAGGCAAAAGTAGAAGATACCTTCTGCTATTTGCAGAGGCATTTGGGCCTTATAATGCTGCTCAACAGATATGGTGTTGTCCACGGGGCTCTAGAGGCCGAACCTTTGTTTGGAGTGGGACCCGAAGAGGCTGTCCAGAAGCTGAAGAGAATACAATGATATAGGCATAAAACCGATAGATTGACATCCAAGACAACTGTCAGTAGATCAATTTAGAAGAGCTTTCATCTACAAAATCAGGATCAATGAGTTCGTCTACCATGCACATTGTGATACGATACGATCTAAGGAGAGCCTAATGTGAGGAAAACCGAAGGCAACCGAGGAGCTGATAAATATCTCGGCCAAAGTTAATCCGGGTTGAAAGAAGCAATAAAAGCGGCCATTCGTGTAGGACCGCTTATCTCGAGCTTCAATTCATATCATCCTGACGAGTACCTCAATAAACTCGCATTCACATAGTCCAACATGTCCCAGTCAGGTGTTTCACTCCTTCCTGACATCTTCGTAAATCTTGCACTAAAACAAGCGCAGACTTCATCCAGGACGCTGTCAAGCTCATCACTGCTCGTCCGGGTCTACCAAGTCTAAACCCCACTCAAGCGGCATGGCAAGAACCCCCTCATCCAACTGTCTCCAATGCGCAGTCTCCCGAGTTGCCAAGCGAAACTGACGTGGCCATTATCGGCTCTGGTATCACGGGTACTGCCGTTGCACACTACCTACTGAACCATGGCCGGAATCTCCGGGTGACGATACTGGAAGCTCGCACAGCCGTAAGTGGAGCAACCGGAAGAAATGGTGGACACCTCGTCTCAGATAGCGACTCCTTGTTCCCGAGTCTTGTTAAGGAGGTTGGCATCGATCAAGCCGTTGAAACCGTCCGCTTCAGTGAAGCGAATATTCGTCGCCTCAAAGATCTCACAGCTCTACTCAGCCCTGAAGAACGCGAAGCTGTCGAATTCCGCAACGTGATATCGACAACTGGCCTTGAGGATCAAGAGTCCTTCGAGGAAGCCGTTGATGGATTAAAGCAACTTCTCAAGGCTGTCCCAGATAGCGACATCAAGTACAAACTCTGCAACAAAGAAGATGCGAGCAAGGTGCGTGAGTCCATGATATACATGATCGGATACTCACCGCGCAATTTACAGGGCTTTGGCTTTGAAAATGTTGCAGGTGTCGTGGAGCAACATGGCGTTGCGGCGCTGTGGCCATATAGACTGATTACGGCAGTCCTAGCATCGTTGAAGAAAGATTTCCCCTCCCGTTTCAACCTCGAAACAGAGACACCGGTTGTCTCGGTCAACCACGAGGATGACACATCTCAGATATTCCCTTACACTCTCAATACGTATCGAGGGGTTTTGCGCACGAAATATGTGGTCCATTGCACGAACGGATACTCGGGCCACCTAATACCCAATCTCGTCGGGAAACTATATCCTCTCCGGGGAACAATGTCAACACAGAAGATGGGGCCTTCTTTTCCTCATGTCGGTGACAGGATGTCGTGGTCTCACATATCCAAAGGGACGTACGACGGTGAGACAGGTCACATCCAACTTGGGCTTTACTACGCTCAACAGAACGCCAAGACAGGAGTTATGTTCCTCGGCGGCGAGTCCCAGAGTTTAAGTGGCCTGCTAACGAGTGATGACTCGTTTGTTGGTGATGATGCACGCGATACTCTAACCTCAGCAGCACCACATATCTGGAAGGATGCTGCACCTGCGAAGCCGCTGAAAGTATGGTCTGGAATCATGGGCTTTACTGCAGACGGCATGCCACTTGTGGGCCGCCTTCCAGCGGGCCTCACTGGCCGGCCAGGTAGCGGTGAGTGGATCGCAGCTGGCTTCAATGGACATGGGATGGATAAATGCTGGCTCAGCGGAGAGGCCTTGGCTAGGATGGTGGTTGGAGAGGAAATTGTTCCTGGCTTTCCTAGAGCGTATCTACTGACTGCCCAGAGGATTAAATCGTGGACTCCCGAAAAGGCGGCGGAGACACTGATGGACCATATCATGCTGGGTGGCACAGCTCCTACTAACCAGATGTAATGGGGGAAAAGCCCAACACATGTATTTATGGTCGCTGAGGCACTACTGTGGACCGAAGTTCCCAACCATCGCAAGGAAGTAACCTTGATCATCTATCAAGTCTATCAAACTTATACTACAGGCCAAGCTCCTCGTAGTCTCGAACCTTGAGCTTATCACCAGCTTCGCGCAACCCTTCAACAGTTGCCACAATTGTTTCCTCGAGCGTAGTCCAGCCAGGACGGCCCAAATCTCGCAGTAGCTGCTCCGCCTTGGCACGGCCCTCATACTCATTCGCATCTCGGCCTCCAGAAAAGTTCTCGGGGAACGTCTTGCTTGGCTCGGTCTTTCTGAGGACTTCCAAAACTTCATCCCAATTAAACCGGCCACCGTAGGCAAAGATGCGTTGACCCTTGACATGATCTAGGATTCCGGCAGCGACGTGTAGTCTGCCAGTGTCGTCAACGTCGACAAAGTATTCTATTTGAAAGATCAGAATCGTTTTCCATCGAGAGTGATGGAGTTTCACATACGAGGAACCACAAGGTGGTGGACACCGGTCACCAGACCGTTGTAGAGAAGGGCAGGCAGAGCAGAGCTACTAGGGTATCCCTGGTTGGCCGGATCAATCGATCGCCCAAAGTTGAAGTTGGGAAGCACTAGAGCCCGTTAGATAACGCCCCCATATATCACAGACTTAACTTACCGGTGTTGACGACGATGTCAGGACGCTCGTCACGATGCTCCTTATAGTACTTCCACACCTCCTGCTCTGCCTGAGCCTTGCTAGCACCATAAGTGTCGGCGGCTCGCTCCATAGTATAGGGAGGATCAGCCCAGGCCTTCTTGATAGAATCCTCATTCCATGTCTCCTCTGTAACGTTGATGCCAGTCTGGGAAGGCTCTGCAATGACGGTAGCAGACGAAGACGATGTGTATACGAAGCGCTTCACGCTCGGCTCCGCATATGCAGCCTTCAGGGCGTTGATGGCTCCGGCAATTACGCCGGGAATGACATTGTTGGGGTTGGGATCCAAGGACATGATTGAGGCTGAATGCGCAACAACAGCGACACCTGGTGTAGTGTCAGCAAATGCATCTCTCCCCGCGTCCTCGGGTTCACATACCTTTCACGGCCTCGTTGAAAGCACCCTCAGCAACCATGTCAGGAACCTGGAAGAACTCAAAACGTCCTTGTCCATATTCCTTATCAAAGGCGGTCTTGAGCCAGGCATTCTTCTCGGGGTTTCGAACAGTTCCACGGACATTGTAACCGAACTCGAGGAACTGCTTGGAAATGTGAGAGCCCAGGAGACCGTTGGCTCCTGTCACGAGGACAGTAGAGCCCTTTGGGACGGCGAGGTTGTCGAGAGGGGCCATTTTTGCTAATTTAGTGGGAAGGCGGATGGATGATGATGATGGAAGGTGTGTAGTGAGATAACCGGGAGAACACACGGGATACGCTATGGCCTTTATAACTCTCAGTCGGGGGAACTCATTTCACATCCTTCCAGGACCGGGGGAACTCCTGTATCAATCTTGCAGGATCGGGTGAATTCATTGTCGCAGAATAACGGGACCATGTTCAGCTGTTGAATAGTCCGCAAAATCCGCACCAACTCCGCTCCCTGATGGCTTCAAGTCCGCAACCACCTAGTGAGAATCGGCTTTCAGCTGCCGCGGACTTTAATACGACCCGCCTTACCGCCGTAACCTGGCGAATCGTTCTTTCAATGGAAGCCTGTGCCGTGAAAGGATGCAGAACCTTGACCTTGGCGTGCGGACTGGATCATCATGCCATCATGGATGGTTAGTTCACCAACATGCGTTCGCATCTTTTTGCCCTGTTTAGGGTAACGCTGCGATTATCCTTGATGTTGGATAAGCCTGGGTGTCAGCAAGTGCCCAGTTTCAGCGAAGTACTCGCAAGTAACTCCTGCGTCGTTGCATCATGTCGAATAATACATAGATATTTAAGTACTAGAGTCCTCTGCAAGACTTGTGAGCTTGGTCGTGATATAGGCAGTTGGCACGCGAGTTTCTATTTCAATCTCTCACTCCTTGTATTGCGAGACAATCCCTCGCAAGATTACACAATGTCAGTGACAGCTCTCCCGATCACCTCTTGGCACTTCCTACTTCCTTCTAATAAGAAAGCCGACACCAGATCTCAAGCGCTCCAAGGCCCACGTAAATCTGGTCTTCCTCTGTATCAGCTGTGTCATGTCATCTAGACATGCCACGACAGCACCGTAATACTCGTACTCGGGATCGGTTGACGGCGTGTTTTCTAGCTCATCTTTCAAACCTCGTACGCCGTTCCAGATTTGTACCTCAGACATGTAAAAGCCATGATTCAATAGATACTTAACAGTGGTCAATCTCTGATCACGGGGAATTGGGTGTTCGCCGCTCCCTAGGGGTACTACTGGAGGGTTATAGTATAACCGCCCGAAGGTCGGATTCTCTAGGAGACCCAGTAATTCCTGTTGAATGGATGTTAGATTCCATCGAATGGAGGCATGAGTCACATATAATTTCATCTCGTACTGTTGACTGACAGAGTTTCTCCAGCAAGCACATCGACGAGGACTTGCTCCCATATACTTGTATCGTTGAGGACTGCCCGATGCCATAAACCACCCTTTTTGCTACCCGGGAAGAGTGGAAAGCCCATGTTCAAGCTGATCACAGCTCGCTGTTAGGCATTTCAGGCGAACAGAAAATCTCCGAAGGGGCAAGTGTCATTCTCAATGACAGTGTTGTTGGCTCTTTATCCACCAGTCGCAAGTGGGCCGAACGGAGGGCTGGCGGCAAGGTTGAGGAGATAGACCCTACAAACGTGATACAGGTGCCTTGGACAGCACCGCAATCCCGGCGGAGAGGGTCTCCCTGAGCTGAAGGGAGGAATGCCTTGGTGGAGGGGCCTCTTCAGGCAATGAATGCCGTTGTCACGACTTGCAAAATATCGAGAGCGCCGTTAGGAGTATCATCATGCCATTCCTAGGCTCCCATTGTCAGTCTAGTAGAAACTTGGAAGTAAGGACATGGCCGCGGAATCCTGATTAAGAGAACCTTGTCATGTCCCGGGACGTGAAAATCGGGGCGTACGGAAATACTTCAAGGACTTTTGAACGACTTGAGCTTCATCAGTATGCGTACATTGACCGTTGTGTACGGTGACTCGCTCCCTAGCATCTATTGCCGGCTCATTGTCTTCATATCATTCAGCTCTAGGTCGCACTACCCAGCTACGAAACACCCTAGAAAGCACTACCCCCTTGTCTTGGCTGGCCACTATTAACACGGCACTCATGTGGTTGTTTCTCCAGAAACCGCCTCCTCAAATGCCGCTACGACGTCATGTTCAGCAATCCAGTACGGATCCATCCTATCTAGAACCCTCTGTCGAAGCTGCTCATCTGTCTCGGGCTCTCCGTCCTCCAACTTGAGCTTTTTGCCTGCAACAGCCTTATGAACGGCAGCCAAAAGCTTGTTCACCTGTGGCTTTCTTGTCGCCTCATAAAGCTCAAATATCCTTCCAATATCGGCCACCGATGGCTTCTTGTTTGATGAAGGAGGCCAGACGTGGGAAAGAGCTAGGGACAGGGCGTGGGCGTCATTGATGGCTAGAGATCCTCCAGCTGCAAAAGCACCGCCGTGACCATGGGCAGCATCGCCAACAAGGACAACTCGGTTTTCGAATGACCACGTTTCAAGGGGGTCGCCAGTGTAGTTGGGAAACTGCCTGATATAAGGAGCAGCTTGTGTGAAGGCACGAATAGCAGGGTGCCAGTCCTAAGACAGATGTTGTCAATATGAAGCTTTCTAGACTTGGCAGTAAGCCACTCACCTTGTAAAGCTCCCTGAACTTCTCAACGTCACCCAGGTCATCCCATTTGACCCCTTGCCCTGTCGCGTTGGGGTCGTGAGGATCCGCGTGATATCCTCCTACGACAGTGAAAAGACCCTTGCCTGAGAAGAGATGAGCCGGGGAATCCAGCATTGAATCAAATTGCAGATGACTCACCCAGGGGAGACTGGAAAAGATGCCGTCCGTGGCCAATCTGTGCAGGATGAATGAGTCAACAGTCTATTTAGTGGTTGTCTCGCAGAACTCACCCAGTGAGCGGCGTCTTCAGGGTAATCGATACCATCCAGTAAAGAGGCATCGTAGACGGCCCGGAGCGCCACCCATCCGGTCCAACGAAGTGTATGCGATGGTACAAAAGTCTTGCGTACGCGCTGCGACTATCAACACCTTGGCCAAGTCATATTCGGATTGAGGACTTACAGAATGCACACCATCTGAGCCAATACAGATGTCCGCTTTCGCAGTCGTGCCATCTTCAAATGATAGAGTTACGCCTGTTGGGCAGTTAGTCTGGTGTACAGTTTGTGTTGACTGTGGAAATCGCCAACCTTGGCGTGCGTCCGCCGTAATGTCAGTCAACTTCTTTCCAAAATGTACAATCTCGCTTGGAATGTTCTCATAGAGAGCCTTGTGAAGATGAGCTCTGTGGTAGCGCGTCGTGAAATGTCTTTTGTCTTTGACATTGTGATGCTCGTCATGATCAATGATCTCTCCAGTTCTCCAATGACGATAGATCATTGGCCACCCGGATTTCTGTCGGTACAGGATGTCGCCTGTAAGAGCATTTTCAACTCCAAGCTTGTCCAAAGAGCTCAGACCGTTAGGCCCAAGTCCAATACTGGCGCCAATCTCAGTTAGTTCCGGTGCACGTTCGTAGACCTGAACGTTGACTCCTGGGTGTTTACGCAAGGCAATGGCAGTGATAAATCCGGCGATACCACCCCCTGCAATTGCAATGTTGAGTTTGGGTGCCCCATCAGAGCTGGGGGGGACATCCGAGCTGGAGTTTGGCGCCTCTTGACCCATGGTGGAATGTGTATACCTAGGTACGAGATGTTGGTGCAATAGTCGTGGGATGACCCTGTATAACCAAGCACTTGGCTCGCGATGACGACTTTGAAGTCACAATAAGTAACACGAGATCTCTGTGCCATGTCAGGTCCCAAGTCCTCCGAAATCGCGCAAAACACGAAGCAATTCTCGCGGTCGGTGTCACAACACGCCGACAATGCAGTCGCAATACTCCGACAGCTCTAACCAAAACAAGGCCTCAGAATGGCATTAAATCCTGGGGTCGGCATCCACGGTTTATTTCCGTCCTAAGGGCGCCATATCAATCCTCGGCTATAGTTTCGACGTTGATGGAATAGTGGTCCCTGATCGCGCAACTCGCGCATACTCAAGCATTATTTGATACCATTGCCAAGATTACTAATAAGTATGCTTGCTGATCTGCATCCCGTATCCATTTACAGCAACATTAGGCATCTGCCCTAGTCAAAAGGATGCGCATATCCTGCGGGACTTTATCTCCAAGCTTAACGTTGTGTCGGGTACACGGCACAGGATCCATTGCGTGATAGATGCTACCTTACGCGTGCTAGGATATTGAGCCCTGACAACATCTGATTAGGCGAGGAGATGATTTTATCCTCTCCAGGTGGAGCAGAACCTCAACCTGGAGATAACGAGCTCAACAGGTCTTATTGCTACGTCGGACATCCCCCGCCCAGATGCTCTCCCATCCGACATGGGGGTATGTGCAGATACACAGCTAATCATGTTCTCCACGTACATTCGAAGATGATGGAGAAGTATTCCGGGCTTTCATGCACCCTTATGGGAAGGTTTCTTATCTGACCACGGCTCCCTGCACATCATCCGAATACCTAGCAACCCTCTCCCTTTCTCGCATCATCATACCGCCCAGTCCCCTGCTATGGGTTCTATACCGCAAGATGGCACGGCCACTCCTTCAGCTGAAGCACCGAGCTTTGGTCAAGGTACTCGCGTAGCTGTCATTGGCTCCGGTGTAAGCGGCATCTGTGCCGGTGCTCACCTTCTCAAACATGGGGCCAAAGTGGTGGTGTTTGAGCGATCAGGAGTGCCATCTGGTGTCTGGAACTTTAATCCAAGGACAGATTCCAACAGCGTGCTATACCCCAGCAAGCCAGCCTCGCTAGGGGATTATGCGACGTCGGTCCCCGGCCAGTTTCTCCCACAGCAACCGAGCAAGCAACACCATCCACTGAACACCTCTGATGGAGATGCCCTGAAAGTTGCCTTTGCTCCTCCTGGACCAGCGTACTCTGGGTTAAAGAACAATGTCCCTACTAGCCTGTTGTACAGCAACCTCAAGCCTTGGCCAAAGGGGACTCCCGAAAACGTGAGCCACTGGGAAATTGCCAAATATCTCCAGAACCTCAGTACCGAAAATGGCCTCGACGACGTCACTCTTTATAATACTCGAGTTGAAAGTGCCACCAAGTCACCAGACGGAAAAGTCTGGATCGTTCGAACTATCACTTTGCTGGCGAAAGACGGCACACCGCGGATTATTGAGAGAACATGGGAGTTTGATGCCGTCGTCGTCTGCTCTGGCCACTACAATCTCCCTCGCGTCCCGAATATCCCAGGGCTCAGCCAGTGGAAAGATCTCTTCAGTGACAGGATCAGTCATACGAAGGAGTATCGCAACCCAGACCGCTTTCGAGACAAGAACGTCTTGGTAATTGGAGGCGGTACATCGTCGCTCGATGTTTGTCGAGAGTTGAGCAAAGTTACGACTGGTATTTATCAAAGTACCAGAGGAGGCCAGTTCGACCATCCCACAGAGGTTCTGCCTCAAATCGTCAAGAGGGTTGGCGAGGTGACGGGGTTTAAAATCGACTCTGATGCCATTCCCAAAAATGGCCTAGAGGAACAATCACCTATCCCGGGCCAGATCGTCTTGAGAGATGGACAAACTCTCAGAGACATCCACCATGTCATTGTGGCTACGGGTTATCTCACTTCGTTTCCCTTTCTCCCTCAGTATCACAATGACAACCTGAGCCCCAACGATGCTACCCCAGAGGTTCTGGTCACCTCAGAGGCAAACATGGTTCACAATCTACATAGGGACATCTTCTATATCGAAGATCCATCTCTAAGCTTTGTCGGAATTCCTTACTACGTTTCCACATTCTCTGTGTTTGACTTTCAAGCACAAGCCATCGCACGCGTTCTCACGGGCAAGACACGTCTGCCTAGCAAGCAAGCTCTCCGAGATGTCTACAAGAAGAGGATCGGCCTTAAAGGAAGAGGGCGCAACTTCCATAGTTTGGCAGAAGAGGGAGCTGAACTTGCGTACATCAAAGATCTCGTGGACTCTGTGAATGGAGCCGCGGCGAGTCCACATATTGAGCCAATGCAGGGCCACACGGAGGAATGGCTTGCAACTCATAAAGCATACAAGGAGAGGAAAAGTTTATTTCGGCAAGGCAAGATCAAGGAGTTAATACCTCTAGACGAATTTCTGCGTCTAAAGTTTTAAACGGCAGATGATACATGGGTTGCCCCGAGATTCAACACTAAACAGTTCTTCGCCTTGCTTTCTTCTCTGCTTGCACCTTATAACTATATCTCACTAGATACTTATTAACCTTTGTATTATACTGGGTAAACTTGTCACTGTTGGATACCAGGCACCTGTCAGGAGAAGCGAGCGACTCAGATCTCAAACGGCCAGCACCACATGATGTATTGGCACCTCACCCCGCGACCGTTGCCCTATACCTTGAACAGGTTAGATAATGCATATTTTGTCCAATAGTTTGAGAGTCAAAAATCTTACCGGAATTTGCGTGCGGAATAGCTCAATGCAAGTGATATATCGTCATCAACCCCCACCCATCCAAGTTGGAAATGGGTAAAATCTCCCCGGATCGGAAGTGCCCCGACGCCAGTATGCAGGGTACTCGAACTAGTAGTATCCATGTTCCCTCGGATACAGGCTTCCTATAGCGTGCTCAACCCTCTCGCCGAGTTGGTTCATGTTGCCCCCTTGTTGACCCATGTTTGATGAGCACGCACTCAGTCCTGGAGCTGATGCAATCAGATATCGCCTCGGGTGGATAAACCCCGATTAAATCTGACCATGCTTGGGTTTTCCTTTTTATTGGCACCTTGGCTGCGTCTTGTACTGGCTTATTGGCTTTTGCATCGGTTTGGGGAGATCACCTGCAGCTCCTTTGCAAGATGACTACCGATATTATCCAGGCTCACGAAGCCTCGTCTCCATCCAGCTATGATCCCGACAGCAAGACACCGGTTCAGGCGGTACTTGAGGACCGCGGCTATGTCGACCCCAAAGAAGAGAGAGCGTTTGTTTGGAGACTTGATCTTGGATTTTTGGTCATTGGGTTTCTGGGCTATATGTTCAAGTACATTGACCAGACCAATATTGTCAGTGACATCGAACTTGAAATGCCTAGTGAAATCTAACACATTACAGAGCAATGCCTATGTCTCAGGCATGAAGGAAGATCTTTCCCTTTACGGCAACGAGCTCAACTTTTTTACCACTTATTTCAAGTAAACTCATGCATGAGTGCTCGTCAAGGTCTGTTGCTAACGAGGATCAGTATCGGTTACATCATAATGCTTTGGCCTTCCTGCATTATCATCTCGCATATTGGCCCTTCAAAGTGGCTGCCAGCCTGTGAGGTACGAAATGAGACACCTAGTAGTTCATTGTCTGTTGGCACTTCTAACATTGAAGCAGGTGATTTGGGGAATGTTGACATGCTGTCTATCGGTAGTCACCAACCATAATCAGGTTTATATAATCTACCAATCTGTAGATTTTGTGCGACAACTAACTAAATCTTAGGTCTATGGGCTTCGGTTCCTCATTGGCTTTTTCGAGGGAACTACTTGGCCAGCCTACTTCACCATGATCAGGTATGTCACTTTCATCTTCCACAATTCTACGGAACTGATCATTTTTAGCCAATGGTATCTCCCTCACGAAGTAGCTCTACGGATGAGTCTATACAACATTGCTCAGCCCGCCGGTGCCATGATCTCCGGCGCCATGCAAGGAGGGCTATCAACCAATATGGAGGGTGTTCTAGGTCGTTCCGGATGGCGCTGGGCCTTTATCATCAATGTAAGACAATTCACTAACTCCTAAGGCAATTCGAGCTGACTAGGCTGATAGGGCGTCTGTACTATTGCTGTTGCTCTGGTGGCCTTTTTCCTACTCCCGGGATATGTAAGTGAAGCAAAGAGCTCGGAGTTGACTCGGCACTGACAGCTCAATAGCCCGAGAGCCCAAACCGCCTTGCAAAGTTCTATCTTAAGCCCCGTCACATTGGTAAGCTACCATGCTCGAGAACTGGAGTATGATATTCTAATATTTGCTAGAAATTGCCCTTGCGCGTGCTCGTCGTGTCAACCGGAAGCCTCAAATCGGCATCACACCCAAGAGCTTTCTGCGCTGCTTCACATTTTGGCAACTATGGGCGATTGGAAGTAAGTTCTCTCCTCGTCTTCTGCGCCTTGTCTCTAACAACATTAGTCGCATGGCCGATCGGTGGCAACTTTGCGCCGGCAAACTACTACAACCTGTGGCTCAAGTCTCTCAAGAACCCTGACGGAACAAAGAAATAGTTGGTACACCTCCTAGTATCATGAAGTTGCGACTAATGGTGGCACAGTACTGTTGCCATGTTGAACTATCTACCCATCATTGGACAAGCAGCTCAGCTGGCAGCTGAGGTCATCTACAGCAGCGCAAGTGATTACTTTGGAACGCGTCTACCATTCTTGCTCGTACATTCTGTAAGACCTCACGCCTCTCTTCTCACAAATATCATCTAACCTGAACAGACTGTCAATATCACGTCTTTGGCCATCCTGATCGTTCGGCCCCAGAATGAGAAACTGTACATGGCTGGATGGTATATGAACTATACAGGAGCGTGAGTATCAGTATTGGCCCATTATTGAATACTCATTAATAACATTATTTAGGGTGTCAATGATGCTGCTGTGTTCTTGGGCCTCGGAGAACTTGCCGCACGAACCTCAAGTCCGAACCATGCTCTTCGCATCCGGTACTCTGTTTGCCTACCTCCTCAGTGCCTTTGTCCCTCTCGCAGCCTATCCTGCGTCTGAAGCACCGAACTGGCGCATCGGAGCCAAACTCTACATGGGATTTGCCACATTCGCTGTCTTCCTGTACTTCGCTATTTACTTTGGGTTTAGATGGGAAAAGAAGCGGGCCAAGAAGCAAGGCCAGCTGACTACTGGTAGAAGCAAGGATGATGCCGAACCTGGGTCTGAGTAAACATGGTTTGGATAAAGTTTTGAACGGTAAATGGATTGTGGCTCATGGCGTCGAAAAAGCTTTTAGAGCTGCATGCATGTCAAGACTGGTCACCATCGCATTAAGTTTGATGAATGATATTCAAGAATCAGAGTACTTCTCATTAGCCCCTGACCTCGTTTTCGTAGCAACTATAGCAAAATCGTGCCGAACCAGCCATGAGACTCTATGCCACCCCCTGCCATCTAAGGCTTGACTGGCTGCAAGTGGGCCTGAGCCAAGTCGGTGAAGAAACTAGCTCCAAGAACCGTGGTAGGAGTGGCAGCATCAGTGGCATTGCAAATCTTGGCAAAGTTTCCGTCCTTCTTGAGTCTCTTCTCCAAGTATCGAACATACTTCTTCACCGAGCAAGACTTGCCGGGGCCGTCCTGGCACGAAGGCACAGGATAGACAGCGTCATTGAGGCGAACTCGGATAAAGGTATCCTTCTTGTTGCTGGGCTTGTGAGGGTTTCCCTTTACTGGGCAGCTGAGTCGCTCAAAGGCAATAGTACCTCGCATGGGCGAGATGTTGGAGCTGCGCCAGAGTCGGTCCTTGGGGGCGTTGTCGAGTGGGAGAGCCTTCTGCTTGTCGAAGACGCCGGTTGCAACCGCGAGCTCGTTCAACTGGCCATCGTTGAGGAAGCTCATGAGTAGCTTGGGGAGCTTGAAAGGACGACCCTCAAAGTCAACACCCTCAGCATCTGGGCCAGCAACGAATCTCTGAACCAGAGAGTTGAGGAAGGGAACCATCATCTTAGAGGCCACATCCGTTCCAGGACCCACGCCGTAGTAGTATCTCAAGTCTTGTTGATACTCGTACTGCTCAAGCTCCTTCTGGGTGAAGGTGTTGCAGAAGGGCGACAGACGACCGGTAATCTGTGACTCGAAACCACAGATGTAAGGAAAGTCATTCCAATGGGCATCATCCAGCTGAAGGTCTCCCTTGATGTACTGAGAAAGTCGCTTTTTGAACGACGGTAGCCAAGTAGCCCGCCAAGCGGACTGCTGCTTGTCACTGTCATCCTTGAACGCAGGACACATATCCGAAGGAGCAAGTGTGTCACCAAGGTGGGCGGGCATGCCCTTGCCGGTGACGGAGACGACAGTTCCCAGAGAAGAGTTGGTTCCAAGGTAGCCGTGGACAAAGAGCTTGGCGGTTTGGAGAACACGAGTGTAGTTGTTGGCCCAGACGTAAAAGTTGTCGCCCTCTTGGTAGAGGTCAGGATATCTACTCTGGTCAGAATGAGATTCGAGGTACACGACCTGGATGCATACCTGATACGCAGAGTGTAACCCATGTCAAACAGCTCCTTGTAGCCAGTCTTGCTGAGCTGGGCGATTTGCATGCCGGGGTTGGTCAGGGGAGTGTCCCAGGTGTGGAAGAATGCCAGAGGTCCGGTGGCAGTGTACTTGCTCTCTTTGAACTATAAACTGTCATTGTCTGTAGGCATCACCGAAATTAGGGGACTCACACGACGAGCCATCTCAACCCATGAGCTATGAGCGCCCGAATCTGGGTAACGGGATCCGTGACGAGACACGTAGGCAGCCTGGTCGACAACGCATCCGTCGGGAATCTCAGAGGAGATGCCAGTAACATCAGGACCTGGCGAATGATGAGATTTTATCGCAATGATGGTCAGATACTACTCACCGATGTGCCATGGCCCGTTGGCTCCGAGATGCGACAGAGGATTCTTTGCTCTCTCAGCATTGGGAAGCAGCACAGGCTGAACTGGATCCAGCAAGGTTCCAATATCAATGTACTGGGCCAAACTGCTGGAGCTCAAAGCAACGAGACTGAGACCGTGGAGCTTCATGATGAAATGAGTCAAGAGACACTCAACGATTGACAAAACCGAGGTTAAGGAGTGAAGAATTGCGCTGCCTGCTTCCACAAAGCAAACAAATGCAATGGCTATCGCGATATATAACTACTCATCTACTAACAAGGAGCGGAAATGAAATGCCATGTTAAGCCCTCGTTCCCCGACGCCAAGCACTACCCAACCCTGAGGAACGTTTGTCGAACCATTGGGGAACCACTACCACGTTGAGCGTTCGCAGCGATAAAAAGAGGAGAAGTGATATCATGCAACCACGTGCAAAAGCGCGATTAATCCATTCGACAAGTGCTAGAACCGGATAATCGACGGCGTAGTTCTTGACCCATGCCTCGGTCAAGGACTAGGTTACTGCATTTGGCAAGCGGGCCGGGATGGGTGCCCGTGGTCGCTACTCCATGCGTGATTCCCGTTGAGGATAAAGATACTCGTATTCATAGGATATCGGGTCTTGGGCTCGGTACATATTCTGGATCCCGATAATTGGAGGTTCGCCGTAAGAGACCATAAATGAAAAGTTGAGAAAAATTAATTATGAAAGCAGCCATAAAACTCCAACACCATCACATCGTGACAATCTCATGGAACAATGTAATAAAACCCAAAAAACAACCTCCAAACTCCTTACTCCTTAGGCCTCTCAAACCCATCACTTCTTGGAGCCCTTAGCCTCCCCGAGCCATAGGGTATAGAATTGGCTTGGGGTCCTCGGACTTCTAGGGCTTTTCAGCCTTGGTCTTCTCCTTTTTCTCCTTCTTTTCTGTCTTCTGAGGCTTCTTCGCCTCATTAGGCTTCTTCATCGCCCCCTTGTGCTTCTTGTGCTTCTTGGCTTTCTCACTTTCCTCAGGATCGTCAGAATCGTCAGACTCCTCGGGCATCTTGGGCTCCTTAACCCCCTTAGTACCATTAAACGGCTTACGGGACCAGACGAAATCAACAAGGACGGGTTCATGGTCCGACAAGGGTGAGTTGTTCCCCGCGACAAAGATGTCAGACTTGTAGTCGAACTTGACGGCGTCCAAAGTCACAAACGTTCCAGATCGATAGCTAAACAAGTTAGTCTTTGCTCAATGACATTATGATTTGGAAATAAACTTACAAAACCTTGTCCACAACCTCGCATGAGTTGTTCTGAGGTGGGTGGTCGCAGCCGTTGCTCTTCCCGTTGTTCTCGGGAATGGTGCCGTTGTGGTGGAGCTTGACCCAGGCATCGGTGAAGCCGGCATCTGTCAGCCTATTGATGGTGCGCTTGGGATGTGTCCACACGTCGTTGAAGTCACCGGCAAGAATGACGGGTCGGCCCTTGTTGTGCTTCTTGATGTGGCGAAGAACCTGGTTAATTCCCTCGGAGCGAGCCCATCGATCGGTCCACTCATTTCTAGGGTGATGTTAGCAACTATCGACGAATACTTCGCAAAGCACATACCCAGCGTCCGCGTGGAGGTTGTAGAGATCAACCTCCAGACCGTCAATATGAGATGTCATGTATGTGAAACCCTTGGGAGTAAAGCAGTCGCCGCCGTTGGTAGCACACTCCTTCCAGGTGTAGCGATCGAAGAGGGAACTGTTGTACCAAGAAAACGTATTGAGACCATCGCCGTCTATGACATCGCCAGAAGAAAAGGTTAGGTAAGTGTGGTTGTCGTTGATAGCGATGACATCGTGAAAATCAAAGTCCTCTTGGAGGTGGATAACATCGTATGCCTCCTCACGCATATGCTGGCCGATAAAGGACGCGGCGAGCTTCTTGTCCTCAATGCCGTTGCTGTTGATGATCCCTGGGAGGCCAGCCACGTTGTAGGTGAGGATGTTGAAAGATGAGGCATTCTTGCAGGGCTCCATCTTGTGCTTGCCGGATGCTTTCTTGAATGCAGTGTGGTCTACTGGCCAGCCCAGACAGAGGGCAGGGGCCATGATAGAAAGGGCAACAGAGCTGAAGAACATTTTGAAAGCTGGAAGTGGTGGTGATTGGAAGTGATGATGAGTGAAAGATGTGGTGAATCTTGGTGTTTGTTTTGTGATTGTGATTGATGTTGATATTGATGAAGAAGGGTAAAAGAAAAATAGAAAGAGAAAGAAGGAGCATTCTCTTATGGACGAAGAACTCGTTTTAGGTTACGGTGTTATACGGTATTGGGTTTTAACACCGTCATGTAAGTTATTATTGACTGTGTTTTTTGCTATTGTGGCTGATGGCGTCTTGTCATCATTCCAGATAATAATAAAACAAAAAGAACTCGTTAGGCTTTTTCATTCTCATCAACATCTCCCACCACGATCTTCAATGTCCCTGCGAAGCGGAAGTGGGCCACCAGATTCTAATGGGGCTAAGTATGGCTCTTTAGAACCTCGTTGGTACTTGAACTAGATTATGTCTTATTGATGCTGTGAGCTTAAGAAAGCCTCTTCTCATGATTTGACTTTGTAGTTGCAGATAACGACTAGGCATTCAACATTGAACATACCATCAAGTCACAGGGTGCCCAACTTTCAATAGATCCTATCAGTTGCATTCGGTGTGCTACATAGTTAGGTTTCGATGTCCTCGCGTACCAGAAACTATGTTCTTTGTTACTATGGTAGTGCCCGGTGCGGGTCACAACATGTAACAACATGCCGGCAGCAGCGAATTCAGCAAGACCCTTTACGTTGAAGTAGTGTCCCCGTGGCCTCAACAATCATTTTTCCTAACTCTAAGCTTTTGCTTGCATCGATACGTAGGGAGGTTAAGTTCGGGGACCAGTTTGGGTGGTCAGCAGGGGTGCACGTTGGGATCAGGTTTCCTAGGAATAGCAACGGCTGAGGCCAGATCGTTAGGGAAGTGTACCGTGGTCCTCAGACCAGCAAAACCAACATTCATGTTGTTATTCCCTCATGTGTCAGTTTCCATGTCAATTCAAATTTTAGTTTCTATGACGGGATGTCATCACCCCTTTTACAATCACACAAAAGCAATGCCGTTTGAACAAGTGTCCAAAGAGTTGATTTCAACTATTGTGCCCGATTTGCGATAATTAACAATCCCTCACGCTGCATCCAACCTGGAGCAGTTTTCAAGCCAGCTGAGAACTATAGTACAGGTCGAAAGCAAAGTATATACAGTGATGAATGGTGCAAAAAAGGCAATAACCGAGAAATAGCACTCTCGACGTTGCCACCCCAGCTTCAACGGAAGCTAGCTACTTAGCAGATGTCCTGCTTGGCGTTGCCGGTGATGGACCAGCTGATGTTCTCACCGCAGGGCGACTCACGGACCGAGTTGTCGTTGACCTCGAGGGTGACGGAAATGTCACGGTTGTTGGGGAACTCGTCGCGAGCAGCCAGACGTACCTCACCACCTCCCTTTACAGTGCCACCGTTGATCTTGACGTTGTAGCAGTTCTCGATAAGAATGGCGTTGTTGCCGTTGTCGGCCAGGTCGACAGTCTCGATTTCAGCGGCACCGGACTGGGAAACGCAGAAAACGCCACGGCCACCACCACGGGAGACGACCTTGTCGATGAAAATGTTTGTCTCGTACTCGCCGTTGGCGCCCTGGCCGTTGTTGTTGGCGAAGCGGAGGGTGCCGTATCCAGTGCCTGCACCGACGTTGCTACCATCGACCAGACCAACCTTGGCGTTGGTGGTCTTTTGGATGAGGAGGCCAGCCTCGCCGACGTCGCGGGCGATAACCTGGTCAATCTCGAGACCGTCAATATTCCAGGTCTCGACGGCGTGGCTACCGGCACCGGTGACGCTGATGGTGCCCATCTTAACGTTTGAGTTGGCGGCCTTGTCTCGGTCGAATCGGATACCCAAGCCTCCGCTAAGGTTCATCGTGATTTCTCCGAGCACCAGGTTCTTGGTACCGTAGAATCGGAGGCCAAAGTAAGGAGAACCAGTCATGGTGAGGTAGGGAATCTGAACATCTGTAGTGTCGAGGGACTCGATAGCGCCGTGTCCAGCTCGGTTGGCGACGTCAATGGTACCACATCCCTCAAAGATCTTGCCGCTGTCAATGCTAATGGTGCCTGCACCAATGGAACCCGACGCAATAACGGAGACACGCTGGCCGCTGCTGATGGAGTCGATAGCAGCTTGGATCGCGGCAAGATAGTCGGAACCCGAGTAGACCTCCCCAGACCCACTGGTAGCTGTGAAGGAGCCGTCGGAGCCAGTCACCTGGGCGTCGGGTGTGCCAGCACCACACTGGGCTTGGACGCCTCCTATGAGGGCGAGGGCAGCGGTTGGGATCAAGGCTCGGACCATGGTTGCGATTATCTTGGGCGATGTGGGGATAAAGGAATGGGACACAGTCCTGCTCTTCTAAAGATGGAGGAACGGTGACAGACTATTTATGTTGTTTGGGTACACACATCGCGATGCCCCTAAATCGATGATCTCTCTCAAACAAACATGGCATTAGAGGATCATGTTGATCCAGAACAACTCTAATTCTGCACCAATCTGGGGACAGCTTCGTTGCGGGAGAGTCGGGTGTAGAATGGTAGATCCCCCTGTTATTCTAGGCGAGGAACAGGGGATGGCCTGTTTCCAAACAAGACCTGAGGCAGAGTGCAAGGGCTTCCCCAGGCATTCAGGAACCGAGGACGCGATGAGCTGGAAATAAGGTTCCTTGAAACACATTATGCTTAAAAGGTGGCCATTGTCGCGCGACGGGTGACATTTCCTACGAATTTATGAACAGCTTCGTAGACATCATTAATTTGACGATCCCATCCGACACCATATTTCTCCCATCGCGTCATCTTTTTGTTCTCCCCAAGACCACAAATTGCAATCTTCAAACCGAAATCTTAACTGCCGGGTTTTAATTTTCCGGGCACGTCACGTCACTGCTATAATTGGCTTAGGCTGTAGCCCTTGAGACGGCCAAGATGTTTCAGTTGATGGCCCCTTATCGGCCATGTCGCAGTGTCCCCTTGTTTCGCCGAAACGCACGGAAGATTGTTGAAAAACATGACGGACGGTGACATGTTTATCTTTGATCTGACCACAAGTTTATTCCGGGTTTTATAGCTTTTTCCACCTTATCGTGGTCACGTTCAAATCCGGGCTCCGTCAGAAGTCTGCTCAGCGAGTCGGCCCCATATCCGTTCCCCCGCCTCCACTGTCCCGACATCAACAGAAGAAATCGGATCCGGTGATCAAAGAGACAGGCGAAAGATGAATTATAGGATCTGCCTTTTCTTCTTCTTTTTTTCCTTTTTCATCTCTCTCTTCAGATCGTCTAGCTTGCTCATAGCCCTCCAGGGAGCTAAGAGGCACACAAGCCTCTAACTAAGCACTGACAGTATAGCCACCCTAGACTCCAGGCTCGACACGTATGAGCGCCCATAAATAGCTTCTATAGAACGATTATAGAACGATCAAATGAGGTTTGTAGGAGATATAGCCAGTTGAACTGCTATAGAAGGCCTCAAAATCCAGTTAACGCTCAGCCCGACCAATAGAAATGCTGTCGATGTTGCCAAGCAGAACGGCAATTCTGGTCATGGAGACCATTGAGCCGTTGATGCAGCGCTGTCTTGAAACCGCGTCCTTGCTGCAGTGTCAAGCCATGTCTGCAAGCTTGTCTTGACGAAAGCACACAAATTCGAGTCGATTTTCTATTTCAATCGTTTTGCCTGCACATTGGTAGGTCTGGCGCTTACTGGCATGACCACCCTTGCAGGTGCATGTGCATCTGTCTTTCACAACAAATCCATGCCTCCAGCAGTGGGGACATAATCCTGCATGCCACGACATACATATCTACCGCGCGCTAAGCAACAGCATTGGTCCTCAGAACTGCAGTTTGGATGCGTTTCGAGAAACGGAAACCACTGTATTAGCCGCGAGATGCATCCTATGATGCGAATGCCGGGCTAACTTGGGGTCTTCGGTTGGGAGCTGGGACGACTATCAGATGATGGGCAACGGGCATCTTGGGAGTTAAAACCTTGGCCGGGACCCGGAAGCTTGTTCTGTTTAGTTCCCTTGCCGTAAAACAGTAGCCGATAGTTGAGAATTGTTTCACTCTCGATTTCAACACCGAGCACCGCCCTTGAACGTCAACTAGAGATGGCCAAGAACCAGCCTCCAGCCATAGTCCGGTATGCCATTCTATTCTTCGACATTCTCTGTCTTCCATCACCAGGACTGCTGTTCTGACTAAAATGCAATCACAGGCTACCGCCAGCCGTCAAGACCGCTTCTGCTAGGAGACCCGTCCCCTGCAACAATGCAGTTCTATCTCAGCCTACCATGCCCAAACGTCCTGCTGCCCCTACCCAGCGTCCCGTCGGCCTCCCTGAACACCCCAAAATCCCACAAAAGCACCCTTCACGGCCTACTCTACCGCCTCCCAACCGTCCTCTCCCAGACCTTCCTCGCCCGAGCCGGCTCCCTACAGCACAGCCAACTAAGAAACCAGTCGGATACAAACCTGTCCCTCCTCCAAAAGCCACACCTAGACCTTCTGTTGTCAAGAAGCAACCCACGCCGAACAAAGGCATGCAAATGGATGATGTAAAACGCATCCAACAGGCTGCATATGCCCGAGGCCAGAAGGATGGGCGGAAAACCGGGCAAGCCAAGGGATACCAGGCGGGAGATAGGCATGGTCGAAAGGTCGGTCAAGAAGCTGGAAACCGCCAAGGTTTCAGCAAAGGGCAGAAGCAGGGTTACACACAAGGACACAAGAGTGGTCATGCCTCGGGACAAACACAAGGCTACGCCAAGGGCCAGGCTACAGGCCAAAATCAAGGATACAACGCTGGACGTGCAAGTGGTCATTTTGAGAGCCGGAAACAAGGCTCTGCACAAGGCCAGAGCCAAGGCTTCGATGCCGGACAGAGAAGAGGCCATGTTTCAGGGCACAGGCAAGGCTACTACTATCAAGGTCAACACGCTGGCTATTCTCAAGGTGAACATTTAGGTTATCACCATGGATACCAACAAAGGCGCGATGAAGAGCATGGCAACAATACGACAGCCGTTGCAGGCGGTGTAGCAGCCGGCGCAATGCTTGGTGGAACCTTCATGTATCTGGGTCACGAGGCACTGGACCCCGATGGACTCTCACAGGTCACCGAGGAAACAGAAAGCATCAGCACCGAGATGGAAATGAGCGACGATGACTTCGCTCCAGGCGAGCCAGTTGAGGATGAAGACTGGTATGAGAGACACAGAGCGGGCTGGGACAGTGATGAGGCCTATGCCAGACCCTATGAGGGGGTTGCAGGGCATAGAGACGAAGGCTTCTATGAGGGTGGAGGTTACATTGGTGGATATGAGGGGAGTGATGGATATGACACGAACCAGGACGTCAGAGACGACAGCCAGGTTCACCTGAGTCAGGAGTATGAAGCCAACAAGGGAGGCTTTACAAGAGGTGAGCATTCTGGAAGTGCTGATGATTTTCATGAAAAACGTCGGGGAGAGGAAGATTGTCGCGAGTGCGACGATTGTTGTGGGTGTGGTGACTCTTGGTTTTGTGTGGGCGGAAATAACAAGAAGGATAACGGCGGCTGTGCAATTATGTGAGCTCTCGGTTGAGACCCTCGTTTACGACTTGATGATTATGAACCCTGTTGTAATATTAGACTGAACGTTTTATTGACTCACGTTGTTTCATGTCGTGCCTCAAGAGCCGACTTCATCATGTGACTATGATCCTGTCAGCTGATTCGGCTCCACTATCTCGTCGAGGCTGACGCATCTCATCGTCCACAATGGGTCCTCATATATGTACGACCGGCCGTACAAATAAGATCACGTGATATATTATACGGCCGGTCGTATAAATAAGATCCGTTATATAAGAGGCATATGTGGCTATATCGCATACCGTATTTTAGCCCTCTTAGAAGACTATTAATAGCTTCTATAGTATTAATTCTAATTACCTTGCCTTATTCCTATTATAATAATTATAATTAATAACTCTTATAGTTTCCCCGATAATATTTTTCCTCCTAAGGGCTAATTTAGTTTAAGGGAGGAGCTAACTATATATATTAATACTTAGGTAGCGCTATAAGGCTATGCCTTTATTTTATAAAGGTCTTTAAAGACTATAAATAAGAGACTTTATATTACTTTTATTTATAATCATATAAGAACCCCCTTAGCTCTAAGGAAATAAATATAAAATATTATATTATATCATATAGGATATATATTCTTTATTATAGCGAAAGAGAGCCTATATAGGACTTAATAGTATTTATAATATTATCTTAATCCTCGCTTTTATCATTATAACTATAGCCTAAGCTTTACCCTAGTAGTATACTTAATATATCGCTAATTATTATAATTAGATTAATTAATAGTCCACTAAATAACTAAGTCCAGCATTAAGCTAAGTAAAATTAGGTTATATCTATATATAACCTCTAATATACTCGCTATATAATAAGATATATATAACTTTATTACTTAGAGTAAGTAAGAGCTTACTTAGGGTTAGAGTAATATATATGCCCTTGCTAAGTAGCTTAATAATAATAGCTTTTAGAGTAAAATCCGGCTTAATAAAAATAATAGGGTTATAGTAATATTATTTATATACTTATAGTTATTAGTATACCTTAAATTATACCTTAAGGTATTTCTCTTAGACTATATATATAAGATTAATAAGTATAAGATATTATTTCTTAATTTAGTTAGTATTAATACTTATTAATAATCCTTTTATATTACCTTTACCTTTCTTAGCGGCAAAGAAAAAGATAATTTTATCTAGGTCCTTAAATAATTACAGATTATATATTAGCTTTATAAAGTTACTTTTTCTTCCGTAATACTTATAGATCGCTGCCTTACTTATATAAATACTATTTTATATTCTTTTTACTTTCCTAAGTTAGCCTTAATCTTATATCTTTGGCATATTAATAAGGCTATCTTAGCTTATTATTAGCCCGCCTTTACTCGAGATAAAAGTAATACTTAATAGTAAGAAAAATAGAAGTAATTCTATGATATATAGTATAAGATCGTCGATTTAGCTACTAAAGATATATATAATAAGAGGCTTAAGAAGTAAAAGAAGTATTATTTTCCTTTATACCTCGAAGAGGTAGGCTATATTACGGAGACCTAGCTAGACCCTTATAAGGAGAGATTTATTAAGGCCTAGGTCTATTAATACCTCTACTTAGAGTAATTTATTATATTATAGGCCGAGGGTATTTATTAGCTTATTAAGAGCTATATAAAATATAATAAGATTAATTTCTTTAATGCCTAGAGGATTATTAAGCTTATTCTATTAAATTAGCTCTCTAAACTTAAGGCTAATTAGGCTAGGTAAGAGGTTATAATACCTTTTAATATCTCTAGGGTATTATATAGTAATATCCGCGGCTAGGTATTATATAAGGCCCTACGGAAGGTTAATACTTAGCGGGTATGGTTACTAAAGGAGTTTCTCGCGTATATAAGAGTCTTTATAATAACTCTTAGATTACCCTATACTTATACCCTTTAGCCTTTATTAATAGAAGGCTAGCCCCTTTAGTTATATTATCTTTATTTATATTAATACCTTTAATACTTAGGGATCTCTTAGCTTATTATTAAGCCTTATAAGTTATTTAATCGCCTAATAGCTAATTCTATATTGCTACTGTTAAGCATATGGCGTGAGCCCTCTATATTTAAGGCTATTAAGAGAGTATTATAGCCTAGGGTATTACTATAATATTTAAGGTATTATTAATATAGCTATAGGATAAACGCTAAAGTATACTTATTATAGTATAATTATTTATTAGATCCTCCTCCTTAGGAATTAGAGCTAGCCCTTTAACCTATATTAATAATATATATAGTAATATATATAATAACTCGCTTTATAAGCCGCTTAGTATCGCCGGGGTCTCTATTAAGAGCTTTTATTATCTTAGAGATTATTATAATTATATATACAATAACCCGGGTTATAACCCCCCTAGTAGTAATGCCGCTAATAATTGCGGAAGCCCCTATGCTATAAGCCAGTAACCCCTATGCTATCTTTTAATAATATAAGGACTTATAAGCGGCCTAGTATGCTATATTGCCCCGGGGAGCGCTAAAGACTAATTAGCTATATTAGAAGGCTATAGGACTATTAATGCGCTATAATAAAGCAGAATATAATTAATACCTTAATTATAATTAGATAAGGAGGTAATATAAAGAGGGAAGAAATATAAGAGATTAAACTAAGGAGGAGTAAATAAGTTATCTTAACTAGGATAAGGCTAAGAATAAGCGTATTAAGTGTAATATAGGGAAAGAGATAATATAATAGTCTTTCTTAGGGCGGCGAGGTATATAGGAAATATAAAATGCCACTAAGGAAGATCTTTAGATATAAGAGTAATTATATTAGATTAAAAACCTCTCTTATTAATATTCAAAGGAGCGCTATAATATATATTTTATATATATTAATTAAGAGATAAAGAAAATATTAATCTCTAAGTATATTTATAGTAGCTTAATAGCTTAATTTAATAAAGTAATTATTAAGTATATATATAATATAAAGTAGACTTAGTAATTATATATATTTATAAAAATAATAATAAAGTAATAATATTATAAGGCAGCCTTTTAAATTATCTATTATATATCCTATTAAGCCTATAATATATAGCTACTTTAATTAATACTTTAGATATAAATCCCTATTTGTTTTACCTCCTAGATAATAGGTAGATATATTATTATCCCTATAGCAGGTATTAGCTAAAAGATCTCTCTTATTAAATATTTAAGTAGACTACGAAGCTATTAATTAAGGCCCTAAAGCATACTAATATCTTACCGTGGGATTATATTAGGGTTAAGGCGATTCTCTCGTTAAGTAAGGGCCTAGTTAAGATATATAATATACTAATTTCCTATAATTACTTACCCCTATAATAGCATATAAATAAGAATTAGATTACCTCGAGGGGGGTAGTTAATAAGCTAGGCTTTATCCTTAGCCCTAGGATTTATATTAAAATAGATTATAGCTAATCTCTTATCTATAGGCAAGGTATGCTATATATATTATTGCTAATACTTAAAGGGAGGTAAATTATTAGGCCTAAAATACTATAGTGCCTAAATATATTAATTATTTGGGATAGGGGCTAGTACCTATTAATTATTAGGTATATTCGTCGCTAGGGTTATTATACTATTAATAAAGATTAGGATATTAGGGGGGTTTTAATACTAGCTTTAATAATAATTGAATATCTTAAAGATAATATTATATATAAGAATAGAGAGTATCTTTTTATAAAGAAGTCCTAGCCTTATATATCTTATATATTGAGTTAATTTACTTATATTATCATTATTATTTTAGTATGCTTTATAGCCTCGGGGGGCCTTATTTATTATATATAATTAGCGCTAATAAATAATATATAATTTATTATATAGCTATATTTATATTTAATTACTTATTATATTTAATTATATATATTATAGCTACTTTATTAGATAAAGAAGAGATTTTCTTGCTTATATACCTTAGCGGGCTTATATAATGGATCTTATTTGTATGACTGGCCGTATGATATATCATGTGATCTTATTTGTACGGCCGGTCGTACATGTATGAGGACCCGTCCACAACCAACAAGCATCACGATGGAGCAAGACTCGCAAGTTCCGCCGCAGTTCCATGGCCAAGCGTTTGCTTGTATGGGTCTCGGTGATAATACACTTAACGACAATCTACCTCCGCTCCAGCCCAAACCTGAAAATGGCCGGTCCCACATCCGACCAGCCACTGGCCTTGGCGCCTTGGATGCTCTCTCTCTCGAGTTGCTTACTATGATACTCGGCGAACTCGATCTATATACCTTTTTCAACTTTGGAAGCGTTAATCGACGAGCCGCAGATGTCGTTGATCAGGTTCCCGTATACAAAGACATCACGAAACACGCTCTCTGCGCCCTCCGTGGTATTCTTAGCATCAATACAGAGAGGTGGATTACCTGCCGAACCTTGTACGAGAAACTATTCCTGGCTGAATGCGAGGTTTGTGGGGACTTTGCCGGTTATCTTTATCTCATTACTTGCAAGCGCGTTTGCTTCATATGTCTTTCACGGGACATATCTTACCTACCTCTCACCCCTCAACAAGCCTGGAGTCAATTTGGCTTGAGCAGTGCCATTGTTGATACGCTGCCTTGGATGCGGGTCGTTCCTGGGATTTACTCCCCTCATGAAGTCAAGATAGTCGAGCCTACCACCCTGGTAGATTACAAATCCTGCCTCGATAAGTGTCTCGCGTTGTATGGATCTTTCGACGCCATGCGCAAACATATGTCAGACATGGAGACCCGCGAGCTACCAGGGGTAAAGGCAGGGGAGCTGGAATCTGAACCTAGCATACCCCAACCTCTACAAGCAGGGCCTATCAAGAGGTCGGGTCGGTTCAGTCCGCGTCGATGTGTGGCAATCACTCGAATGCCTTGGTTGAATCAAGATTCGAAACAGTTGGAATGGGGCTTTTATTGCCTTGGGTGCGTGGGAACGTATCATTACAGACGGAAATTTACGACAGAGTTGTTTAGGCTTCATCTGGAGCAATGCGGCGAGATTCGACATCGAAGGCACATTCCGGCCATACTTGACAAGGATGAAAGCACAGATTCGGCTGAATAACGCACGAGGCTCTACTGCCTCAGAGCTATCAACCTTTTCAGACTCTTTTCTTGTTTTACCAGCCAGCTAAATGTCCTTATTACCTCGCCTCCCCTCGTCTATCCAACTCTTCAAACCATCCGTATTGACAATCTCGCTCCGGTCAAGATAAGACAAGACCTTGGTGAACTCCTGGACAAATTCAGAAGCCCGACGCGAGACATGCTCGTCCATTGCCAAGGGACAGCTAAGAAGGGAGCTGGCAACGTCGCGGACTTTGTATATCTTGATGGCAGATTAGCTTGGGGTTTTAGATCAGACCTTCAGTTGGCTTGACTTACTAAGAATAGACCATTAGGCTCAAGATAAGGATGTGGAATGCTGTGAAGAATGTGAAGTAGCTGGCGGCAAATGTCTTCTCGTTCCCTCCAGTTTAGTTTAAGATGAGACATGGCTGTCGAAGGTTGTAAGCGAGAACTATCCATTTCTTGAATCACGCCGTCCATCCTGTCGAGTAGAAAGTTTTGGAGCCATAGATGCGTGACGTGCAAGTTTACCCGCGTAACCTCATTCTGGGCATGCACAAGGTGTACCTCCCCAAATGGATCTTGATCAATGCTACCGTCGTTGATGCCATTGTAGAATGGCTTGTCGGGAGATTGATAACTATCCCCAGGTCCCCATTGACGCAAATGTGGAGGCAGGCCGTCAAGGAGATATCGTAGCTCATCAAGTAAATCTCGTAGTCGCGAGAGGCGTTCTTCTGGTGTTCTTCCAAATCCACAGTCGCATCCGTCGTTGAACATCGACTCCCTCATGCCTTTGAGAAAGACACGAGAGGTGATGATGAAGGTACTCGTCGTGTTGAATGACTCGTCCTCCGCATTACTGTGCAGCCTGGCAGGTAGGACAGCTGGTGAACAGCCTGCAGCTCCTGTCTCCAAGATGTTTTCGTCCAAGAGGTTGAGAGGCTCCAAAGCATCAAAGTCGACTTCTCGCAGCATGTAATTATCTAGGTAGGTGACATGGTTGCGCCGGCCAGGTTGAATTTTGGAATGTCTGACACAAAAGTTAGTCTTGCGACCCAGAAGAACGATGTAGACTGCGCTACTTACGCAAAGGTGTATAGTTGAAGCCAAAAGGCCTTCTTCCGCAGCTGATTCTCTACAGCATTCAGGTCCTCGTACTCTGAGGTGCGATGAAGTTCCAGCAACCGGGCGATCTGCATCGACTCGGCCTCAAACATCCTGCTCTGGTTTGTTTGTCCTGTCTGGAAGACACCCATGGAGAGTGCAAATGCCACGGCCCACTTGCGATGGCTGAGATGATCCCAATAGTCAGCTGGTCGAAGGCGCAGACACATTTGAGAGCAATAGTTGATCATTGCGGTGCGAGTTCCGAAGCGACTTGCAAGGGCATGATAAGCATCGAACCTAGAAGGCAGGAGCCCAACAGTCAAAGCTGATAGTGCTATGATGAGGCACAAGAAGTCAAGGTCGTTGACGTCGCGGTTTGCTGCAAGATCGGCATGAAATGTTGGCAGATGGACAATAGGAACGAGTGGGTAGACGCGTTCAGTAAAATCCGTCATGATGGACATCAGGAGCTCCCGGGGACAGAGCTCATCTGTGAGAAGTGAACGATGATAGAATCCTGACTCATCTTCGGCCAAGAAAACGCCCGGAGCTGAGATGCTTGACCGCCGGCTTGGCGATGGATTAGTGTGTGGTGTATTTGACATGATGCCAAGCTGGGCATTGTGTGAAACTGTGACGTCGTCATGGCTGGAACGATCTTGCACTTGATGATAATCGGATGGACTATCAGGTTGGAATTCTGGGGATACGGGGATTGATGGCTGCGGTCTGGCCTGAGTTAAAACAACACGCCTCATTTACAGAGACAACAACTTACCTCTTCCTCTTTGGTCCCCGCGGTCTTGTCGGTATGGCAAAGCTACATTGAATATGGAGTCTGGAGCAGCCAGCGCATTGCGACGCTGTAGTCCCATCGACTCTGGGGAAAACACACTTGCGTCTTCTAGCACGACAAGCGTCGCAGGCCCGACTAGCCAGTTCCCTGGGCTTGGGTTGTTCCCCGAACCCAGTGTCTCGTGGCGTGCCAGGATCAGCAACGTCCGTCATGGTAGCTGAGTTTCTGGGGTTCTGGGGAGCGAACGCTTGGGGGCTGACGAGGCGGAGAAATAGGTTGGGCTGTGGGGACTTGTCACGACAAGGATACGAGTCATGTGGTGGTTGGACTTTTTTCTGCTCCTTGTGTCCGACGGACGGAACCGAAACTCTATTAGATTGACGTCAGATTCATCTGGTGATCTATATCCGTTTCCGTTAGACTACATGCCGTCCTCCGTTGCCGGCTCTCCATACAGCATGGATGCATACCCCAGATAGTTGACCCTATCGGCCCTATTATCCCCGGAGTCCTCTCCATGTTGTGGATTTCTCAACCGTAAACGACTGTTCCAGGAAATCGCATCGGCTGCTTGTTCCCACAAGGGCCGTGTACTCTCCGGCCTCACTGCGCCAGCAATCCTCCCTCTCGTCCCAGTAGCTCGTTGCGCGGAGCAGATCTAGCTTGATCTCTGCGATAGTGTTGGCTCCCTGCTCGAGATGGACCTTGGTGAATCCCTTGAGCTCCTTGCTAGACCTCGTAATTGTATCGCGGGCTGAAGCTGTGAGAGGTGTTGCTGAAGGTGGCTTGACGTAAGCTTGCAGGACGGCAGCGCCTGCTCGAGAGCCAGTGTTTGCTACCTTGGCCCACACAACAACCTCTTGCTTCTCTGTGTCTGAAATAACGCTGATCTGAGAGAGCGCAAAAGTTGTGTACGACAAGCCGTGGCCGAACGGGAACAATGGCTCAATGCCCAGAGTGTCGTACCAACGGTAACCGACGTGAACATCTTCGCCGTAGAGGACGCGACCACCTTCCGAGCGGAAGTTTAAGGCGCTAGGGTTATCGGCGACGCGACGAGGCATTGTGATGGGAAGCTTTCCGGCCTGTTGAAAGAAAATCGTCAGCTCAAGTTGTTGTCAAAATACGGGGTTTGCAACTTACCGGGTTCACGACACCAAATAGCACGTCAGCAATTCCGTTACCGGCCTCGTTGCCACCAAACCACGCCTGTGCGATAGTGCTGGCTTGATCAACCCACGGCATAGAAACAGGAGTTCCGCTCTGAAGGAGAACCACTGTGTTAGGATTCGCCGCAAGCACAGCGGAGATGAGCTCGTCGCTACCGGGAGGAAGAGACATGTTGGGTCTGTCCTGTCCTTCACTTTCCCACTCGCCGCTTGTTCCCACGCAAAGCACTACCTGGTCCACGGTCTTTGCGAGCTCAACAGCCTCGTTCAAAGCTGTGGGTTGCTCGAGTCTGGGGCAACCTCCCAGGCGGAGACCACCTTGTCCAAAGTCAACAACGCCAGAAACCTTGAGGTTGGACGTCTTATCGCATCCCCAGCGCACAAGAAGGTTGTATTCCTTGCCACCATCCAGCTCTTTGGCGCCCGTCTCTTCGATGGTGCCACATCCAAGGAACGAGCTTCCTGGTGTCTGATCGGTAACGTTGGACACAACCAACTCGCCGTCGATAAAGAATTCGCCGGTGCCATGAACAGAGAGACCAAAGTCCCATACGCCAGACTTCTCAGGAGTCAGGACGCCCTCAATCTCCGCGTACCAAACTTCAGCCAGCTCAGGATTTTCATAATCGACGAACCAAACGTTGGCATCATCAAGGAATCTCTCCTCAATAACACGCCGCGTGTCTTCTCCAGAGCTAGGCTTTGGCTCATTGTAGACACGCAGAGCGAATCCTTGGCGCTTGCCATCGACTGTCCTCAAGATCTTGCCAATTTGAGGCAGTGGCCGGTGGCCGTAGATACCCTTAGAAAAGACAACGTCGCTCGCAATGCCTTCGATACCCTCCAGTGGAGAGACAGTATGGTAAGCTCGAAGACTGGCACTTCCTCCTCCGCAGTAGGCGCTCATGTCTGCATTGGGGCCAATAACAGCCACCTTCTTCTTGGGGTTCAAAGGCAAGATGCTGCTCTCGTTCTTAAGAAGAACCACAGACTCTGCAGCGGCTTCTCGCAGCAGTCGGATGTGCTCTTGGCTGTTGAGCTGAGTCTCAGGCGCATTGGATGGGATAGAGGTCTTCTCAATGGAGTGCTTGACAAGCTGCAAGATCTTCCGTACGCGCTCATCCAATGTTGACCACTTGACCTTGTTTGATGTGACTGCGTGAACGAGAGCACCGGCGCGCCATCTGCTGGGGCCTGGCATCTCGAGGTCTTGACCAGCGTTGATACCTTCAGCAGTGCCGTAAGTGCCAAACCAATCACTGACGACCAGACCATCCCACTTCCACTCATCACGGAGGATTTCTTGGAGGAGATGCTCATTTTCAGGGGCATGAGTGCCGTTGATCTTATTGTAGGCTGTCATGAATAGCCTTGGGTTTGCCATTTCCACAGCAATCATGAAGGGAAGAAGGTACACCTCTCTGAGGGCTCTCTCTGTGACCTGGATATCGACAGCCATGCGAGCACTTTCCATGTCATTACAGGCAAAGTGCTTCATGGTGGCAGAGACACCTGAGGCCTGCAGGCCCCGGACATAGTGACCAGCCAACACTCCTGACAGGAGAGGATCTTCAGAGAATGATTCAAAGCCTCTTCCACCAAGAGGTCCCCGTTGGATGTTGACAGTAGGTCCAAGGAGAACATGAGCACCCTTTGCGTGGGCCTCATCTGAAAGTAGCTGACCCAGACGATGGATCAAATCCACATTCCAGCTGGAGCCTAATGCGGTTCCGCATGGTAGGCAAGCAGATGGCGTGCTGTCAAAGAAATGGGTGCCTCGAACACCATTGGGTCCATCGGATAGTCGGATTGGAGGGATGGCCAGGCGTTCAATAGCCGCTGTGTGCCACCATCCAACACCTTTTTGACAAATGAGGGTTAGCAGTGGCTACGATGGGGACCAGGGTGTTGGCTGACTTACCGGCTGTGAGTTGGACCTTTTCCTCTAGGGTGAGTTGACTGAGGAGGGCTTCAACATCCATCTTAGCGTTCAATTATGCGTCTGATGAAGAGGAGAATTGGGGGATTGAGGAAGATGTCAATGGCTTCGTTCAGTGAATGAGCCAGACTGTTAGGAAAAGCCCATTTAAGTCAGGAGAACTGCTCATAGTGCTAAAGCGTGAATTAGTCAGGACTGAAAACGTCCTCATGACTATCCACATCATGACGATTAATTCTCCGCAACATTTTTCGCATTTACGAGTGCATAATAAACGCCAGACAATACGGGCCGTTGACAATATCCCATTGCGCACCTGACTGTAAAAAGTGGGAGTTTTACGGAGATGCGAGGCGGAGAATCTCGACCAACCCCTGAGCCCGCTCGTGCTTATTTCTCCGCCTCGGATATGTGGGATTCTAGAACGCGCTAAGACTATTACGCGACATTATTGATCGCGTCTCGTGACTGATGGGTTTGAAACGGCACGCGGCTTGAAGAAAAAGTGAGACGCCAGTACAAATGTGCTATCAGATCATGTTGGTCAAAGGGAATAATAAAAATGTGGTAAAATTATAGGAGTTGCATACTGGTTTCCAGATGCTTAGAATGATTGACAACACTATTGTCTAATTATTGGATTATTTTGTGTGAACGTAATCTTTGTAGAAACCATAGCATTCAAGAAGACTTAGACGGCGTTGCGGTTCCGGTGTTGTGGTTCAAGATCCCGATGTCTCTGAAAAACTCCATCACCCGTTCTCCTGCCCCGTTGATTTCTTGCCGCGGAAACGGGTCCGACTTCACCTCTCATTCGTCTCTCTATTTCTCCGCCGCTAAGAAGCCCACTAATCTTCGCTTGTGCCGTGTTCGCGGCATGCACCACGAGGTCTGCCGGGGATCCATCAACAACGTGTGATTCCCCATGGGTGCCCCAGTTTGAAGTCCCGGGGTTCCAAAGTCGGTGACATTGATCGGCGGATACCTTTTTCTTTACTGGGGTTTGGGGTAGATATTTAACCTTCTTGCTCATCCTCACAAGGATCTTGATCATCACTCCTCTCCACTTATCAACACTTTTACACACAGGCTCAACAACTCGCACAGTTGTCCAACATGGCCGAAATCGTTTCTACTGTCCCTCATGAGAGGGCGTGGTGGAAGCAGACTCATCTGCTGAAGCTCAACTCCATTGTCTTGTCGCTCATCTTGTTCTGTACGCAACCCCTGCCCCAGCTACATACGCATTAACTAATATGTCCCGACTGCAGCTTCTGCGAATGGCTTCGATGGCGGTCTTCTAGGCGGTATCCTTGCTCTTGATTCATGGAACGAATTCATGAATCATCCGGCCGGCGCCTACCTAGGCTGGATCACAGCCATCTATTGGCTCGGCAACGGCCTCACTACACCCCTCGCAGCCTGGGTTTCCAACCGCTGGGGTAGAAAGCTGGGTCTATATATCGGATACTTCTTCCTCTTCATCGGCATCGGCATGCAAACGGGTTCCCAGAACGAAAAGACCTTTACATACGCTCGTCTCTTCATCGGTATCGCCTCGGGATGGCTCGGAAACTCAGCACCCGTCCTCATCAACGAAATCGCCTATCCCTCGCATCGAGCCATCGCCAGCTCTCTGTTCATGTGCGGCTGGTATGTCGGCGGCACCGTCTGTGGCTGGGTTACATTTGGCTGCCGAAACATTGCCTCGGACTGGTCGTGGAGAATCCCTGTCTTGCTGCAGGTTCTTCTTCCTCTCTGTGCTCTTCCCGGACTCTTCCTATCTCCAGAGAGTCCCCGCTGGCTGGTGAGTGTCGGCCGTGTGGATGAAGCCACCGAAATCATCGCCAAGTACCACGCTGGAGGCAACAGGGACGACCCAATTGTTAGCACGCAGATGCTGGAGATTGAGGCAACAATCACAGCTGAGAAGGAGGCTTCGGGAAGCGCCTCGTATCGCGACATGATCAAGACGAAGGGCAACCGCCACAGGCTCTTCATCTCGGTTACTCTGGGCTTCATCTCGCAATGGGCTGGCAACGGTGTCGTGTCCTACTACCTCCCTCTGGTCCTGGACTCGGTTGGTCTCAAGACGGTTACCGAACAGACTCTCATCTCCGCATGCCTCAACGTGTGGAACCTGCTTTGGGCTGTTGCGGCAGCTTTCAGTGTTGATCGCCTTGGTCGCCGATTCCTGTTCCTTTCGTCTGCCAGCGTCATGTTTGTCAGTTTCATCATTGTTACTGGACTCAGTGGCTCGTTTGCGAACTCAGGGTCTTCTTCGGTCGGTCTGGCTGTGGTCCCGTTCTTGTTCATCTTCTTTGCCGGTTATGACGTTGGATTGTAAGTTTCCGTTCACGAACCGCATCAGTTGACCCATTACTAACCCACATTTTGCAGGACCCCCTTCCTTGTCGCTTATCCTTGCGAGATCTGGCAGTTTAGCCTCCGCTCCCGCGGTCTCACCGTGGCATGGTGCACAGCCGTCGCATCCATCTTCTTCAACTCATTCGTCAACCCCATCGCCCTCGAAGCTATTACATGGAAGTACTACATTGTATTTATCGTACTTCTATTTATCTTCCTCATCGTCGTTTACTTTACGTACCCTGAGACACGTGGCCACACCCTTGAGCAGATGGCGGTTGTCTTTGATGGAGAGGATTCTGTCCCGGCCCAGGCTGTGGCATTGGAGAAGAAAATGAGCATTGGTCATGTCGATAACGTGGAAGACTAAGTGTCTTGGTTCCGGGATCAAGGGAAAGATTTGTGCTAGGAGCACAATGATAGCAATTTTCAATGACAACTTTAGCGTTGCTACAACTATGATACCTTGTCGCTAGAATTTACTCAAGTGAATTCCCTTCCACCTTCACAACAATGATCCAACTAGTGCATTGACAAGGATTCTAATATTGACTTATATACCCAACGCAGGAATAATAAAGTTAGTTTAATACTATTGAGTCAAAAGGTAGTCTATAGCTAAATGTACCTGGCCGATGTCATGTTGAGCAGTTTACCCTGGACTCCTGAGGTGATTCGGTGGAGCCGCGGAAATAAGCGGAAAAGGCGGAAAAGCAAAAAGAATTGCCTGAAGAGCAAAAGATCTGCGGGTGGAGAGGCTCGAACTCTCGACCTTTGGATGTCCCTGACCTTTGGCCAAGTCATATTATGAGACCAACGCTCTAACCAACTGAGCCACACCCGCTGTGATGATCAGATGGTGATCTGATTTCACGTGACTGAGCTGCTCTAAACAAGCCTCATGTTGACCAACCTCACAGCATCGCCTTTCCAGTTGGCTCGATAGGAAAGTATCGGTTAAAGACACGATCTGGGTCGTATTTGGCCTTGAAGAATCCAATCAGCTTGATGTTTGTACATGATCTCGGATCAAGCCTACCTTGATTCTCTGCAGCCGAGGATAATTCTGGCCCCAGACATCTTCACTCTTCTCTTTTGAGGAACAAGCGTTGCCGTTGACTCCCAAGTCCTTGGCATACTTTCTCTGATATGAGCGAGCAACTTCAATCATATCATGAACCCATGATTGTGCACGTTCGTCACCGGAAATGTCGTTGTGCCTAGAATATGTTAGCGCTGCAAGTGAGCGGGCACTGGATCTGCCTTACTCTTCACTGGCCAAGCACACAAAGTGCTTCGGTTCATGAATAGGGATGCAAGTGGTTTCCTATTGTATTTGTTAGACCCTGAAAACACATGGAATCATCAAGGGCTTCTAGACGTACAGGCCTGAACCTCTTGCTGTTGTGAAACTCAAAGAAGTACTTGCTGTCAACAGCATCAGGATTCGCATCAGTGTATTCGATGTATCGCTTCCAAGCTTCCTCTGCCATTCCAGGCCAAAGGCCGGTGAAAGGAGTGCCACCCACCGCCTTCCTGGGGGAGCCTTTCAAGAGGATTTCATCTTGTACATGACTGAACTCTACCAGGGTTGGGCAGTCAACGGAATGATCATGAAAAGGTTTCGCGGGCTCGAAAAAGTCGTCGAATACGGCCTTGAAATCCTCGATAGCTCCAAAGCCAAAGAAGGTTACCACAAAGAGAGGCTAGTATTGACATTAGCTCTGTAACAGTCAACTAGTCGGGTAGACAAACCTTGTGCTCGGGTGGAGGCCCTCGGACGTAGTTGAGAAACGCCATGATTGTCTTTTCTCCAAAATCTTGTTTGAGGAATTCCTATGGGTTATCAGTATGACCTTAAACGGCCGATCCGGAGTTGTCTTACCTTGAACTTTGGGAGAACACTTGACAGCGCTTCGCCGTGATAACTCAAGGAGCGGAAGAAATAGGGTCCCTTTGGACATTAGTGTGTATGCATCGTTAGAAGTGCTTATGAACTCACCTGGGGAGGGAAGGTTCTCAAGACGAATTGCACCACCACGCCAAACGATGAAGAGCCCCCTAACCTTGTCAGCAACGGACGTAGTGATGGAAACCGGACCAACCTCTGATGGCCCAGAACAGATCCGGGTTCTCGGACTCGCTAGCCTTCACAACGCTTCCGTCCGCTAGAACAACAGTTGCTGATATGATATTGTCACACGCTGCTCAGTCCGTCAGTATCGCCTCACCTTCACCTGACGGGAGAATGGACATACCCATGCCAAACTTTTGCGACAAAGGCCCATAGCCACCTGGAAAAAACCAAGTTAAAGAGAGAAAAATCGATGGCCTCAGCATTCTCACCTCCTGTTAGATGACCTCCGACGCCGACAACATGCACGCCTCCTCCCACGCATTCGAGGTCATGATCCCTCAACGCGGTATAGACGTCGCCCCAAAGGCAGCCGCCACCAATAGTCACCCTCATGTTTTCTTTATCAACTTCAACACTGTTGAGCGCTTTCATATCGATAACGATACCACCCTCAACACTACTCGCAGGAGAGAAATGGTGGCCACCACATTTGATCGCAATCTCCAGATTTGATCTACAAATCTGTTAGAGCTTGCTCTACCACTCTCTGTCGCGGACACCAACTTTCTGGCAAACTTTATAGCAGCCTGTACATCCTCTGTAGTTGTAGGGAAAGCGATGAACTTGGCCTTGCGCTGGGCGGCGACGTTGGCTCGGGTCAGGGACGCATCGTAGTCGGGCGAGGAAGAGTCGAGGATTCGACCAACAAAGCCAACGTGTTTTAATTCGCTGATAGACATGGTGAATATTGGAGATCAATGAATAAAAGTGGGCTCAATGCTAGCTAAGAGAACTGGAACATGGTAAACCTGACTTATATCGATCGTAGTAGACAAAGATGGAGTTAGGGAGCCCAGAATGTTATCCCCGTCCGGATATCTCCACATACCGCATCTAGCCAAGAAGCCATCCGACACCTGTGATCAAAGCGGAAATCGGATAGAGATGGTGGATTGCGGAGTCAATATCTCGTCGCTATTACAGGATCAATTTGGTTCCTTTGCGGCTTGTCTGCTTCGACGCCTCTCGTCACGGAAGGCCACGGCTGGAAGATCAAAGACCGATTTATCGAACTCGGAACATTTCCACTTCAACTAGATGCGATCTTCACTTAGCTGAAGAGTTTAATTCGTAGGCTCGAGCTGATTACTGCAATGCAGCATCGAGCCGATGCGATTCGATCATGGGGTGTGGTGGTCGCTGTGGAGCCGAGCCGAATGAGGCTGAAGTTGAGTCGTGATATACCACCCACCCAAAGTTGGGGTCGGCCATGGCCGGCTCCACGCGGAAAGAGGAAGAGGGCTATCAAGTGGGTTGAGTAGAGTCACGGAACTAACGGAGTTAACGCATCGCGATAGTAGCTCTTAAAGACTCAAGTCGCAGGTTGGCAACTCTAGTATCACAATAGGTCTTATGCCATCTTGACCACATCGACACTATTACAGCCTAGACGCAAAGATGTCTCTTAAAATTGCAAACCTCGACGTCACAGTCGCGCCGGTCATCGCTCCAGGGACCGAGGAGAGTGGGCCTTATGACCCTCTCAACCCTTCAACTCGGGAGTTGCCCAAGGGTCACCAGCGAACTCCCGAGAACAAGGCCTTTGAGACGGATACTATCTTTGAGAAGGACATTACGCTGCCTATGCGCGATGGTGTCAAGCTATATGCTGATGTCTTTCGCCCAAAGGATGTTGACAAGGTTCCTGCAATTATCATCTGGAGTCCTTATGGAAAGACTGGCAATGGTGAGTAGTTGCTGTGGTCACATGTCTAAGCGAGCTACGAATCGCTAACTGGTGTTCTAGGGCCTCACGGTCTTGACATGATCCCTGGCCGTTTTGGTGTCCCCAAGAGTGAAGTCAGCGGCTACGAGAAGTTTGAAGGTCTCGATCCTGCTGTGTGGCCTGCCAGAGGCTATGCGATTGTCAATGTTGACCTTCGAGGCTCGTGGGACTCTGAGGGAACCACTGCGTAAGTACCTTTTCTTCGATGAAGGCATTTGGCTAACTGGATATAGCTGGCTTGGTGAACAGGACGGCAAGGACGGTCACGATGCTATCGAGTACGTCGCCAAGCTTCCCTGGTGTACTGGCAAGGTAGCCCTTGCTGGAAACAGCTGGCTCGCCATGGTTCAATGGTACATCGCCTCACAACAGCCTCCCTCTCTGGCTGCCATTGCCCCTTGGGAGGGTGCTGCAGACTTTTACCGCGATACCCTCTGCCGTGGTGGAATCCCTTATCCTTACGACACCATGTGGAAGCTCCTCCAGGATACCATGGTTGGACGAAATGTTACAGAGGCTCCGATTCCCATGTTGGAAAAGTATCCACTGTTCAACGAGTATTGGGAGGACAAGCGATCTAAGCTTGAGAACATCAATGTTCCTGCTTATATCCTTGCGAGTTACTCCAGTTCACTTCACACCACTGGCTCTATTCGCGCCTACAACAAGATTGCATCCAAGGACAAGTGGTAAGTTCTTTAGGAAGTGTCTTGAAAGAGAGTATTGTACTGACTTTGTAGGCTTCGAATCCATGCCCGACAGGAGTGGTCTGATCTTTACAACCCTGACAATGTCCACGACTTGACCAAGTTCTTTGACTACTATGTCAGGGGAGAGAAGAATGATTGGCCCAGCACACCCAAAGTCCGAGCTTCACTTGTTGGCTTCAACCGAGTAAGTTTTCCCCACACAGCACATAGCCCAGATCCAGTAGGCTAACCAACTCTCGTAGCCCGCTGTCACCAACCTGCCCTTCTCGTCCTTCCCCATCCCCCAGACAAAGCTTACCAAGCTCTATCTTGCCCCTAACGAGAAGTTCTCACCCAACCCCGTCTCAACAGTTGGAACCGGCTCCTACGACGCTTCGTTTGTCCCCAAGAGCCCCATCCTTGGCGGCGAAGAGCTCTTTTTCAAGCACAAGTTCGCCAAGCAGACCTGGCTCCTCGGATACTCATGGGTCGTTCTCAACATCTCCAACGATAGCCACGACGACATTGATGTGTTTGTGCAACTTGGCAAGGCGGACGCCTCTGGAAACCAGCTGATCAACATGAACGTTCCTCTGAAGGAACTCATTCCTCCTGTCAATGAGGTCGCTGAGGCTGCAAATACATGTTTCCTCAAGTACTCAGGACCCACTGGTTCTCTCCGCGGAAGTCATGCTGTTAGCAAGGTGAAGCCCGAGGCTGGGACGTTCACTGGTGACTGGCCCGACTACACGCATACGACTCGAAAGTCCATCCCTGCTGGCACCGTCACTCGACTTGAGGTCCCGATCTGGCCCACTGGAATTATCTTTGACGAGGGCGAATACCTCACGCTCAAGATTTCTGGTCATTACATGAGCTACATGGAGTTCGAGTTCTTGTATGGTGTTTCACACAGAAACAAGGGTCGTCATACTGTTCACTTTGGCGCAGAGTTTGACAGCCATCTGGTTGTTCCCCTGCTTGACCCTATTAACTAAGCGTACCCCGAATAGGGACTCCATAGAATAGTCAAGATAGATTGCCAATTGAATTCCGAGATTAGTGCTACCTTAAATTGCCTTGTCCTTCTCACTCATAATGAACTCATGTGCCTGTCGGACTGATCGGTGCTGACGTGGGCTTGGAAATGGTCCGGAACCCCCGGCTATCTTTCTGGAACCAGTATGCGTAGTAGCAGCGTTGATGTCCCCTTTCAAATTAATGTCATGGAGATCAGCGATAATGATAGCAAACTTGGTCCAAGGCCGGTAAAAATTGGAATTGGGGGTTTCATAAATAACCATATGATTCAAGATGCCTCGGCATTATCTCATGCCAGGGGCACAGTATGCAACCCTCATGCTGTTGGTCGGTACCTTGTCACCATGGGCCAATAAAACACCACTTTGAAACTGCGAATGCAACATTTGACGTGCCCTGCCATGCAGCAAGCAGTTATAATTCGCCCGTCTTGCTCCCGGCTGAATCCAAGCGGCATGGTTATGCTGTGATGTGATTTCTACCCACCACCCACTTCAGACCCCATTCCTCTCCCTAATCCTCTTTCCCCTCTTTCCCACGAGGCCTTTTTTCTGGCTTTTTGTAGGTACGCATGTTGAGTCTTCAAGTCCACTCGACGCAAATCTAAGGTCAAACTCACCATGGCCGAACGCCCTCCCACGTCCGATCCGACTCCATTGGCAGAGGAAAGACCCGCAAACACCAATGTCGATGTAAGCCAAGCATTGCAGACCACCCGCTATAAATCTGACGACTTAGGTTGACTCCGACAGCTACGACTCTGCGTTGGACGGGGTAAGCAAGATATAGCCCATACAAACCGTGACAAGATGTCTGAGCTAACGGTGGCCCCTAGATCTCCGCTTTTAGTGACACAGCATCTCTTGCGTCGAGTATCGTTAAGTACCGGGTTGAGAATGGCCGGACTTATCACGCCTACAAGGCTGGATGTGAGATAACTACATCATTGACTTCATACAGAACTAACCTAGTTTCTTAGCCTACATCCTCCCAAATGACGATGTGTGAATCCCATTGCTAAGAATCTTGGGGATACCTGGCTAACTCTCGGATCATAGCAAGAGAACGACCGTCTAGGTATAATCCCCATTTAGTTCACCCTTTGATCGAAATGTCTGACACTTTCTAGATCAGCAACACCACCTAGCACTTCTCACGTTGAACGGTCAACTTTTTATCTCACCGGTAGGGAAAGACAAGAAGATGAAACGTGTTCTGGATGTCGGATGCGGCACTGGAATCTGGTCAATGGACTTTGGTGGGCCTCTTACCTCGCTAGTCAAGTTAAGGTCTAACATTTACAGCTGATGAGCACCCTGAATTCGAGGTCTGTGATATAATGCCCATGATCTAGTTCATCGCTCATTTGCTTTAGGTCCTTGGTGTCGACCTCAGTCCTATTCAGCCAACCTTGTGAGAGATTGAACTCAAAGTGTGGGATGCGAGATGCTGATTGCAACTAGTGTTCCGCCGAACGTCTCGTTTTTCGTCGACGATATCGAGGAAGAGTGGACCTACACCACTCCTTTTGACTTTATCTACCTCCGTGCCATGACAGGGTCGATCCGTAACTGGCCCAAGTTCTTTAGTCAGGCCTATCAGTTAGTGTTCCTGAAGGACTATCATATGAAGACAACTAAATGGGTGAAGGAATCTCTCTCCTGGTGGGTTAATCGAGCTCATGAACCCTATTTATCCCGTGACCAGCGACGATGAAACGGTATCAAAAGACTCTGCTGTATACAAGTGGAGTAGCTTGATGAATGAGGCAGCTACAAAGATGGGTAGCGGCCTTGATTCTGGTCTACGCTACAAGGATCAGCTCATACAAGCTGGCTTCGTCAATGTCGTGGAGACGCCGTACAAGTGGCCGATGAACACCTGGCCAAAGGATAAGAAGACTAAGGAGCTAGGTACTGCCTCCTTGCCTTTGAAAGAGTGACTGCGAACTAATGAAGCTCAGGAGCTTGGGGGAATGTGAACCTTGTGGGAGGAGCCCAGGGGTTGAGCCTGGCTCTGTTTACCAAGGTGCTGGGATGGAGCCCTGAGGAGCTTGAAGTTTTCCTTGTCGACGTTCGAAAAGACTTGTGCGATAAGAAGCTCCATGGTTACTGGCGAGTGTAAGTATTTGGAGAAGCCCGTATGAAATCACGTGTGCTGACTTGACGAAGCAACGTGGTCTACGGGCAGAGACCTGAGTGAAAGAGAAGATTCACTCTATTGGGAGTGCTCATCTCCCTGGCTTGAGTTTACGTGGTCCTTATAGGCTAGGCATGAATCACTGCATCTACAAGCATACGAATTGATGGAAACCTCGGTCTTGAGCTATGAGCGAAAACGCGACTTGGACTCTGAATAAATCTTCAAACTTAGCATTCAAGGTATACCAACTAGTTTCCCAAAATGGCTTTAATGGCTGCTTTCAGCTGCTCCCCATGTCCTTGGCTAGACCTAGCCCCTCTCCAAGCAATGAAGCCATCAGGCCGAACAAGGATTGCCTCACCAACCTTCAAGCGGCACTTTTCTTCTACAGCCCCCTCTAAATCTGTATATGGGGTGGAAGTCGCATTCAGAGTATGGACGTCAAGGTCAATGGGACTTTCAGTGGCGGCTTGGATCCAAGGAGAATCGGGGTCGATGGTGATGAGCAAAAAGTTCCTCTTGACGAGATCGATGGTCGAGATTTTCTTCCCAGGGTTGTTAGTGTCCCGGAGAAAAGCATGCGGGAACCTGGATCCTGGGACAGCAGTTGGTTGATAAGGATCGTCGTACAGCTCCTTTGGAACTTGATGACCCTCCTCTGAAACAAAGGCACCCTTGGGATACCTATAGCCGAGCTCGATGGCAACATCTGGGGCTTCGGGGGCAGCCGGGTGTTGTACGACAACTCGGTTCTGAAACCGGCTGTATGCCTCAAGAACAGTGAACTCGTCTATGGGTTGCCTCTCAGAGTTGTATGAAGAGAGGAGAGAGTGCGAGGCCTTTCCTGTTAGGACATAGGCAAGCTTCCAGGCAAGATTGTGCGCATCCTACAGAAAAGGAGTCAGTCAAGTAACGCAGAGGAAGTCGAGAATGCTTACAGCAATTCCAGTGTTGCCGCCCAGCCCTCCTGTTGGTGGCATAATGTGAGCAGCATCGCCAGCAAGAAAGACTCGTCCACCCTTGCTGTTCAATCGACCAGCCGTATACGCAGCCATGGTCCAGTAGTTCATGGTTTGTAGATCGGGAGTGATTTGATCCGGAGTGAGACCCGAGCAGTCGTAAAAGTATTGCTTGGCCTCTTCCACAGTGACAGATCCTGGTGGGAAATCACCCTTCGTGCCGACATTGTTGACCATGAGCAGACCCTGCTTGCCTTCATTCTCTAGGCGGAAACCTCCACCGATCTTCTCATTCGCAACGTAGATGACGCCGTGAACCATCCTCTTGCCGATGAAGGGACTCAGATCGGACTTGAAGCTCACGCTCAGGCTGTTTCGCAGAACACCTGGTCCATCCCAGGAGATGCCCTCCTTTTGTCGGGTTGGGCTTCGGTTTCCATCGCAGGCAACCACATAAGTTGCCTTGAACTTCTTGATCTTACCAGAGTTGAGTTCCTTGACGACGACAATGACTCCATCTTCTTGCTCCTCATAGAGAAGTACGTCATGCCCGTGGAGTTGGATACTGTCGTACTTGTCTGCATTGGCGCCAAGGATGGGTTCAAACATCCGCTGCGAGATCCAGACCCAGCTCGATGGCGTAATGTTCTTGACCTTCTCGGGGTCGTGTTCCTGGAGGTGCTTGAGAACCTTTCCCCCGACTAGCTTCTCCACTAGAAGCATGCCAGCGTTAAGGTCAAATTCCTTTCCACTCTGCTGTAGAGTAAACTGTTCAAGGCCCAGTTGACGGAGAATCTCGCTTGTGCGAAAGTTCAAACCAGCGGCGCGAGGATGAGTACCCGCAGCGGGGTGACGGTCAAACGAAATTGACTTGATACTGGAGGAATCAGCTTCACTGCCGATGAAGGGGCCCAGTCTATGCACTTACCCATGATATCCGAGCAAGAGGCCCAGAGTCTTGCCAACCATACTGGAACCAATGATAATGACAGGCCATTCTTCTTTCTCAAAAGGAATATCGGCGTGGTCAATGTTGGTGAACTTGTCTTTCGCCAAGTTGGAAGACGAGAACGTCTCGTCGACTTGACGCGCAGTGGCGGCCATTGTTCTTGTCAGGTTTCTTCGTGTTTCTGTGTTTAAAGACTTGTACTACAGTTCAACAATCAACACATGGTGATTTGATCCATGCAGCAATTATACTCAGCATCATTGATGAGGTACGGCAAGCGTGATGATAGCAACTCATCAAGCAGCTTACAAACTCATCACACCTCCACCACCCACACACTTGGCTAGAGCCACCACCTCCACAGGATAGCCTTGTCCTGGTTAATATCCGGTGGGGTACCGATGAGCCGAAATGCCGGAAGAGCAACTACCACCATTCCGATGGGCTCGGGGTGCGGGGGAATGAAGATGTTGGCTTGGGGTTCCTCGACACGTCGAGATGCGTTCGAACGCTGATTTTCTCGACGGGTCAGATGTGGATTTCTGGAACCATCTGTAGAGCCCACTAAGATCGATTTTCTAAGTCAAAGTTCAGGATAACACCTCTCGAGTTGGCACTACGTCCTATACTGTATTTTCTAATCTGCGAGACCTGCAGCGCGGAGATGTTCCTTAGTGGACTACGTGAAGTGATGTCATCAAGGGCGGCACGATGTCTTTGATGCCACATAGTTGTAGACTAACTGGTGAGATCATTGAGTTAGACGGACTCCAGTGCAGTAAGACAACGTATGCTGTGTAGACCTCAGTTGGAAATTAGGTTGCTAAAAGAACAGTCAATATTGACATATGCTATGCTACAACCGACACTTGGGAGTCCGGTCAATAAGCCCATCCCCATCAGTCTCATGACCCTGCAGTCAATCTTTGCCAGCCGCACGCAGCGCCTCTTGAGCATCCTTGACAACATGGGAACTCCAAGTATACTCAAACATGTCGTTTGGCAGAACAGCATCAGGTACGTATGATCGCAATTCGTCCATCATCTCGCCTCGCCTCTCATCATTGATCCTCGACATGAGCATGACCGTGACGGCTCTTCCATAGCGAACCTTATTGTAGAGCTCCAGTCTTTGTGGGATCTGGTCTACAGTCGTGTCGGCCGGCAAGAGGGCTCCGAGGGCTGCTCCATCTTCGAGGGACTGCGCGCCTCCTTGTCCTTGATCTGCTTTTGTTAGGGTACGGGAAAAATCACCCAGGGATACGTGACTTACGAGGGAGCATGGGATGAGCAGCGTCGCCGATCAGAACAGTCTTTCCGCGGTAGAACTTCTTTGGTGGATCTCTTGTGGCCAAGCTCCAGAGCTTTAGATCCTCTGCCAGACTGCACATCTCAACAATTTCGGGTGAAAACTCGCTGTAGGTCTTGAGAAGATCTTCCAACTTGCCACCCGCAAGCCACGAAGAGTCGGACTCGAGTCCAGCATTCTCTGATGGGTGCATGGCGACAATGTTGAGCAGCTTGCCGTAGCGACAAGGGTATACAACGAGGCGGCGATCGTAGGTAGTGAAAACGTGTTGGCAATCGAGACCGAGTTTGGCAAAGAAGGGCCCGGTAAGGGGGTTCGAGTTGATCTTTTCGATAGGGACAAGGAACCGGAAAGTGTTTTGCATCGTGCCCTTGCGTACCGTTTCCTCCTGCGTCACGGCTGTGACGACCTTGGACTTCAGAGATATTAGTGGTGTACAGAACTAGAGTATCATAGGCCAGTACTTACGTGAACACCGTCGGCTCCAACGAGAAGATCAGCCTTGTGCTTGGTTCCATCCTCGAGGACGATCTCTCCGGCTTCCGCATCCTAGGGGCAAGAATGTCAGAGGTAGGGTCACGACAGGGGTGGGGTTGGCGAAACCAGGCGAGACTCACAGCAGACATGACACGGCTCGAGAGGTGTATCTTGAGATTATCTCCATACGTCTCATGTGTAGCCAGTTTTCGTAGAGTATTGTGCAAATCGACTCGGTGGGTGAGAAGCCATTCGTCCTTGGTGTTGACCTTCTTTTGAACAATGTCTGTTGCCTGAGATCTGTCTGTTAGCGCAGGCGCCTGGCCATCCTCCTTGTGTCAATACGTACCACGGGCACAAAAATCAGTTTACCTGTCTTGTCGTACACTTTGATGGCATTGCAAAAGACGGCTTGTAGGTCGTCAAAGTCGCAGTCCCATGACTTCAAAACCCTCGTAGCGTTGGGAGGGATGTGAATCGCGGCGCCAATCTCGTTGAGGAACCTGGATTGTTCAAACACCTTGGCAAGTCAGTTCTTGTTCATCTTTCCCTGGCAATCTTTCGACCAACCTCGACTTTATGGCCAGCGCGAGTAAGGGCAATGGCAGCACCCAGGCCTCCTAGGCCGGCGCCGACAATGATGATTTTGAGAGGCATGTTCAACGGCTTGGAGCGTCAAGATAAACTTTCACAAAGATACTTGAACGAATGTGTTCTTGCGTGCGAACGGGGAAGGGGAGCTAACGATATATGAACATCTAGTAGGCCTCGTGACGTTTACCCGGTCCGTTCAACATCTTTCAACACCATCATTCAGTCACTGGATCAATAGTGGCTTGCTCTACGGAGTGGCTTGAGACGCCACAGCCGGTCGGTGACATGCTGCCGAGGCTCTCACTCCCACAACAGCTCTTCGGCTCCACCGGGTGGTAGAACTTCCCCGGCTTCTCCACACGGCCAATGAGCTGAAATATCTGGGGAAACGTGAGCGGGCTCGGAACTATGCTCCGAGATAGTTGTCTGTGTCTGTTGTCAACTTTCTGTTAAATGCCTAGGCTACTTCAACTGTCTGGTTCATCCCCGCTCGACAAGTCGATCTAAACAGCACATTGATAACTCAGCATTTCACCTCGCTTCCACCAACACTATCGATATATCCAATATGGTTTCTGCCGATCACATTCGTGCCATCTTTGAGCCCATCGCTCGGGGTGATATGGCGTCCTTCTGGCCTCACGTTGAACCCGATGTGGACTGGACCGTCAAGGGTGCGTTGATCCCAACCGCGCACCCTGTCATGTTATCTAACAACGAAATTATTAGGCGCTCACTGCAAGATCTCTGGACACTATAAATCTGTTGCAGAGTTTCAGCAAGGCACGAGGCCTCTGTCCTCGACATGGGCTGGCCCGTTGCATTTGGTTGTTCAAAACATCATTGTTGATGGCAACCAAGCGGCTGTTGAGCTCAAGGCCGTGGATACGACAACCAAGAGCGGAGACCCGTTTCCTAACGAGTACACCTGGGTCCTTGGTTTCAACGACAACGGCAAGATTGCCACTGTCCGAGCTTACATGGACACGTAAGTAGCCTTTTCCTCGCAAGTGTCCAGCTTGAAGACTAACCTGAACATTTAGCGACCTTGTTACCCGTGTTATCGAAAAGAACTCATAAATGAGGCATGTGGGCCATGACACTGAGGATATGTCAGGTAGCTTCCTTGCGAAGTCTGGTTAAGCAAAGATCGGCATGTGACATGGATGGTGGACTATAGATTTGAGAGGAATCACATATAATTGAATCCTTTTCTCTGATATAACTTGTCTTTGCGTTCCTTGTGATCCGAGCATTTCCTGGGCAGATGAACGGCAGAGGAATGTCCAAGATGGCATATCAGTGAGTCTAATGTGCGCAGTGTTTTAACGAGCTCAAAAAGCCCATCTTTGGTGATAATTTGACCCTTGCCTTGCCATAAATATCTTGAATGACTTGTTTCTACCTCGTCCAAGGCTGGAATATCAGCAGCCGCATGTCACTATTAGTGCGATCCCTCTGTCTGGCTTTGGTGAAATTGTGGGCATTGCAGTATGACATAAGCCCTCTAGTATTCAATGATTGATGTATGGATTGTCTAGTCGAATACCTATCTAGTTTCTCCTCTAATGCTGCGGAAGGTATTTCTCAGGGACACCAACTTCACCCACGTCCACGCCGTTGACAGTCCTTTCAGACGCCAAAAGAACAAAAATTACTCGAGCCGGCTTGTCAGTCAGGTTATTCCATTGGTGCATAGTCTAGTGCGCTCAGTTAGTTCATGCGCAACGTCTAGAGGGACAACAACTTACGGCTTGCTGTACCACTAAATCGCCTGCCCTAACAATGGTTCGTGAACCGTCTTCTAGAACCAACTCCAGTTCTCCTTCAAACACAATACCGTAGTCGAGAGATGCAGTTCTATGGTTGTGTCCTTTGGAGTTTGCTGGGAAATCCACAACCCGGATGAGAGAGCCAGGAGTGTAGATGACTGGCGTAGAGCCAACTGGGTCTTTGTCGACGAGCTCAGCAGGATACTTGGAGTTCTGCCAGAGAGTCACTGCGTCACTGGCAAAGGCCGAGACGGGCTGGAGCTCGGAGTCGGAGAGCAGTGCCGAGGTGGCTCCTTTGTGGTAGGTGACCACTCGTCGAAGAGGAGTCTTGGCGCCGAGACCCATGTTGTCAGATGTTTTCTATCACTCTGGTATGAATTTTGTAGTTTATCACTGATTCTAGAGACTATTAAATACTATATAGATATATATCTAGTTCGTACACGACCGAAGGAAGTGTTTCTATGGTGTGGAGTCTGATAGCCGTCCCAGACCACAACATCCGGCTTGACCACACGGCTCCACACAAAAGGGCCTTTGCTCGGCAAGAATGGTCTTTATATATCACGCCCAGCCTATGTATTCCAGAGCTCGGAATTGGTCGTTCCTTTTGGCCGTGCTGCCAAAGAGTGAGGGCCGACGTAGCGAAATGCTTTTCGTTAAACATGGGGTGGAGGTTGCCGCAAAGCTTCTTGTGTTGCCTCGGTTTGCAGTGATGATGTCTGGATTATCTTTCGTCGATGAATCTCGCCTAGAACAGGGAAATTTGATTACACGTGAGAATAATTGAAGACGTAGGATCGGCATCCAAGATCAGGTGGAAAATAACCTATGGTCCATTTAAAAAAAAAAAAATAGTTTTATGGCTATTTATAAACATCGATATTGTCACAATAGTCTCAGTACAAGATAAAAGCTATATACCCAAGAAATCACACGCGCTTAAAGAAATGCTGGCTTGCACGATGAATGCCCACCGAAGTCCCCGAAATGGCGACCAGCGTCAATGCCAACCCGACAATTAGTCCGCGCTCAAAGTAGCTCAGCCTGCCTCCCTTGGGCTGCTTGATCTTCCCGAGCCGTAGCGTTTGCGACATGAAAGGCCAGAGAGCTTTAGCACGAATAGCAATCTCTTGAACAGGTCGGAGAGGTTCTTGAATAATGGGCTTGTTCACGGAAAAGTCCTCCCTGGAATACAGCGGCCGGCTGTCAGAGACTGATGAGGAGGACGGCGCAACGGTGACTGGTGTGGAATAGCGGTTAGCAGTGTTTCAGGTGCAGCATCTGGTGACTGTTCCTACCAAGTGACCACTGGGGAATGGCGTTGATAAAGACTTGGAGAGTCTTGCTGAAAGCTGCGACATAGAAAGATGACTTGGCTGCACCAAAGATGTATGTCGCCTGAGAGGGAGCGCTGTCGTTTCTGTTACTGTCGTGTAAGGATCAGCTGAACTCATGATATAACATTCTGTTTGTAGACTTACAGCTTGCTCAGTATATCGATGCCGTGATCCAAACTCCGAGTTGGGATCAGTAAAAGGCCGTTGTGGCTCTCCGTCAACAAGTCCACCACTGGAGAGATGGACTCGGCTGTCAATGGGCTGACGAAAAACGAAAATGTTAGACATATCATATGAAGGATCTCGGGGCTCAGCTTACTCGGAGCTGCTCAATGCAATAACGGCAGGAAGTCGACCAGACGACTTCGCAGCTGTCCTTTTCGCGACAGAGGGAAACTTGGCCTTCAAGGCCTTGCTCAAAGCCTGAACATTGTCCTGCCCAGTGGTCAAATTCAACGACTCATTCGCTTTTGGGCCTGCGCGGCCGAGTAGTCCCTCAAGATCGGCGATGAGTGTTTCGTCGACGAAACAGAGCCTTGGGATTCTCAGCGGATTGTGGCGCGGACCGTCGATGGCAGCGTGGTAGAGATGAGTCGAGACAGCCTCTAAATCTTGAACGCTGCGATCGACAAACGCTGCAGAGATCCCAGAAGGTGGCGACAGAATCTTGACGAGTGGGTTCTTTTGGTACAGCTGCTTCAGCATGTTGGCCCTCACTGGCAAGTTTTGCAGAACGGCAACGCCGAAAAACTTGGTGCCGAGCTGATGTCGCGTGTCGGCCGAGTCATCGTTCGTGACGGCAATGGCTTCGATATCCAAGCTCTCTTTAACAAGCCTTTGCAGCTCCGCAGCGACTGTAGGAGCAGATCTGCTGGCCAGCACAATCACAGCACTTCCGGCGGCCACAGCTGCGGCCAGTGGAGCAAGTGTGCTAGCGACGGGAGAGTGGGGAGACGGGTCAATCAGAGTCGGTCCCAATGCGACCAAGTTGTCGGTCGCGCTGGCGCCTCTCTTAATTGAGGCCTCCTGGGATAAAGACTTCGGAAAATCGAGGCTATCGTAGAGGGTTTTGATCGTGTCGAGCGTCAATTGAAGTTCCTCGGCCGCACTCTTGTCCGTGATTTGCAGATCTAGCGACTGTTAGCCATGTCCACAATAATAATGTCATTGACTATCGCATACCTTGTGTAAGCGCTTTGATCAGGCTCGCCGATGACTTTTTGACGTTACTATGCAGAGAGGCAAGCTCTTTTTGTCGCTGCAGGACATTCTCGAGCCGGCCCTCAGTCCACGCCGCGCTGACGGTGCCATACAAGTCCAATACTGAAGCCATTGTGACTCGGTATCACGCAAAAAGATGATGAATGACGAGTCTCCATGATGAAGAAACTATTCGTATGCCTTTTGATATGACTGACTCTAGACGCGTGTTTTGATCAAACACGCCCGAAACTTCCGCGACGGCGAAGAGAGCGTCCTTCGGCTCGGCTCCACAGCGGGACCGAAGGCGGCATTGAACGTCTTCAATCTCGTGGGTATTGACTTCAAGGTTGGCGGATGCGATGGAGCTTGATGAAGAATAAAATCATTTCCTTTCCGGGCTATGGCGAAATTTCGGTATCATCTTTACCCATTGAAGCTTGAGTGAGAACCGTCAGAATGGGAAGCCTACCAACAACGAAAGGTGAGCTGCGACGGTGCTTACTGGAGGTCGAGCTAACCACGCGATTGCAGCGCCAACACCAGTGTTTCTCTTCGCCCATGGCTCGACCATGATGCTAGGCGAAGAGTCGGAGCCGGCCAAAATTTGGGAAGGAGTGGGCAATGAGTGTCTACGCCGTGGTATTAAGAGAATTGTCATGATGGTGAGCACAGCTTGTCAATTGAACCAGCGGTCATCCACTAACGTCCACAGGGCGCTCACTGGGATGCTCCCTACGACACAGTAGAAGTCAGCATGAACCCCAACGCCCAAAAAGACCCCGTGGGCAGCGTCACAGAAGCACGATACATGCCCTACAAGATGGTACCAGACCTTGAAGGCGGCCAGCGAGTCATCGACATGCTCCAATCAGCCGGCATCAACGCCAGAGCCAATCGCAAATTCGACTGGATCCACGACACATTTCTTATCGTTATCCGCATGTTCCCAAACTGCGTTCCGTTGCCGACAACCATTGTCTCCATGAACGCGCGATACGACCCCCACATGCATCTCAAGATTGGAGCTGCGTTGCGACCATTGAGATTTGAGGATACTCTCATCATCGGCAGCGGAGGCTCGGTACACAATCTTTACCGCAATCATTGGCAGTGGATGATTCGCTTCAAGGACAATTTCGCCCAACCCGTTCCCCCAGGTGACTTTGCATTGGAGTTCCGACAGGCTGTTGAGGATGCAGTCACACAAAACACTGGCCCCGCCTTGCGACGAGCCGTCACCAGGCTGATGAAGCACCCACGGTACAAGGAGGCCCATGGAACTGATGATCACTTCATGGCCACCATGTTTGCTGCTGGTGCCGCGGGAACAGAGGAAGACGTTGGGCCGAATACGTTTATGGGAGAGTGTTGGGAGTTGGTCAACATGTGCAACAGCCAGTATCAGCTCGGATCATGGGATTAGGTCACAGAGAGTGCATTCAAGTCGGGGGGGGCATCGTGTAAGCCTCATCTACAGTGACATTTGATGCAGCCGAAGCGAGAACTTTTGTTTAATATTCTATTCAATTTTTTCGCCCATTTTCTTTCGTCTTTCTCGACGGGCACTTCTTTCTCGTCGTGGTGATGCGAGCGACGGCGCCATCCTGACATTCTCTCCACACGTGTGCCATTTGCGTCGCGTCGTGTTCGTGGAACGCGGGAGAACATGCTGACGGAAAAGAAAATAATAAAATTCGCATTGAATGATAGATTCGCCCGCAGAATTCAAGCCGTCTTACACGGACGCATATTGATGTCTACAGTCACAAGAGCACATTCCTCTCATACCCAGGCCCTCCTTCGGCCCAAGTCTACCACTCGCCTCCAACCTTTGAAAGACCAACATTTGTGACTCGTCCAGCAGTGTTCCTCCAAAGTTGAGCCCAGTTCTACAAATCACTGTTAACCACTGGCATCAGCTCGGGTCCTTTTTCACGTACCGCCATGAAGCAACATCCCCAGACCATAACCCCACCAACAACAGTGAACAAAGTCGACTGTCGTCGCTCGTCCCAGTCGAGATTCCGGTTCGCCGGTCGATACTCAGGAATATTTCTAAAGTTTCCTGGCCACCATTCGGGATTGGAGACTGGGTACGGGACTGGAGGATGGGCAGCCAAAGTGGCATCGAAGTCGCTTGGTTGTGCTTCGCGTCGAATGTTGCCGGCGACAATCACTGTCCCAGGTTCCTCATCTCTCTGTCGGTTTGCAGGTGATGAGGAATGGTGGATTTCGTAGTCTTCGAGTAATCTACTCGTAGCTGCGTCGAGTCGAAGCTGTCTAGCCTCGCTGGCAGTCGTCGTTGTCTCAGTCGCCATGTTGCGTGCTAATGGTAGCTAGGTGAGTAAGTGAATCACGAATGAACGAAAGAAAATCGACAGAATCGGAACAGTATTTGGTATTTCCGTTCCTCTCAATGAGCAAGGATTACGTGCTTGAGATATTGAAGCATCTTTGTTTACATCGTCAACGGATGCCTCGGCTGAGTGTGGTCCCGAGCCGACATTGCCCACGCAAGCTCAAGCTGGTGAAAACGGCAATTCCGCGAAACATAATGGCTGTAGCATAAGTATAGCATATCAAAGCAATGAATTTGATACGAGATATCAACTCATCTTTCGATATTTACGTCATCGACAGCATTAACCTTCACTCGACAACATGGCTGAAAACAAGTTCCTAGAGGTCGACAAGGACAACTTTCCCTATGTCTTTATGAAGAATGTAGACATTCCTCTCAAGACATACGAAAAGGGAACTCTTCGGGCGAATGTCTTTCTACCCAAGGATGCCGCTCCTTACGGATCAAAGACTTATCCTGTCATTGCCACATACGGTCCCTGTAAGTGACGGTCATTGACCACATCTCTGTGTGAGTAGACTACTGACAGGCACAGATGGCAAGGATGTTCCATATGGCTCTTTTTACAAGAAGAGCTGGGAACAGGTCAATCCCGAGATGAAATCTGCCCACTCAGCTTGGGAGACACCCGACCCGGCCTTCTGGACGAGCAAGGGTTACATCGTCGTGAGAACTGATGAGAGAGGCGCAGGGCAAAGTCCGGGTCTTCTCGACACCATGTCTCGCGGAACTAGCGAAGCATTCTTTGACGTTGTTGAGTGGAGTGCTGAACAGGAATGGTCTTCTGGTAAGGTCGGACTTCTCGGTATCAGTTACTATGCTGGAACTCAGTGGCGAGTTGCTGCTCGACAGCCAAAGGGATTGGCTGCTATTATACCTTGGGAGGGCATGAGCGACTACTATCGTGACAGAGTCCGTCATGGTGGCATTCTATCCGATAGATTTATCAGTAAGTCCATTCAGCTGAGTCACAACAAAGCTCTACTAACACTCTTGCAGAGTTCTGGTGGAACAACGGCGTCAGCCCAAACCAGTATGGCAAGCCTGGCCGTGCAGCCCGGAAGTGGGGTCAGGATACTCTGGAAGGTGATCTCGATGAGGAAACACTTCTCAAGAACCGTAGAGACCAAACGATAGATACAGCAGTTCACAAGTTCCGTGACGATGAATACTATCGTACGCGGAACTTTGACATGGAAGCGATCGAAACTCCCCTGCTTAGCGTGGCCAACTGGGTAAGCTCTCATTTCCATGCTGAGTAGAATTGCATCTAATACTTGTATAAAGGGTGGAATTCTTTTACATCTACGAGGAAACGTCCTCGGCTGGATGCGTGCCAGCTCCAAGTACAAGTTCCTCCACTTCATCGTCGGACGACACGACCTCCCCTTCTATTATCCCGAGTCAGCCGAGCTTCAACTCTCCTTCTTCAACTCGTTCCTCAAGGACAATGACGCCGATGGTTGGAAGACGGGGCAACAACCGAGAGTTCGCCTGTGCCTACGCAAGGGAGAAGCTGGTGTCGATGACCCAGAGCGCGAGAGGAGTTTCCCCAGCAGGGACGAGACAGACTGGCCCTTGCCTGGAACTGAGTATACCAAGTTCTTCTTGACGCCAGAGAATTCGCTCAGCAAGTCGCCTTCCGCCAAATCTGGACCCATCCAATATGATGCACTGAAGGGGTGAGTCTGCAAATCCAATTCTCAAGATCTACAACTGACATTCGCTCTCAGTGAGCCCATCACTTTCAGGTACACTACCCAGTCCAGCTTGGAGATCACTGGCCATATTGTCGCCCACCTGACTGTGTCGGCATCGCGCAAGTCACCAGACTCTCCTCCACCATCAGACATCGACCTCTTCGTCACTCTCCGTAAGCTAAATAAGGAAGGCAACGAGGTGTTCTACACGGGCACAATGGGAGACCCCGTCCCCATCGTCAAGGGTTGGCTCCGCGTTTCTCTCCGCAAAGTGGATACAGAAAACGAGTTCCACAAGAGTTTCCTGCCTTATCGTAATTACTACGAGAGCGAGGTTCAGCCTGTGGAGGAGAACCAGAAGTACGAGGTTGATGTCGAGGTCTGGCCAACAAACGTTGTCTTGGAACCTGAAGAGACTCTGGTTCTGGAGATTGCAGGCCATGATACTCAGGGCGTGGGTAATTTCTCTCACGATCACGAGGATGATAGAAGCCCCAAGGCCTTTGATGGGCTGAATACTGTGCATGTTGGTGGGGAAGCGAGTTGGTTGACCCTCCCGGTTATCAACGGCAGTAAATAGACAGCCAGCATAGCACCACAAGACCAATTGTTCCTTCAAGAGATTCATACTCGTATTAGAAGCATCATAGAATTCTATGTGTTAGAATCGAGTTGTCTCGCGCACCATTTTACCTTCCGAAGTTCTGCATAATCCTTGGAGACTGCACCTTTATCTGCGACACAATTCTTATCATCGCCATCCTCTTACAGAGCCAAGCCCGCAGATAACTGATAATTAGCGGCGCCTCGACGCCTCTTTACGCCCTGTCACCTTGTCAAAATGTCAAGCCCCACGCCAACCCCTCATCGTGACGTCCGAAGAGGGCGCATTTAACCCCGCCAGATGTCTTGAGATCCTGCAACTTTCAGATCTTCTCCTAAGTTTGTCCGTTACCAAGTTGCATTCACAAACGACACTTCAACATGGGCCTCGTCATCCCGACGGCAATCGGGGCCCTGGCCTTGTTACTGCTCTATCACCATGTCTTGCACCCGGCCTTTATCTCCCCTCTACGAAAGCTGCCAGCAGCACATTGGACATGTCATTTCAGTTCCATCTGGATTCTGGCGGCCCGTTTATACAGGCGAGAGAACAGATCCTTGCACGAGGCGCATATCACACTCGGCCCTGTTGTTAGAATTGGGCCTGCGGAAGTGAGCGTCGACGGCGTCGAGGGCATGCGAGTCATATACCAAGGAGGTTTCGAAAAGGGCTTTTGGTACAGCGTCTTTTCAAATTACGGGTGAGTAGCATCAATAGGACTTCTGTTCGTAGCAGACAATCTGACTTGACTCATAGCGTCCCCAATATGTTTTCTACGGGCTCGTCCAAACATCACTCGGCCCGGAAACGCATGGTAGCAAATGTCTATTCCAAGTCATACCTTCAGTCGTCGCAAGCGAGCAAGGCTCAGATGTCTCACATTGTCTTTCAACGGCTCCTGCCGGCGCTCTCGGAACACTCATCCAAAGACAAGTTGGTGTCCAGTAGCTCAGAGAACGTCGCAACTGCAGCTCATGCAGATGTCGAAGTTTTTGGTCTTTTCCTCGCCCTTGCTATGGATGTCATAACTGCATATCTCTTTGGCCTCTCGAATGGCACAGACTTCATTCAAGACGAGCAATACCGTCAGTCTTGGCAGGAGATGTACCTTGCTCGCGCCAACTATCCATTCTGGACGCAAGAGGTACCCAACCTGACCGCGGCTTGTGTGCGTTGGCTCCCCTGGCTCAGACTCTACCCGAAATGGGTGGATGAGTCAAATGCCAAACTCTGCCAATGGAACTTGAATCTCTGCCAAGGAGTGACCAAGAAAGCAGAGCAAGATACTACGCAAGGCCGATCGCAGCAGGGAAAGGCCAGCGCGGAACCATGTGAAGAGGCTGTTGTGTTCAATGCCCTGCAGTATGGGATCGACCGCGAGCTCCGAACGAATGGAGAGAAGAGCATCCTGTACAGAACGAGTATTTGCGAGCGGGAGCTTGCTGTAGCCTCTGAGCTTATGGATCACTCACTGGCAGGTCATGAGACTACGGGGATGGTTCTCACATATGCAACATGGCATCTTTCAAAATCTCCGGATCTACAAGAACAACTTCGTTCTGAAATCATCTCCATCGGTTCCTCACTCAAGCTTGGTCGGCCATCTACAGTCGAGGCTCACGAATTCGAGGATACAAAGTCCGGCCCAAGCCTACCAGATCTTAAGGCCCTGGATGCACTGCCACTTTTGAACGCAATCGTCATGGAAACTCTTCGCCTGCATGCGCCTATACCTGGACCCCAACCACGCGACACGCCCAAGGAGGGCTGCAACATAGCAGGCTATCACATCCCCGGGGGCGTAAGAATCGCATCGATGGCTTACAGTCTTCATCGTGATCCAAAGGTTTTCCCGCAGCCCGAGTCATGGAAGCCGGAGCGGTGGTTGCCCCAAGATGGTACGGATATGGAGACGAGTCATCGTGAGATGCATCGGCAATTCTGGGCTTTCGGGAGTGGAGGCCGCATGTGCGTTGGCTCCAACTTTGCTCTGAATGAGATGAAGGTCATTCTTGCTGCTATCTACGCCAATTTCCGGACAACTATTGTTAATGACGATGGAATTGAGCAAGAGGACGCCTATACAGCGAGGCCGGTTGGGGAGCAGTTGGTCTTGAGGTTTTACACGTTAGATGCTTAAGTGTCGAGGCCTGGTCAATGATTTCGAGGCTCATTTCTTATAGGTAGGGGGCTATTATATGAAGCCCAAAGTGCTACGATCACCAGAGGACTCTTCATTCCGCACTGAACTCAATGGCTAGTTTGCGTACTTACGTGTTGGTGTAATTTTCATCACCATCCACGTTTTTAATTTAAATATAATAGTTAACATCTCATATGTCAGAAATGTCAGTTATGGGTCCTCTAAGCCTTTTACTATCATTCATTACCTACTGCTCTTGTATAAAAAACATCATTCCCCGGATTCCGAGGAAGGTATAGGGTAAGAATCCCGGCGCCGACCCGAGACTGTGGGGCCGGGTTTGCCGATGCCCGGTGTGGAGACGGGTTCTGGAGATCTTCTATTAAGCAGGCTGGGAATGCTCTTCCCAGGTCGATCGCATTTTTCGGCGTAACTACTTTGGTTTAACACCTGACCGGAGCTTTTGCGAAAAGTAACCACTGGGAGCCGAGAGAATACGGGAAAATAAGTCCCAATGCCGATGCTTCAATTCTTCCTCAGCTATAGCGTTGCTATAGGCATAGCCCTGTGTGCTTTCTACGTATGTCCAAGGTTGCAGATGCTTGCGATTCTCTTCCCTACTCTCCCATTCCACTTGACTAAAGTTTTCAAGGTTATTTATAAGGCAAAGGTGGCTCTTCTTGGGCCGTTATCTGATGTCCCGGGACCGGTTGTTGCACGATGGACAAACCTGGTGCTCAAGTACCACACCTTGTCGGGTCGCCGTATACAATATTTGGACTCGCTATTTTCGCGTTACGGTTAGTTGACCATGGCAAGGCGTACCTTGATGTACAAGACTAAATATGTATTTTCTAGGCACCGTGGTTCGGGTGAGTCCCAATGAAGTGGGCATCAATAGCCCCGATGCAGTCCGGATCATACAAAAAGTATCCGGCGGCTTTGGCAAGTCTGCCTGGTACGATATGACTGGTCCAGGAATGCTTGGCATGAGAGACCGTGGGAAGCACTCGCGACGGCGCCGACTCTTGGCTCATCCTCTGAGCAACTCCTCCTTGCCAGCCTTTGAACCGCTTATTCAGGCCAAGGTAGACTTGGCCATGGACCAGATGGAGACCGAAAACAGAAAGCTGGGTTACACAGATGTTCATAAATGGTTCAGCTTTATGGCTACAGATATTATTGGTGACCTGACTTTTGGCAGCTCCTTTAGAATGCTGGAGCAAGGAAGAGTGAGTATCATTGCTACGCATATGACTGACTCAGCTAACACATCCTTAATAGAGAAGTCAGTACGTGGAAGATCTCCAGGCTGTCATGCCGACAGTTCACAAACGGATCGAGCTCGCACCATTTTTTGACATGCTCTTCTTGCTTCCACTTCCCCAGATCCGACAGGTCACTGCCAGATTTCAACGCATCATGAGCTACGGGAGAGAGTCCATTCGACGCTTAAAACTCGCCCAGCAGGCCGGAACGCTGATCACGCCATTCTTCTTTGACAAGATCATGAACCCGAAGGATAAGGAGAACGCCTTGACAGATGTTGAGATGGAAGAAGAGGCCGCGGAACTCATGGTAACCGGAACTGACACGACGTCAAACACACTGACTTACCTGGTATGGTCGGTCCTCAAGGATCCAGCGATTCGGAACAGACTCGAAGCGGAGATTGGAAGACTCCCTGGAAACTTCAAAGACTCTGACATTTCCAAGCTGAATTACCTAAACGCTGTCGTTCAGGAGTCTTTAAGGATGTACGGTGCTGCCTCTGGTTCACACTCGCGAGATGTTCCACGTGGCGGTTGGGAGGTTGGAGGATACTTGATCCCAGACACGGCGACAGTTCTTACTCAAGCATATTCTCTGCACCGGCGGCCTGAAATATTCCCAAACCCGGATATGTAAGCTGACTCTTGTATTCTCTTCCAAAAAAACCGATTGGTTGACACAATCCCAAGGTTCAACCCCGACCGCTGGCTGAATGCTACGCCCGAGATGCAAGGGTCTTTTATTCCTTTCGGAGGAGGGCCTCGAAGTAAGCGAACATTTGTGAAGATTAAGCCACTTCTTACTGATGACTATAGTTTGTGTTGGCATCCATCTTGCGTACATGGAGCTCCGGTTGACGACGGCTGCCTTCTTTCGGAAATTTCGAGGCGCGACAGTGCATCCGTCTCTGACGGAAGATGATATGGATCTGGAGAATTACACGTTGATTGCTCCGAAGGCGCACAAGTGCCTCATCAAGCTGTAAGCGATAGCCTTGGAGAATGCAAGGTCTTGGCATTAGGTAGCAGGACATATCAGATACCATAGGACCAGGCACATAGCAGGAGGCACATTGATGGCCAGCACAGTAATTAAGTTCTTGTTTTTCATGATATCGAACCAAGTGCCTTTGTAGGGTGATTATAGTGTAGTTAGAGCACAGAGGTGAAAGACACCGCAGCCAAAGATGGATGCTCTCCTACTTGTCGCCAATTGAGCGAGCCAAACCCAGCAACCAGCCACTCCCAGACCAGCCATCGCCATTCCAACCAGGAACCCACTCCTTTCCAAGGAGAGATCCAGTCAAAGTCCTGCTCCAGTCTGCCCCAGTCTCACCCCGCACTCTAACCCCATGAGTTGGTCATGCTTGGCCAAGCCGCTCGGCTCCACGTCAACGACCGTCGCGGGGAAGCTCCACCACCGCCGGGACCGTTCCGAAGACAGACATGGTCTCGAGGCGGGTTTATTTATCAGAGCTGACCACGGTAATGAGTCTTTTTGCCTTCATGTTCTTTACACGATAAAGAAGCCATCCCCATCAAATTTTGTCGCGAACCGGGCCTTCTTTTTGCAACTTTTACACCTCAACAAACCTCCAAGCTTCCAAGCCGACAAGATGGGCATCAACCGTGTTGTTCAGTTTCAGTTCAAGTCTGATGTCACCGATGATGCCATTGACAAGGTACATAGTCACCATTCTAAGTCTCTACGGTTTTCCATGGCTTACAAGGTTGGACCTAGGTCTCATCCAAGATCTTGGCGTTGAAAGACGGCTGTCTCCGTCAAGAGTCCAAGAAACCGTACATCCAGTCAATCCAAGGCGGCGCAGACAACTCCCCCGAGGGACTTCAGGTACGAAAAACCCTTCATTCTGATTATCGCAGCTCTTCAGTCACATAACTGACATGGTAAGAATAGGGAGGAATCACTCATGCATTCGTCATCCAATTTGCGGGGACCGAAGACAGGGACTACTACGCACTCAAGGACCCCGTCCACCTCGCTGTCGTGGATGAGCTGGGCCCTATGGTAGAGAAGGTTCAGATAATTGACCTTCCCCGGAACGACTAAGCATCTATCGGCGACTTATTATGGGACATGTTTGTGGATGCAAGTAGAGCCTGATTAGAAACACGCGACAATAGAATAGCGCCATTCAGATACACTTGTTCAAACCCCTATTCGTACTTAAGCCCGAGCTATACTCACAGTCTCGCACTTTTAAACCCAACAGCTTCAACAGGAAGGGGCAATGAAGCCTCATGGGAAGAGACACTTGGCCGAGACAGTTTGAGGTACCACCTACTCATACAAGGTGTCACAAGAAATCCAGAATGTCATTAATTCCCAGCACCCTGACGCTTCGATGCCGAATAGCGAGAAACATGATCAGCAACCGGCACTTGAACCGGGTATAGCGTCGGAATGTCGGAATGGCGCGGGGTACAGATGAACGTATTGACACTCGGCTCCACGGCAGAGATTTGTAAGAGAGATCAAACCCGAGGCTACCTATTCGCAGGGATGGGTTCGATCGTGCGGGGAAAGTAGATTGCTCTGATCTATAGAAAAGAGACCTGTCTGACATGGGACTTTTTGAATGAAACAGGTCAGTCTAGCATTGAGTATACACGACACCATGGCGATCATTACAGAGATCACAGGTCTCATTCGGGAACACCTCCCAGTCATAGCCGTCGTTCTTGTACTAGTGCACCTTACCCGCAACTACTTCACTCGAGGCGTCTCTGAAGTTCCTGGGCCGTTCCTCGCCAGGTTCTCTAACCTATGGAGGTTCATTGATGTAGCGAGAGGAAAGGCGGAGGAGACACATCTCAAGCTGCACCAAAAGTATGGGCAGTACGTACGTCTTGGGCCCAACTTGGTAAGCGTCCAGAATTTGGACGCGTTGAAGGTCATCTACGGAGTCAACAAAGGGTACACAAAGGTGAGTGCTGCATGTCTTGATGTCGAATCGTTGATTGACTGTTTCTCAGACCAAATTCTACGAGCCGCAGCAGCAGCTCTTCAACGGGAATCCCACGCAAACTCTCTTCACGACACTGGATGAAGACTTTCACGCCAGAATCAAGCGTCCAATCTCGTCGGCTTACTCCATGAGCACATTGACCGAGTTTGAGGTCTTTGTGGACAAGACTATCCACACCATGATTGGTAGACTCGATGAGTTTGCTAGAGATGGTCGGGTCTGCGATATGGCCATTTGGCTGCAGTACTGTATGAAAATCCCTTTAGTTCAAGAGACCAGAAGCTGAAATGTCTTTCTAGATGCCTTCGATGTCATCGGAGAGCTCACCTTTGGCAAGCCTCTCGGCTTTTTGGAGCAAGGAAAGGATATCAGCAACATCATGCTCTCGCTTGAGAGAAATCTGGATTATGCCGGCATGGTAAGTGAAAAAGGCGCCTGTCTGATATATGTCTTTGCCCTTCAACTAACAGCCCTTCAGGTCGGACAGATGCCCTGGCTGGACCATCTCATCGTCAAAAACCCCATCAGGCGCTTGATGGGCGGCAGCGCGACTGGAGCCATTGCCAAGTTTGCCCGCGAATGCCTGGACGAACGACTAGAACGTGGTGATACAAAGTCCGAGAAGCCTCTACGGCGTGATTTTTTGACTCGTTTTCTTGACGCCAAGGTGACGCATCCGCAAGTCGTCACTGATCGACAGGTCTTTTCGTACACCCTTAGTAATGTCAATGCTGGCTCCGACACGACTGCAATCTCACTCCGAGCAGTGCTTTACTACCTGTTGAAGAATCCTGTTATCATGGACAAGGTGTGCAAGGAGATTGAACACGCACACAGCGAGGGCAAGTTCTCTATCCCAGTGACCTGGAAGGAGAGTCAAGAGCTACCATACCTTGACGCCGTCATCAAGGAGGCTCTTCGCCTTCATCCCGCTGTGGGCTTGCTCTTGGAAAGGATCGTGCCTGAGGGTGGTCTCCAGCTGCCAGACGGACCTTTCCTCCCTGCCGGAGCTGTGGTAGGGATCAACCCTTGGGTCATGCACCACTCTCCCATCTTTGGCGAGGACTTGGACTCTTTTATACCAGAGAGATGGCTCCAGGTTGCAAATGAGACTAAGCAACAATATGATTCCCGAAAAGCTGAGATGCTTGGTGCCACGTTCACGTTTGGTGCTGGATCTCGTACTTGCATTGGCAAGAACATTAGCTTGCTGGAGATTTACAAGGCCATGCCGACTCTTCTTTACCTCTTTAAGGCAAGTATACGTTTCCACATTTTTACCTGTGCAAGTTCTAGCTAACCGCATTGTGCAATAGATCGAGTTGGATGAGCCTGAGAAGGAGTGGGAGACGTGTAACGCTTGGTTTGTTCGTCAGAAGCATATCAATGTTAGGTTGACCAGAGTGAGGTAATGAAGACAATGGGAAAATTTAGTAATTATTCTACCTTACCTTTTATAGTTTCAGTCAATCAAATTGTGTTGTAGCATGAGGCTATGAGCTTCCTTTTCAGCACCGTACCCACGTTTAGTGTGGCCCCAAAACTTCGCCATTTATTCACAAGAGCTCACCTGATTCATGGCAGTTTTAACACTGGAACCTGCCTAAAAATTAAATCCTTAGATTACATTGTCACCATAGAATGGTTACATCATCGCTAAGGACACTTAACAAATCCTTGGAGGGAAATCCCTGGCCGAACGCTTTGAGTCATCTACTATATAGGGCACCATAGGTATAAACTAGAAGGTTTGGCCTTTTTCTTGAAGCAGGATTGTCCTGTTCTATCTAGTAACTCTATTTACTCGAATCTTGGCTGCGAGAATTTCTTCAGAGATTCGTCTAGTGCTGCAACTGGGCCAGCCTTTCCGCAATAATCTTTGACGCCTTACGGCCACTGACTCGCTGCCACCATGCAGTCACGTTCTTTCGCGAGTCAATCAGCTCTGGGAGCTGCAGACGGTATGTGATGAAGCCAATCCAAGGAATATGGAACAGGTCCACCAAGCTATAGTTCTGTAAATTGCCGAGTTAGTTCTGATGTCTAACACCGAGATTGGGAATTTCGAACCTGGCCAGCAAGATAATCCTGCTTCTCCAGGATTTTCTCGTAGTAGTCAAGAACTTGGACAAGCTGAGCCTTGTGTTGAGCAACAATTCCCTGATCCGTCTCTCCCAGCGATAGCACCCTTGGCCACGTTAGTGAGTTCATGTTAGAAGTCTAGGAGAATGGCAGCATACTTCTTGAAGATGAGCTCAAAGCTAAGAGTTGAGACACTGGGCTCAAAATACGCGTACTCGACACTAGCAGCCTGCTCGAATGCTGCTAACGCTTCAGGGCTGGATGGTGGGCCAAGAGGGGAGGAGTGCTTGTTGACGAGATATCGGCAAATGGCTCGCGACTCAAAGATCTTCAGATCACCATCTTCATATGCCGGCACCTTTGCAAACGGATGATGTTCTTCGACATAAGTTGGGCTCTGTGATTATGCGTGAGCCTTCAGTTTTTAACCAAGCCACCATTCTTCAAATGAACTAACCCGATGCTCTGCCTTGGCAAAGTCCAAAGTTTTCAAGTCATACTCAACTCCCAGCTCCTCGAGAAGCAACAAGACTCTGCGAGCTCTGGTAGAAGGAAGGTTTCCGTAAACTGTGGGAGTCATAGCGAAAAGAACTGTAGCGAATCTCGTATTACTGCGTGATGCATATAAAGCAGAACAGATACAGGCTCAATTAGAGGCACTAAACTGTAGATATACCTAGAAGCTAATCGATTCTATTCCCTCACGTTTATTATGGGCACGTGAGCCCCGGATGTGGTGTTTTGGTCGGAAAGTCGTGGAGCCGGTGGTTCCGAGCCGGCATGTGCAATCTCGGAAAGGGGTTCGAGGTCGGCTATTGTTATCCTGGGCATTCGGTATCCCACAGGTATCCATGCCTCCCACTCGGCATGAGGTGCTTTGTGAATAGTGGCATATTTGGATCATAAACCCTCGCTCATACGTTTCTTCTACTGCATCAATGAGATGAGCGTATCACCGCTTCAGATTCACTATTCCCACTGTGCGGTGAAGTCATGTTTAGATCAAAGAAGGCATTCTTCACGATCTAATAGACACCAAGTCAAGCACTCGGACTCTACCTCAATAAGCCGCGTTTTGTTTGCATACGTCAACATGATCTTGGCCAGGGGTAAGCGTCAGAGTAGAGTTATCAGATTAAATCGCTTGAGTTTGAGCCTCATGCGTTCGTCATGGACCAAGCCCTACCAAAGCTTTCAACCTTCTCTACCTAGCCTTCTCAAACGCAGAAGCATCACTCGCTCGAAGCCTCATGAGAATCTGCGAATACGTAGAACTAATACCCCATCCCTTCAACGACTTCATCAGCGTAACCCCATCGTCCAACAATTTGCCCCGTCCCTCAGCACAGAGCAGGTTCCCGATTCCCGGCAGCTTGACTCGGCTCCACCCAATACCAATCCAACTGTTATTGTCCATGCCCTCCAGTGGCTTCGGCCCCAGTACCACAGCCGGTGCCGGCCGCGGATACAAGAACCCTTCCTGAGAGCGCTCAGATAGCGCGGAGTAAAGCCACAGAACCAGCACAGCTCTGAGAAGGCTGACGGGTGTGCCAAAGTGTGTGCAGTGACTTGATCGTACGCCATGGAGGATCCTCGCTGCATAGAAGCATCCCAGCCTCCCTTGGCTTGAGGAACTCTTCCACCGCTCTCCGATCTGCGACCACTCTGTATCATCCACTTTGCCGTAGATGCACCGCACAACAGTGGGAAGCAAGTTTGCAGTGGGCGTGTTGTGGGTCATCAAAGCGCTCAGAGCCATGATTTGGTGGGTTGTCGCGGCCTTGACCTCGTCTATGGACTGCTCGATCTGCTCGTTCTCGGTCAAGGTCAAGAGCTCGTTGAGAACGTTTGCTGCTAATAGCTTATCGTGGTAGGAAAATCCCGGTACACCAAACTGGCTTGAGCTCTGATCTTTTATGACGTCTGACAGATGCTGGAGTATGACTTGTTTACCGAGGGTGTTGGTCTTTGACCAGACAGATTTCCAGGTGTCGTCGGCGACAACTCGCTCCATGGTTGGGAGTCCACCAGAGCCATTGTTTTCTGCACAATCAGCGTTGTTTCAAGTCAATAGAAGCTTGCAGAAAACTCACCGAGCATAGAAGGGAAACTTGCCCAGCTTTGGGCAGTTGAGGCACCCCAACGATCATCCGGCTGCGGCAAGGAAATTTGCAGCTCAGACAGCCTCATCAAACGGCTAAGGTCAAAGTGGGCATCAAAAGCCGAGTCAATAAGCTGGGACGTTATTAGCATGACATGCTGAGAGAGAGGCAGGTCAACTCGACTAACCCAGACTGCGAATCCCGCTCTCCTTCGTTCTTCATCAAGAAGCCAGATTTGCCACTTTTGCGTCCTCGGCAGCTGCAGCTGAGCAAACTTTTCCATCGGAAACATGTTTGTGAACAGCCTTTTTCGACGTCCGAGGGTTACGGGAAGAGCTTGCAAGAACTCGGCGATCTCGAGAGACCTTCGCTCTCCACCGTACATGATGCCGATGTGGTTGAGAAGAATAGTCTGCGCCATCCAGAGCTCTCTTCCGTTGGAGTTTTGGTTCTCGCACTGGAACTACGTCAGCATGACCGTGGAATCGAGTCTTTTGCTGTCGCTTACCATGATAGCAGCTTGTCGACGGCTGAATTCGTGCATCGCCCTGGAGCATTCATACGCCCCTTTAATGCCAGAGAAATGAGCACCGAGAGCGGCCACCGTGAAAATAAGCAGCCAGTGTCTCTTTGACGCAGAAAATGTCGACTTGTGCAAAATCGGCAACACCGGATGGAAGAACTCAAAGTACAGCTGTACCCAGGCATTCAGCACCGGAGCAGGCGGGATGGCGATGTGTCTGAACCGAGGATAGCTGGCGCTATTCTGCATCTCCAGAGCCGCTTGAGCTGCCTTTTTGCTGACTTCTTCGGGTACCTCCTCTACATGGGCGAGATTCTCCTGGTCGATCTCCTCTGCCGTCAGATGGGACAGATCGGGGAATGAAAGTTGGGCGTCAACTTCTATGTTGACAGGGTGGTATTGTCTCGGTTCGACAGCGTCTCTGTCAAGAGCGGGTGAGTGACTGCGGCTGTACAGCTCTGCCACAGCCGATTGATCGATCATGGAGGTGGGAGTCGGATTTGCCAGGACAGTAGGCTGTTGCATCCTGAGTCCTGCTTGATCGAGCCAGAGTTCGTTGATGGCATCGATCGAAGGCTCATTTTGAAGGAAGAATGGTGTAAATTCTTGCTCGGTGCCATAGTTGAGCCAACTCGTCGGCTCAAAAGCATCACCGAAGAGCAATGAGGGTGTGGGCATGTTTTTCGTCGGATCAAAGTCAAGAAACATGTCATTCCCCCCAAAATGCATCTCCGGTTGAGCCATGGTATTCACAGGATACTCGGGCGCTGAACTCGTCGGCATTTCGAGAAGCGGATCGATAGGCTGGACTTCAATGGTGAGATCGTCGACCTTAGGCGGTTCAGCATACTGCGCCTGGATAGGCGAGACATGCATATCCGACTGCGTGATCTCATAGGAATTATCGTGAACAGTCGCGGGCGGTGATAGCGGCGAGTGGGTGGCAATTGAGGTGGCGGCATTCGAATTGGTGTTGTTGTTCCTGTACCGCTTGGCTATTGTCTTGTCTGAGCCAGCTTCTGACATCTTGCGCTTCGCGGAGGGCTCGTAGTAGCACTCATTATCTTGACGCCGGCATCGTTGACATGGTCGCTCTCCGTCACACCTCACTTTGGAAGCGCTGCAGGGTTTGCAGGCCTGAGACACGCGACGACGGTCATTCTGGCGGTCACGATTTTCCTGGCGGTCTGCACTCAGATGGAGGGCTGTATGGTGACGAGCAAGCGAGTCCCTGGAAGGTCTCGTCAGTATACGGCAAAAATGAAGTCAAGGCAAACTCACACTCGGCCGAAGCTTTGCCCGCATTCAGAACATGAGAACGGCTTCTCCTTTGTGTGAGTGCGCAGATGGCGTTGGTAATGCTCCCTGCGCTGAAACGGCAGATTGCACGTCTCGCACAAGAAATCTGCCTGTGAAGTTCGTGGGGTCATTCTTAACAACGGAGAAGGTTATGCGTGAGGGTTTGCTTTGGAGTAAGAAGGCTTGATACAAGAGCTGCTGCATGTCCCTCTCTCAGCTTCAAACATCCGGCAAGCCGTTGCAACGGTAGAATCACCAGCGGAACTCGGCTTGATGCGTGCGAGCTTACCCATCCCTTTCCTCTTGTCCCCTGCCTCTCTACCCCGCGTTTCGTTCTCCGCGAACCCCGTGTGGAGTGCAGCCACTACCCCGGAATGTGGGCAACGCTACGAGGTCGAGATCGTCAATAAGGTTCCCGCTATTGGATGGCTTCATCCAGAGGACGGGGAGAGATGGAAGCCGTTGGTTGAGGTGTTGGACGGTTGGCCGGATGTTTGTCGCTCAAGCCGCCATTACAAATACTCGGACGCTTTTCTGCGTCCATCCTGACGTTTTCCCGCCCTCGTACACACTGTCAACATGTCTTTCTTGAAGACAGACACTCACAATTGACCAAGCCGTTTGTTACCTGTGGCAATCGGCTAACTCCATTTGTAGTAAGTCAAGTCCACCAAATTGCCAACACCCATGGTCGAAAATGCGACAACTTCCGAGACACGGGCGACTCGGGGAGTTGCCAAGTCCCGAGTCTAGCCATCCTCGGCGTTCGGAAGTCATTCCGAGGGCTCAACTTTTCTCCAGGCGATAGGATCTCGTGATGACATTGATCCCGGCAGATCGATCAATGGGGGCAAAATACGTCTGTAAAATGAACTTCCTGATCCAGGAATTGCCAGATTGAGGCTTTAACGGCATTTTTGCATCATCATGTCGCCCAGGTTGGGTCTTGGTCAGCCAAGGCGTGACCAGGGAGCAACTGAGATGTTAACATTGCCAGGGTTATTTCTTTGTCGGCGTCAATTTGGACAATAGGCTTTTGAAGTCCAAGTTGAGGATCCAGACATTGGCCAATGCTTTCACCCTTCATCATCGAGACAGGGGCATTTCTCATGGCCAGCAACGCATTCATTCGACTGGGATAGATATTAGAGAACAGCAAAAAACCCACAATAAAACGCTCTCATTCAGTCCTGTCGCCATGCACGACCACCTCAAGACGGCCTCTTAAAATGCGGCTTCAGCCCTGACCAACTATGCTCACTATACTCGGCCTGAACCTTCTGACATGTCCTCAGTCCCCACTCCGTAAGACCCAACATCAGGCTACTCTCAAACATGAACGCCATGCTGCCCTCCCCAATCTTCTGTGGCTTCAGCTCGGCATTGCTCGCCCTTTCAAAGCTGTCGGCATCAGGTCCATGGGCAGACATGACGTTGTGAAGACTGGCTCCAGCTGGTTGGAAGCCTCCGCCTGTCTTGGCATCGTATTCACCGCAGATGAGGCCCATGAACTCGGACATGGTGTTGCGGTGATACCATGGGGGTCTGAATGTATCTTCTTGGACTAGCCAGCGAGGCGGAAAGATGACAAAGTCTGCTACGGCGGTGCCGGGATGGTCGGATGGACCGGTCAAGACGGTGTAGATGGACGGATCAGGGTGGTCAAAGGAAATGCTTCCGATGACAGAGAAGCGACCAAGATCATACTTGTACGGGTAAACTATATGATGGTCAGCTTTCCCTCTTAGCTAGGGTTCGTTATTAAGTCACTTACAACTACACATCTGTTAGCTCTGGGTCACGTAAAGCGTTTCATCGCAGGGGACAACTCACTTTCCATGCCACGCCACCACGTCAAACGGGGTATGGCCCTGTTTAGCCACATATAGTTGGCTGTTGTACTTGTTGATGATGGTCCAAGTCGTGTTTGTATCTTCATCAAATGACGCCGTGGGGATCTGAAAGTCTCTGGGGTTCGCCAGACAGTTCGACCCAATTGGGCCCAGCTCTGGCAGGGTAAAATGTCCTTGATACAACTCAAGGATATACCCTCTTACAGGGCCTGCTGGCAACGTCACGCGGTACTTGATACCACGAGGAAGGATAGCAATCTCGTTTGGACGAACAAGCAGCCGACCCAGCTCAGTTTGGATATCTAATACTCCATGCTGGGCTACCACGAGCATCTCTCCGTCAGACGAGTACATGGCCGTGTTGGCGTCCATGTCACGTCCAGCAGCAAAGATATAGATACCCAGACCGACCTTGATAGTAGGATCCCCAGCACCAGAGACGAGCTTCAAGCCTCGAACCCAGTCGACCTGGTCGTCAATCTCAAAGGGATCCCATCGTAGCTGGTTTGGCACAAAGTCCAGTTTACCGTTGATCAATGGCTCAGTGACTTTGTCAAAGCGCTCAAAAGACGAGTGCGCGGCTGAAGGAAGAATTCTGTACAGCCATGACTGTTGATTCTCATGGCGGGGAGCCGTAAAGGCCGTCCCAGAGAGCTTCTCAGCGTACAAGCCATAAGGCGGCTTCTGGGGAGAGTTGGCGCCGATCGGCAACGCACCCTTGATGGCTTCAGATCTAGCGATAGTCTAATTAGTAATCATCAAGCATCATTTACAGGATATGACTTACTCGTGAAACGACCTAAAGCCGTTGAGGTACGTGTACTTCTCTGGGGTTACAAAGTTGGTGACAGGCATTTTGAGCTAGAGATGGCGGACTCGCTCAGATCGGTGTGTTATCATCAACAGCGGCAAAACATGCTTCAAAGCTAGCAATCTTATAATACTCAGATCTTCATCTGATCACTCATTCATTCTCATTATCCGTTCCCCGTATCCGTGAGTTTCCGCTTCCCCGCCTTGCCATGCACATGGACGACACTGAACTCGGAATGCTCGGAACTTGATTTGACGCAATCAGACTCGGAAAACAAACCGACAAGCATTTAGCATTACATCTTTCTTGAAGAACATTTATTGGGGAATAAACAAATGATCAGATCCCTTCTCGTTCAAAGGTTCTTGGTTGCCCTTGTTGATCGAAACATCACCATTCACCCCTCACCCTAACACCTTTTCTCCACACCTCTTTCAACATGACTTCTTGGTTGCCCATTCCTCTGGGAAGCCACTTTTCTCTGGCCAACATTCCCTTTGGAATTATATCAACAGTCAGCAAACCAATCAGACGGCCAGCTGTCGCCATTGGCAATCATGTTCTTGACTTATCCGTCTTTGCTAGTCAAGGTGGCTTCGCCAAGCTTGCTGATCTCCCCAAAGACAAGCTCAGCGTCTTTTCTCAGTCAACGCTGAATGACTTTGCCAGCTTGGGTAGGCCCCTACACAAGGCCACTCGAAGCTATCTCAATGATGTTTTCCGCCAGGACACGTCTTTCCCTGAACTCCTCAAAGACAACGAAGCCCTGAAGAAGGAGGCTTTGATCCCGCTTTCTGAGGTCGAAACGCATCTTCCTCTGAGGATTGGCGACTACACAGATTTCTTTGCTGGCCGCAACCATGCTCAGACTGTAGGCGCCCTTTTCAGAGGCCCTGCCAACGCGCTACAGCCAAACTACAACCACCTTCCGGTTGCCTATCACGGACGTGCCAGCTCCGTCGTCGTGTCGGGCACTCCGCTCCACCGGCCTTGGGGCCAGGTTCTCCCAAACCCAAAGGCTACTGAGCCTGTCTTCCAGCCATGCAACAGACTAGATATCGAGTTGGAGCTCGGCATGTTTGTATGCAAAGGCAACGACCTGGGGGTTCCGATCCCCGTGGACTCGGCTGAAGAGTACATCTTTGGCTATGTATTGATGAACGACTGGAGTGCTCGAGACATTCAGCAGTGGGAATATGTACCGCTGGGCCCGTTCAACGCGAAGAACTTTGGCACGACGATTAGCCCGTGGGTGGTTCTCGCAGATGCGTTGGAGCCTCACAAGACGGCTGGTCTTGTCAACGAAGCTGACCTGCAACAATACCTACGCGAAAAGCGACAGGATAATATTGTCGACATCAACTTGGAAGTATCTATAACCAGTAAGTCAACATCACCTCTACCGATGATAGCAAGAGCAGAGTTAACATGACTACAGCCGCCAAGGGTAACACGACAACTATTACTCGAACAAGCTCCAAGAACCTCCTGTGGTCTTGGCCTCAGATGCTCGCCCACCATTCCATCTCTGGTTGCAACATGCGAACAGGAGACCTTCTAGGCTCTGGTACCGTGTCTGGGCTAGACGCCGGGACACAGGGCAGTCTGCTTGAGCAGACTCAAGGTGGCAAGGTTGCGGTTCAGTTGGAGAACGGCGAGGAGCGAAAGTTTATCCAGGACGGTGACACTATTACTATTAAGGGATGGTCTGGAGAGGCTGAGGATGGTTTGATTGGTTTTGGTGAATGCTCCGGCACGATTTTGTCGGCTGTTCAACGTGGTTAGAGTGAAAGTAATTGGACGATATAGAATCGAGACCTCAATAGACTTTAACTTCTCCAGCGAGAAATGTCGTTATCAATTTCTCAAGCTGTGAAACTCCCCAAACTTGAAGCTGAGGATGATATGCATGAATAGTCCTCGGGTAATTTGTGCCACAATGATCGTTCCGTGGATGCTATGTTACTTGCGAACTCATCGATCGGGCTCCGTGAACCAATCGATTCAGCCGGTTAAAAGGCCTTACTTTGGTCAATTTGTTGCACCAACGTGTCCAAGCAAAACTCCCTTTTGCATTCCTCGATTCTCGAGTCATGAAACGTCATGCGCGGAATCATTCGTTGCGATTCCGAATCCGTTGATCGTAAAACTGGGGACATGCAGAGGGAATGCAGCTTATTCCGAGCGTAACCTGCAGGGCATATTTAAATGCCGATTCCTCCTTGCTCCGATTCCTACAATCCAAGTCATTCCTTCAAACCGCATCAATCATGGCAGGACAAATCACACGTGTCACTCTCTTCAAGATCCCCAAGGAGGAGGACCAGCAACAGCTGCTGGATCTTTACAAGGAGATGCCGCAAAAGGCAACAAAGGTTCGTAATTTCAATGCACACATCAAACCGTTCTCTAATTAAGTGTGCAAATAGGATGGGAAGCCATACATCGTCTCAGTCAAGGCTGGAAAGGCAGCGCCTGATCAACGGGCCCAGGGCTTCACCGTCGTTGCCTTGTCCACCTTTAGCTCGATAGACGACTTCAACTACTACGACACGGAGTGTGCTGCCCATGGAGACCTGAAGAAGTTTGCCAAGACGGTCAATCAAGGAGTTGCCATGGTGTTCTTTGAGAACGTGGTCGTGTAGGAAGGCTGATGATACATATTAATGAGTCATGACAACGCACGAGAGATACAACCAATACAATCAGATCAGCTCATATCAATCCTTGAAACCTTCGTGATATCTCTTCGCCTTCTTCCTCTGCAATCGTGATCTCCTGTCCCTCAGTATACTGGCCCGGTATGGGTTGAAAAATCGGCTGCCCCTGTCCGAGCGCGTCAAAAAGACTCAATAGATCGTCCCGCATCTGGTACATATCTGGGACAGAGTGGTTGATATCGGTATCAGGAAGCATCATCTCTCCCAAAGGGAAGTCAACATGATCGTGGACCGGCAAGTGGACATGCTCCTGGAACTCCTCACTGTTGACGTCCTGAGCCTCGAGCTCCTTGTCTCCTGCTTGCGACTCGCTAGTTTGGTCTTCTGCCAAGTGAGGTTTTGCTAGTTTTCTCATGCGTGGTATCAGACCACGGATAGATTTCCACAGTCTGCGGCTGATGATGCTGTGTCGAGAGAGTCCTCTTACTAGATCCGCTCCGTCAAGGAAGGTCTTTCGGCAAGGGCCAGCAAATGTCTCGGGGGCGTGACAGACAGCAAGGAATAGTACCGCCAAGGCACTGAGCAGGAAATTGTTGAAAGCGTTCTGTTGCCGCGAGTAGATATCTGACGTACTATGAAGGTGGACAAGGACCTGTATAGAGTCCTGGGCGATGTCGGCAACCAGCCACGCGATCCGAGGGCTAGCTGCGATGCTTGCGGCGCTCATCAGGTGATGCCGATAGATCAAGATCCTCACGTAGTTCCCACGGAGATACAACAAGGCGCGAAGCCGATGCAGCACTTGGGGTTGTGAGCGTGGTGCCAGGCCAAGACGAGGATGCCGCAGCTGGAGATGAGGAGGAATAGTCTCCAGCCAGTCCTGGGCGCATTGATCAAGGGCTGTTGCAGTGTCATCGGGAATAGTCTGTGAAGCAGATCCAAAGGGTGGAATGGCATCCCAGAGTTTGGAGCAGAGCTCGGAATAGCCAACCATGCACCTGAGATATGAATACTCATCATCCTAAGACAACCCAGTTAGTCGACCGTTGCTATATTTAGTTGAACAAGAAATAGGGACTCACAGGCTTAGGAAGCTCAGGATCGATATCCTTATCCACAAGTGCAAAAGACAAGCTGTTGCCAAAGCTCCATCGCCGATCAAGCACGTAGACGCACCAAAAGACACGGGTAGCAAGACGACGACAGTCAGGGTCCTTGAAGTTATCAAGAAGGCTTCGTTTTCGGTGAAGGCCCATCTCTATGGCTTCACGCGCAGCAATGCCAACGAGGCGCCAAGAGATCAGCTCCTCGTCGCAATGGAAGTGGTAGATGCTCTGTAGATGTCAGTTACATGGCCTTGTTTGTGGATTGGTTTACTTACCAGCATGCAAAGGAGTTGAATCTCTTTCAGATCAACCTCAGGGTACAACATGAGTGAGACGGTCCCCTCGACAGAATCGATGATGGCAGCGCTCAGGTCAGTCTTTTCATGCTCCTCAAGCACCATGCCAGTAGCGACGGCAATCTTAACAATATCAATGTCCTTCTTGGACAAACCCTTCATCGGCGTCTCTCCTTTCGGGGCGGTATACTCGGGAGCATTTCCGCTGCGAATAGCGTCAAGAATCTCCTGTGACCGAACCACGTACTCGCTAATGTCGATGATAGGATGGACTGACTCGACTTCCTCTTGGAAGACGATGAGAAACCTGCTGATCTCGCCAGCAGTGCATTGATCCCAATAACCCAGGTCGGTGATTATCTTGGCGGCAGCTGTTGATTCTATGGGGGATTGTGCACCGCTTGGAGGAAATGACTCATAGGTTGGTATACCCATACGGTTTAAAGACCGTTCACCAACGAGAATACCAAAGGCAGACCGTGTAGGTCCGACAAACTGAGGTTGCTTGGGTACATCGCCACGATAAGTGCTGAGAGGCGACTGAATATGAACGGTCTCACGAGAATGCGACGACACAGTATGTGCCTCTTGAGGCTGGTCCTTGAGCTCTCTCACGACACCCACAAGGTCGGCAACCTGCTGTCGAAGTTGATACAGCTCTTGAGTAAGGCCCTGCAGATGCTGGCTCCTATTCCCTGTCAGCTGCAACAACTACCGAGTCAACCGGGGCCACTCACTGCTCAAGCTTAGCATCCTTGGGAGGCTGATTGGCAGCCGCCGCAAAGACGCAGGTCAACCCACCAGCAATACACCTCTCGCAATTGGAGTCACCCGAAGGAATGCACTTGAGCTTCCGCTTCTTGCATTCATCGCTGCACAATGGCGTCAATATCGTCGATAACCGTACGATGCTTCTCAAACTCACCATGCCATGGACGTGTATTTTCCCCGTTTGGCGCGTCGGGCTGCCGACCCATCTGCCGGAGCCTCAGAGCCGGTAGGATTCCGCTTGCGCGGCTTGGAAGCCGACTCGGCCGCAGGGACGACAGTCTCAGCCTCGATTTCCATTGCCTCTCTTCTGTGTCGTCGAGTTCCGAGATGAGAGAAACACAAGGGAGGGGCTGCCTGGGGGTTATGGCCAGTGGCCGGGACCTCACTCGGAAATGTTCCGCAGTTCCGAGCAACACTAGTCGGGGCCTCGGATGTGGACGATCCCCCGCATCAACCGAAGGGTGATTGAAGCCAGACAAAGTAACTTTGAGGTGCGGAGAGTCATGGCTACTCGCGGATAAGCAATGACATGCTTCCGGGCTTTGTGTGGTATATAGAGAGTCCTCTCTGAGGATGAGGAGTAAACCTGTCAATCAAGCCTTCTTGGACAACTTCGCCTGCAAACATGACAATCGCCAACCTCCTCGTGTCCCTGAACGACAAGGTCCAAGAGAACAAGGGCCAGTCTGTTCTCTTGACGCTCGTTATTGCTCCGTTGATATACCTCTTTATCAACGAACTCGTCCGACACAATGCACGCATCAGCAATCTCCAAGGACCCTCCGGGCTTCCGTTGATCGGGAATATCTGGGATATCCATATCAACGCCGCTGAAAAGTATCGCGAATGGTCTAGAAAGTATGGCAAGGTGTATCAGATTCAGCTTGGCAATATTCCCATTGTCGTTGTCAACTCGGCCAGCGCTGCAAGGACCATCTTTGGAGCCAATGCCCAAGCCCTGAGCTCACGTCCCGAGTTCTATACTTTCCACAAGGTAGATGCGCAATGCTGTGTTTTTTTAAGCAGACTACTAATTCATTTTCAGGTCCTCTCTGACACAGCTGGAACCACAATCGGCACGTCTCCATACAGCGACTCCCTCAAGCGTCGTCGCAAGGGTGCCGCTTCTGCCCTCAACCGACCGTCGGTGGCTACCTACGTCGATCACCTCGATATCGAGACTCGAGACTTTATCAAGGAGCTCTGCAACTATGGAGAGGCTGGCAAGATCCCCGTCGACCCGATGCCCATGATCCAACGCCTCTCGCTGTCCCTCGCTTTGACACTCAACTGGGGTATTCGACTCAAGAGCCAGGAGGATGACCTCTTCAATGAGATCACCCACGTCGAGGAAGAGATCAGCCGCTTCAGATCGACTACTGGAAACCTGCAAGACTACATCCCTCTCCTCCGTCTGAATCCTCTCAACCTGTCATCTTCCAAGGCTCGCTCCATGCGTGACAGACGCGACAAGTACCTCGGAGATCTCAACCGCGGTCTCGATGAGCGAATCGCCAATGGAACTTACAAGCCGTGCATCCAAGCCAACGTCATCATGGACAAGGAGGCCAAGCTCAACAAGGACGAACTCACCTCCATCAGTCTGACCATGCTCTCTGGTGGTCTCGACACCATTACCACGCAGGTGGCCTGGTCCATCGCCTACTTTGCCCAGCATCCCGAAATCCAGGAGAAGGCCAAGGCGGAGATCGAAAAGTTCTATGCAACCAACCAGCCGATGTGTGATGAGGAAGACGATCAGAAGTGCCAGTACATTGTTGCCCTCGTGCGAGAGTCTCTGCGATACTTTACTGTGCTTCGACTTGCTCTGCCTCGCGCCTCTATCAGGGATGTTGTCTACAACGGAGTTACCATTCCCAAGGGAACTGTTGTCTTTTTGAACGCTTGGGCTTGCAACATGGGTAAGTAACCAGTCATAGATACGCAGTACTTATAGCTAACACCTCCAAGACGAGCAAGTCTGGACAGATCCCGAGGTCTTCCGACCAGAGCGCTGGCTAGAGCAACCCGATGCCCCCTTGTTCACCTACGGTGTTGGCTATCGCATGTGCGCCGGATCCCTGCTTGCCAACCGAGAGCTCTATCTCTTGTACATGAGACTTCTCAACAGCTTCAAGATCGAGAAGCACGACGACATCGATTGCGATCCCATCACAGGCAACTTGGATCCCACCAGTCTTGTGGCTATGCCTCGCCGCTACAAGGCCGTTTTCACGCCACGGGATCCCAAGGCCTTGAAGGCAGCTTTGGCACAGCAGGTGGAGTAGAGGACATGGGATGAGTATCTTGAGGGTAGTTCCGTGCTGTATTTCCATGGCTTTATTGTGTTCTTTGCCCCTGAGGATGCCTCAGTTGTTATGAGAGTGGAAGTGCAACCAACTTTAACAGCGACAATGCATATCGCGGCGCGACGGAAGGTGTAGGATAGTATATGATTGAAGTGGTCGAGACCACGCTGATGCTATACGCCGAGGACTGAATGTCTGCATTTACATACAATAAAACAAACATTAGAATGCATAAACGCGCGCCAAATGCTATGATGAAGAACTGCCCCTTTCACTCCTCCTTCTGCTCAGGCTTCTTTCCCCAGATAACATAGACTGGAATGTAGAGGTGGATGGTTGGGTCGTTGAACTGCTTGCGCACCTTGGCGATGAGCACCTGGATTTCCTCGTCGCTCCAGCCGAGGACCCGGGAGAAGACGGCGGGCGTATATGACTCCGCGCCTTGGATTTGCTGGATGAGCTGGTACTTGCCGAGTTCCTTAAGCTTAGGATCCTTAGGCCAGCCGCCGATGGGTAGCTAGGGGGTTGTTAGCACCTGAATCTGCCACTGTGAATAGGGGAAACAATATCAAGTCACAAACCTTGAGAATCTCCTGCTGGACGTCTTGGAATCCAGCCTCCTCTAGCTTCTTCTTCCACGTAGGAGCACCATCTAGAGGCTTTCCAAACTTTTCAATTCCCGCAACCAGCTGGCCGCACCAAGAGTGAACATCCGTAGCCTTCTTGCCAGTGTCGTCGTCAGAGAGGAAACGCGTATAAGCCGCCTGCAACTCAAAGTAACCACCGGGGTTCAGATGCTTAAAGGCCTGGGCAAATAGCTTGTCGTCATCGGCGATGCAGCCCTCGAGCTCACGGCCGTGGATGAAGTCAAAGGGTCTTGAGTAGGGCCATTCAGCTTCAAAGTCGTCGACCTCGAAGAGACAGTTAGGGGGTGTCCTGTAGTCAGGTAAGTTGAGAACCAGGCCCTGAAGTGCGAGGGTGTCCATACCATCCAGGCTGAATAGGGCTCAGATCGGTTCCAATAACTTCCGCGCCAGGGTTTTCACTATCAACCGTCAGATATGCTTAGTCGGTTGGTAGATATCATCTCGTACTCTGCAAAATCCATAGCCCAAACTCCAGTACCAGTACCCAGATCAAGCACCCGTTGAGGCTCCTTGACGGGAGAACGGTGGAGTTCACCTCCAAGAGCGAGGTTGTAGATGTGATGCAACAGGTCCATTCGGTCTTGCTCCTCCTCGTCATTGGGCTACCATGTCTCAGCCTAGTTCCCGTCAAGTGCCGAGCAGATACGTACCATCAGGTAAGAACCCTCCCGGAAAGCATGGTATCGGCGGCCATTCTATAGTGGGGTTAGTCTTTGTTGGATCAATGGTCCCATGTTTCACGAGCCTCGTATCTACAAACCCGACCTGTCAGTAACAATTTCAACATTAGAATCCCCAAATCGCGTACTTGTAGTTCAGAACACTTGAGGCTAAGGACGTCTTGAAGCTCCCTGAGCCTGCTCTATCAAAACGGTCAGACCTGCACTACTACGCAAGACGCGTCAAGACGTACGAGGAGGCGTAAACGGAATCATCATCGCGTCGGGCATCCTAAGCACGTCAAAACAAATCCCATCCCTCTGTCAACATCAATGCTTACGTCCGCCTGCAGAGGGTTCTCAGCAAGGGCCTGCTGCAACTCGGTAGTCTGTTCGTCTTCCGGACACATGGTTGGAGGAAATAGGTACGTGGATGGATGTTGGTTGAGAGAAGCAAGTTGGGGGGGAAATACCAGCGGGAATTTGACTCTCTCGGTATGTGGGTGCCATTTTTTCTCCCCGCTTCTGTCATCTGACCCAGAATTTCACTCTGGCCATATTACATAACGCGTCAGGTCATGAATGATTTGGCGACGAGGACCAACGGGCATGGGATGCTGGGCCAATGAGCTGGTTAGACGAGCAAGCCTTCGAACCGAGACATGGGTTATCACAGCATTCCTTACGTGGATATTATGGGTCTCTTCAGTTGGTTCCCTCGGGCCGCTTCGATGGTTCTTGCGCTAAACCGCGTTCCCGCCTGCTAGACTGGCTCTAGCGGTGATCCTTGGCGCGTTAGGTTCTGGCTACCACGTCCTTATCGCGAGGTTACGAGTTTGTTGCCGTTGGACGTTGATGTTCTTGGTGCCTATGAAGAGATGAAACATGTACAACCGTCACCGGCCAAGTTCAAACTGCCCTTCAACTCCATTCCCATTCCAAGGGACCCTCTGCCTGCCCACCCCTGGCTTCTGCTAGCCCCCCATGGCTGCATATTCCGCGCTCTTGGGTGAGCCACCAACAAAGTCACCCAACCAACCCCGCTCCATTCCCGAGCTCCGCGGGCTGCGCGGATCAGGTAAAAGCAACGGTGGAGGGTGTGATCGCTGCAGTCCAGGGAAGACAATCCAGTCGTCCGTAGCGTTGCGACCCTGACGACCGTTACTCGCTTAAGCTGATGATTGGTTGACGGAAGAAAAGTGCGTCAAAGGCCAGAACGCGCAGACGTGTTGGGCAGGTTGTCGGACACTTGCAGCGGGGTGGGTCGGGGTCAACCATGGTAATGGTGTATGCATGATTCTGACGTGAACCACTATGACGGTGTTGGTGGTCTGCTCGGATAAATACAGCAGTTGGCAGTTCTGACAATCGCAGTTTGGGGGCCAAACAGGGTCAAAATGTGGCCGCAAGGTTCAAAGTCCGACGCCACCGATCTCGTTGTTTGAGGGCTGTGGTTCTCAATGACGAGGTTATTCACAAACAAGCGAGCGAGTTCAACTCTGCACATTTCTTCACAACTCTACTCTGCTAGCTTCAGGTGCCAGCGAAACCCACCTAGGCTGGCCTTGAATCTAGGGTAATGTCAGGTAAGACATGGAAAACCTAGAGCAGGAAGGGCAGGATATATCATCGCCGCGTCCATCGTAGTGGTGCATGGAAGTGATCATGTGCTCAGTATGCATAGGTAAGCTTATCCGTACGCCGGATGCCCGATGAGTTGTGTTGGCTGCTTTCCTGTCAGCGACGAGCAACTTATTGAATGGAGTTCTTCCTATACTGGCCCGCTTAAAGACAAGGCACCTTTTGCGACTTCAGATAATTGGCGACTGTCTATCAAAGACCATATGCAACAGCGAATAGGGTATAGGGGGAATCGTACTCGCCCCCTGTGAAACCCACGGTTGGCCGGCGGCCGCTACTGTACAGCTGCGGCGCCGGATCGATCGTGCAACAAGTCAAATCTAGATAGCGGCCGAAAACGGTTAACGGCTTATTCCCTCCATTATAAATTATTAAGCCGCTGGCGGAGATATTATATCCAACTTTCTAAACTCTTCGCTGTGAGGGTGAGAGGGGCGAAACGAACTAGCACAGGCCTCAACTGTTAATGTCCAGCTGACGGAGGACCGATCAAATGAGCGTGCAGGTTGAATCAGACGCTTCAGTTGTTCAAATTCGAGGATGAATTACTCTGCTCGACGTTTCGCACATTAAATCAACGTCTGCCGCTCACCGTGCTCACCACCTACTGTCGGTCTCATGTTCCACAGCGCTGGATAGTGTGCATGTCCATGTTATCCAATTTTCAGTCCACAATCAGCATAAAAGCCTCTTCATACTAGGTCCTTTTCCTGCGAAGGACCAACGCATAAGGCGGGCAAAGCTTGGTGCAAAGCCACTTTGTTGAACCAATTCCGGTGGCTCAAATAAAATATGGAGGCAGACTAGTTCTCTCTGAGCACATCTCACAGAATATGATAATTAGAACTCGCAAGAAGAGCAAAGAAGCCTCGTTAGGTCAGGTCACCCAAGTCTACCAGGGGTGGGAAAGCTTTTGTCAGGACTGCGCCTTGTCATACATGAGGTGTCCTAATCACAATCAAGTACTTCTTCGAGCTCTCAAGCAACGCTTCCAGATCCTTAGTGTTCGGACAGCGGCACGACTATTTTCGTGATAGGCGCTCCGTATAACATCTCTGTTACATGCCGTTGGTGCCAGGAACCTAACCAGCCATGGAGTCAATAAAGCATCCAGTACTACCCCAGCTGATACCTAAATAATTTGGCAAGATATTGCCTAGAACTATGAGGTTACTGGCATCAGAATCCAGTACTATCCTCACATCCAAAGCGAATGGCAAATGTGTATGGGAATAAGAGAGTCCACCAAAATGCGGCGCAATCTGGAAGAGGATATTTTATTCTGCTAGTATAGTAGCATATAATGTTCCTGAGTCAAGAAATCTTTGATCGTTAGGTTGGTAGGGAGCATGTACCGTAGCTCAGGTGTGGTGGTTGTTGATATCCTCCCATTGTTCATAGATTCTGCGCCGAGTAAGGGCTCTCGGCCTTGACATTATAGAACCAAATTTTTAATCTCATTACTATGCAAAGCCCCGATTTCGCAGAGCATCGGTCGCTACGCTTTTCAATGGGTGCAAAATTTGGGAGTGAAAATCCCAACCCTGGTTCAAGATAGTATACAGAAGCCGCCCGGGATTATTTTGAGACAATTTTTCTCCTTCTCCTTCTCTTATGTCTGCATATGGCCCTATTATGCCGCAAAACGGCGTCAGTCCTTGAGGAAGGAAAAGTTCGGCAAATTTGTCGGTGACTGGGAGGCGAGGCTACGATGTGGCGTTCAGCAAAGAAGTCAGAGTGACTCCGAGAAAAAGCACGGCTTCGCAGCCTGGCTTTTGCAACTGTTTCTTGAAGTTTTACATTTGTAGAAAGCTGAATCCCCTTGGATTCCATAGTTCAGTTCTCGATGCTCGGTCTTAAATAGCCCGTGCCCACTCCTTCTCGGTGCTTTCGGTCGAGCACAGACCGAGGTTCGACGTTGCAGAAAAGAGAGTAAGGGTCAATTTCCTTCCCGAGAGAAGATTGTAGTTTAAATTGAGTCCATTTCACATGGAAAAACACATTCTCAAGCCTCGTGACAGAATATTACCCC